CACGAACACAAGAGTTCCTCGAGTGACCTGGTGAGCGCTGCAGTGTCGTCGGCAAACTGGAGAAGCTTGACCTTGCGGACGGTCGAGCCTTTCTTGCCGTCGACTAATGTGTCGAGGGGCGGTGACACCGGCAGGCCCACGATGGATGGGTCGGCGTTGATTGCTGCTGCCAGTGCCTCGATGACCAGGACAAAGAGCGTCGGGGAGAGAGGGTCACCTTGCTTGGTGCCTCTGTCCAGGGGCAGGGCATCAGTGAGGATGCCGTTGACGCTGACTCTGGCCACGGATCCCCGCAGCAGGGCCATAACGAGCCCGACCATCAATGGTGGGATGCCGACGTGGCGGAGGGTGCGCTCGATGCTGTCATGTGATATGGAGTCGAACGCCTTCTGGAAATCAAACAGCGTGACATAGCCAGTGGCCATGTCTTGGGCAGCCGTGTCGATGACTTTCTGCAGTAGGATGGTGTTGTCGTGGATCAGCCTCTCGGGGACGAAGCCATTCTGTAATGGGTTGATCAGACTGTCGAGGAGCTTGGTGAGTCTGGCATTGATGACCTTGCTGAGGAGCTTGTAATCCACGTTGAGTAAGGTGATTGGACGTCTGTTGGCAATGTCCAGTCTGTCGCCTTTCTTGAAGATGGTGTGGATGATTCCACACTTGAAGTCACTGGTGATGGTCTCAGGGTCGAGCAGCATGTTGTTGAACGTGGCGGCAAGGAAGGGGGCAAGGACCTCGGCGTGTGTCACGTAGAACTGACCAGTGAGTCCATCTGGGCCAGGAGACTTTGAGGTATCCGTGGTGGAGATGGCGGAGAAGACCTCATCGGCCGTGATGGGCCCTAGTAGTAGAATTCTTATCTCTTCAACTTCTTAAAAAAAATTATTTTTTTTGAAAATAAAAAGGTCGCTCCTGGTTGGGATCGAACCAACGACCGTTCGGTTAACAGCCGAACGCTCTGCCGACTGAGCCACAGAAGCCGATGAGGAAAAACAAAATAATGTTCGTGTTATATCGGGGTTTGGTTGCTTTTTCACTTTGAGATTGTTTATATACAATCAATCATTCATTGTACATCAATAAAGTAGTAAAGTATACATATATACTTGTGTATTACAATTACTATATTATATTCAAAGTGGCAACGATGTGAACTTAATTATTCATTCGTCGTGTTGCAATCACACAACATAATTCAAATAATATATAACGCAGGTTTGTCAGTTACAAGTTATACAAATACATATACATATACAGCAATGGTATGAACTATGCAAGAAGATGATGATGATGAACTTGTACTAATCAAACAAATACATTCAACCAATCAATCGTTGTAGTCTAACTTAGGTCAGAAGATTGGGGAGATCAAGGATATAACGAGGATCGAGAGAATAGGTGCTCACTCTCATATTAGAGGACTGGGAATTGATGACTCACTTGAACCTCGTGAGGTGTCACAGGGCATGGTCGGACAGATAAATGCACGTAAAGCAGCAGGTCTCATCGTTCAGATGATCAAGGAGGGCAAGATCGCAGGCAGAGCTATACTGATTGGTGGTGAGCCCGGCACGGGCAAGACCGCCATCGCCATGGGTATGGCACAGTCACTCGGCTCAGAGACACCGTTCACAGCAATTGCAGCATCAGAGATATTCTCGTTGGAGATGAGCAAGACAGAGGCACTGACACAGGCGTTCCGCCGATCGATCGGCGTGCGCATCAAGGAGGAGACAGAGATCATCGAGGGTGAGGTCGTCGACATTGTCATTGAGCGCTCGACAACTGGTGCCAACAAAGTCGGCAAGCTGACTCTCAAGACCACCTCGATGGACGCGCTCTACGATCTGGGCGCCAAGATGATCGACGGACTCGTCAAAGAGAAGGTGTCCGCCGGTGACATCATCCGTATAGACAAGGCGAGTGGCAAGGTCACGCGTCTCGGCCGCTCAATCTCGCGTTTGAGAGACCACGAGATCAGCGGCTCCAAGGTCAACTTTATCGAGTGTCCAGAGGGCGAGATTCAGAAGCGCAAGAAGCAGACACACACAGTCAGCCTTCACGAGATCGACGTAATCAACAGCAGAGCGCAGGGCTTCTTTGCCCTGTTTGCCGGAGACATTGGAGAGATCAAGGCAGAGGTGCGCGAGCAGATCAATCAAAAGGTGGCCGACTGGAAGGAGGAGGGCAAGGCCGAGATCGTGCCCGGTGTCCTGTTCATCGACGAGGTGCACATGCTGGACATTGAGTGTTTCTCTTTCCTTAACCGCGCGCTGGAAGACGACATGGCGCCCGTCCTCATCATGGCAACCAACCGTGGCATCACCAACATCAGAGGCACCAACTACAAGGCGCCACACGGCATCCCCGTCGACTTGCTGGACCGTCTGCTGATCATCACCACGTCGCCCTACTCTGAGAAGGACATTCACAAGATTCTAAAGATCAGATGCGAGGAGGAGGACGTGGACATTAGCGACGACGCCCTACAGCTGCTCACAAAGATCGGTCTGGAGACCAGTCTGCGTTACTCAATCCATCTGATCACATCGGCTTCACTGGTCGCTGCCAAGCGCAAGGCGACAGAGGTCAGTGTCACCGACATCAAGAGAGTGTATGATTTGTTTGTAGACGTGAAGCGATCGGTCAAGTATCTCAAGGAGTACCAAGACGAGTTCCTGTATGACAATGGTGCCGGTGGATTAACTGAGCCAATGACTGTCGCCAAGTAGTGATTTGATTGATTGATAGATTGATCAATCCTTAATAAACCACATGCACCATGCATACTTAGTGATGATTGACTGATTGACCATCCCTTTGCCACTTCCATCAGCCCCCAAACTGATCTTTCGCTCAGTTTTCCATCAAACTCTTCATGGGGGTCATCACATCAAGGGGTCAATCCAATCCACAATCACTTCATACTATCAGTCATTGAATGATCAGCTGTTGTTAATACAAACTCTAGAGTCCAAGATATTTGGAACATTATTGCAGGTACCCTGATGTATAAGACACTCAACTAGCCTATCTCTCACAAGGACATTATCATTCATTCATTCACTCTCTTGTCCAACTCATTCATCAATCATTCATTCTTTCATTCATTCATTCATTCACTCAATCATTCAATCATACATATTCATTCATTCAATCAAACGATTAAGTGCAAGCTAGTAAGATGGTAGGTTCACACATACACTCTCACTCATTGATGGTCCAGATATTGACTCGTGCGCCTCATTCAATCAATCAAACTCAAGATGCAGGATGAGTACTGTTACTGCAAGCATAAGGGATGTCATACAGCATTGATACCTCATCGACACTTGTTTTACTTTGAGGAGAACGTTGGTGGACTACACTTGGCATTCGAAATGCAAGATGAACACCCGACATGGGTCTTCGGTYCCCAACCCGGACAATAATGGACGCAGCCCTCGCAAGATATATTGCACATCATGTGGCAATGACGTTGGTAATGAAGTGAGCGGCAAGCTGCCCAACGGTGGCAGTATATACACGCTGGACAGGAAGTATGTGGCGGTCACTGCCGCCGCCATCAATGATAACTTTGCCAAAACATTCAAATGGCAACAGATCTCCGAGCTCTACAAGACCAACATCCGCCACCTCAATGGAGAGTCCCCCGAGTTCTCGGGCCGCGTATTTGTGCCCACTGAGCTACGGCCTGGCCAGTACCGCGACACACAGTTCTCCAAAAAGGTCAACATGGACGCGTTGGCGACACGCAATGTCACACCTAGGAAATACCAGCTCGAAGCGCTGACAGAGGCAATGGCACGCGACATCATCTTGGTGCTGCCAACAGGCATGGGCAAGACGTTGGTGTCTGTCATGCTGATGCAACAGATGATCGCGATCAATCAACCGGAGCACGACAATCAGATGAAGCGCATGGTACTATTCCTGGTCACAACACTGCCATTGGTCAAACAACAGACGTTGGCTATCAAGAAGCACAACGCCACCCTCAAAGTGATGGAGGTCAGCTCAGAGTCGGAGCAGGCGTATACGCGCGCGGACTTTGAGAGTCGTGACAAGTGTCCCGATGTCGTGGTCATGACTCAGGGAGCGTTCTTCAACATCATCAAGTCCGTTTCACTGGCTGCCTTCCACTTGATCATCTTTGATGAGGCACACAATGCCACTGGGCGTCATGCATACGCTCGCGTCATGACCGACTATTATGAGATGATCCCACACAACTTGCGGCCCAAGATCCTAGGCCTGACCGCCTCGCCGTCGATTGGCAAGAGTGAGGCTGAGATCGGAAGAAACATTGACAAGTTGGAATTCGTGTTGAAGGCCAAGGCATACCGTCCACCATCGCTCCGCGATGACCCGGAACTGGACTCGGACAAGCTCATCTATAGACAGACGGACGCAGAGAAGCGATGTCAGGAAGCGTTTATCGAGGTTTTGAACGACCAGCTTCGCGCGATGCAACAGAGAGCCAAGTATATCAGCGAGCGACTGGCCTATCGTGGCTTCAACGCCACGAGCTTTGAGACCGAGTTGCGACGCTTCATGTTCTTTGTGGATAACAACGAGGATAAGATCAAACTGGACACAGGTGTGGGCGATATCATACGAATCTTTGAACAATTCAACAATGTGCATGTGGAGGGATATCTTGCGTTTGTCAAGTATCTTCGCGATGACCTTAAAAGCAAACACAACACCAATGCAAATTACCGCCAGTTTATTGGACTATTGTTGGCGCGACTGGAGGCGGAGGGAGCGGCCGAGATTGAGAAGTCATCCAAGTATCTCAAGTTGGTCGAGCAGCTTGATCAATGCACACAGAGTGATCAAGCACTACAGAAGTTCCGCGGCATCATATTTGTAAAGACCAGGGCTACATCAAAGGCCCTGCTACGCATCCTCAAGAAGGAGGCGGTCAATGCACGTCTAAACATCAAGAAGGTCGTCGGCCACAGTCGCGAAGATGGCATGGATTCGGAGAAGCAGACCAAGGTGATGGACAAGTTCGCATCCGGCCAGACCAAGCTCATCGTGGCGACCAGCGTGATTGAAGAAGGCATCGATGTGCAAGGCTGCAACTTTGTCATGTGCTTTGAGAATGACTTCAACATCCGCTCACTCATTCAGCGACGTGGTCGCGCCAGGAGCAAGGCAGATGGCTCCTTCCTCTGTCTGATGAACCAAGATGAAGATGAGTATCTGGACGACATACTCAACATGGAGCGCATCCTCAATCACATCATCAAAGTGCGCATGGTAGAATACATGAGTCACCAACAAGAGGAGGCCGACGAGGTGTGGAGGACGCACTTTGAGACCAACAAGCACCAGCCTCATGGCGAGCGAAAGAACATCGTAGTGAATGTGTACAACAGTGATATAGACTTTGATCGTGTGCTGCGAGACAAGTTGGACAAGAACATCGTATTCAATCAATTGATCATCAGTACACAAGAGTCGAGGCGATACCTCAAGAGGCACAAGGAGTACGTCATTGGCCTCGAGAGTAACCACGACTCAATCAACTATCTGATCGAGAGTCTATATGCGACCAAAGGTTGGTGGGCCAAGATCAACCCTCCAGCCTACCTCAACATCCCAACCATCGAGGTCGAGGCCAATCTCCCTGAGGCTGGAGTCGAGACCGAGGCTCAGGATCAACTTGTAGACCCCAACAACAACAACGATCAATCAATGAATCACTCCAATCAATCCATTGATGATGCTCCGATTGTAAAGGGACGCAAGCCCCCATCGGAGGCCTTTGACCTCTACTTCTCCTGCGGCAACTTCACCAACCCGACCACGTTTGTGGTTACCAAAGAGATTGGCCAGGCCGACCTGTCGTACGAGCCAGACGAGCGAATGCTCGAGGTGAACTGGGCCGACTGCAAGTTCCAGTTTAAGAAGGAGAACTTTGACAGCTTCTGTCTGTATGATTGCGATCCCATCGACAAGCAGTACCAGTCACTCTACCTTATCGTCAAACGACCGCCAATTGTCATCGTGTCTGGTTATGACAAGAACGGACGAGAGAATGTGGCCGAGCGACAGGACCGACGCCACCATCCATTCCTCGAGAATAGCTTCGTCTATCGCTTCCAACTCAATCAGTTCCAGGTCGATCCCCTGGTCACAGCCCTCAACATACCATACTTCATGGCATCGATCAATGACATCTCAATCTACCATCAGCCAGCCAGCAAACACTTACTGGCCAGCTCATCGCAAGAACCAGTCGCCATCACTCACAATGCGCACCTCTGCTACCTCTTTGCTGTACTGCGAAGGTATGTCCCTACACCTCTATCAATCTATCAATGTCAATGGACAATGACTAACGCCTTGGCCCCGCACACACCATCAGCAACAAGTACACTGGCTTCGGAAAGACGGTAGTGCCACAGGCGATATTTGATCGAATGGCCAAGGAGTTTGCAGATGGCAACATGTACGCAGTGAACTATCTGGTGGACCATGCACTCGAACTCCAGGAATTCGAGTCATACGATAGCTTGGTGAGAATGGACCTGTCCCTCCTCCCCAAGCTCAGCCCCATAGACATACCAATGAACCATGTGATGATCAAGAGTGCCTACGTGACACCATCCCGCGTGGTCTTTAACCCGCCACGCATTCAACTTGGCAACAGATGTGTCCGCCTCTATGACAGCGATCGCTTCATGACTGTCCAATTCACTGAAGAAGACCTCCAGTTCCGCATGGTCGACTATCAAGATCTGCTCGTAGAGTATTACCGTGATGTACTGACTCATGGAATCCGCGTAACAGGCTTTGGCGTGTTCTACTACCTTGGCAACAGCAGCTCACAAGCTCGCAGCTATATGTCTTGGTTCTACTGCGTGGAGGATGGTGCCGACGTCGATGCCACACTCAGAGACATACGCCAATCGCTCATTGGAGAGGACTCTACGTTTGAAAGCGCACGCAAGGCTCTGCGATGTATATCTTTGGTCTTCCCCGCCACCACTCCCACCATCCCCGTCGACCCTAAGGACTACCACGAGGGCGTGGCGGACATTCTGCATAAAGCCCCCGATGGCATCGAACATAACTTCACTGAGGGTGTTGGATACATTGGACAGTACACTGCCAGACGTGTGTGCGAGGAGGGCAACTACCCAGAGTCGACCACAGCCTTCCAGATCAGAATAGGTGGCAACAAGGGTGTGTTGTCAGTGCACCCCACCATCAAAGAGGGCGTGTACATGCGCAAGAGTATGCGGAAGTTCCCGTCCAACCCGGACCAAATACACGATCGCATCATCGAGGTGATTAGTGTGAGTGGCCCCAAGACCTGCTACCTCAATCGCCAGGTCATCGTGCTGCTGAGTGGTCTTGGAGTGCCCGACGGCTACTTCATCGAGCTGCAACAGCGCGCACTGACCAAGTTGGCCAACATGTTCCACGATCAAAAGGTGAGCAAGGAGATCCTGTCCGGATTGTCATGGCTAGACAACGCGCTGGACGAGGTCGACCTGGCCGTGAACGACCCGCTGATTGGCAGCGCGCTACAATGTTGCTACATGAAGAAGTTGGACAAGATACAGGACAAGTGCTTCATCCCTATTGAGAGTGCGCGTACATTGATGGGCATCTCTGATGAGTCGAGCCAACTCAAGGCCAATCAGGTGTTTGTGCAGATCTCAAATCCAGATGGAACAAAGAAGGTGATCGAGGGCAAGATCCTCGTGTGCAAGAACCCCTGTCTACACCCTGGAGATGTCCGAGTGCTCGAGGCTGTGGACGTGCCCGAGCTCCAACACGTCTACCTGGACGTGATCGCATTCTCCCAACATGGCGATGTGCCCAACTTCAAGCAGTGCTCAGGCAGTGACCTGGACGGTGATCGTTACTTTGTCTGCTTCGACACAGAGATGGTCAACTATGTGACTGAGTTTGAGGCCTATCTTGGCGAGAACCTACCTCCGGCGCCCGAGGAGAAGTATCAAGGAACGCGCAAGGAGTTGGTCGAACAATATCTGGCCAACATCACAAAGGGTGCACTGGGCAAGATCGCTCTCAGTCACATGGCTCTTTGTGACAAGCTCTCGCCAAAGGACCCCCTGTGCATCAATCTGGCCAAGCAGCACTTTATCGAGGTGGACGCCGTCAAGACGGGCATCCATGGCAAGGTGCCCGAAGAGGTAACTGGACCCGACCTCCTGGACAACTTCACTCAGTACCCACACTTCATGGAGAGTCAGATGCCGCGCAAGACCTACTGGGAGTCCAAGAAGGTGTTGGGCACGCTGTTCCAGGGTGCATCAGTGCTCAAGGCTGTGCCCCAGTTCATCCCCGACACCTATGTGGATGAGTCGCGATTGGTCGAAGGATATACCCAATACATGGACGACGCCAAGGTCAACTACCAGCGCTACAAGAACCAAGTCAAGTCACTGCTCAATCAATATGACATTGAGAAGGAGGAGGACATCCTGGTCGAGTTCATCAAGGAGACAATCAACTCTTTCCGCTACCATCAGCTACTGGTCGATGAGATCAGAATGAACTACCAACGCATTCATCAATTGTTTAAGGATGAGTTCCTGCGCGAGTTCCCTGGACGAGAGCTCGAGGAGAAGCTACGCGGCTCAAACGATGCGATTGAACGCAAGGTGGCAGCTTGGTACCATGTGTCGCACAGCGATGTGGAAACAGACCACGCACTATCATTCTACTGGATCGTCAAGTGTTTCCAGGCCAAGCGACAGCTCAAGAAGGGCCACGAGAAGCCTGACTACCTGTCACAGAGCATCATTGAGTTTGTAGAGGAGAATCAGCTGCCGCTGATGCGCGGCTATTCTGAGCGCATCCAAATGATCAACGACATGATGCTACTTTTCCGCCGGGAGGGAGGCGTCCAATTCTCCAACTCCAATGTGCTACTGTTTGGCTCGTCATCGCTCATGCTCTTTGATCCATCGCAGTCTGACCTGGATCTCTACCTACGCAACATTGCAGGTACCCAGACAGGTCAGGGCTCGGAGGATGTGCCCGAAGACCATGACCCAGCACTCAAACAGATCGAGGTGATGCTCAAGAGCAGCAGATCATTTGCCGAGAGTATCGAGTATTGTCAGAACACTGAGGACAAGGCAAAGGTAGGGGAAGTGGCCAACAACATGCGTATCCACACATCCGCCGAGAATGTGGAGTATGTCAAGAACACTGCCGTTCCAATCGTTCGATTCCAATTGAATAAGTTGGACTGCGACATCTCTGTGGACAGCAATGGAATTCGCAAGACGGCGATGATGTGCAACATATTCGATAGCAACCCGATGATCTTCCAGGTGCTGTACGTTGTGATTCGATGGGGCCGCGAGACTGGCCTCCTGATCAAACAGATGAATCAGACAAAGTCGCGCAACCTCAAGACCTGGTCACTCATCTGGATGGTGATTGAGTTCTTCCGCGAGAAGAAAAAGATCGACCTGTCCAAGATCAACCTGGATGAACCCAATGACAACAAGAGTGTGGAGTGGTGGAGTGAGCTACTTGATCGTTCTCCCAGCCCTGACCTCGGCTACTACCTCATCAAGTTCTTCAAACATTACTCTAAGCGTTTTGCACGTGTACTGCGCCAGAAAGACAAAGGTGATCACATCCGACTTATGTGCCCACTGGACAGCGAGCGCGTGCCATCACTGGACATCAACCCATCCATGGAGGACGAGCACTGCACCTACACCGTCTTCCTACAGGAGATCTTTACGATCGCCCATCACACCCTGGCTTCCTCTGGGCGCATCGAGGTGTTCCTCAAGCGATGTCTCTACGAGAAGAAGAAGATCATCAATCTGGACAAGATGGTCTCGCGACACATCCGCGGCAACGAAGCATACATCGAGACCAAGATAGCAACAGAGTGTTTGGTAAAGATCACCATTTACCCGGCGCGTCGTGGATGTCTCCAGGTGAAGATCAGTGGCGAGCCGGCCAACATACAGCAGGCGATGGACCAATTCCACTCGATCTCATCGGACATGACCAACATACCACTGCACAACGTCAAGAAGCACGTGGTGGGTGGCGGCACGGTGTTGCTGTACAAGAGCAGCAAGAGCATCAACGACACGCTGAGCCTGGTCAAGGTGTGCAAGGAGCGCATGAAGGCGACCAACATCCAGCACTCACTCAAGAACCCCAAGATGCAGGGCGTGCTCAAGAGCAATGAGGACGATGATGACCTCTTTGTCCATCATGCTGGCACTGACGACATGGACCCGCAGTTGCAAAACGCCAAGCTGGAGTACCAAAAGGTGATCTGGCAGCAGATGGAGATGTGCCGACGATACGACGACGAGAAGAGGTACGGCAAGAAGATGTGCTTTGTGCGCCTCGGACATATATACCTGTTCAACTGCCCGTATGAGAGCGCCGAGATGACCATTGATGAGCTTCAAAAGGCCATCGCCAAGTCGCGCAAGCGCAACCTGAACCTGGAAGAGCGCAACTTTGACTTGGACGCCTGCGAGGACGAAGAGGAGATGAGGGTCAGGCGCAAGAAGGTCACGACGTCTATGCGCAAGATTGAGCGATCCAACAATGATGAGCTGGACGAAGGTCGCAAGAAGAACAAGACCAAGCTCCCCAAGAGCTCGTTCTACACACACATGGCGCAATACAATGCCGACCAGATCCACAAGATGTTTGAGGCGCGAGGTTGGCGCCGAGACATCAACCACAAGCGCCTGGCCAAAGCAAAGGAAGAGGAGTTCATACTCTGCTGCAAGGGCAACGATACCAACGTGCCCGAGTTCAAGGTGGCCGTTCGCTCAGATCTGCAGCCGCCACACGTCATCAAGAACCAGGGCGTCAACTGGTTCGTCTGCGACCTCACCACGAACCTGGCCCCAAGACCAGACGCGCAACATCTAGATGTGCGCTTCTGCATTCAATCAAAGCGCGAGCTACAGAAGGAGAGCAACTCACTCAATGAGTATGAGTCCAAGGACATTGCCAAGCGACGTGAGAACAATGCCGATGGCCGACTGGCTCCCATTGAAATCAGCAAGGAGTTCCTGTCCAACATCTTCCTCATACGCCATCACTTCAACGTGGTGGTGTACCATCCGCCAGCACGCCATCCAATGTCCAAGTACAACCTGACGCTCTCTGTGCACACGATCAAAGAGTATCGCAACACTGGTGATCTCTACGCCGAGAAGATTGAGTTGGAGATGAGGTGTGACATGCCTTCAAGCCACGACACGCTTGCCTTCACCGAGCAGTTCTGGAAGTTGGGACTCGAAACAGTCAACATGTTTAATGCTGCCAAGCAGACAGTCTAGCAGTCCTAGCTAGCTTGTAATATAAAGGGAGGATTTGCGAACTCGTCTTGACCGATCTTGACTCTTGACTCTTGCTTTGTTCTTGTGCTCGTGCACACGCATCATGCGTGAGAGTTCATATCCATATTATACTCGCTTGGCTTGCTTAGTTCGTCGTGTATACACTCGCGTGTGATTGATTGATTGAATGATTGATGTCGCTCCATGAGTATCTAGCTCGCGCATGCTACTGCTGTTTCCACCTCGCTGAACAGTGTATACACTTGTAGTATGTTGTCTTTGGTTCGTCAATAGGTTGCACCTGAATATCCATTAGATAACATCTCTTTCTCTCTTTACATGATGGGCAATATACTATTGAATGTGTCGCGATTTAGTTAGTGACTGAACATGAATGAAATGAATGAGCGATCTTAACAATCACTTACTATCGGTCTGTGCAGATGTGAGCCAAGCCTCATCACCACCAAAGACATCGGTCTCGATCTGCTTCCTTCTGAGAGGCACCTTTGATACGACCTTGTTGTTGATGTTGAAGATGTAGGGACAGGTTGGACAGTAGAACCTTACGCCCATGTCACCATTCTCTACGAGCAACATATTAGCACATGATGGACAGAACAACATGTTGTTTTGGTTAGCTAGCTAGAATATGAGAGAGACCTAGGTGCATTAAACCTGTTGTTTGTTGTTATTATCTATCTCTCTTTCTATCTATCTATCTATCAAAATGTTATAAATTGATTTGATTTGATTAACAATTCGTGTATTTCGCTCATTCATGGTTCAAGTTTGGCGAACTTCTCCATCTTCAATTGAATTAGTTTGTCATTCATAATCGAATCAACAATATTCATCATCACCAATTATATCTTTAAATCTAGATATATAATAATTGGTGAGATGGCCTATTGTTGGGCTCAACCAGCCCATTACAAAGTTGTCAATACAATCATTTTCTGGGAACTACCTTGAGTTATAATGGCCCTTACCATTGGATACCATTGGATAATATCCCGTCTTACTTTAGACTTAAACGATCAATTATGGGGGTACAAGGACAAGTAATATCTTGTTGTTATATGATGTTATTTGAAAACAACTTGTCAACTGTCAAACAACATTATGATCATTTATTTACCAAAGTTGAGATGTTCGCCCAACACCCAACACAATGTTTGGTGTAGCCGTTTCAAAAATGGGCTAGCCCAAAATCTGATCAAAGGGGTAAGCAATGCTCCCTCTTAGTCTTTGCTGAATAACTGCGCTCATTTGCATTGTTACAACAACAGCAACATTCATCAATTAATTCATTCATTCAAACATTCACTTATATACATACTGTAACTGTAACTGTAACAATATTGTATAATATATTATATATTTATTATTTATATCACTCACTCAATCATTTTAAAGTCTAATCTATTGGCGATAGGCACTTTTTGGATGAAGTAGTAGTAGTACGATAACTTCAACCAATAACAACAACGAAAGGACAACAACAGGTATACATTCTACAAGTTCAAGCTCCACAACAACTTCATCATCTTCGATTCTTTGTTAAATCATCACTTAAATCACACAACACATAATGCCACCTCATCCATCAATCAATCAAACTATCCCGACCGATAGACAGACAGAGAGACAAACAGGGACCGACCGACCTAATACCACATATCACCCCTTCAATCCATCCGTCCACCTCATTCATTTCATTCATTCATTCATTATACATTGTTCTGTCGTCTACAAATTAAGTTAGTTGTTGTATAATGACAGAACTGACGAGATTACCTTTAGATATAGATTGAGTGATTTAGAGTGACGCTGGAGTGGCTGTCAACCATCCACCCATCCATCTTTCCCCTCCACTTCCACACCTCCACACCACCCATCCATTCATTCATCACTACACATACACACACACAACATTGACATATCGTATTATTACCGACTTTCCCTCTCAATCTCCATCTCCCCTCTTCCCTTTATTGGTGCTGATTGTTTGTTTAATTACCACACTCGTCAACACCACCTGATCAATCACACACACACACACACACACACTCAATCCATTCAAATAATCACGGGATGAGATAGAGGAAAGGAGTGAGCGTGTGTTAGTCGACTGACACTGACTGGTTGGTTGAATGTATTATATGATGATGTTGATGATGATGATGATGATTGTTGTTTCAGCATATGTTTGATGATCAGTTTCATCAAACAACAACAAACAAAGAGTTAGTTGGCAACTCTATCTAGAGAGACAAGTTTGGTATGTGTGTGTGTTTGTGCAACAACAACAACAATAACAATAACAACAACAAAGGAGTTGTCAATGGCAATGGCAGTAACAGTAGAGTAGTGTAGTGGCTCCAGCACTAAGTCGAGTGGTAGGGGTAATGGTATGAGAGTGATGGCAATGATTCACGCCCGACTACCCCTCCCACTCCACCAACCAATCTCAATCTCAACTTCACTTCACTTCCCTCCCCACCACCTCTATAATCCATAATCCATAATCCATGATTGATGATCAATGATCATGCACCTCTTGGAACATATTCGTTGTGCATTCCGATATCATGTGTGTGCTCAACGGATAACAATCCAACAAAAACCCGACTTCCAATCCAGCGCGACTGGATAACAATCATTGCCTTAATATATACTACACCCATCCCATCAATCACTCATTGCCATTCAATCAACACATACTACTACTACTACTTAATACCTTCAGACAGAGATATAGAGATAGTATTATTTATAACTACATTCATTCATTCATATACTTTATTGTCGTCTGTCTGTCTGTCTGTTGACTGACTTTGATGTGTCGTCCAATCATTCAAACATGTCGTCCACCAATAATAATAATGACACAACAACAACTACTGCAATGTTAAAGAGAGTAGTCAGTCAAGATACAATTCTAACAACAACGAAAACAACTACAGCAGCAACAACAGCAGCAGCAAAGAGGACCCAATACTTTGTAATCAAGTCCAAGGGATTCAATAGTGTCGCTTACGCCAGACAGAAGAGGGAGAGAAGACAACTTGATATAATGGCCACTGCTGTATCATCAAGGAATAATATATCGCCAGAGGTTTCGAGCAATAACCTTGGCGGCGCAGTACTGTCGGAGGAGGAACGAAGGACGGAGCTCAAGCAGCTGCTCTCCTCCGTAATCCCTTGCATTATTATTGGTATCGAGGCTGCCGAAGCCGAGATCACCAGCATATTCACATTGGACGAGTTGAACACTAAGAGGTCATCTTGCCAGGTGTTGATCGCGCTCTCAAAGGTATGTTTCCAGTTTCCAAAAAATATGTTTCCGCAGCCACACGCGGAAACACACGCGGAAACACTTCTGTGGCCGCAGGAAACACACTTCCCGAACTCAATCACTCACCTACTCATTCGTTCACAACAAACAAACATATAATAGATACTTAAAGAATATCCAAAGGGTGCAGGATATATACCAAGACCATTACCATCATGCCTGAGCTTGTATCCCAAGCTTAGAGAATTCAGATCACAGATGGACGGACTCATTTGGGAAGTTCTCTCCAAGTTGACGATACTGAAGGAGTTTGTACAGAATATTACCGATAGTCAGAAGTTGTTCATCGTGGCGCTGAGCGTTCGTGATGCCAAGAACTGCTTCACACAGAATGAGTGCGAGCACTTTATCAAGATGGACCCAGCGCTGAGCAAGAAGATGTTTGGCAGCAGCAGCAGCAGCAGCAGTGGCTCCAGCAAGAATGGCGCCTCCAGCGACTATGGCGAGAAGAAGAGAGTGCGACTACAGGTCAGCGATGATGGCAGCTCGGATAGCGATGCAAGCAATGTTACGGTCGTGTCTCCAAACACCCCGCCTCAATCAGCGGCATTTGACTCGGCCCGTCCCAAGTCGCCCGATGGATGGCTGAGCGGCTTGCGTGGCTCGGAAAAGTCGCGTTCCAATCCTTTGTTGCCCGCTGGCAGGAAGGGTCGCTCACAGTCCGACCCACAGCTGACGGGCGCCGAGCAGGAGCAGCAGCAAGTGCCCAATCCATCAATCGATCGCGTCAACAAATTCTACAAGTTGCAGTCGTCCACACCATCCACCTCGTCCAACAGCATCCCCCTGTCACTAGTGCCCTCACTGCAGCAGCATGGTGACACTGAGACTGCCGTGGAGTGGGAGCGCTATGACCAGGACCGCGCAGCGCAGCTCTGTTGCCACTTCATCCAGCAAATCAGAGGCTTCAAGACGGATGCGGGCAGCACGATCAAGGACCTGCCCGACCTCGCACACTTTGTCGTCAAGGACACTGGCAACGACGAGCTGTTCTTCAAGGAGGACTTCTTGGAGCGCAATCATCTGACATTCCTGGGTGTGAGCAAGGGCTCGGACAAGGCACCCATCGCCATATCGGTGTGCAGCTATCTCGTGGTGGACAGCGGCGACTTGGAGTTGTTGTACATTATCCGCACGCAGGATGGCGACGAGCGCCTGCGTTTCATTCTGTCCAAGACACGAGAGGTCTCGGCCAAAGACATGGTCAAGATGCTCAAGAAGGCGCGTCCTCAATACCAGAACTTCAACATCAAGGAGGTTAAGGACGAGAGCATGCTGGTGCACCTTCTCGACTTTGAGTCCAAGAACAACGTGCAGCGCAACTTCAAGTTTGGCGTTTTGTACTGCCGCGATGGCCAGACTGAGGAGAACGAGATCTACGCCAATCATGAGCCGTTCAGCAAGCAGTACCAGGAGTTCCTGGATCTGCTGGGTGAGCGAGTGACGCTCAAGGGCTGGAAGGCGTATCGTGGCGGCCTGGACATCCGCGAGGATACCACAGGCACGCACTCGGTCTACCAGCGTTGGAACAATCGCTACGAGATCATGTACCACGTTGCAACGATGATACCATACAAAGCCGACGACGCACAGCAGATCGACAGGAAGCGACACTTGGGCAACGACATTGTCATTGTTATATTCAAGGAGGGTGACACGCCCATCTCGCCCACGATCTTCAAGTCCAACTTCAATCACATCTTTGCCGTTGTGCAGGTGGACAAGGACAAGACGCGCATCAATGGCGGTGACACACATTACAATCTTTCGATATGCGTCAAGGATGAGATCATGTCATTTGGCCCCTCCTATCCCAAGTATCACAGTTTCACCAAGTCGGAGCTCAAGTCATTCCTGTTGACCAAGTTGATCAATGGCGAGCGATGGGTACTCAACTCACCAGTGTTTGCTCAAAAGTTCTTGAGGACCAGGCGAGAGTTCCTTCAATCCTACGTCAACGAATACTTTGAATCATAACCATCTTCATCTTCATTCATTAAAGCATTGTAAATTATATTATATTCACAAGATGGTCAATGTTTCCGACTGTTTTACCGAGAGTGTTTCCGTGTTCCCGCATTCGGGCTATTCCCTCACTTTTCATTCATTCATTCATTCACTTCAACATCATCATTCAAACAAATAAAATGGAGCTATATCAACAGGACAATGGTGATAGAGAGGTGACACTCAATCAAATTGTATTGTTCAAGATATTTAGTTACGCATGGCATTCAGCATCAAGACCAAAGAGATGTTTGGAGGCACATCGTTGGCGACTATCACTCTCACTCATCAATTGGAAGACACATCAACTCGTCTCAACAGTACTCAATGATACACTACGTTTCCAAATCTACAATCTACTCAATCAAGCTGTTGTCAATCATCACATCATCGTCAGCAACAACGACACGACAATGACAACAACATCATTCAATCGATATTCACTGGTACAACGACCACTACGTAGTCTGACCATCAGTAAATTTCATCATCCCTTCTCAGATATAAGATACAGGTCATCGGAGGAGAGACTCGAGAATGAGCGTCTCCAGCGTATCACCGAATTGGCAGCATTCAGATCACTGCTCAGCACAAGTTTGGAGCATCTCTCCACCGAACTGGACCAAATCAATGAGTTTCTATCATCGGACTTGAACAAACAAGGAAGTCTGACATCGATCATTTCCACAAACGACGACGAGGAGTTTCCCAAAGAGTTGGCACGACTGGCACATGAACGTATCCAATCACTGGTCCTACACACTGCTACGATTGGAGATAGAGGAATCGAACCACTCTACGATCTCCTCGAAAGTCCATCACTCTGTAACTTGACATGCTTGAAGTTGATCGACACAGATGTCATGGGTGGGCTCAGCTATGACCTCACTCAAGATTGTGAGGATTTATTTGACAGTCTCTTGAACAATGCATTCCAACTCAGTTACCTTGAGCTGAGTCTGGAGTTCTACCCCAATGACTACACCGAGCATGATATGACAACTTTCGAGGTGGCCCTGCTCAGGTATCTCAAGAGCGAATCATCACTCAGAACATTCAAGTTCAATCAATCTTTGAATGATGAAGACAAGGAGATCAGTCGATACCTATTCCAATCAGCACCATCATCAACACTCACCAACCTGAGCATTGGATTCCTTCAATGTCCATCATTTGCCATCACAAGACAACTGGATAAGCTCGAGTTTGAAGATTTTCATCGACGAATTGAAGATGAAGATTATAATGATGAGTTCATCAAGTCGATTGATCAACATGTTCGACACTTCAAGACATCAAACTGTGAATTAATCATAAAGCACAACATTCGAACAAGTATCATCACAACGGACTTTATCGAGATGATCGACACTAAATCAGAATCAATGTGTACATGGTTGAAGGACAATGACCGCACTCAATACATCTACAACACATTGAGAGACCAAATTGAACGAACTGGAATTAAGCCAAACATCAGCGAATTCAACGCAATCATCCAACAACATCCATCAATAATCAACAAGTCAACATGGAACTGGTGTACCAATGCTGTAGTTGATGAATGGTGATGATTGATTGATCTTGGAATGGTTCCAGTAATCAATCTAGATCGGAACCATAATGTATTTATTAATTAATACCAAGACCTGAAAGGATTGTTGAAAAGGCGCGAAATTTGAAATTTCAAACTAATTCAAACAAATAAAGATAGTTATAATGGATGTAGGAAGAGATAAAGATAATGATATAGAACAGGGGATAAAGGATATAGGAGAGTTACTCAAGTCTGGTCGTCATGTCGGTGTGTCAAGAGCATCAGCATCACTCTTGCAAAAGTTGGACGATGATCACTCATCAAACATCAACAACAACATCAACAACCAGAGGAAAGACATCTATCGCATCAAGTTGAATTGCATGTTGACAAAGAGTGCACTTAGACAAAAGAACATTGAAGGTGCACGTGAGCCTATGAGAGTGGCCAACAAGTTGTTGGGTGGACTACTCAGCGTTAGGGACTTCAAGAGAGACAACAAGATATTGGTTCAAGAACTCAAACATCTACTGTTCATCACAAACTATGAGTTCTTTCGAGATGACCCTCGGACCAAAGAGACAGACAAGAGATTGCTGGAATGTCTGATAGGTGCAGAGAGTTGTGCATTGTCCTTGATCCAGGCCAATCGATCAGACAGCAACATGTTGTTGGAGTGTAGCGAGCGATACACAGACACCTGTCTCACACTGGTCGATCATCACCTGTCAATGAAACAGTATTCAATGGCAATGGAGTATATTATAAAGGTGGTCAACAAAATTGGTATGAACATGAGTGATGTATGTTTGGTTCAACAGCATGCCAAGGCAATACAACTCAAGATTCATTGTTATAAACAGATACATGCTGCGTTGTCCAGGATGCCATACTGTGCCACAGACAAGCATGTTGTGGATGATCAACTCTTTGATGTTGAGCAACACCTGGACAAACTGGACTCGGATCACATGGCCACACTGGATATGGTCATTCAATCATATCAATTGAACATCAAGTCGGTCAACAAGAAGAAGAGGACATTGGACCAGGAGCACGAGACACCCATGTCGCCTGAGCGAGTCACATCGCCAGTCAAGCCGAGTGCCACCACCTCCAAGTCCACTTCCTCTACTTCCGCTCGCGCACCAACCACCCCCACGCGTCCTTCCACACGTAGCTCAACATCTACGACGACAACGACACCTGGTGGCGAATCATTGGCAGAGAGGAAGAGCAAATTGGAGAGCTTGAGGAACAAGAAGGTGGACAAGGACAAGAAGAGGAACTTGCCAATCGAGGTGCCGTCAATTGATCAGGTGTTGCTCACTGTTAGCCAATCGCCACACAAGAGGATACGACGCACGGACAACTTGGAATTCCCATCAAAGTATGAATATGGTATCGATCCACTGACTGGCGAGACAATTGTTTTGGACAAGAACACTGGCAAACTCATTCAATCATACAAGGGTATGGAAGACTTTGTTGAGAATGACGCACCATCCATCATCTCCAAAATGTACGACAATGATCAATCACACAACAATCAAGACTTTGATCCGATGGGATCATTAAACCCTGATGACCTGGATGAGAATGGCAATCCAAGACCATACGCAACCGATCAGTTCATTGTGGATGACGAGTATGGTGATGGTGATGATGATGAGTTGGAGCCACCCTCACCAACAATCATATCATCGTCATCAACCAGACATCGACTCAAGAAGATGAAGAAGACACACGTTGTTGATCAAGGCCCACCAAAGAGATTGAGAAAGGCAACACCAAGCAGCGTTGGTGGAGTCTTCAAACCAATAGACCTTGATGGTGTTGAAGTATTATCATCTTCAACATCAACAACATCATCATCTAAAAATCGCAAGGTATGTACACCCCGCCCCCATCCCTGGAACTATTCCAGCCTAACCTAGAGTCCAACACACTCACAAACATAGTCATTGTACAAGATATATCATAAACAAGAAGTGATCAAGAGGATTAAGGAGGATATTGATGAGGATGAATATGGTCAATACGAGAGAGTGGCACTTGATTTCAAGAGATACGATGACAAACCATTTGATATAACATTCAATCATTACAATCTACCGGATGAGATTGGTGTCGCAGTGTTTGAGACATTGTCACAGGCCAGCAAGCCATTCCAAGAGTTTGACTACTCTGTCAACCAGATTGGTACTCAATCAATGCAGTCATTCACCAAGTTCCTGGCGCTCAACATACATACCCTGACCACACTTTTGCTATCTGATTGCCAGATCACTTCGAAGCAATTCAACAAACTCTTTGGCGAGGATGGCATTGCTCAACTTCAATGCATCCACACGCTGAACCTAACCTCAACAACAACAACCTTGACGATATTGACAAATTCCCAAAGTGTCCTGCATTGGAACAACTGTACGTTAATCATTGCCAACTCACCGATCGCTCATTCAGTGTCGCGCTCAAGGCACTCAACACCTCGGCGTCACCTTTGAAGACACTATCATTCTCGTCCAACTCGGGTCTGACGGCCAAGGGCTTGATCGAGTTGAGCAAGGCTCCATTCATACCAACACTCAATCATCTGATCTTCCAGAAACTCAATGACGTGGCACGAATGACTGTGAATGCCGTCGGACCACTCCTCAAGCGATCGGTCTCTTTAGAGCATCTGGACATTGGTCACAACACAATCGGCAACGCGGCATTCGGCACGATCACCTCACTCATCACCTACAGTGTCACGGACGACACGTTTGGATGTCAACTGCGCAAGCTGGTCTTCGATGGCATCGGACTCGAGCATGGCTTTGACTATGACTGGCTGCCAAAGTTGCTCAATCTGGACTCGTTGCACATCTCTCGCAACAACATTGGACTCTACGTCGAGGGACTGTCACGATCAATCCAATCCTCACCCAACTTGACATATCTCGAGATGACAAGATGTAGACTACCCAAGGCTGGCTTGACATTTGTTCTCTCAAGACTGCCGACCAAACTTCAACGTGTTGACCTGGCACAGCAGTATGACCAATATGACAACACATCAGCCAGTGATGATATAGACACCAGTTTACTGCACATCAACAAGTTATCTAGACTGCCCGATAATCTGGTGTCGGTTGACCTCCGAGGCAACCAGTTGGCGCATGACGATGGACTCATCAGTGCACTTCTGGGATGTAATCATACAATGCCACTGGATGTCAAATATTGATCATTCCATTCCATTACATTCCGTTGCATTGGGATCTATCTGATATTGTACAACCCAGTTCAAGACATTAAGTTGTAGACTTGGGATTGATTGATTGATTGGCGCCAAACGTAATGCACTACCCACCTCCCCGTAATTACAATGCAACAATGACAATAACAAACAGCCGATAGATTTATAAATAATTATTTATTATAACCAAAACACAAAGATGTACATAAGATATCGATTGTCGTTTGTTGGTTGAATGACTAACTGTCTGATTGGTGGCCTGGTGTATCAAACAATGCCTGGTGGACCCAATAAATGAGACACGAATTGTTTTTGTTTTTGCATCCTTGTTGGTGTGTTTTGGTCAACGAACAACACGTTTATAATTAAACTTTAAGATACTTTGAGATGTGGTGATGGTTTGCCGAATAGATACTCTTGACAGGTAGGTTACTGATGGTCGTGACCCGAGATGAAGAATGGATGGCCTTCTCTCAGAGTAGATCATCAACATTCTCCCTCACTTGTTCATTCATTCATTCTTTCATTCATAAACACACACAACACACAACACACACTCACCACACTTATATCTTAAGACAACGATCGATTATAACTTCAAACACAGTTAGTTGTCAACACACTACATACTCAACTCGAATTGTACTGTCATTCATTGTTCAAGAACATATAGAATATAACATAGAAATAGAATGGTCAGCGCTGAGGCATTGGGTTTTATAGGTGCTGGTTTCGCCACAGTATTCTTTGGAACAAACTATGGTACATATCAATCATTTGATAATGTGATCTGAGACCCTTGATCCAGAATCCAATCCAAACTCAGACATCAACTAATATCAATACAATAATCATTAGTACCTGTAAAGAATTATCCAACAGGAAATGGACTGGCGTTCTCATGGGTGTTGTCAGTTGGAATCTATTGTGTTGGATTCATTGCGATGTTTGTGTCGAATAACTATATGTTTGACCCTTGGGGAATACTTGGTGGCTCACTCTGGTCGATTGGCAATCTTTGTGTCATCCCCATCGTCAACACCATTGGTCTAGGTCTTGGCCTGCTGCTGTGGTGCTGCTCAAGTCTCATCGCAGGCTTCTTCACTGGCAAGTTTGGCTGGTTCGGTCTCGAAAAGCAGGCCGTGCCACACACCGCTCTCAACTGGATTGGCTTCAGCTGCATTGTCGTAGCCATCGGTTTCTTCTTCTTTATCAAACCCACTCTGAAGCCAATCGCCAAGAGCAGCTCGTACGTGCACCTCAACGAAGAGACCGTCGAGGTCGAGGAGAGGACCTTCTTTGAGAAGATCCCTGCACCCTACAACACAATGATTGGCATCGGTTTGGCCATCTTCTCAGGACTTTTGTACGGCACCAACATGGTGCCCATGCAGCTGTGGAAGCAAGCACACGCCACCGCCAGCCCATTGGAATTTGTGTTCAGTCATTTCAGCGGCATCTTCCTGTTCAACACGGCTGTCTTTGTTCTGTACAGTGTGATCAGTCGTCCACCCCAGATCTATCCTCAGACCATCCTGCCATCATTCGTCTCTGGTGTCCTATGGGGCATTGCCCAAGTTGGCATGATGGTGGCCACACAGAACCTTGGCTACACCATTGGATTCCCAATCGGATCTGCTGGTCCAATGATTGTCTCTTCACTTTGGAGTGTCTTCTACTTCAAGGAGATCCAAGGCAAGAAGAACCTCATACTCCTCGTCGTCTCTTTCCTCATTCTCGGTGCTGGAATCACAATGATCACTCTTTCCTCATTCAAATAAATGATTGCCAGATTGGCAACCAACGCATACCATTCCCCATTCCCTCAATCATGATGTTATATTTATCTCTGTTGTTTAAAGTTTATTATTAATCATGTTGAACTTCCTTGATCAATCAATCAACCAATGGGACCCTATTTAGTTCTCTTCTGGCCAGCTTTGGCCTTTGACAAGACCTTGTAGATGACGTTGTAGAGTATGCCAAAGACTACGTACATACCACCGCCAATGGCACACACCGAGGTGATCAGCTCGACAAACGGTTTGGACGATTGATCCACCTCGATCATCAGAGGCGACATATCATACTTGAAGTACAGGCCAGGGTTTGTGAATCGCATTGGTGTGATTGGCGTGTACTCGCTGGTGAATGAGTACTGGTTGGTCTCGAGCACGTACTCGTTCTGGCGGTAGATGGTGGGCACGACCTGGATGTAGTAGGTCTGCAGGCCAAGGCCGTGAGTGAGCACGCCGTAGCCTTCCAGCGGGTTGACGAGTCCCTCCACGTGGTTGCCAAACGAGAACTGGTGGATGTGATGCGAGATGTTGAACTTGTGCAGTCTCTTGAGCTGGTCGTGTGTGAACTCGTGCACGTGATGTGAGTGGCCTTGATGCTGCTGCTCGACGCCCTTGCCCGCCAGCATATGAATGTCGCCCTTCATCTTTTGAACTGACAGAGTGCCGTAGATACGACAGCCCTCGTCATCATGCTCGGGCTCACGGATGAGACATTGAGGTGCGAGATCGGCAATGTGCTGGGGCACCTTGTTGTTGCGATAGAAGCTACGAAGACTGTCACAGTCATTGCAGCAGCGCTGCGCCGAGATGACCGAGTACTTGCCGGCGGGCAGCTGACAGGGCACACAGGCAAAGAAGCCAGGGGGTGGGTTGGAGGGATCGATGATTACGCCGTGCTTGTCCAGACGTTCGCGCACGAGCTGGAAGGCGGCGTCCTTGATGGGGCGGCCGTCGATGCCGTCCACCGACTCGACGTTGATGTCGGAGCACACCAGGCTCGGGAAGTGAATGTCAAGGTTGATCTGCAGACGATTGCCGCGCGTGATGTCCACTCTGAGCGAATGGTTTCTGATTGGGAATGTGTAGTAGTACATCTCGGAGCACAGCAGGAAGAATGTAAAGATGAGGCAGATCGTCGTGGCCATGCCTCCGTACACAGTCTTTTGCAGGGGCACCGACTCGTCCAGTTTGGGATAGAAGTCGAACAACTTGATCGTCTCGACCCAGTTGTTATTGGAACTATCATTATCGCCACTATTGTTATAATTTGGATTGCTACGGTTACGTAGTTGTTGTTGTTGTGGAGGTAGTTGTTGTGGAGGTGAGTATGTTGGTTGTTGTTGTTGTTGTTGTGGGGGTGAGTATGTTGGTTGTTGTTCTTGGTATTGCTGTTGATGTGTGTAGACGCCGCCAACAGGTGAGGTACTGGCATTACCTATACCTCCTGCAGTGTTGGCATTATAGTCATCGCTGCTGTTGAAGTTCTCCATTGTGAATTTATAATGTTGGTCTTTGATTGATTGATGATTGATTGATGATTGAGAGTGTCCACCAATGCAATACACTTGATCAGTCAGTCAGTCGCACCTTGCTTCACTAAATAGCTATATATAGTTGTAGGGATTAATGAATGAATGGTTATTGATTGTTTGATGTTGTGTGGCAATCAAAGACTCTGAGGTGTTAGGGGAGTGGCAAGTTCTGATCAAAACTGATGATCAAAAGTCAAAGGTCAACACACCTTGACTCATCACCCCCACACAACCAATCAAACGATACTAGTAATCATGTGATAGAATGGACAGTGTCCAACTTGTCTACTTCCAACCAATCAACCAACCAATCGATCAATCTCTCCACGCATGCCACGCCAACCAATCACCGTTTGAGTATATCGGTAATTTTATTCCTTTGTGCCAGCCAAGATGAAGAGACAAAGAATGATACTTGGAGATGTGCTCTCTAGTTGTTTCCAAAGATACGTAGTCGGATGGCTGGTGGCAAGACTGGGAACACTTGCTCCATGTATGGCAGCTCGCATACTACCAACTCTTTGCTTTGCGTCAGACCGACGGCGTAGACATCGTCGATTCTCTTCTTGGACTCGATATCCTTGTGACCATTGCGCCATGAGCACACGTAGGTGTGATCGGTGTGTGTCCACATCACCATTGTCTTGAGCGGGTCGGTTGGACTGGGTGTGATCTGTATGATTGGATCTGCGCTGCCGAATGCGTAGGGCACTTCGAATTGGCCGATGTTCTTGAGCTCGGCGGCATCATAACGAATGATTGATGTGGTTGTGGCGATCGTCAGTTTTGCACTGTCTGGCTGGAAGGCCAATGCTGAAATAGGATCGTTCGATGATGGTATCGTGATGACAAACTTCTCATTGATCGCATCAAACAACAATGTGTTATTCCTGGCGTCCACCAACGCCACATACTTTCCACTCGACTCCACAGTCATCATCAATATTGATGTTGGTGATTCTGGAAATGGTTGATTGATGTTAGTAATTGATTGATTGAGTGAGTGGAATAGTTCCATGAGTGATGGTAACCTTACCCTTTCGCTTGGTGCTCTGGATCTCTTTAATATACTTGGGTGTGTTAGATTGGATGTTGTAGCATGTGATTGAGGAGTTGGAAGCGAGGATGAGTTGGGTGGAGTCGGTTGTGAATTGGATGCAGTCGGCACCCTCGAGTGTCTTTAGTCTGTGCATGGACACCTTGGTGAGATCGGCGCTGTCCACCTTTAGCTGGTACAGCTTGGTGTTCTGTGTGGTGCAATAGGCCATGTACTGTCCGTCCACTGATATTGCCACCTGTCTAATGAATTCCTTGTCCTTGATGTCAAACTGTATGAGTCGACGAGCCTCCTCGTCGCATGGAAGATGGCTGCCGGCGGGCAGCTGAGCCAGGGAGCCCTGGTCGCCGGTCTTGCCCAGCGCCCACACATTGATTGATGAGCGTGCGGCATCAACAATCAGTGTACGCTCAGCCGAGCTGGCGATGGAGAAGAGGCGGGCGGGGGGGTACGAGCGCTGGAACACGCCCTTGCCGCCATTCATCTTTTCAAAGTTCCTGATGTTTGTGAAGCGAAGCTGTGTGTCAAGGCCACCCGAGAGCAGCAGGCCCTTGTTGGCCACGGACAGGGCGAATACGTCGTGGGTGTGGCCACGATGCAGACCGTTGAACACCCATCGGTCGTCGTCCTTGACAAACATGACGATGCTGGGGTCGTCACCCGAGGCAAAGAACTTCTTCTTGCCCCTGATCACAATGCTGCGCACGGCACTGATCAGCTGGCGGAACTCGTGCAAAAGACTGCCAAACTGAAGGTCGTGGATTGTGACCAGGCCGCTCTCATGGCCACACGCCACGGCATCCTTGGACACGACGCAGATCGCTGTAATGTTGCTTGAGTGTGCAGAGAAGCGAACGGACATTGTGGCCAGCTCGTAGACGATGAGGTCGGTGTCTGTGCCCACGGTGAGTATCTTGTCGTCGAGGCCCCAGGCGACGCAGCGCAGGGTACCCTCGGTGACGCGTTGGAATGATCTCGAGAACTCGATGCGTCCGTCGTCATTGAAGCGATAGAGATGCACCACGAGACTGCTGCTGGCCACGGCGATCACCTGACCATCATGACTGATTGCACCATCGACCATATCACCACCAAACGAGGACAATGATTGAACCTGAGTCATCGTATCATAGTCCCATAAATATATATGATCCTCTGTCATCGATACCAATCTAGGTGTATTCTGTACTGTAGTAAACATCAACTTTATAACTTTGCCATCAAACTTTATGCCTCCAAGTGTCTGTTTGTCATTCCCGAATGATTGATTGGTTTGATTGAATGAGTGAGTGAGTGATTGAGTGAGTGAGAGTGATCGATGTATACATACTGCAGTGTGTATATAATGCTTTGAACCGATTGACCATATCTCGATTGTTGAGTCGTCACGACCTATGGCTGCCAATGTTCCATCATCGTTTGTTGCGATCGCTGTGATGGCTGATGGTCTCCAACTGGAGAATCTACATCTGTGTACTACTGCTGGTGTTGTCATTATGTTATAATAATATAATAATTTATAATATTTTAATACTACTTATTATTTATCTCTTTCGTGAATGAGACGAACCCTTCAAGAACTTGAATCAAACTTGCAAAACACTCTTTCGTTCGTTTTTTGTCTTCACTTTCACACACACTTTTTGTGATTTATTATGCAAAACGTTACTCAATCAATCACATCATACTTGAAGATGATGAAGAATCATTATGATTGACCAATGGTACAATTAGATCGGTACCAGGCATTCGACTAAACATTGATGGACATTGAGTGTTGAGTGTTGATGTTGTTGGATTGGGCTCAAATCCAATCTGGAATAATACCCATCCAGATCCATAGGGATACATGCAGATGGCAAGGGCAGCGGTGAGCAGCATCAGGTAGAATGTGAGGAATCTATGCATTGTAGCTTGTGTACGGTATGGTGGACGACATATCTTGATCATCCTATACTTGTCAATGTAAAAGTCCACCACTCCACATATTACACCAATGATTGTAACGAATGGATATACTGGCATGCCCATATAGATGATCAACTGTCTAAACAATATTTCCACATACTCCTCTGCCAGATCAAACTCTGCTCTTCTATCATTATATGGAGTATTCCTCTTAAACAAACCAAGTACCCTTGGGTATCCTGCAGAGTAGACTACTTCCCAAACATTCTGGATCTGGTTGATTGATTGATTGATTGATTGATCGTTTGGTTAGTTGAGAATTGGGGGGTGGAGGTGGAATAGTTCCAGGACTTACTGTTAGGTCAATTAGTAGTAGTAAGAGGAATTGGGAACCAACGTCTATAAGTGGACATGTGTCTTGGATTGTTTCATCGGTGTAGTAGGAGAAGATACGTGCGTGGAAGATGTAGAGCATGATAAGATTGACAACTTTGAATACATATAACTTGATTGTGTTGTGTAGACGGAATTGAGTCCAAGTAATATGCTTCTCAAACATTGTCAAGAATAAGCTGCCCACCTCAAAGACTGCATTGATTCCTTTTAATGAAATTGAAGCCACAAGTGAAGTAGTTCTAAATGATTGATTGATTGTGAGTGGAATCATTCCAAAGTTGATCATCTATATCAATGGGGAATATATTACTTACATTATACCGGCTAGGAAGTCACGTGGATAGTTGTTTCTTAGTTTGACCGCGTAGAAGTTGGCTACTCCAGACACGATGAGGATGATGACGCAGATGATCCAGCAAATGAGGATTCGAATTGCTCGTGACAACCATGATCCACCAATGCTTGTCTTAATAAAGTCATTTTTTTGGTTGGTCATCCTACATTGTTGGGTATATCCACGTATAATTAGAGAATATCCAAATGTCATCAAGAAACTGATGACCATCGCAGACAGTGTAGTCCAGAAGTAGATTGGTTGTGATTTAGCCTCAACGTATGATTGTACATTGATGGCTACCAATATGTAATCCAATGGACGTAATGATTTGAACTGTCCAGCTTTGGTCTCATAGTAAAGATGTGGTATGATGTTGATGAGGACCACTCCAAACATGATCAAGTTCATCCAATTACATGCTTTGGCAAAGTCAAAGTATAGATATACACCTGGTCCATATGTCTCCTTTATATCCTCCATCGTGCATGACATTGTCAAGTTTGGCTCCTCTGTATGTTCACCATCCCCCAACAAGTATGGTTGTCCATGATCTGTATAAGCTACCTCCCCTCCATCAGTGTCCTCTGCTCCTCCATATCCAAACTCTTCCATTTCGATCTCATTATTCATCTTTGATTGATCGATTGATATATAAATATAATAATGAATGAATGGATTGATTGATTGATTGATTGGTCAATCACGTGACTTGGTAGATGTTTGCAAAATTTTTGATCACTTCATTCGTGAGTGATTGAGTTTGCAAAAACTGAATTACATGATGGAACAACCTTTTTTGGTGAATGAGAAGATGCTATTGTCAACGATAGTGTCGTTGTTGGCAAAGTCCCATACTCGAACAGTCTTGTCATAGCTGCCACTGATGATCTTGGTATCATCAACATAGATACATCTTATCATCGATGTATGGCCTTTTGAGCAAGTATGATGAATCATGTTGTTGGTCTTGAGCCGATGATGACGATGATGATCCTAAGTTTGTACTACGATTCCAAACATGTAAGTTACCATCCAATGACGCACTGACAATATTATCCTTATTCAAGTGCAGATTGGATATTGGATGAGTGTGTCCTGTGTAGCTCTGCTCAGCCGCGCCTGTATCCAATCGATAACTAGAATGAATGAGTAAGTCGGCAGATGTTAGACCAATACCAGACGATCACAGTCAAACAACCGCCCAAGGGGAAACATACCATTGGACCTTACTATCACCAGATCCAACAACAATCATGTTGTGACTGGGTTGTACTTTGATACAGTAGAGTGTTGGAAGATGGGTTATTGAACGAACGCACGTGCTCTCTCGGATGTCCCATATGTTGATGAATGTGTCGCCGCCTCCACTGGCAATGACATTGTCCTGCAGGGCAAAGCTATTAATCACCTTGTTATGTCCGTCGAATGATTTCACCAGTTGGCCAGTTTCCACATCAACCAAATGGAGTTGATTCCCATTGCTTGCCAGCAAGTGTTGTCTATTATGCTCGCACCATTCCATCTTTAATGCTGTTGGCTTCTGGAACCTTATAGTCTGTACCAATTTGTCTTGTTTGGAGTGGAATGTAAGTTCAATGATCGAGTGTGAGTGAGCGAATGGATACATACGTTGCTTCATATCCCACACCTTGATGGTCTTATCCTTGGAGCCACTACAGAAGATGGTGGAGTTGTAGTTGGCCTTGATGTCACTGATGTAATATTGATGGCCACGCTCGCTGTATACTTGACTACCAGTGTCCACATTCCAAACACTGACGGTACCACTCTTATTACCAACGACAACATTGTTGTTGGTGTAATCCAACTGCATACACTCAACTTGTCCACTATTGATTGTAAGTGGTGTCCTATCTAGACCACCGCCACTACCATCGTGTCCCTTGGCCTGGTCGGTGTTGTTGTCATTTCCTTTGTCGCCTTCATATGACCATACTTTGAGTGTACTATCATATGATGCACTAATAACCTTTGTACCATTGAACAATACTGCTGATAATGGTTCAGTGTGACCAGTCAACAATGTTGTACGACATGATCCACTTTTCCAATTCTCTCTTGAAAGCCTCAATGCCCTCAACAGGCCTCTATATTCTACATCATTGTTGGTCTATTCCATCAATCATGTCAGTCACTCAATCAATCAATCACATACTGCCTGATTCATCATGTAATGCACTTACCTTAAAGTATGGTGGTGGTCTGTTGAATGATCGTCGTTGAAGCAATGCCATCCAGATGTCATTCACAGTGATCAACTTGAGAAGATGTTTACAGGATTGTGACAGATGCGCCAGATCCCACTCATCCAAGTATCCAAAGATACTGATTATGATCTCTGATGGCAGTGATTTAAACATCCCAACAACATCAGTGTTGGCATCCATCACTGTTGAGCCTGTGGATGATGTGGCGGATACAGGAGAAGGAAGTAGGAGTTTACTCAGCCTGCCGACCACATCATCATGGTCATGAGCATCATTATCAAAGTCATTGGAATTGCCTAGTTGAATACTCATTCCATTGGATATTGTTGTTGTTGTTGTTGTTGTTGTTGTTGTTGTTGAAACCAGATGTTTTGGATGATCATTCTTGAGATCATAGTTGTTGTTGTTAATGTTGGCGGTATCATCGCCTCCTTCAATTTGTTTGTTATCGACCATTGTCCAGAGACCTGATCTGACCTTGCCTCCCTGTATACGTATACAATTATATTATATTATATTTTTAATCTCTGTTATTAGATTATTAAAGTGTGTTTTGTTGTGTGATTAGTTGATCAGGCGACTGTTTGAAGGGGTTCAGTCATCAAATCTGATTAGTGGTTGAGTGCTTGTGTGTGTTTGTCGGGTGATCGATCACTTGTGTGTGTGATCAGCTGTGGACGTTGATTACTCTTATGTTAATGACAACGAATAATAGAACAACAAATAAACACTTGATGTGATAGTACTTCTTTGTCCACTTGTTAATGCGAGGAAGAGACCATGACCCAGAGCCCATACCTGGTTGGGGGTTGTGATTGATGAATGATAGGTGTTGTTTATGTATGTATGTATAGACGCCTGATCGACTTGCTCACTAGTGTACTATCTCATATTAGATGGCGATGGTGATTGTGTTGCAGGCTATAAGATCCTTGGATCACCGATCACCTCACATTAATCTTAAGTAGCCCGATATCAGCATTCATTCATTCTTTCATTCAACTGCATGTACCAAGGTACTTATAACAAAGTAACTGAAGTTAGATCACTTCCAATGACCATTGGTTAATCAATCATTATTCATCAATAATATAATATATTTATATTATCCAACTTCACAATGACCAATCAACAACAACAACAACAACAACAACAACTACCAATAATAATACAAGGATTTATTATTCAATGGACTACAGAGTATGATCCAACACCTTATACATTGATAAAGTTGGCATTGGTCTGTAGACAATGGGCTGCCACACTGGTACCAAACAACTTTATATCGATCAAGAGTGGAAACTTCAATCTGATAAAGAGATTGTCAACAAAGCCAATAATCAGAGGTTATCCAGACAGCAGACCATGTACATTCTACAATATCCAAATCACTAGAGGTGCCTCCCGCTCATCGTTCATCGTCACTTCACCACCTACACATTCTCCATCATCTGCCATACCCAGTCCGCCTCCACAAACAACACAACAACTACTGCCGAGAGTGCCCAGTGGAATCGAAGCCAATACAATGGGCCAGCTATCGAATGGAAACATGCTACAATATGTTCGCCAATCGAGTTGTATACAAAGCTTTTCATTGATCAACTATAATCTTGAAATAGAACGCAACATTGGTGGAGAGATAAGTGATGTTATAGCTTTGAACAAGTCTAATTTGACCAAGTTGGAGTTGGTAAATGTGGACCTGGCATCCAATGGCTCCAGTCAGATTATCAAAGCGTTGCTACTTAATCATCACTTGACCGAGTTGAACCTATCTCGTAACTTTATGCGTGAGAAGGATGCCATTGCAATTGGACAAGTGATCAAAAGTTCATCATTGATCAAGGTCAACCTCAGCTTCAATGAGTTCAGGTTATCCGGCGTCAGAGCCATCATAGAGGCCCTATCAAACAACAAGACCATAAGGGAGATCAATCTAGAAGCAGTATGCCATATGGATTGTCCTGTAACACCAAAGATGTCATCATCACAGAACAGCCCTGTAACAATATCAACCAACCTCTTCTTGAATATAAACTCAATGGCTCCAACAACATTGTCCAGCAGCTTCTCTGCATCCTCAGTTGGCACAAGTCCCAGCCTATCACCAATGCTACTTGGCTCTTCTTTCGATCCATTCACAAGCAGACGCGCCCCAGCATCCAACAGCTCCCCTACATCATCATCATCAATATCAATGGATAGTGGACTTACCGAGGCTATCTACAACCTAAAGACAAACACATGTCTCACATCAATCAACCTCAGCCACAACACCTTTAGCAAACAAGTCAGCGTTGCACTGTCCGAGTTGGCTCAGTCCTGCCAATCAATCACCAACCTTCAACTTAACAATCTAAAGCTTGATGACGATTGTGGCCTCAAACTAGGATGTGCCATCAGAGATACAAGGTCATTATCAAGACTATCACTCAATCACAATCATCTTGGAAGGGAGTCCGTAACAGAGTTGTCCTTCAACATGTGTCTCAATGTATCCATCACAGAGTTATACTTGTCCAACAATATGTTTGGTGATGATGCTGGATTGGACCTTGGCAACATGCTTGCCGCCAACAGGACACTGGAAGTTCTTGACCTCTCGGACAATAACATTGGATCTATCGGTACCAAGTCAATAATGGATGGTCTACAGATCAATACATCATTAAGACGACTTGTATTTAACAACAACAAGGCAGGTGATCTGGGTGGCGAACACATGGCAACAATGCTCAGCAAGAACAAAACCCTGAGAGTACTTGAAGTGTGCACTAACAACCTCAGGTCAAAGGCCGGCAAGCACTTGGCCAACAGCCTGGCAACAAATAACAGCTTAACCTCTATAAGATTGTCCTACAACCTGATGCTCGAACATTCAGGTATCGTCAACGAGGACATCAAAGATTGCATCCAAGCCATATCATTGTGTGTCCAGAAGAACAAGACATTGATGTGTCTGGAGGTCGATGGCAATCACTTCCAAACAGCAGCCGTCCAAGAGATACAATCCTGTATGGAACGTAACCTTACAACATTGGTCAGAGGTGACAAGATGCCTGTTGTGCAACCACAACAAGGCAGGACATGGAAGGTTGGAAGAAGAAGACTGGACATATCCTCGTTGGGCCTTCTTTAATTACCAAGACAACCAAGATATAACTCCACGTAATACATAGATATGTTTATATATGTTACAATTGTTCAAACTGATTGGTTGATTGACTGATTGACTGATTGATTAACTGATTGATTGCTTGGTTGGTTGTCATTCATTGAATTGCTTGCTTGTCTTGCTTACTAGCATGACATGGCCTGGCATGTGTTGGTGTTGTTCTTGTTCTCTTACTTGTTTACTTGCTATGTTGCTTACTCCTTGATCTCTTCGACGTAGTTCTGTGGCACGAATCCAGTCACGCCATTGAGCTCGGCAAACCACCATCCACTGGAGTCCTGCTCACTCACGGTCAGGATGTCGCCCTCCTTGAAGCTCAACTCAGTGTCGCACGATGCCTCGTATTCGTAGAGACCACGACAACGGACCACTCTGCTGCTGGCGGCTGTTGCGCTGGCGCCGCCATCGCCTCCACTCGCAGGCGCACGGCTCAGATCCTCCACCTGCTGTGTGACCAAACGCTGAGACTCTTTCAGCGCGGCGATTCTCTTGTCGGCCTCAACAAGCTCGTTCTCTGACTTCTTCTGCTCCTTTGGATCGTTGGCGTAGAACTGTACCAACTTCTCAATGCCTGCTCTAGCCTGAATCTCCTGCTTTATCGTGTTGGATATCTCATTGATCTGTGCCTCTAGCTTCTGAAGCTTCTGATCTGGATTCAAGCCAGCGTCCTTGGCTGTGAGTCCCCATTCCTTTGTTTGGTTGATTGAGTCAGTGAGTGCGTCGTGTCGAGTTGCCAGGGTTCGAGGGACCACTTACCTTTTGGTTCGGTCCAGATGTCTTGTAGGAACCGATTCTAAAGTTGTTGGATGGGGAGGCAGGTTGAGCCTCACCATCGAATGGATAGTAGTCGATGGCTGGAGGTGGTGTGACGTTGGTCTTGTTGTCAGAGACCCACTGTCTAATGTCAGCATCTTGATCGATGGCGTCAGCAGCCTGATGAATGGCCTCGCATGCATGAGTGACAACGGGTGGTATCTCCTTAATATATAGTGCCACCTTTTGCATTATGTCCTTTGATGCTGCAATACGCTCCTCCTCAAACAATTGGAACTCCTACGATTGACAATGATTGATTGAATGAGTGAGTGATTGATCGAACGAATGCGTGAAATGATACGACATCCATCACATACCTTTAGGAGAGCTGGCATCTCATTGGTATAATATTCATTCTGCTTGGAGTTTGTAGCGCTGAGACAATCTCTGTACTCTTGGTCGGATTGGTTGGCCTTTTCAGAGGCCTGGGAGGCCTTGGTGCTGAGCTGGGACACCTTATCCTGCTTCATCTTTGGGTCGGCTTGACCCTTTGTCAAAGAAGTCTGTGCAAGCTCTGCCTCCTTTGACAATTTGTGATAGTTCTGTTTAGCCTTTGTCAATGAATCCAACTGTGTCTTCATATCCTTTGTCAACTTTAATCCATCGTTTGTCAACTGTTTGTTTGATCGATAGTTAAGTACGTAAGTATGTTTGATCACATAATTGATTGAATGATTGATCAGGTGATTATTACCTTCTTCCTAGTGTTCTCCTTATCCTTGACAAGCTTGTCGACTAGATTGGCCAAGTCGTTTGTCAAGTTTGAAAAGGTAGTATGTTGGTTACCAACGATCTCCATCTCATTCAATGTGATCCTCCATGACTCTTTCAATGATCTAATGAGTGTAGGAGTATGAGTGAGTGAGTGATTGAGTGTCTCTCATTCAAGTTGAGCGAAGTACTTCATGAACATACCCATCAAGGAATGGATTAGTCAACAACTTCTTCTGACCAGTTGACTTTACAAGTTTGAGCAAGTCCTTTGAGTATTCAGCCTCGAGTTGTGACAACTTCCTAAAGAAGCCACCCATCTCTGTGTTGCACTTGAGAACACCCTCTGTTCTCTTGTACAAGTTGTCAAAGCCATCGAGCAATTCAGTTGCGTAGCTCATCTTATATATGTATGTCTGTTTATAATTATTTGGTTTGATAAATTATTACTAACTAATATATAAATAGATATATATGTATATTTATGTATAAGTATAAATGAATGTGAATTGGATGTACGAAGTGATGGGGATGGGATGGGACCTGTCTACCTTCCTACCTTCCATCTCATACCATACCTGTGTTTGCAAACAACACAAAACAACCTTGATTTGGTTTCGCAGTAGGAGGGTATGTTTTTTGATCGCAAACAGATATTTGATTGGATAGTTTGGTCCTTGAGGACCACACCACAGAAAGACCTCTATTATTTTTTATCTGTTTGGGGGTGGGTCAACACAGCCAGCAAAGACTTCAATGCCATCGACCCAACAACTCGACGCGTCAACCCACGTACTAATCAGACATGGGTTCGTAAGTATCACCTTTGAAAGATAGTATCTTCACATGCTTATACCAACATCAACGAAACTGTCTCTTAATTCGAAAGTGAAGTAATATGACTTTGAAAGTAATTCGTTAGTTGTATTAATATTTGATTGATTGATTGTTTGAATGAAAGAAAGAATGAATCAAAGGCTGATAGTTTGATTATTAACGAGACATTTATTGCTAAGTGATCTTCAAGCAGTTAGGAGTGAACATAATCAATCATCATCGTCATTGTGGTTGGTCATTCACGAAACAAGATATTTTTTATCGTCATGGTCCTGGGCTGTACAAGAGGTCTTTAGTCTTTTAAGTAAGAGAGAAGGGCACACCTTGCTTGTGAACTCGTTAGCAGAGTGCCAGAGAGCATAATTGAATATTCACTTATCAAGGGAGGTGTGGGAGTCGTCTTCACACCTTTGCTCATCTTTGCAGATTTCATTTGAATGTTCGATCGCCACAGTCTTTATTGAACTTGTACCAATAGTCACTCACAATACACATACATACAATCAATCAATCAATCAATCAACATATACAAACAATAACAATACATTAGACAGATAATTAGATAGACAGAGAGATAATATAACAGATGTTGTGAACTCACCGACTACAACATCATCAACAACAACGATAATGATAACGATATCACTACCTAATGATTGTCATAATAATAGATGTTCGTTGGTGTTGACTCATTTCTGTGAGACTCATGGTCCTTCTGTTGTGTTTACTACACAGACAGAGTTTATACTGCCTTCGACTACAACATCACAGACAGACGATACATCATCATCAACTTCAAGCAGTGATGTCACCATCTCTTCGACGGGTTCATTATCTTCAACACCTCATATAATACGTCGTCCTCTAGTCAGTGTCAATGTCAATCATAATGTCAATGGAGTTGGAGTTGGAGATGGAGATAGACAAGATGATGATGATGAGGAGGACAATGGTGACGCGGCAACAGCAGCGGAAACAACAATCATTACATCATTGCCATCATTGTTTGCAGCAACAACAACAAATGTAAATAATGGCAATGGAGTTGCCAATGGGAATGGCATTGGACATGGCAACAACAACACGACAGACAACAACACTTCACAACAACAGCCTCATCAATATACACCATTACATACAATATATAACGAACACTCTGCATCACGACTTGGTGCCACTCATTCAGTATTGATTCCATCACTTTCCACCAACTCCAACATCAACAATGCGACTACATCATCATCAAGCCAATCATCACCTCTCTTAACATCATCAACATCATCAACTACATCAACTACATCAACTCACTCATCACCTACAAAGACGACAACAACAACAACAACTACACCACCAGCACGTTGTCCAACTTGTTCATCACTGCCACAGGGTAGCGGCCTTGTATCACAGGATGCACTCAACTCCAACCTTTACTATGTTAGCACGCATCAACCGTCCAACACTTCATACAGCCAGATACGTACAGCTTGTGTGCGATCATTGTCATGTGAGCTGGTACCAGGACGTGAGGGACCAGTCTACATTAGCAGCAACGACGGATACTTTCTCAGCTACATGTTCAAGGTGAATGACATCCGTGCAAGAGGCTCAGCGCGCTGGTACGGCTTCCTTTTCCTGCTGGGCGAGTCGTCATCGCTGGTCAACTACTTTAGCTGGATAGTCAGCTGTTTCCGATCGATGGCCAACGAGATGAAAGAGCGATCCAACGTGGTGTTTAAGCGCGAACAGTCCACACAGTCGTCGTCTCAGGCACTCTCAAATCTGATGCGTCGCGGACTTCGCTCTGTCCCATTGCGACCACTCACCGAACTGATGGAGGACCCAAACTTCTTCCACCGACTGCACAGCTCATTCAGCAGCATCCTATCTACATGCAATCTAAAGTACTTCCTTCTTCAGAACCAGCCATCAATGTTGGAGGAACAGGCAGCGCAACTCCAGGAACTCAAAGAGCGATATATGTATAATGGAGGTCGACTTGGCCCACTGCGAGGCCCACAAGACATCCACGCTCTGTTGGCCGAGAAGCTCAACGAGTCTGTCGTATTCCCCGTACCCCAAGAGCGTCTGCGGACGTTGGGCCAGGTGTACCGCATCACATCATCGACCAACCGTGCCAACGACATCTCAGTGTTGGTCTACAATATGATCGTTGGCAATCAGGTCGTTATACAGAGTCGTTCACCAGCACTGGCCGCATCACTTATCGATCTACTCAAGGAGTTGGTACCTCGCGAGTGCGTATCAATATGTTATTACTCCGAGACATTCAAAGAGATATGGGAGTGCAACCTACTTGGACTGAGTCCACGAGCGATCATTCCACGTCATGTTGATCGATCAGTAATCAACATGGTAGATATTGATTGTAAGTAGTAGTAATCACTCAATTACACTCATACATCAAGTCAATCAACTTACCATTTCCAATCCTATCAATCTAGATTATGACAAGTCACAGGAACCAGAGGACATTGATAGTCCATACCGATCAACAATAGAGATCACACTTAGTGGTCCACATCATACATCCACTCTTGGTCTGGCCATCGAGTCCATTCTGAGGCAAGACTTCCCTCCAGATGTAGAGCGCATGCATCTCCTAACACTGAGAGAGGAGTGGATAAAGTAAGTTGCTTACTTCCATTGCTAGATGTAAAGGACTGCACTGACATCCATCCAATCAATCCAATCAATCAAACAGTAAGACAAAGTCATTCTATGGTGTGCGATCAATCATTGAGAATGATAAGGATAAGAGATTGGTTAAGTTCCTACAGTTGATCAACTGTGGACACGAGAAGGACTTGACTATATTGATGTTCTGGACAGCTTGTTCAAGGAAATGGTTCACATCATTAGAACGAAGATTAAGTGTACTAAAGTAATAACTCATCAATGATGTTCAATAAGTGATAATGTACCTTTATCTATCTGATATTGGTACTTTATTGTTGTTGAATAATAGTATATATATCAATCATTCAATCAATGTCCGGCGCAAGTTAAGTTGGTCCATTGATCAATCAATCAATCCAAATCATTCATTGAGTGGCCACTCCAGTACTCTTGATGTCGCCACTTGCATATCCTGGTAAGTCCTTTGTGATGGGCTGAGTGGTAGGCTGGTCTTTGTCCAATCCACGTGCCGCAGCCTCTGTCGCAGCACTAATATCGATAAAGTATTGATTACATAGTTGAGCCACCTGTTCGATGGAGCCTGTCGAGTCACTGGCCAACTGAGCAGATGAGCAAGTTAGACCACCACGGTCACGTTGGGAAGGACATACTCCAGCAAAGCTATTATCTCCTACACTACTTCCACTACTATCCACGATCAATGATATAGGACCTCTTGAATCCATTCCAATATTATCAATAAGTTGTATACCATTCTTTGTTATAACATTGTAAGATTGATGATGACTATGTTGATAATGTTGATGATGACCATGTGTAGTAGTTGATGTCGAAGTGGTCGTTGTTGGAGTGGCAGGTGATAGTATAGCACCACATCCACAAGAGTTGTTTGTTGTTGATCCAAAGTATCCCATTGGTAAGTCTAATAATATGTTTGATTGGGAGTTAGTACATTGATCATTCCATCGATTGATAGAGTTGGAGTGAACCACTTACAATTTAAAGATGGATTATCCATTAACCATTTGGTTGCAGACATTATACGATTGGAGAGGAAGTTGGTATTATGTACTCCTCCCATTATGTTGTCCAACCTCTCCTCTTGAGGTGTAAGTAGTGCAAACATCATTGTTGCCAATCCATGACTATTAAATATCCTAGAGTATGCCATACTTTTAGGACTATTGTGGAATAAATGATTAATATATGATTGAATGATGTTGATGATTGATTGATAACATACCTGTATCGACTTGATCCACTTCCAAATGCAAATAGGATTATACCAACTGGCTGTGGAGGTACTGATAGAATTGCTTCTAACTTTACAAAGTCTTGTGAACTGAATGTTATATTCTTTTCCAGATATCCAATCTCTGGTGAATGTAATATAGGTGTGTTCTCCATTATAATAGTAATAGTATGTTTGTTTGTTTGAAGTTGAAGACAACTAATTGAAGTGGTCAATCAATCAATTATTGTTGGAATGGATATGAATGATATGATGTTGTAGTTGATGTTGTGATTGATGTTGATGATGTTGATGATGTTGATGATGGTCCACACATGTAAATGTTTGTTTTAAAGTAATTAATTAAATAAATAAATTTAAATTTAAATTTAAAGAGAGAGAGAGAGATAATATTTTAAATTTATCTCTTGTGGAAGGAAATAGTTGGGTAGGAAAATAAATACTAAAGGATAGGAATAAGTTTTAGGTTTGTAGAGCAGCATAAAATACAACTAAACCATTATGTAAATCAATACATCAAGTGTGAACACAATGCGATTGATCGTCTGGGCATCCATCCATCCATCCATCTATCCATCCATCCATCAATCCAGCCATCCCTCTTCCATCAATTCATCCTCTCTCTTTCTCTCTTCATCTCTCTTGGATTGGTGGTGCTGGTACTGCCATCTTCATCATGATGTGGTACGGACAGAGACATACACAACACAACACTTTCCCTCCCATTGTACCACAAACATATATATGTGTGTGTGTTGGAACCTCACTCACACCAAAGTCAAGTTCAATCATTCTGATGTGATGTTGCAACGAATGAATGAGGTGATTGATTATTTGTGTTGTGTGGTATGTGTGTGTGTGTGTGATGGTCAAGGTCCAGAGACGAGCAGTCAGTGTGTTGAATGATGTTAATTCAGTTCGGTCGAGTGTGATTGATTATCTGTGTGTAAGTGTGTGATTGTGGTTGCAATGCATTGAAACTATGAATGATTGTAGGATGCCACAATGGTTGGCTTGCTAATAACTCTTTGTATTCTAGCCATCTTCACTCATTCACTTCAGCCCATATGTATGTTCATACATGAATGATTGATTGAGTGAAGATACATACACTTTCGAAACAAACTTAGTCACTCTTTGAACTAAAGTAACGGAACCCTCCCATTGATTCAAATTACTTGTTAAAGTTTGTTTGGTCGAATAGTGTAAAGGTAATAAGTTGTAATATGTCAATAACTACATTGTGTGTATGTCTGTATGTATGATGATACTTTGAACATTGTTCATAATATTTGGTGATCATTTGATATGATGTATGGTAGGGGGTCACGTGACACCTTTCTTTCTTTCGTTCGTCAATAATAATCAATAAAATTTAATCAAATAAATTATGATCAGCTGACAAACCACTCGTTCGTTTTTTTTACCATAAACTTTAAAGACTCGTTATTTTTATTCGTTTAAATATATATACAAAACAATAGTTTATCAGACCATATTCTTAGGATCATTTCTAGAGTATAGACTATAACATAATTTCCATCAAATTATGCCCAACTTGATGCGAGGATGATGATTAACAATCTCCCTATCAGAGCGTGATGCCAACTATAGGCCGGAGGTATCTCTGGTCAATAGTAATAGATGACCGTGGTCTGGTTACAGCTAAGTACCAGCCAAGATAGAGAGATAGTCGAACTCGTACCTTTTTTTTTTTTTTAACATCTAGGTCACTCCAGTATCGTCCTGGAATGAAGATGACATACGTCCGGTCACTCTCTCTCGATGTCGAGGAGGAGCGGACGAACTAGTGACCTAGATGTAAAAAAAAAAAAAGGTAACTGGACCCAGAGAGATGATGGAGGTGACTACAACAATCAGTCACATGTCTGCCACACACAGACAGTAACCTAGGATACCTGTACCTGATCAAACAATGAATAAGAAGTATAACATAATAATATCATAGTTACAAGATGTGACCACTACCACTAATTAGGATATCCCAGGCATGACATCAAGTATGCCTAGAAGAAATGTCCTATAAAGTGATAGATGAGAGGACATCCCTAAATAGTAAAATTGATGTGGAGTGAATTACTGTCCCCATCGCGATTAGTTGTCAACATGCAAGATCTTCAAAAAACTTCCCAAAATGGACTTCACAGGTCAAACATTCTGTTGGGGAATTGATCATACCCTCCAATGACTGTCAACCTACCCATCCAGAATAGAAAATGAATAGTTAGACCTCAGGAGTTGAGGAACATCTCTCTTTAATCAACCTGACTTCCATCATTCCATCAACTTCCAACCAATATTGGTAGAATAAATGAATAAATTGTAATCAAGAAACTATTATTATTAATATTATTACATTTATTATTAATTTATCTGTACCTAAATATTTTAAACTTTATTATTTATTGATCATTTATTAACAATGTGTTTTATACCTTCACGATCTGTCGTCAACAATGGAAATACCGACAATATTTATATAATAGGAAATAATAATAATAGTATTAATAATAATTGTCAAATGATGTCCAATCTTGACAACATTTCAATGATTTTCAATCATGATCACAACTCTAATTCATTTCATCTGCCACCAATAACAACAACAACAAATATTATTAAACCCAATTTGATACATGGATTGGACAACCTAGAGTCATCGTCATCCTCCAACAACATTCAATCTCTATCATGTAATTTAGTAAACAATCAAAATAGTGGATGTATTGTAGGTGGCGGTACCGCCAATGAATCAAACTTGATTGCCGTAGCCACACAACAGAGTGATAGTGTGTCACAACCTTTGGATCTATCAACTTGCAATCATCAACCTCACATTCAATTGATGCACATCATGGTCGAGCTTCAGTGTATCGAGGCTATAACATTATCAAACAGCGATACATTCTTTCCTATGGTCATGCAGAGTTTGATCAAGTGTCTTGGCAATGACAAGCGTATATCAATCGCAGAGTTATGCGGTGGAATGAATGAGATGAACGTCATACATCAACATCATGGTCCACAAGACACCGTTCACATGAGCGAGCACTACTCTTTGGGTTCACTCGTTAACATGACTGATGCCACGCCATACCTCGAAGACAACCTGTTACGAATCCCACTGATCAACTCACAAACACTATGTGGCGAGATACAGATACAACCAATCAACTCGATGGAGATGTGCTGGCTGATGCAAAGTTTCATGCTAAAGTTCATCGTCAAACAGACCGCGTACGAGACCGAGAGGAGGATACACGAGAGGCTGCTATCCACCATCGTCGAATGTAGCTGCACATCAACTTTAGACGACTTCTTCCATCTTCTGTCCGAACCACTATGTCGATCATTCAACGCCAAGTACTGTGGCTTTTGCAAGTTGATCTCAAGCAAGGCCGCCATCAACATGTGCTTCGCCAGCAACATCTCTGAGTTTGAAAGCAGAACACTCCACATTGCCAAAGGACCATGCAAGATGATATACGATGAGAAGAAGATTGTATTCTTTGATGAGTAAGTTAACTCCATTCATTCATTCATTTAATCACTCACTAACTCAACATGTCCTTCACCAGTCTCCAGAATCAATTCCCAAATGAACCATTCTTTGCCAAACATGGAATCAACGGCTACATGGGATTCCCTTTAATTGGCTCAAGTGGACATGTGATTGGCCACTTCTTCCTCGTTGGTGAGCGTCCATTCAATCCTGTGGCAGCAAGATCACCAATCATATCTGCCATTTCCAAGCGTGCATCAGTAGATGTTGAGAGAATGCAAGGTATGTTCATTCAATCAATCGATTGATCAACTCCACGTAACATACTAACACCTTGTTGAACATTATAGTACAAGAGGAGTTGTTATTGGCAGAGACACTGTTGGATCAGTTCCCAGGATGTGTATTCTTGGTCAATAGAGATGGAGTGATCATTAGAGAGTTTGGACACTCTGATAATATACTTGGACCCAAAGATTCATGTCTTGGAAAGAATGTATCATCGTTTGAACATGGCAAGCAGGAGATATATGAACACCTGAGAGCATTGGGCCCCGACAACAACAAACAAGAGAGCATCGTGGTGAAGGAGATCAGATTGACCAAGAGCAACAATGAGGAGTTGCTTTGTGAGATCTTCCTCAGAGAGATTGTTGATCATAATGGACACTCACTCGGTATAATGATGGTGATCAGAGATATTACCGAGGCTAAACAGATCCAACACTCTTTACAGCAAGCCAACCTTCAGCTATCTGAGAATAACACCGAGTTGATCGAGACACATGATCGAGCACTCAAGGCCATCCATATGAAGTCCCAGTTCATGGCCACAATCAGTCATGAGATCAGAACTCCAGTGAGTATACTTACACACACACTTGGAATCACTCCAATCAATCAATCAATCAATCATTCATTCTAACAATCCACTCTTGATCATTAGATGAATGGAGTCATTGGAATGGCAGAGATGTTGTTGACCTCCAATCTGACACCTCAACAATACGAGATTGCCGACACCATTCACAAGTCTGGCGAACTACTCTTGTCCATCACATCAGACATCCTGGACTTTTCAAAGATCGAAGCATCCAAGCTTGAGTTGGAGATGACCGAGTTTGATCTCAAAGGGTATGATACTCGAGTATCATTCATACATGTCAGGGTATCACTCACTAACACATCTTGCTCACCTTACTTAGATGTATTGAAGGAGTGTTCAACACTCTATCAATATCATTAGAAAAGAAGATTGAGATACTACTGGTATTCGAGAAGGATGTACCTTCTAAACTTTTTGGTGACCCAAACAGACTGCGACAGATCATAATTAACATTGGATCAAACGCCATCAAGTACACAGATCATGGTCATGTCTATGGACATGTGTCAGTTTTAGAGAGCTCCAAGGGCAAGTGCAAGATATGTGTGTCCATCCATGATACTGGCATTGGTATTGAGGACGACAAGAGAGCCCTTCTCTTTGAGCCCTTCTCACAACTAGACGCCTCGACCACGAGGAAGTATGGAGGATCTGGTCTTGGTCTGGCCATCTGTAGTCGCCTTGCGAAGCTCATGGATGGCGAGGTGACATTGGACTGGAGTCAAGTTGGCAAAGGATCGGTGTTCTCCCTCAAGGCTGTGTTTGAGGAGGTTGAGCATCCAAGTGCACAACCATTGATCACAGAGATAGTCGAGCCAGAGTCAACAACATTGCCCCTATGTTTGATTGTGGACGATTATCCATTTGGATCGAAGGCCACCGCGGACAAGTTGCACCAACTATGTCCCACCAATGTGGAAGAGATGGCCAGTTCAACATTCGATGAGATACTGAACGCGAATGAATGTTGCGCACACAATTGGAAACAAACATTCATCAGCAGGAACTTGAACATGATCATGATCGTTCATCGTGAGCACAAAGACATCAACACATTCATCAAACTCGCGGCCAACACTGCCGAGTACTGCAGGAGCATGCCTGTAAAGGTGGTGCTGGTTACCAACACTGCCAACGCCAAGCTGGTACCTACCACGAGGAAGTACATCCTTCTCACCAAGCCAACTTCCAGCATCAACCTGTTAAGGATCATACAACAGGATTACAATGAGCTCTACAACAACTTGCAAGTCAGATCACCCAATAACAAGTCCATTGGGAATCAATCACTGGAGCCTCTAGAGGACAACCAACCCAAGTCCCCATTGAAGATACTCGTGGTGGAGGACAACATGGTCAACCGCAAGGTGGTATCAATGCAGCTGGCCAAGCTTGGTTACGAGTGTGACCAGGCAGAGGATGGCAACGAGGGATTCAACAAGTACAAGCAAGGCCAATATGACATTGTGTTCATGGACCTGACCATGCCCAACTGTGATGGTGCTCAATCCAGTCTCATGATCCGGTCCTATGAACAGATATCCAACAAACCAAGAGTAACAATAATTGCTCTCTCTGCCACCGTCCTCGATGGTTCCAAAGAGTATTGTCAATCCATGGGTATGGATGGTATGTATATTCCAATCATTCATCATTCATTCATTCAATCAATCAAACACTAATCTCATTCATTCATTCAACAGACTTTATAATGAAACCACTAAAGTTGAATAAGCTCAAACAGGTGTTGGAGTCAATCAAGAAGTAGTTAAGTCCAAAGTTGTCAATTACTTAAGGTTGGAGTTTGATTGTTATTTAATTAAATCTTTATATATAATATATTCTTTGAAGTTCATTCAACAAACAATCACAAAGCTAAATTAAATGTCTAGATGGTGGGTTGAGGGCTGATTCATCATCATCAACCAACCTATTTCCATTTCTCACACTTCTAAGCGCCACCATTCAAACAAACAAATACACATCATATACTTACTTAATATATATATACATTCATTTATATATCTTTACAAATAATTTATTATATATACACATTTCTTCAACATTAAATTGAAAATTAGAGCACTGCAGTTGATTGATTGTGATTGATTGTGATTGATTGATTGAGTGACACACGTGATACACAAGGCAAAGCTCATCAGATGAACACAGCAGCTGCCCCACCATCATCACCAGCAGTCAATGGCAACATCAACGCTCAAGATGTAGATATCAAGGACCTTACTCCTCCTCCAACTCATCCATCAAATCAGAATGGAAACAATACACAACAACAATCCCCTCCACAACAACTACCACCTAAACCAGAACAAACAGTTGCACAATGGACTATATCAAACTATTCACAACAGACTGATAAGTTCTATACGAATACAGCACAGATATGTGGATTGACGTGGAGACTGTATATCTTCCCCAAGGGAAACACTTCAAATGAGGACCTATCGCTGTTCCTCGATCTGGTGGAGATCAAGCAGCCCAACTTCCCCTGCCAAAAGGTCAACTTTATGTTGGAGCTGGTCAATCAGAAGAAGCCTGAAGAGAGTGTTCGCAAGCCTTCCGATCACATCTTTAGTGCCAAGTTTGTAGACTGGGGATTCAACAAGTTTATCAAGATATCAACATTGCTCGATCCCAAGAATGGCTTCATCGTCGATGACACCCTCATCCTACGTGTAGAGATACTCAACATCATCACAGAGACCATCTCTGCCAATGGTCAGAGAGCATTCTTGTACGTATCATTTGATTGATTGATTGAATGGATGGACTGATCACTAACATGATTGATCAACCTTATTTAGATATAACTCAAAGAAGATGACAGGCTTTGTTGGATTGAAGAACCAAGGAGCAACATGTTATATGAACTCATTACTGCAGGCATTGTATCAAATATCACCATTTAGACGTGCAGTGTATGAGTTGCCAACGGCACAGAATGATGATCCACATGAGAGTATACCGTTGGCGCTGCAACGACTGTTCTACAAGTTGCAGTTTGGATCGACCACGGTGTCGACCAAGGAGCTGACCAAGAGCTTTGGCTGGGGTACGCACGACATCTTCACGCAGCACGACGTGCAGGAGCTGAACAGAGTGCTGTGCGACAACCTCAACGACAAGATGAAGGGCACCAAGTCCGAGGGCACCATCGACAACCTGTTCCGCGGCAAGATCAAGAACTTTATAAAGTGCGAGAAGGTCAAGTACGAGTCCAAGAGAGAGGAGGAGTTCTACGACCTGTCGCTCAATGTCAAGGGCTGTCCAACCATCCAGACCTCATTCGAGAAGTACACCGAGATCGAGAAGCTCGACGGCAACAACATGTACGACGCCGAGGGCTTTGGACTGCAGGTGGCCAACAAAGGATGTCGCTTCCTCTCCTTCCCACCAGTGCTACATCTCCAATTGAAGCGATTCGAGTATGATCCAATGAGAGATGCCAACGTCAAGGTCAACGATCGATATACATTCCCAGAACAACTTGACCTCTCTCCATACCTAGATGAAGAAGCAGACAAGACAACCTCATCAATCTATAACCTTCAAGGGTATGTTATGTATTATATACTCCCTCACTTCCAAAGCATAACAACTAACTCTATATCTATATATTTAGTGTACTGATACACTCTGGTGACCTACATAATGGACACTACTACGCCTTTATGAAGCCAAAGAAGGATGGTGATTGGCTAAAGTTTGACGATGAGGAGGTGTCTAGGTGCTCACTCCAACAAGTCACAGAGGAGAGCTTTGGTACAGAGGTGGAGTCTGTACGAAGAGGTGGAGCAGGTGGCTTCACCATGGGCAGGAGCTTCACCAATGCCTGTATGTACAAGTATTGAGTCAGTCTATCCAATCTCAATCACTCAATCACTCACTCAATCAATCCAATCCAATCCAATCAATACTTTTAGACATGTTGGTCTACATAAGATCAACAGAGATCGATGAGTTGTTGAAGCCAATACCCGACTCTGAGATACCTGTACATCTAAAGCAACGATTGGACAGCGATGAGAAGACGCAGACTCACCAGATGTTGCGCATTAAAATGACGACTGACGAGGACTTTGTCCACAACACTGGATTCGATCTTGTCGACCTCACCAAGCTGCCATACCAAAACATCATCATGAAACCAGGCGAGAACTACAACATTGCCTATCTAAAGGTTTGTATATATATATCTATATACTTTACACATTCAATCATTCAATCGGTCAATCAAGTACTGACTCCATCCACAGAGACAAATAACAACAATCATTGGAGTGCCACCCGAGAGACAGAGGCTGTGGTCATGGTCATGTAGAAGAAACAGGACGATGCGTATCGACATGGTTCCAGAACAAGATGATGCCTCTCTGAAACGACCCACAGAGTTGGCATTCTACTTGGAGGTATCATATGTACCAAGGACACCCAACATGGGCGCAGTAAGTATTACCTTCCAATCACATTCACGCATACTTGTTTCTAACTTACATCAATCACAGTCATACTTCCAACCAATAGACAATGCACATTCCAATGCACTGCTGTTCTTCAAGTATCATGATCCAGAGCAGAACACGATGAAGTTTGTAGGATCCAAGGTTATCGATATCAGCTGCCGTGCATCATACATTCATCCAATGCTTAGAACGATGGCTGGACTACCAGCCGACACCCCACTCCTCCTATTCGAAGAGATATCACCGGGCGACATCGAAGTCATCAAGCCATCCGAATTCCTACGTCAATGTGAGCTAGCAACAGGTGACATCATCGTATTCCAGAAGCATGTCTCTATCAAGTATGTTACCGTTCATTCATTCATTAATTCACTCATACACTTACTAACTATGTATGTATGATTGTAGGGACAAGCACATGTATCCAACAGCAGTTGAATACTTTACATATGTGACACACAAGACCGTTGTCAAGTTCCAGCAGGTAGACAACAGCAATGTAAATTTCACGCTGGAGTTGGTCAAGAATACCAAGTACTCAGAGATCACCAAGATCATTGGTCAGCAGATCAAGGTTGATTATAACAAGATCAGACTATTGGCTGTACCAAGGTATGTTTGATTGTTTGATTGATTGTTCATTCACAAACCAACATACATGGATCATATAGATTCGCTGGAATGGAACCATATAGCCCTGTCAAGCCAAACGACAACATCCCCCTGTGCGATATACTAAACTCCAACAACAGGTTGTCTGATAAGCTCTTCTTTGAAGTCCTCAACATACCTGTCAGTGAATGCGAGTCCAAGTCCAACTTTAGAATCACATGGCAGAAACCATCATTTGAATATGTAAGTTTGATAATTGATTGATTGTTTGATTGGACTGATTGAACTAACCTTTGTTACTACTTACTTTACAGGAACAAATATCATTATGGGTCACCAAACAGGGCACTGTACATGACATCAAACAGACCTTTATTGAATTGATTCAGAGTCAATCGACACCAGTCACAGCGTCGATCACAATAGCAGGTGGCGTGAGCACTCCCCCTGCAGGACAGACACCAACAGGTTCACCGGCAATGGCGACAACAGCTTCCGCTGCATCAGCTGCTCCAGCTGCCACTGCCACTCCAGTTGTTGCCGACCTCAAGATCAATGAACTCAAACTACTCGAGATACGATCACACAGAATAGTCAGAGAGTTTTGCGATGATGAGAGACTGTCGATCGTGATGGAGAATGCCAATCTAAAGATGGAGGCCATGTCTGAGGACGAGATCAACAAGGCACCAACGGACAAGGTGGTGACCGTCGTACACTTTAGCAACGAAGCTGGATTCCCAATGTACCACGGCGTCCCATTCCAGTTTGTCATCAAGGAGGGCGAAAACTACCAATCTCTGCGCAGTAGAATCCAAGCGCGTCTCGGACCCATTGTGTCGCCGGCTGAGTTTGCTCGATGGAAGTTGGCCATCATCCAGGACGACAAGGTTAATCCTCTAACAGAGGACGCCACCATCAGCAAGGGTGGAGACTGGAGTCACGCGACCATTGGACTTCAGCACAACCCATCAGTCCCAATGCGAGGCTATCAACAACGAGCCATCAAGATCAACAAATAAAGACAGACAGAGAGAGATAGAGCCATCCTGTGCGGCAGTGTTACAATTATCAAACCCAACTTCCATCTCTATCATTCATTCAAACAACAACCAACTCAACTACATTGTCGTCTTTGCCATCTTTGGATAATGTCGCGAATATAAGGTCTCAAAGAGAAAGACGAACGAATGTCTGACTTGGACGACAAGACTTCTTGTTTGGGTCCTTGCTGGACAGACAAAGATCCCAGGGTAGTCATCTATGCCAATCGGTGTTTCAACATAATTTACAGCAAACATGTTATTGGTTGATCGTTTCAGCGAAAGGAATGACTCAAAGCGCCTTGATTTGAATTGAATAACACACACACGACCAACTTCTCAACAACAATGAAAGTTTGGTCGACCGTTCTCACTTTCAATCATTGATTCGTGTGCTCACCTTTCCTCCAGAGAGTTTTGGTTAATCATGTGACCCACTCTGGTTCAAGGTGGTTGTGATTGGGAATAATGGGAAGGGCACTGATTACTTGAAGTCTAAATCACCCGCGCATGTGATTACCTTTGAATTGAATCACACCTCATCCATTCTTCCAAGTTGGGTGGTCATATGCTCCAACTGACAATAAAGGGTAGTGAGATAGTCATGTACATAGGTCTTACCAATATAAACACTATAAACTAATTAACAGAGATATAATATATTGATAGATAGATAAATAGATAATTAATTAATAAGAATAAATACAATACAATGGATAAATCAGATGCCAAGTAAGTATAATCCATCTCAAATCAATCAATGAATGATAAAACAGAGATACTAACATTGATGACCTTAACCTTTATGTATAGGGATATGACAATGATGGAGAAGAAGAAGATTGATAAGTTAAATAAGTTGACTGGACGAAGGGATTCAATTGCCAAGATATCATCATTATTGAACCCAAGAACACCAGAAGAGGCTAAACTTTGTTCACAAAAGTTAGAGACAAACGAGAAGCTTACAAATATCTTTGGTCAACGTCCTCAATGTTCATGATTGGACAGTCCAATCAAACATATATACATATATACATATATAACAATTATTTATTATAACCTTACATTTACCAACGAACTGGATGAATTGGAACACCTCGATGGATGGATGGAAGAACGACAACATGGCAACACCACCTCAATCACTCCAGAGTGATTGGATTTGAATGAACGAACGAACAAACAAACTGTACAGCTACTTGCACTCTCAACATGTGCATGCCGTTATCAATCAATCAATTGCCAGCCATCCAACCATCAACTTTAAAATAAAATAGTCGTCAGACAACCTTGTATACCTATCAACAACCTTTATATATCCAAATCATCGTCTGGGTCCTCATCGTCATAGTCGTCATCATCAATGACATCCTCAATCACCAATTGATTCTCGCCTTGATGTCTGTATGGCAGGACCACAGAGTCCTTGGCTGCCTTTTCTTCATCCGTCAGCTTGAGATTGAACGATAGGTTCTGTGTTGGGTCAGCCTCCTTTTCCTCCTCCTTCTTCTCAAACAGGTCAGCTGAATCAAACTCCAATCGACCATTCTTTACGTAGTAATACTCGACCTGATTGATTGGTTGGGTGATAGATTAGGATTAGGATATGTGGAGTTTGATTGATCGAGGGTCGTGGTCCATGTACATACATTACGCAACACTCTACCTGATCTCTTCTTTGTGATCACAGTGATTGTGGCTTCATATGGATTGGATAGTGATTGAGACAGGAGCAGCTTGGCGGGGAGTGGCGTCACTTGGATGGAAGTTGATGATATGTACTGGAGTTGTCGCTCCACTGTTTGATCGCTATAATGCAGGTCAGAGTGAAGTATGCCCAAGACACATGAGAAACTCTTCTCTGACTTCTTGCTATGTGGTTGAATGCCTGTATCAATCTTGTTCTTTGATGATGTCGTCGTAGCAGTGGCAGTAGCAGCATTGGTAGTTGATGAAGTTGTAGTAGTATGTACATTGTTAAAGTTATAGTTGATGAGTGTTCGGACCAGATTGCAAGTGTCAGAGAGACCATTCTTTAAGACGAATGCACTGAGTGTGTTGATGATGAGTATCGGGTTGTCCTTGAGTCTTTGAGGTACACGATTCGAATTGAATGCCAACTTCAACGCGTCCAAACATGATGCAGAGTCTTGACCAGTACAGTTGAATACAATGGGTGATTGTTGTTGCTGTTGTGACTGTGTCTGTGCCAACTGTTGCTCATTCTTCTTCCAACCAAATGGGTCTGAATAACAATCAATGACCACAAAGTTGCTACATTGTCGATGTCAGTCATTCATTCATTCATTCATTCATTCATTCATTCATTCATTCATTCATATTCTTTTTGAGATAGATACATACACATTATTATACTTCTTTGCAAGCTTTGTATACTCTATCAATGGTATAGATTGATTGATGAACCATACACTCTTCTTTGAACTGTTATTGTTGCCAACAGGTCCAAGCCATTCATCATAAATATGATTCAACAAGTGTTGAGCCGATGATTCCAAGCAATCCTCCAACAACAACAGACCATTCAATGTCTCTTGTGTATGTAATACCTTTGTAAATGACATATCTCTATCTATATCTTTATCTATATCTATATCTCTACCTGTTCATTCATTCATGCACCCAAACACAAGTGTTTCTCAACTTTGAACTTCCCCAAATCAAGTCCAAACAACGTGCTGTAACGTTATCGTTGTTTCGTTTGTCAATACATTTATTTTTGAATTTTTGTTTTGATTTGAAGCGAAGTGTGGCTTTGAGCCAGCTTGGGGCACAAAAGATCACCTCCAGCATTCATTTCACGACACTCGTCTTGTTGCTCATTCATCAGTCACGCACACGTATAGCCAACATGTCTACCACCAAACAGTAAATGTATAGAGAAGGTTCATACCAATCACCATCCATCCATCCATCACATCAGCAACGCATCCACCAATCACCTCACATCCTTATCTACAGCTGATGATCGATACATGTATCCATTCATTGACACTTGGTTGGATTCGGATACACGTTCCTCAACAAATGCACAACACAACAGATGGATGTTGGTCACCTGTACCTCTCGACATTGAGAAGTTCAGCAACTCCTTCGAAAAGAACCGGATGCACATCCACAAAACGTACTTTGTATCTTACACTCTAGACAAGTGGCATCCTTCTGACTCACGGGGCAACTCGTGAGCTGGTCGGGTAGTTGCTTCTAGCAGTGTCTGATCAAATACAATACCATTGCTTTAATCTCCCAAGGTGAAAGCGAGGGCTGTACACGACTACCCAGTGTAGTTGCCAAATGGCTTATGCATAGCACTTTGTTGTGTTTGTTATTGTTTGATTGCTTACTTGCGCATATCATTCAATCAATCAATCACTCGCATCGTCTATCATGCTCCATGCTCTGTACTTCCCTGATTACAAACAAGTTGCTTGAGGTATGGCTTGGTCCCCGCATATTGGATGTCGCCACCGACATGCTGACCTTTAGTGGTCAATGTCAAGTGATAACATCCGAGTTGCGCCCCCATACCAAGAGGCTTTGAGGAAGATTGACCTTCATGGCTGGTCTTCCTTTAATTATTTGTAGACTCGGCGCGTTGTATGTTTGCCAGGTTGTTGAGTGTCCTTTGGACAAGATACACTTAGTCACTCATCACGCTCGTTCTATCCCAACACTTCTCAGCCCCCTTTGTTCGTTCAACTCAACCAGTCATGTTCATTCGTCGTCCACTCACCTCTTGCTTTGAGGTAGGTGTGACAATGATATAACAACTTGACTATGATTCAGGTGACAACTTACAAGGAGGCGGAGGCTTTGTTGAAGCTGCAGTCACTCTCGGTGGTTTCAATTAAATATTATGCTTGTCTTGTGACAGGAGTGAGAGCATTCAGAGCGTATACCTGCTTGTTGCATGTCCATCCCCATGTCGCCAGCAATGGCAACACTGGGCAAACACACAAGAGGTAGTCGTAGTCAGTTGCCCCTCATCTTTCACACTTAGTTCTTCCCTTTCTCCCCTTTCTCCAATCATTAACAGAGCTGCCACCCCAGTCCCAGAGTCTGTCTTGAAGCAGAGAGCCACCTCTCAGAAGAAGACCGTCGATCTTGCCAAGCTTCGTCGCGCTTCCCGCTTGAGAGCCTCAAGATTGAGAGCCAAGTACTTCCTCCGTGCCGAGAAGTACGCTCGTGAGTACCGTAACGCCGAGCGCAAGCAGGTCAGCCTCAAGCGTCAGGCCAAGAACACCAACGTGTTCTACGTCCCACCCGAGGCTAAGGTTGCCTTTGTCATCCGTATCCGCGGTATCAACGGTATTGGCCCCAAGCCACGCAAGATCCTACAGCTCCTCCGTTTGCTCCAGTTGAACAACGGTGTCTTTGTCAAGTTGAACAAGGCCATGATCAACATGTTGAAGCTCGTCGAGCCATACATCGCCTACGGTTACCCCAACCTCAAGTCAGTCCGCGAGCTCATCTACAAGAGAGGTCACGCCAAGATCAGAGGTCAGCGTATCCCACTCGTCAACAACGAGATGGTCTTCGACGGTCTCAAGCGTTACGGAATCATCTGCGTTGAGGACATCATCCACGAGATCTTCACCTGCGGCAAGAACTTCCGTGAGGTCAACCGTTTCCTCTGGGCCTTCAAGCTCAACTGTCCACGTGGAGGTTTCAACCACAAGAAGATCCATTTCCTCGAGGGAGGTGATGCTGGCAACCGTGAGCACCTCATCAACAACCTCATCAGAAAGATGAACTAAATAAACTGTGTGCCACTGTCCTCGTGTGCGCTCATTGCTGATGAACGAAGTTGATGTCCATGGACAAATATCTTATTTTTAGTTATTCAATCAATCAATCAATCATAGAACAATCAAGAGGATGATTATGACATCGACAAGCTTGACATCTCTATCACATTTGTTGTTGAGACACATTGTATCATACTTGGACAATGTTGACATTGTCTGTGTAGTGTTGTCCTCCAAGTCAATGTTCAATGATCGTTGTAAATATGCAAGACTATCAGTTCAATCACTCAAAGATCGATCAATCTATGACAACAACAATGACAATGACAGTAGCAACAGCAGTAGCAACAACAACAATATCAATACAATGTTCAATCTTGGATCATTCAAACAATTGATTATGAACTCTTTGAATGGTGATGCTGATCACTTTAGTGGACAACAACATCAACAACTACCTCAACAACAACAGAATGCACGTCAACAAAAGGCACGTGAAAGACTACAATCAAATGACTTTATGGTGATCAATCACTTGTCAAACTTAAAGACATTGGAGCTCAATACAAAGGTCGTGAGGATCAAGTTCAATGATACATTCAATCAACCATTGCTACCCGGTTGTATCCCAGATCATGTCAGACACTTGTCCTTTGGCGAAAAGTACAACCGACCACTCAGAGCAGGTGTCCTCCCTCAGCAACTCCAGAGTCTCTACCTTGGCTGGTCGTTCGATCTCTCACTCCCAGCCGGTATCCTACCACAATCACTACTCCGACTGATGCTGGCATCCTACCGACCACATCCGTCACGTGTCCTTTGCATCCCAGACTCTGTGACCTACCTCAAGATATACGATTCATTCGCCAACAGCTTCCCAACATCATCCATCCCCAGTTCAGTCAAGCGACTTTCATTTGGATTCGAGATCAATGAGCCATTGCCTACTGGATTGATTCCGGCGGGCCTAGACTATTTGGCTGTGAAGCTGTGGCGATACCTGACATCTGCGACACCGATAACATTCTGCCCCATCCCACCCGGAACAATACCATCGGGTATCACGACATTGAACCTTGGACGACGATTTGACATGGCCTTGCAGCAGGGCTCGGTTCCCAATGGTGTGCAGCATCTGGTGATATCGTCATCATTCTTCAAGTGCAATAAGTTTGATGTGTTACCATCGTCCATTCGAACATTGACCATTCATCCAAACAGCAATCAATCAAAATCCTACACCATTGCCATCAGACCACTTGGCATCAACACAACAATGGTGATCGATCAATCATTACATGGATATGTAGTGGTAGTCGTCGGTGATGGAGGTGGCACAGACTACATCATGTTGGCACTACAACGACTGATTCAATTCAATGAGGAGAGTATATCAGATAGGATCAAGCGATTGTTTCCTATTACAGGCGCCATTGCTGAGGATCAGTTCATTCAATACACGTGAAGGTATCTTCTTGTGGTGCTGGCACCAACAATATCAACAATACCTCGAATAATTAAATTCAATGTAATGATCCGGTCATCTAATACACATGGTGATTACTGCTGGTAATTCTTTGGATGCAAGGTACTGGGTCGGGTTGATATCCATCGTATCAACCAGTTGTAACTCGTGGAATCCATTATTAATGTTTGTGTGTGTGTGTGTGTGTGTGTGATATTTACAAAGTTGATCGTTGTCCCGTTAAATAAATTATAATAATAACATCAATATATAAATGATAATTTATCCAATATATATTGAAACCGGTTTCAATCAAACTATCAATCATTAGTTCATTCAATTATTACAATATCATCCACCAAGAACATTAAAAGGAACCAGATCTTTTATGAAATTAATTATTATATTATTATTAATAATGATCATGGTATCAGTTTTGAGAGGACATGAGGAAGGGTATGTCGTTAAATATCTATAATAATAATAATAATAATATTATTTTTTAACCTTTTATCTTTTTTAATTTCAATTTTTTGGTAATATTTTTATTAACAGGAATAGTGAATATCGTATGCTGTTAAATCCATTGGTTGGATCTGATTCCTCCCTCAGTTCATCAGACTTTGTAGAAGATTTCAACCACATCAAATATAATAATTACAAACTTGAATGATTCTACCAATAATAAAGATACTTTCTTTAAATATGTATATCCTATAATTCTGGACACTGACATTTGACTGACTTGTACAAATATAGTAAGGCATTTTCTAATCATACAAGAATCTGCTTATGTTGTCACTATCAACGGAGGAGGATGCCGCATCACCAATAAATACACCCAACTTCTTTCAAGATGAGTCAGATGATGAAGAAGGGTGAGCCCAATTGAGCACACTCCAAGCCCACTCTTCATTCATCATCTATTTCTTTGTTTGAAATTGAATGGATGGATGGGTACTCACACAAACACACAAACACACACAAACACAACCTTTACATCATTCATGATTGAAAGGATGGATGGATGGAAGGATGTTATAGAGGTAAGGAGAGCTTCATTATCATATATACTTACCAGATTACATACTTATATTTACATATATCTAAACATAAGTTAAATATTTCATTGCAAAGAAGATGAATAATAAGGATCAAGTTATTGAGGCAGATCAAGTTAATGCCTTCTTCCAGAAGCAATGTCACAAGTTGGAGAATAGAGTTTGTTTTGATTGCAATGCAAAGAATCCAATTTGGGCTTCACTACCATATGCTATCTATCTCTGTGTAGACTGTGCCTCCAATCACAGATTCCTTGGTACTCATATTTCATTTGTTAGGTACGCATTGTTGTTATTAATAGTTGTTATTAATTGAATACTAATTTATTGTTACATTTTAGATCAATTAAATATGACAAGTGGAAATTATTACAATTGAAGATAATGGAGTGCGGTGGAAATAAGGAGGCCAAGAAGTACTTTACTGATCATGGTATTATCAATTCAAAGATTGAGGAGAAGTATGACTCTACCGCCGCGGCAACCTACAAGAAGTTGTTGGAAGCAAAGGCACTCAAGTCGTAAGTAATAGAAAAGATGGTTGGGAACTCAGTTTATGAAAGATACTAACTCAATGATACATCAGATTGAATGAGAGTGATAGTCTTGATATATCATTGGCACCATTATCAATGACCCAGCATCAGTCCGAACATGAGGATGGACACGATCATAAACAATCTCATGTTGTTACACTCACAGATGATAATGAATGGGACAACTTTGAATCGTCAAAGAATACATTGAAAGGAAGTGGTGGCAACTCTGTCAAGAAGACTGGTTCAGCCAAGAAAATAACCAAACAATCATTCGATGATGACTGGGACTCAATACCAGAGACTGTCGTGGCTGCACAGTCTTCTAAGAAGAGTGGCGGCAACAGTGGAGGTGGCAGGAAGTCACAACAAGAGGATCAACAACACAATGATCATCAACAAGAAGATGAGGAAGAGCCAAGGTTCTCTAAATCATCCAAGTTCTCAATGGAGCCACTACACGAGTAAGTACTTCATCATTGATCATCATTCCAAATACCATCATTACTAAATACAACAATAGTAGCAGCGATAACAAGTCATCATCTCAACAACATGGAAAGAAGAGCAGATCTACAGAGTATGCCAGCACTGATGAGACAGAGTATGAGCCATTGAATAGAGGGGATGATCATAAGAAGTCGACCAACTATCAAGAGACAGACTATGCAAGGAAGAACTTTGGTGAGGCCAAGTCAATCTCATCACAGCACTACTTTGGCAATGATCAAGATAGTAATGATCCCGACAAACAAGTACGTCTATCAAAGTTTGCCGGAGCCACCTCCATCTCCAGTGCTCAATACTATGATCGCAACGAATCACCTCATTCATTATCATCATACTCTGCTGGCAAATATATACCAGGTATGTTTGTACATTCATACAATCATTCATTCATTCATTCACTCAATCATACCAATCAATCAATCAATATAGCTCAAGCTACAGAGATTGCATCATCTTTGTACAATAACATTGCCAACACTGATATCAAGTCATTGTCGAGTGCAGTACTTGATGGAAGTAAGAAGTTGACATCAATGGCGACTAGCATGGCAAACAATGCATATCAGTATGGTAACAATGCCTATCGTCAGTACTCAACAAACAGATAATCATAATGATGATCGATGATGGAGATATAAGAGGAGGGAGACTGGAAGGACTGGAAAGGATAGGATTGAAATAAAATAGATAAATTGAACTCAAACTTTGTTTGATTGATTGATTCATTGAGCAAGACTTTGTGATACAGATAAGAGATAAAGTGATGGACAGTGCCATCAATGTAATCAATGAGATATGGCAGAGATATAAGTACAGGCCTAACATGATATTTGATGAGAAAGAAGTGGAGCCTTTGAATAATGCAGTTGATAAGTTGTTGGCAGTTGACCTCAAACAAGATAACAACAACCTGGTATGCTTCATAAACGCATTGCCACTCATATCAAAGGTATGTTATCACACTCAATCAATGATGGACAGTCAGTCATTGCAAACTAACTCATTTATAAATGCTCAGGCAATCACCAGTTTTCCTATACAGTACAAAGTGTATATGTATAAATTATTTGAAAGGATAATGATCACAGATGTACGTCCTTCTAAAGAGGAAGAAGAAATGATACACGTTGACTATTCAGCTATTTATCAAATGGAGGGCATCAACATCACTCTGTTCGATCTGGCATTGGCCTTCATAAGAGTACACGATGGCCCACCATCACTGGATCAACACACTCACTTCTTGATCAATCCAGGCTTCTTGAGAATGGTTCAATGCAAGGATGATGCTGTACGTCAACAACAACTACTCACAGCCTATTTCATATTGTTATCATCACACATTAATAGCAAGGAGTACTTTGACAACATAACATATGCATTTGGACATGATGCAGTTGAGAATGAGCTTGCACAATCCTTCATCAAATTTCCGAGTGTCGACCTCGTTGGACGAACCATCGATCATTCTCAACAGTTGAAGTACCTCCAGAAGGTTCCAAACATCGCCACATCACTTCTAATCAATCACAAACAACTTGTTATCAAGTAGGTGTATCATTCAATCATTCAATCATTCGATCACTAACCATTATGTTACTACTACTACTACAGGTTCATTCAAGGATGTGAAGAGAGGTACCTCACCACTGGATTATCAACAATTTATGCAATGGCACTCGATGATCCAACAAAGCAACAGGCTAACCAAAACTTGGTATTTCAAATGTTTGAGAAGGTAGAGGTGAAGTGGAAGAAGAATCAGTTCAACTATAACGATGACAAGGATTTTATATCTTTACTACCACTTCTTCGACTTGTTGAACCATCCGATCGCCTTCTCGGACTCCTCAGCAGACTACCACCACACATCACGTGCCAAGCAATCACTCATCTTGGTCCATCATTCCAGAATGTATGTTGTATATTTGTTCAGATGGACGATCTCCATAATCTTTCACTGACCATCTTTCCATCATCAATCAATCAATCAATCATACTTAAAGTTACAATTTTATAAAGATCATTTGGAATCAATAGTACTGAAGGAGGTCAAGACACCAAATACATTGTGTTACTTGGGAGGTGTTGCCAAACTGTTTGGATCACTTGGCGAGTGTGTGGATATATGGCAGCCAATAATGGATCGTGTACAATCAATATCGATTGACCAAAAAAAAAACTTTGGACCACACAACTCATCCATTCGTGATCCCCTCAGCGTTGCCACTGGATTGCTTGGCATGGTCAAGGGCATGGGTGGAAGACTATCAAATGAACAGCGTGACTACTACATCGATTTGGCAATACATGCTTTGAACAACACCTTTGATGGCTTCAAGTTGGAGGATGATGCTCAGTTTATTGAACAATATCGCACATGGATCGAGGCATACCTTGACAAGTTCAAGACAGGGCTTCCGATTCGTGACTTTATAATTGGTCCATTCCTTTGCTTACTGGCACGCCATTCAATGTTGGACATCCAATTCATCAACCGACTCATCAAAAGTTCTAAAGGACAAATTAATCAATCTACATTCTATGAGTTCCTGAACTCGTGTCCTGATCATGCTGCTGCATGGACTCAATCTATTGGCATACCAAAATATAGAAGTGACTTTTGTCATCTAGCCAGTATTTGTTGTCATCCCACAGTGATCTTTCGTCTTTTAATGTGGCGCCATACTCTAAAGATATACCATCTCAAGATTCCCTCATGGATTAGTCCTATTTCCAAGAGTGCACTGTTGGCCAGGTTGGAGCGAAATGATGAGTTTGAACGAAATATGCTACTATACAATCAGTACAAGAAGGCTTCGATCGCCAAGCTTTATAAGGACTCACTAGAATCATTAGATCACTCAAACACTTTCTCAACTCCATCACTCTCACCAATGTTGATTAAACAAATCATTGAACATATCCTGACTATTCGCAATGACTCTTTGGACTCAAAATGGGTGGTATCGTTATCAACTGTATGCATTGGATTCCATCAAGCAGTGTCATCAGTGATCTCAAACCATGTCACACCATCACTCAACATTGGCTCCATGATCAACCACATTGGCTCCAAGTACTGCCTGTTCACCAAGGCACCTCTTCATTTGAATGCACTGGACCTTCCCTTCCTGCCCCCTGATCACATTGAACAATGTCTTGATAGTCTGCAATCATTGACAGTGCCATTCGATTTTGGAGGCAATAGTGGTGAGAGTATTATCTTTATCAATGTCCGTAGACAGCCGAATCTACGATATATCTGTTTCATGGAGGTCCCCGACTATATAATTGAACGCAAAATGTGCAAACTATCCGAACAAAATAGCCAAGAGCCTTACAGTGTTGTCAAGATACAAATGGATGGAGATGGAGTGTCTGACTACCATTCACGATGCTTCATTGAGATGTTCAGAGTCTATGTCGATGATCATCCAACATTGCAAGATATAGAAATACACTCAAACTCACCAGCAGGTCCGCCCGCCCTATCAAAGCTGTCCAGTGACGCTGGCACACGTCTGAACTTCATTTGGGCTCATGGTGCACTGGAGAATACTGGCTACTACAATTACATTTGTCGCAAAGGGTATGGATATGATGAGTATGATCTTCTTGGACATATGGACGAGAATGAACTTGACCACATCACGTTCATTAACATGTTCAAGGACCATCCAGTCCAAAACCTTTACAAGGCCAAGAATGTCCAACAGATCATCCTCAAACCGAGTGAATATGCGACGAAACAAAAAGAATACTCCTTGAACGTTCAGCGATTCTACGAGGGATGTCGACAACTAAAGACATTGTCATTGGTCGTCACAGAGCTGGAGTTTATTTTGCCACTCATTCCCGCACAAGGCACAGCACAAACACTCCAATTACTGGAGATCTATGTCGACGACTGGATATCAATCTCCAAGGATGAGATTGGTAATACCATACATGAAATCATCACAAAGATGATTGCAATTGTTGATCAACCCAACCTTATGAAGATCACTGTGAGGACTCTCAACCCAAGCTTTATCTACCTCTCCTTTTACAGATGTTGTCCAAAGTGTCCACTCAAGGTGGCAAAAGCAGACAACCAATCGATCTTAATCAGCAATATGTCAATATAAAGTTGAATAAATGCTATATATACGTGATAGTCAATGAAATCTATTAAGGAGCTTACACAAATATTGATATTGTCAGATAATGTGATGTGAACCAAGAATGAACTATACTTTGTTGAATATTGATTGAGATAGTAAAGTCATCTCTACTTTGTGTGAATGGTTCCGTTGATGTCACTCAATGCTACCTTGTGGATGACAAAGTGGAGTGAGTACCATTGGTAGAAAGTGTTTGGATAACAATGAGTAGTAGATGGACCATCTCTTCATTGTCTTGACCGAACCAATCTTTACATGTCTACAGGCAAAGTTCATTGCTCTGCTTATCTTTGAAAGGTGCTCCATCGAGTGCTCAAAGGGACGATCAATCGCCGTGATATGAATCAGATCATCCTTGGTCATACTTCCAAGAAGTCATCGTATCCAAGAATCCCTCCAATTGTTGTTGATTAGTACTATTGACAGGTTGTAGAACATCTAATCAATAGTACTACAAATGAATGTAGAATAATTCTAGCATATTTTAGTTTCAGATCAATATGATTGATTGACTGATAGAACCTGGAACCTTCAATAATCAATCATTTGATTGACCGATGTGGCTGCAAAAAAAGCCCATTTTGGTGTTTTTGGGGGTCAATTAAATGATTGACATCCCTTCCACCTAGTGATGGAAAAGAGTTAGATGATAATGTATTTAAACTAAGTTAAGTTGATTCAATTATATAACAAAATAACAATAATAATAAGAACTATACAGTAATTTTATAATAGTAATAACATAATATTTTAATATTATAACTTTAACTAAACATGAACTCAAGAGCCTTAACCAGATACCTCAGATCTTCCCCAAAGAATATCCCAACACCTCTAATCAATTGTAAACCACTTAAATACCATCAAAAGATTAGTGAAAAGGTAATTAATCTACTATTCTCCTCCTTATTGTATTCTTACTAATTAATACATTATCCAATATTCAAATAGACTAATGATTTAATACTTTCATCTGGACTCCTTAAAGTCTGGAAAATTGAACAAGAATCTTTGCCAGTTCCCCATGTTCAACTAATGTTCCAAAAGATTGGTGACACCATCAATGAGTTAACAAAGATGATCATATACCATCCAGGTCATTTGGTTGATACCATAACTGGTAAAGATGAATCTGATCAAAAGTCTGATAAAGACAACGCCAATCCCACCAGTATTGAAGTGGACCAGACTCCAAGTGTCTGGTTGTGATAATAATAAATAATCTAAAGTATTTGTAACAAGTCCAAGGACGATGAGGTTGAGTAGGTTTTGGTTTAGATCCTATCTTTGAAAGTTTATTGGGAAGACGACCATCGTGGGCTAGTGGAAGGAGTGGACGACAAGTGTTTAGTTCTTGGCGGCGGCGACCTTCTGCTTCTTCTGGTGCTTCATTGGGCCCATAACCTTGAACTTCTCCTCGGAGGTCTGGAAACGACCGTGACCGAACTTGGAGGAGGTATCGATGAACTTGAGGACGACCTTCTCGAGGGCAGAGCGGGAGGTGTGCTCGTGGAGGGACTTTCTGAGGGTGAGGACTCTCTTGCGTGGACCAGCAACGCAACCCTTGACCATGAGGAACTGGAACTTGACGAGACCGTAGTTGACGAAACCGCCCATTGGGGTGATGGTCTTGTTGGTGATATCGAAGGCGGTGGCACCGGTTGGGAGCAGGGCACCCTTCTCTGGCTGAGCCTCACCGATACGGTAGATCTTCTTGTTGGTCTCGACACGGTGATGGTAACCGAGCTGACCGGCACGTGGCACGGTGGTCGAGACACGGGATGGATGCCAAGCTCCGATACAGGCAACCTTTCTCAAACCCTTGTGGGTCTTTCTTGGCAGCTTGCGGACACCCCATCTCTTGATGACACCGTTGAAACCCTTACCCTTGGTGACACCGATGACGTCGATCATCTCGTTCTCCTCAAAGATGGAGTCGACGGTGATGGTCTTCTCAAAGTGCTGGACAGCCCATGCGACCTTGTCGGCGACGGTACCTCCGTTGACCTGGATCTCGATGACCTGAGCCTTCTTCTGGCCGAGGTTCAACTTGTTGACCTGGGTGTGAGCAATGACACGGATGATGGAGCACTTTCTCTTGATGGCGGCGAGGGCACCGTCGATCGACTTCTTGGCGTCTCCCTCGTACTTCTTGGTGTACTTGGTGAAGGCCAAACGGTTGGTTGACTTGTACCACTGACGGTAGAAACGACGACGGAACTCGTTGGAGAGATGCTGAGCCCAGACGGTCTTGTATGGACGAAGACCTTGAGCGGTCTCCAAGTAACCAACCAAACCAACAATGTACATTGGTGGGCACTCCAAGATGGTGACGGCCTCGACGATCTCCTTCTTGTGCATCTTGGAACCTGGCTTCTCCAAGTCACGAACGACGTGGGTCATACCAGCCTTGTATCCCATGAAAGCAGTCAAGTGAACTGGCTTGGTGCGGTCATCCTTTGGGAAGGACTTAATCTTGCCTTGGTGTCTGGCGGCCCTCTTTCTTGGGAGGAAACCCAAGTTACCGTGACGTGGAGCTATATTATGTTGGTGATAACATGTTAATCATCTGTATCTTCGTTCTGTATCATCATCCATCATCGTCATCGTGATTCGCAAGTCTGAAGATGTTGTTGAGTCGATTCGTTCGAGTTGAGTTGAGTTGAGTTGAGTTGATTGATGATCTATTGATGTCGATAGGTACCTTCAAACTTTCTGTGAGACATTGTTCGATAGGAGTAGGATCAGTCTGTGATTGTCGTGATAATAATGGTTCAAACGGATGTTTGATAACAGAGACATCCACTGCAGCAGCCACACACAGACACGACCATCTCGTCTTCAAAAATGTTTTCAAAATTCAATCAAATCATTTTTCCAATCGTTTGAGTAAAACAAACGTTACTAATCCTCAATGATCGTATCATCATATTACAGGGTGAGTTAAACAGAGAATATATGTTGTATACATACACAATTGATCATCAATTCAATCATTCTGTTCTATTCATCACAATCTATCATTCAATCATTCAAACAATCAATCATTCTTTTTTTATTCAATCAACCAATCTAAACAAACAAGTAATAATAATAATTGACAACCAATAATGTTCTTTGATACATCATCATATATTTAGGTTTTAATGACATTGATGGGTTTACCCATTGGACATCATCGGGTCAAACAAACAAACAAACAAACATGTACATTGAATTGGTTTCATCATCATTATAACCCTTGACGTCAACGATCGTGTTTGATTTTGACTTGGACAATGCAAAGACACTGTATTGATCAAGGGTCCGATCAATCACACTCTCACCCACAAAGTTTGGCCTTAACCTCAAACCCTTGAAATCAATTTCTGAATGTTCGCTGCTGATGAGCTGTGATGTAACGTCCACATAATGGAAATCAACCAGTTTATTTCCGTTCCCATACCCATCTACATAATTATACCTTACACTGACTATAACCTGATCAATCAGTCCAAAGTAAGTCAGTGTTTACAACATTGCCTTTGTGTGTCGGTCTCTGTGTATGTTGTTTGGTTGTTACTCCGACAAGTAGTTGGGTTCAAGTATCTTCATCATCATCAACATCATTACACAACATATATATATATATATAATGTATAAACAGATACAGATACATAGTTATAATAGGATGTTAGGATGTTTCATACTTTTAGTGTTGGCAACACTTTGTCACACTACAAGTGCCGATCAGTTAATATATCAGAATGGATATGGTTCCACCATTATAGATACTTCCAAATCAACAGTGTTACAAAGTACAGCTTGTGATATGGTGGCCACATCATGTCTGTCAATGACATCAAACAACAAGAATGGTAATGCCCCGGGCCCGCCACGAGTCCTTCCATCACACACACTCACACACTCTCACACTAACACATGATCACACAGACTATGTCCAGTTAACATCATCACCAGCATATGACTCAACCAGTAATATGTATATTGAGTTTGCTATCAATGTAGCATCACCTGGTTCTGGAGGATCATTAACTCCTTTGGTCACAGTGTCAATTGGCACTGTTAGTGGCTCATTGGTACAACTTGACAACACATACTACTTGGCCAACACCAATATGTATGGACAGTTCCAAGGCGCAAGGATCAAGTTGAGCGAGTTGAACATTACCACAGCAACTCAATCATTCAATGACATTCGATTCCAAGTGGCACAGGGTGGTGCCGAGGTCAGGTTGGCCAGCATCAAGCTGGTTCAAACTGCAACATCGATGCTCCCATTCGGTTTCGTACCAGTTGGTCCTACTGGCGCAGCCTCAGGTCATGTCATCAGTGGAACACCTGGACCTGACAATGGTATAATAACACCACCCCCAAGTGGTGGTGGCGGAAGTGGCAACGGTAATGGACTGGACAGCAAGACAATCATTATAATTGTGTCTGTGGTGGTTCCAGTGGCTGTTGTATCGATTGTTGTGATGGGCTTCATGCTACATCGTAAGAAGAAACAGAGCAACTTGGAGAAGTATGTCAGTGATCTCTATGAGGACTCGACCACTGCATCCGAGTCTGAGCCGCCACCTCCAATGTCCCCAGCAGTGGCTCCTGTACAGATGCAAGTGCGACCAATCATACCACCAAGGCCACCATCAATGGAGCAACAGCGTCCACCAATAGAGCCAAGGATACAGAAGGATCTTCCAGCAATCCCCACCAACACTGACAACTTGGTGGCACGTACTCCAGACACCTCGACTCAGGCCAAGACCAAGTTGCACAAGTCTGAGCCACCTGCACTCCCAAAGAAGCCAAGCATGAACATGGACTCAATGTCACCATTCATTCCCGAACATTCATCCCAACAACCTACCGCCCCAACCAGGCAGCCACCATCTCCTCCACAAACATCTTCTTATTCACAGTTCCCTCAGTTGCCGCCATTACCAGAGCACTTATCTCACCAACCTACCGCCCCAACCAGGCAGCCACCATCTCCTCCACAAACCTCTTCATATTCACAGCTCCCTCAGTTGCCGCCATTACCAAATCAGGTTTCACCAAGGTCTTCGACCAATCAACTCCTTCAGTTGCCGCCCTTGCCACAGGTACCTCAGGTCTCTCCACGGCAGTCATCACCCCCACTGCCTCAGTTGCCACAGTTACCACAGTTGCCATCGACTAGACAACTGCCTACTACACCAACACTGCGGAAGACCCCGCCAGCGAGGAAGTCTGTCAATGGATGTTATAATGGCGGTAGGGTGTTTGGACAGCCACTATATGCAGGATGTCACAGTGGCACCAATGTACCATTCGTCATACTGGAGACAATCAACTCACTACTACAATGTGGCGCAATCAATGAGGTTGGAATCATGAGACAGGCTGGCAGCAAGACAGAGGTGAACTCGTTCATCGAGAGATATAATAGAGGCGAACAAGTTGATTTGGAATCAATCAGTGATATACATGGCGTTGGCGATATACTAAAGAGATACCTACGTGAGCTGCCCGAGCCAATCATACCCAAGACACATCGATCGTTAATGGATCAGATTGCAGCTGACGAGTCTTACGAGAATCAATCGATACTGTTGCGAGGCTTACTGGAAACACTGGACAATATACAGTGTGCCACGTTGGCGTCATTGTTTGGATTCATTGCACAGGTGGCAGCCAACTCATACACAAACAAGATGAGCAACTCTAATCTGGCAATGGTCTTTGCGCCAACACTACAGATCCCGCCAGACTTTGTCGATGTGCTGATCAAGCACTCGGAGGAGTTGCAACAGTTTATTTAAAGGAAGGGTGTCGTCCATGGACTGGCTGGCTGGCAAGCCAACGATCGGTAGTCTGCTGGCCACATCACCAAAGTGTACCAAATAGTAGTTGTAGTCGGAGCAGTTATTGTCGACAATAAACATTAATGATATATGACTATAGTGGTCCACTGCTAATGCAACTTCCATGATCTTGATTGATTGATCACATTAGTCCATGACTGGATTTGAATGGTGAGGGCATGTCCACATCCTCTGGTGAGTCGTCGTCTATAAAGTCTGATGGGCGAGGCTTGAACTTCCTCAGGTGTTCTGGGAACATGACATCAATCAGTTGGTCATCCTCATCGTCATCGCAAAGTAATGCCGACACATTGGTCTTATCCCTGTCCTTCTTCTCCTGTTGGTCCTTGCTACTACTGCTCCTCCTCTCCTTGTCTTTGCTTCTCTCTTTATCCTTGCTCCTTTCCTTCTCCTTCTCCTTATCTCTGCTTGATACTCTATCTTTATCCCTATCTTTGCTCTTACTACTGCTGCTGCTTGATGTGGTTGATGTCGATGTTGATGATGCTTTGCTCTTCTCCCTCTCCTTGTCTCGACTGATTCTATCCCTATCCTTCTCTGAGCTCTTGGGACTTGAATGTTCCTTGGCCTTCTCTCTGTGTTTGTCTGATGTTGGTGTCTTCTCCTTGTGCTTGTCCTTGACAACCTTTGTCTCCTTCTCCTTCTCCTTTGTCTTGTCCTTTACAACCTTTGTCTTATCCTTCTCTTTCTCCCTCTCCTTGTCTTTGCTTCTCTCCTTTGGCTTCTCCTTATCTACGTCGCTTACTTTGGTCTTCTCCTTGAGCTTTGTCCTGTCTTTGTCTTTGTCCCTGACCTCTGATGACTCCACTGACTTCCTGCTCTCTCTATCTTTGCTGTCCTTGTCCTTGGAAGACTTTTCCTTCCTCTCAGTGTCCTTGTCCTTTGTAATCAAGGGTGTTGATGGCGTCTTGGGCGTTGTTGGTTCCTCAGAGGACTTTGTGGATGTTGTTGGCGTTGATGGGGATGAAGTTTCCAGCTGAGCCTTTAGCAAGGCACTCTTCCTAACTGAGGAGTATGCAGCCGAGAGTAGCTTGGCATTGAGCCAGCCACCAGGGAAGAGATTGACAATCTTCTTGTAGAGATGTGATCGTTGTGTGACCTCTGCAATGACCACTGCTTCGGCACCAGCCTTTGCAGCACGAACAGCCGCTTCATTCTTCAAGTCCACAATCTCCTTGTTCAAGTTGACAATCTGATATATCAATGACTTGCTAGTCTTGCTGAACTTGTATTCCTTCTATAATATGATTGATTGAGTGAGCGAACGAACTTGTGATGGTCTGATCGACAACACTTACACTCTCTGTATCTTGAGCCTTCTCCTTCTCCACCAGCTTCTTGAATGTCATCAGTAGTTCGTTGATCTTATCCACGTACTTCCTGATTGTCTTCTCTGTCTTGTTGACATGTGTCTCTCCAATCTCCTCCCATGCCTTCTTCAAGTGTGCCTAATGATTGGTTGATGTGATGATTGAATGTCAGTGATGTTTGAATGGATGATCGTCAGTGCATGGTCAAGCATACTCTGATTGTCTGCTCTTTCAGTGGCCAGAATGTTGCAATGCGTGTTATGATATGGCCAGAGAGATGTCCTTGTGAGTTGGTACTGGTAACAGCTTCATATATCTTTGACAACAATGGTCTTATCTTCCTTGGAAGGTTCTTTAGGTCATCAGGGACTGTGTAATATTGAGTTAGTGATCATCATCGTCCACATCGTCATCATTGATCAACATCCAATCCAACAATGTAGATAACATACAGTTCTTAATCTCTGTCTCTAGACTCTCCAATAACTTATTGATTGTCTCTTCGTAATCGCTTGGTATTGGTGTTGCTGCGGCACCTGTGCTGGGCTTGACCTTCTTGATGGTTGGTGCAGCGGACGATGTCGATGTCGATGCAACCTTGCGCTTCTTTGATGAATCAGATGTCTCTGCATACTCTGTTGACCTAAAATCATCGTCATCCTCCTCATCTCTCTCCTTCTGCTCCACATTTCCAACATGTACAAAGAAGCCACCATAGTTGGTCTCTACATCCGAGTCATAGTTCATCTGTTCAGGTACATGGTTAGTGAGTGAGTGAGTGAGTGATCATGTGATCACATTCAACAATCCAATGAATCTTACAATCTCTGTGTTGTCAATGAAGCTGTCATCGCTGTCGTATTGTGAGGACTCATCGTCGTCATCCAGTCCACGACGCTCAATCTTGCTGATGACATCTGTCAGACGGTTCTTGGATGGGGCGTAGGGTATGAAGTCGTCAGACGATGTGGAGAGCCTCAGAGCATCACCACTGCCAGCCTTTTGATAGAATGATTCGCTAATCCTCAGCTCATCCTGCTTCCGCTTGAAACTATGTGCCTCCTTCTGTAACAGTGATCGGTAGTCGACCTCACGGTTGCAGGCGGCCAGGTCGACCTCCAGTCTGAATGTCTTGGCTGGTGCATTACCCGCCAACATCTCAGACACCATCGACTTTGGTGTCGGTGATGTTGGTATGATTGGTGATGTAGATGAAGTTGTTGTTGTTGTAGTTGTCGTTGTTGATGTTGATGTCTGAGATGACGATGATGTTGTAGATGGTGGAGTGGATGGGATAGCTGTTACAGAGCCATGTCCATTTGAAGACATTGATGATGCTGATATCATATCAATGTCATTGCTTGCTGATGTCGAAGATGTTGTTGGTGATGTAGTATTTGATTGCATCAAACTAGATAACTTTGATGGTATAACAAAGGAAGACTCCTTTGTACTTGATGAGGTTTCCATTCTCCCTGTATCTTTTCTGATCTATATTATGTATATTTATATGTATATGTATGTACAGTTATTAATGTTAAATGTAATAATTAAGATTATCTGTACATATTTTATCTGTTTGGCAATAACATCAATGAATTTTTATTCAACAAGTCAGATTGGTTTTGAGCTTCACTCAATTTTGTTGGTCTTTCGGGTCCACATCCCTTCCATCTCCAAGTTCAAATTACAACACAAACTCAACCAATTCATAAGGTGTAGTCTGATCATTGTTTGATTGATTCATGAATGATTAGACTTAAGTTGACTAACATCTGATTCAAATGTCAATGTGAATGAATGAATGATTGATAGGTATTATTAGATCAAATCGATTACATTGACATTGACACTGACATTGACATTGATTTTATTACTCGGGTATCACTCAATGTAGATACTCTGGTGGTTGACACCAATCAATGTGAGTTGAAAGGAGTGAGTGGAGTGTGTGTGTTGGTTGGGAAGACAATAAACACAAGTGAGGTAGATGAGGATCAATGCACATTGGACCATGCCACAACACACAGCTCGGGGTGTCAGTGTCAGTGTGTTAATGAACGGACATTGAATCGAGCCGGCTAGTGGGAATGAGATGTTGAGTGATAGGTGTGTGCGTGGGTTGGAGTTTGTGTGTTAGAGTTAGTGTGAATCTTCTTCATCCTCAATCAATCACACAAGGTGTGGATTGTGTACCTAATACTGATCAATCCACACTAGTTGTTGTTGCAGAATGATTGAATGAATGAATGAATGAATGAATATTATTGTTGTTGTTGAAGGATGGATTGATCCACTGCTGCTACTGCTGCTTTCTTACAACTGAACACTCTCACACTTCTGCACACATCATACAACTACCTTCTCTGTTTGGGGTCCAATCCAACCAACCGCAACAGAGCCGGCCATTCCGCGAGTTCATTTATAGCTACCACCTTGTTTGTTTGTTCTTCTTCTTCATCTTCTTGTTGTTGTTGTTGTTATTTGTCACCACTCTGATCAATCAATCAACAACATCAACATAATTCATTAATTATTATTATAATCATTGTCTTTTTATATATTTATATATTTATATATATCTATATCTATAATATATTTTCAAGATCATTCAATCATAACATTCAATCAGTCAGTTATTCAGTCAGAGTGATAGAGTGAGAAGTGTTTCTTGATTGGCCTGGGAAGAGAACAAGTCATTACCCTTGCCCTTTGCCCTCGAGAACACCCCCTCCTGCACCCCATTCCCATTTCAATCTAAAGTGGATTTCATTTAGATTTTATTTTACGTTCATATTTCACAACAAAGAGGGAACTGCCCACATTTGAGAGAAACTCACAACTCATTTCATCTCTCTCACCATCATTTATCACTTTCCCCATCCATCTTAATTATATTTTTATATATATATAAAAATACATATACAGATATAAATATATCTATCTATATGTATTTGAAAAACAACAACAAAAATATAACAAAAAATATATATTACAAATAATAATAATAATAACTTATAATAATAGATTGTATAAAGAAACAGCAGCAGGAATTTAGTAGTGACTTGAAGAGAATGTCACCAAGTTCAGACTCTAATGATGCTGGTGAGGTGGCCGTCAGTGAACCAACGACGGCAAGCGAATTGGCAACGGCCACCTCAACAGTGTCAGCGTCCGCTCTGTCCTCATCGGGATTGCAGAGTAAACCTTTGTCAATCCCCTCGCCATTGGGCGGTGCAGGAAGCAGCAGCAACAACATCAGTAGCATCGGAAGCAACAGCAGTAGCAGTGGCAGTAGCAATGGTGGCAGCCTAAACTCATCGTCTGGCGCGCCAAACCCTTCTACCTCCCCACCACTGTCGGATATTGAACAATATCTCACTGCCTACAACACTGATCTTCCCGAGTTGGTGGTGGCCGCCTGTTGGTGGGCCGACTCACTCGGTAAACTCAATGGAAACATACCAAAGGAGAACATACGTCGCTTCCGAAAGGAGCTGATCGTCGGACTCCGAGACCGCACCAAGGGTCATTGGTATCCGGACGCGCCCGAGCGAGGACAGGGCTACCGCGCTGTCATCTGCGAGGAAACCACCGATCGCCTGTTGATCGACGCCGCCAAGCGATCGGACATACACGGCGACTTTAGAACGTTCTTTAAGCAGAACACCACAATGTGGATTGACCCTGGCAATGTAACATACCGACATGGAAAGCACTATGAGAAGACACTGTACCCTTTCAACAGCGCCATTAGCAGCAATGTCAACAGCAACAGTAATATAAGCGCTGGCAGTGGCACCGGCAACACCCTTGGAGGGAGCGCTGGCAGCCTGCTGACCGGCCACAGCACACCGTCGTCAACCACACAGCACCGCACCAAGAGCTCGTCACCATCACTGTCGTCGCTCGCACCCATCTTTTCACCGTCTTCTCCCTCTGTATATCAACAACTCTTCAATTCACCTCCTGCCTCACCTGCCGCAGTCACCAAGGACCAACAGGCCCCCAACATTGTATATTCTTCCAATGCCGCAGCATCAGTGGCCGTAGCCTATAGCAACGCCGCTGTCTTTAGCAACAGGAATCCAATAAAAGTGTACCAACCATACCATTCGTAATATCCAATCCTTCCAGCACTTATCAAGTCATAGTTGTAGTCATAGTCGTGTGGTCTTGTTTGGGGAAGAAACGGATTATGTTATCCTTTAATCGATCCTATATATGCTATTGCTGCTGTTGCGGCTGCTGCTTCCTTGCCTGCTGCTGCTGCTGTTGCTGTTGTTGCAAAGGTAGGGATGTGGAAGAGAGAGAAAGAGGGAGAAAGAAAGAAAGAAGTGTGGAGGTGTGGAGATGATTGATTGAGAGGGGGATGGAGGAAAAGAGTACACGCTGGCATTGGTATATCCAACAGGCGGCTGATGGGTTGTGCACAACAACATCATCATGCCTCTTTAAATGGAACATATCTTCTTCTTCCTGTTCTGGTTGCCTCCTCCGACTGGCACGTTGCCTTCGTCTTTCTTTGGTGTGTCTTGGATATCTGCGAGTCTGTTCTTTATGTCTCTGGCCATCGAGTGGAAGCATTGCTCGACGTTTGTGGCGTTCTTGGCACTGGTCTCGATGAAGGGGATGCCCATGCTGTCGGCGAAGCCCTTGGCCTGGTTGGTGTCGACCACTTTCTCATTTACAAGGTCGGTCTTGTTGCCGACCAGCAGTTTGTTGACGTTCTCGCATGCATATCTGTCTATCTCGCCCATCCACTGTTTGACGTTGTTGAAAGAGTCCTGATCGGTGCAGTCGTATACCAATATAATGCCCTGTGCGCCACGATAGTAACTAGATGTAATAGTTCTGAATCTCTCCTGTCCAGCAGTATCCCACTATAAATATTTGATTGATTGTGTTGATTGATGTGTAAGTATGTATGTATCGCACTAGAGTTGAGGATATCATTCAATCATATGATGATGATGATGATAAACACATACGATCTGCAGCTTTATAGTCTTTCCATCAAGGTTCAATGTCTTAATTTTCTGTTGTCATTGAATGTAAATGATTGTGTGATGATGTTATGTAAGTCAAAGTTGTCCCATTGACGAGCGTAGGTTAAGCTAGTACTTACAAAATCTACACCGATGGTACTGATATGCGTATCGGTCCATGAGTCATCCTATAAGTAAGTTGATATGAGTGAGTGAGTGAGTGATTGATCGAGTCGAATCGAATGATTGATTAAGTTGAACATACTGCGAATCTAAGCAATAGACAACTCTTGCCTACTCCACTATCGCCAATCAACAGGATCTTGAAGAAGAAATCACTGAAAGTTAAGTGAATGAATGACGGTCATTATGTTAGTAATTGTTGACTCTGGCTCTCCGAGACTAGATCGATCGGTCATTATTGTCGATCGATGCGTGTCATGCCCCTAAACTTACTGCTCTGGTGCCATGTTGTTGTTGTTTGTATATTGTTCTGATGTTTATAAATAACTAGATAGGTAGATAGATAGATAAACAGAGAAGAAAGAGATAAATTAAATGTTGTGTTGCGCAAGGATCTGGCAGGGAGGGAGCGTGGCTTGTTTTGTGGGAGCAAAGTTAGGACACAACAAGTGTTTGGTTTGGTTGGTGAGCGTGAGTTGAGAGTGAGCGTGTGGTGGTGCGATACGAGTGTGAGTCAAGAATGGACTTGTTTCTTTCCTTTCCTCGACCTCTTTGAATTGAATTTTGTTTGTTTTGTTTAATTTTAATTTCGAAAAATATCATTCAAATAAAATCGGGCCGACTATGATGATGCAGTGATGTATGTGTGTTCAGTGAATACTTATCAGTGATCGATGTTGAGATGACAGCCTAACCTTTGAATGAACAAAGTAATAACTTTGTTTCTTTGATTGAATGTATCCGAAATGATGTGTGATTCAAACTCTTCTAGTTAATTGGAAAAGTGATTGATTCGAATTAATAAGATCATCTTCACAATCAATCAATCAATCAATCAATATTGGTTGGGTTGTCTTTGTTTGGCAAAGTAGGTCCATCACCACATTTGCTTGGTCAAGTGCAATGATGATGAATACACATTGAGGTCTTGGACCCTCCAATCCAAGTTGAATCACTTTGTGTGTTTTTTTGATGAATCAAAAGTCGACTGAACTGATCAGGTTGGGAACTGACTAGCAACCCAACCAACACATCACATGACCTCTCATTCATTCATTCATATCAATCACACTCCTTAAACATATAGATACTTATACAGATATATACAGACATAAACAAAGAGATGATTGATCAGGTATTGGAATCATTCACACAGGTTAACTTTAGTGAAACATACTTCTTGGCATCGATTGCCGTGACGGTTGGTCTACCAACATGGTGGAACATCGTTGCCAGACAAGAGTACAACACACATTTCCTCACACGTCTATGTGGTGGACCATACCGCGGCTGCTACTTCCTAGCCTTCCTTATCTTTTCTTGCAGTCTTGTTCGTGATTACATGTAAGTTGATTCATTGATTGATCGTTTGATTGTTTGATCACTCACACTCAAACATTCACAATATAAAGGTTCAAGGAAGCGATTACACATCAGGCTAGATTGGACTTGTTGGATTGCGAATTGGTTAGATATATTGCTTATGGATTGTTTGCTGTTGGTGCTGTGTTTGTGCTGTCGTCATACCTTAGACTTGGAATCACTGGCACTTATTTAGGCGACTACTTTGGCATTTTGATGAAGGAGCGCGTCACTGGATTCCCCTTCAACGTCATGTCAAACCCAATGTACAATGGAGCCACCATGATGTTCCTTGCCACTGCACTCTGGGAGTGCAGTCCTGCCGGAATCATCCTGGTGGGCGTCGTCTTTGTCGTCTATCGCATCGCTCTCATCTTTGAAGAGGATTTCACTCATCACATCTATGCTAGTCAGGCTCAAAAGAAGAAGGCCACCGCCAAGAAGGCTCAATAAAGGTCCACGAGGTCCATCCATTCAATCAATCAATCAATCAATCTGGAACTATTCCACTGGAACTATTCCATCTACCCCACTCCATGACACCACTCAATCATCAAACATTCGTGATCATGATGATAACTTTACAAAAGGGTACCCTATGTTTATTATTATTAATATATTATATGTTGCTGGCCATGGAAGACTATGGCTTTATGATGGCCCACCTCCAGCTGCAGCCTCGAGAAGAGCACTCTCCACGAGGAATGAGGCAACATGACGAATGAAGTTTCCGGCAGTCGTTGTCGTTGCTGTTGTAGCAGATCCACCTGTTGTTGTAGTGGACGTCGTGGCGCCCTTCTTTGTCGTTGACGCCTTTGTCGTCTTTGTCGTCGATGACTTTGTTGTCGTTGAAGTGGACGTTGTTGCTGCCGTCGTCGACGAAGTTGTAGGTGTTGCCGATGATGTAGTTGATGTGGTGGAGGTTGTGGAAGTGGTACTGGTCGTGCCAGTCTTTGTTGTTGAAGGTGTAGTAGTAGTTGAAGTAGTTGTAGAAGGTAAGGTTGTTGTAGTTGTCAGCCCTGCCGTCGTAGTAGAAGTTGTGGAGTTTGTATCTGTACAGTTTGCGGCACTGCCCTCGCAGGAAGTGCTCGTGATGATGTAGTTTGGATCGGTCGTGACGCTGAACTTATCGTCCATCTTTGGCTTGTAAATGCCCAAGAACAACGATGTGCCTATCAACAGCAACACGATTACCGACACTGCAATTGCGCATGTGATGAAGAATTTCTCTGTTGGAAGGTTGGGGAWTTGGTTAGTGCATGGTCCATGATTGATCGATTGATTGAATGAATGGATACATACTCCTCTTCCTGCTGCGCTCGATCTGGCGTTCCAGCTCATCGACCTTGCTGAGGACTTGCTCTTTGTTCTTGTCAATGTTCTTGTCCAGGATGTCCAACTCGATCTGGACTGTGTCCACCTTCTTGGACAACTCTTGGGTGGCTCCGATGTTCTCCATGAAGATGGCATCCTTGTTGACCATCAGGAAGTCCTCGACCATGGTACCGTCGTTGAGTGTGCGGTCGCCAGTCACCTTGACAGCGGCTGGTATCACCTCTTGCAGCTCCTGCGCCAGGACACCGCGGTCGTTGGGGTCAGTCACGCCGGTAGCGGCGGTCCACGGCTCAATGAGAGCGTAGTCGTAGATCTTTAGACGGTTGACGCGATCAAGCTGCTCGGCCGTGTCAACAGCGCGGATGTTTTGCTTGACACGCTTGTCACTCGGTGTGAACAGGATGCCAGTGACCGACACGTTGCCGTGCACAGAGAGAGCCTCGTGTGGCTGCTCATTGTTGATGCCGACGTTACCGTGACGGTAGACACCGCCCTGCTGGTTGGCAGTCCAGGTGGCGCACTCGTCACTGGCCGACGTCACTGAGGGTGGCGCCATCTCAACGGTCGTGCAACGGCCGCTACTTGGGGTGCCCGCATCCATGTTTATGTTTTGCGAGGGAGAGAAGGAGGAGGCAGTCATCGTCGTCGTCGTCATTGTTGGCGAGGTCAGCGGCGATGTCTGGTACGGGTCTCCGAGCATGTAGCCCGCCGGTGTGGATGCCAGGGGCGATGGGGACGGCGATGAAGATAGGTGGGAGTACATCATGCCCTGCTGCTGTTGTTGTTGTTGGTCGTATGGGTGCACTTGATGCTGGGTTGTGGGGATAGCCATAGCCAAAGGAAGGTCTTGGCCCGTGGGAGGTGGTGGTTGTTGTGGTGGTGGTGCTGAGGGCAAGTGGCGAAGCCAACATTGTGGAAGAGGCATTTGCCCTCATATGAGAGTTTGGGTCGACTGAGCAGTTGTTGTTGTTGTTGTCGAGGTGTTGTGATGGTGATGAGTGATGATGTGATTGTGGTGACGAGAGATGGCTAGATAGGGCTGGGGCCATGGCCATTGGCATTGGCATGTCCTCAGATGGTTGTGATGGCGATGATGATGTCATGGCACCAAATCCTCCACTACCACCGACCATCTGTTGCTGTTGTTGGCTCAGTGGCGATGAATGTGGAGATAGATGTAGAGGTGATGGATGGTTCGTGAAGCTATCATTCTTTGATGATGATTGCTTGACAAGTGGTGTGGACATTGACGCGCCGGCAGGGGATGTTGACATCAGTACACCACCAGCCAGGTCCATGGAATTGGACTCTAGGAGTGACGATTGCAATCCGGATGAGGACGACGCCGCCATCGAAGTGACCAATGGCGACTCATCAGAGCCGCCAGTCTGTGAGGGCGAACCGGGCATGACCATCGTGCCTCCCTCAGATACTTGTACGTTGGCCGGGTGACCAGTACGCACGATCAGTGGATCAGAGATGTATGAGCAGATACAGTAGTCGTGGCCTTGGTAGCGAGCCGAGATGGTCAGCACCAGTCGGAAGAACTCCTGCTGAGGGTTGGGCTGCTTGTGCTTGCGTGCGTTGTTGGATGTGGCCTTACGGAAGTGCAGACGGCTGATTGTCACGCGATCCGAGGTGATGGCGACGGGTGGAGGCAACTTCTCCTTGTTCTTCTCACGCTTTGAGTTGGTCTGGTACAGTTCGACCTCAACCTCCTCGGTGGGCAGCACCGTCGAGCCGGTCTTGACGCCACGGATGCTCATGTACAGGCCCTCGACTGGGCAATCTATTCCATTAATATTGATCATAGGGTGTGACTCCTCCATCTTTATCATATGATTGATCGTGATGCCCAATTGGAAGTGATTCCTTCTATAATACACCCAAGAATTGTCCACTGTTGAGTATGAGAATCCCTTCTCTGCCAGCACTGATATCTCTGGTGGGCGTCTAATTCGGTTTGATTGATTGATTGAGTTAGTGGACATATGATTGATTGATTGAATGAGTGGATGAGTGGGACTTACAAGTCTGTACGAGAGGTGTATGAACCGATCCTGTGCCAGTAGTCCTTGCAGTATGGCAACCAGTGGAATGTGTGTGAGCTGTCGATCACATAACGTCTCTTCTTGACATTGGCCTGTGCCGATGAGTTGGAAGAGTCCTCATCACGGCTGGTCTTGTGTGACGATGATGATGAACCAGATGATGGAGATGTCGACGAATTGATTGTAACAGGTGATCCATATGTCTTTCCAGTATTATTACTATTACTATTATTATTACTATTTCCACCAACACTGGTCAATGATGGTGTTGGTGATGATGATGAAGATGCAGATGTAGATGACTGTGTTGGCGTCATCGTTGAATTGATTGATGCCATTGGAATTGGAATAGTTCCAGAACTATTTGTCTGCAATATGTCAAATTGTGGAAACAGTGATGATGGAGACGTCACTTCTGGCACGCCCAAATAGCTACATTGATTGTGATTGATTGGAGTAATTTCAGTAATCGGTGTAATAGTCGGAGTAATAGTTTGGATTGATTGAAAGATTGATTAATTGATTATAAGTCCATGTACGAAAGAGTTGACCACGGTTGCTTGTACAATTATTGATTCGTAAAAAAAAAATCCAAGTCGTGCCTGTGTAGGCCATCATGTGTGGGACCTTAGTCCTTCCTGGACAAAACACAGCAAAGGCACTTTCAATCAATCATTCCATCATTCATTCAATCAATCGGTCAAACAATCGGTCAATCGATCATTGGAGTTGGAGTTGTAGTTGGATGCTGGATGTTGGATGTAGGTGGTGCAAGTGATTGGTGATAGACTAGACACGACAACGACACATACCTTATACTATCGCTTGGTAACCATGATGTTGGCTGTTGTTGCTGCTGCTGATGTGTAATTGGAATATGTCCACCAACTCGTTGTTGCTGCTGTTGCTGCTGCTGCTGTTGTTGTTGGAATTGAAAAAGTTGAATATTATGTTGTTGTTGCTGTTGTTGTTGATGTTGATGTAGTTGATGGGTATGTTGTTGACCATCTTGTAAATTATAAGGGTTGATGATGGGTGCACCACCATGCACCTGTTGGTTAGCACTGCCATTTTGATTGGTGGCACCACCGAATAGTATGTTCTGTTGATACATGTTATTAAAACAAGCTGTTTGCTATTAAGCTCGCCTCGTCTCTCTATCTCTGTCTGTCAGTCTGTCTGTCTGTGATATAAAAAATATATAAATAAATCTCTCCTTTCTTATGACAAGTCAGAAGACATGTGGCGTCTAGATTGACTCTCTTTGAGTCTGCTGTAAGTATGTATGTATGAATTATATATATAATTAAATAGATAAATAATGTGTTGTTGTGCGTTTATGAGTAACTAAATAGTCTAGTCTTCTTGTCTTTAAGTTGTTTGTGTTGGTGAATAAAAAGGCAGGCGACCAAGTGTGTGGCACATAAAGGGAGTGTTTGCTTGGTTGATAACAACAACAACAAACCAAAACCAAACACCTTTAAGCTGAGTCCCTTCTCTCTATCCGCCTCCTCGCCTACATCCCAACACTGTGCCCCTATCCTTCCGTGTAGTTATTTAATTATTTTTTTTAATGTGTTGAGAGAGTTGGATTGATCAATCATACAAACACTCTCACACACACACAAAAATACGATCAATGGTGTCTTACCAGATCCAAAAAAATCCGGTCATCAACTTTGCGGACCACACACCACTAATAGTTGATGATTTTTTGTTGTTTTTGGTGATTATGATCGGGTTGGGGTGTTTTTTTGGAGGATGTGGGGCACCCCTAATTCGTTCCCATCAATCCAACAAGCAGGGGTTGTTTTGATCAGTGACGACTCTTATTGTTGGTTGGAATAATGATGGTGAGGTCATGACATTGTGATTTGTGTTGAGACTGACAGGACGATGAGTCTGTTTAGGTTATGTTGTAAGTTGTAGTTGTTGGATCGCCCGCTCTCTCTTTGAGTAGTTGTTTTATTCTGGTTCGATATGAAGGTTCATCATCGCCATCCATTGTGTGTGTGTTTGTTGGTTACATTTGTTATATAACTACTACGTTCTTCATGGAACAACAACATGACATGACCCTCTATCCATATCTCCCAACTTTTGTGGATCAGATAGAGTGTGCAGCCATCCTCATCCCTTACTCATTAGCAGGAGCAGGCTTTCCAGGGATAATCTCAACAAGCTCAGTGTCAAACACCAGATAAGCATTGCCTGGGATCTTTCCACCAGCGCCTAATAACGATTGATTGATTGATTGAATGAATGATCGAATGATTAGTCGTCATTAATGTGAGTAATAAGACGAACTAGTGAAGTGTAGTCATACCTTGAGCTCCATATCCAAGGTTGGGTGGAATGGTCAGCTTTCTCTTCTCACCAACGCACATGCCCATGAGACCTTGGTCCCATCCCTTGATCACTTGACCTGAACCAAGAGTGAACTCGAATGGAGTGCCACGATCACGGCTCGAATCAAACTTCTCGCCATTGTCGAGCAAACTACCAGTGTAGTGAATCCTCAAAGTATCTCCCTTTGCTGTCTTTCTAGTGCACTCTGCTGGACGATGCTATGAATGAATGAATGAATGAATGATTGTTGTGTTTGTTATGTCAGTCACTATTCATTGTCGATCAATCATTCAAACAAGGCAATGTTAATTGATTCAAGTGGTACTACCTACCTTGACGCCAATCTGGAGCTTGCCGGTCTTTGAGGCTGCCTCGGCAAAGTGAGCCAGACATAGAAGTGATACAATGAGTATAGCAACAAACTTGATGTTCATTATGTGATTGATATTAATATTATATTATATGTATGTAAGTATATAGATAAGATATTGAATGAATGAATGAAAAGATCTACTTCAATTTCATTTATCGTCAGAGTCTTTGAATCTGAGTGGTGACGATGCATTCGAGACCACCAAAGTGTCTTCCAAAATAGTCAGTCTGAAGGGTTGGGTTTGTTTTTATGTTTGTTGAGTCATCCATCCATCTCTTTGAAGTTTGGATGAATCTAAGTTGTTGATTGATTGAACTAACAACGTCAAAGTCAGTCATTATTGTTGTATCTGTAACTAGTTAATAATAGTAGTAGTAGTAATAGAGTAGTAATAGTTGGATTGTAATGGATAGTGATAAGATATTACAGGGGAAGAAGTATGTGTTTGTGACGGTTGGTACGACGAGATTCGAAGAGTTGATACAGGAGGTCGATAAGAAGGAGTTCCATCAACTACTCAAGAGTTTCGGTTATAATGCATTGTTGATGCAGATTGGTGATAGTAAATGTTCAATAGAGAACTCTATCAATGTTGATGATCATACATCAACTACATCAACTACATCATCAACAATCAATGGATTCACATCATATTATTATCGATTCAAACCTTCATTATTCAATGATATGAATAATAGTACACTTATAATCAGTCATGGAGGTAAGGATCATACATGTGATCACAACTACTCTGGAATCATTCCACTCACTCACTCAATCAATCATCTCAATCTCACACGATATGATCATTCAGGTTCTGGATCAATCTTGGAAGCTTTGGAAGCACATAAACCAATAGTTTGCGTTACGAATAGTAGATTGATGCATAATCATCAGGTGGAGTTGGCAGACAGACTGGCACGTTCACCTTATAGCTATTTATTGCCATGCGAGCCGGCAACATTACATACAGTGGTCAAGGATGATTTGAAGTCATACCTGGCCACAAGACAACAATTGAATGATAAGGTGATCGATAGATCATTGCGCCAATTCTGTAGACAACTCACCGAGCAGACAGAGTCACTGGCGCCACAAAGCAGCGCCAATGGTGGTGGACTCAAGACCATGGTTGTCTTGGGATCTGGTGGTCACACTGCCGAGATGTTCTATCTATTGAAGCATGTTGATCGCGACAGATTCAATCACATGACCTATGTCTTGGCCGACTCGGACAAGCGGTCAGAGGACAAGATCCACATCAATGACAAGTCTGGCAAGCTCTCAATCAAGAAGATTCCAAGGAGTAGGAAGGTTGGCCAATCATACTTTGGAAGCATATGGACAACTGTAAGTCAGGAGCCACATCAATTCGAATCATTCCACTCACTCACTCACTCACTCAATCAATCAATCCGAATCAAACATAGTTGATATCATTGATGTATTGCTTGTTGTTGGTATTCAAGGAGAGACCAGATGTTGTTATTTGTAATGGACCTGGTACTTGTGTGCCCATCGTGGTCGCAGCATACATGTTTAGGTTTGTCGGACTGAAACGATGTAAGATAGTCTATTACGAGAGTATAGCACGTGTCAATGGACTATCACTGTCTGGAAAGATATTGCAACGTGTTGCCGATTGGTTCGTCTATCAATGGCCTGAACTGGAGCATCAAATCAAGATGAACAACAAGTGTTGTAACAACATATTCTTTGAAGTGGAGCAACAGCAAAAGTTACAGCAACAGCAGCAATCAACATCATCAACAAGTCGTGCTGCTGGCAACAAGAAGGCTGATTGATTGGTCCATTGATTGATTATCATGGAATGTACAATAAATCCACCGTCAATGTACACTTATTACAACAATCATTTATGTCATGTGAGGTATAGTATGATGGCAATGTGACCATCCAGCCACATCAAGTTCTGTCCATTGATTGATCCCAATGCTTTGAATGATCATTGAGGTAATGAGTCAATCCATCCTTCCTCATGCATCGTGAGTTCGTTCATTAATGTGACTTTGTTGTTGATCCATGTTGTGAACCAAGGCATTGTGATTGATTGACTGGTAATCATATATGTATGTATTGATAGTCGATGTATCAAGATGATACAAAGTATGATAATAGTCCACCAGTAACCTTTTGTATCAGTGCCTGTCCAAATGGAATATAAGACAATGAATACCATATGACTGCCACGAACTGGAATATAACCATCATCATTGTTAATATAGTTGATTGAAGCTAGTGTTTGATTGATTGATTAGTATAAGACAATGATACTATGAGTGGTCGAGCGAACTACTTACACTCAGTGCACAATATAGAGTACCAAAGATTGAACATAAGTAGATAAGCGATGAGTATAGACGCTCTTTAGATGATGTGATGTTCTCAAGTTGTTTCTTTACACCGACCAATATCACAAGGCCTAGAATGACACAAAGACTACCAAGTGTATACAACTTGGCGAATGTCTTTGGTGCAAATATGAAGAATGTTGACTGTTTGATTGTGGCAACGCAAAGGTATGAGTACACTCAATTCTACTTCCACTTTGTTGTTGACTTGTTGACGCGTTAACATTCACATACCATGGCAATGAAGGCAATGCCCAATCCCAATGTTATAACGAATATAATGATACGTTGCATATATGAGAATGAAGTCTGTTGTTGTACCTCTTCGTAAAAGGTTGGCTCCTCTTTCTTTGTACCACCTACAGCACCTGATATCTTGCCAGAGATCTTGGACATCATGCCCTCGCCCGACTGACTCAAGTCATTCCAATATTGAGATGGAGCATTCGATGCCGTACTCAAGAATGACTGATTTGTCTTAAAGTCAAGATTATCAAGACTATAACTGTTGGTGGATGTTGTAGACATTCTTCAAGAGTGTATGTCAATCTATCTCTATCTCTATCTCTATCTCTATCTTAAATGTATGTAGTATTGATACAATATCATTGAATGTTATAAGTTGTGTTGTTTTGCACAATGACTCATTCATTCTTTCAAAGACCACTCTCCCAACAACAAATCAGCTGGTTGACAAACATTTGTGTACTACAATGATGGGTTTGCAATTGAGTCAAGTTTGATTGTGCACAACACAAGTACCCTCTGGTCAACAAATGTGTTGTACACAACGAAACTTAACTCAAAAGGCAAACCCATCATTCTTCCGACCTTGACAATATGTTAATCTATCATTGGGCGAGTATTCATGGACTTTATGAAGTCACTACAAGTAAAGTAATACGGATTGAACATCCAATGAAATAAAAAGGAGATTATCTCTATATAAATGTGGTTGAAACATACAATAGAGGGGATCTCGTTAATTAGAATTAACATATTGTTAACTTAATGTTTCATGGCCTTCTTGTTGGGGCCTATCTATAACTTTAGACTCCATCTCAATCACCACCATTGCACTTTAAAAGGGGTGTGTGTGTATTTAAGATGATGAGTGGCAATCAATCACACAATCACAATCAAGACACACTTCAAATAGGAGGTCCTTCATTCTCAAACACACAACCCACACAATGAGAGCTGTTTGAACACCTACCTTATATGTCAAATGATCATAACACACTTTACTTATTACACTACCACTTCATCCCACCCTGCCTTGCATCCAACCCACCACCATTATTACATGTGCCTGACAGCTAACCAACCATCCGTCATGTATAAATACTCTAACAAGTTGTTATTTATTAAAGGCATTGACAACCCCTCACACACTTTTGCCTAAAGTGTCCTTTAATCCCATCCCTACTCACTCCTTCTCTTGTAGTGACACATAAATAACAACCTATTGCAAAGGTTGAATGTGCTTCTACTTCCAATCACCAATCATCTCGCCAAACATTCATCCATCCTATCAATCAATCACTCCAAACATATATGGTACCATCAACTTTACAATTTTTATTATTGTTGTGACACCTTCAATAATAACAAACATATAATAATAATATAATTTATAAAGAAGATGATAAAGAGTGAGAGTGAACATATATCATCAACATTATTCCTTATACCACCAGATGAGAAGTTCTTATGTTGTAATCATGGTGGATTGATGCATACTCCTGTTGTCAATGTTGAATGTGGACATATGTTCTGTTCAGATTGTATACAAACTCTTGGATTCTGTCCAATCGATCACATGCCCATAAATACATTAGATATCAATTTCCAACTAAAGAGTATGTACTCAGTATTTCCAAAAAAGGAAATGGAATAGTTCCAATCAATCACTCACTCACTCACACAACTACCACACTCAAAACTCTCAATCAGATGAATTGGATCAATTATTATGTTATTGTAAATACGGAGTACAAGAGAAGGGAGGACATTTGTTTGTTCGCCAAGATGGTTGTGGAAGCATAATCAGCTATGGCAGCAAGCAGAACCACGAGGAAACATGTCGATACAACCCTGTCAACAACAAAACAGTGAACATTACACCCAACTCATCAGCTGAAGAACTGGCTGCCATGATGGACAACAGCAATCGCTCATCATCAAACAATAGTAACCGATCAAGTGGCAACTCATCCCCCTTTGAATCGCTTCACTCCCCATCATCTCCATTCTCCACGGGCAGTGGAGATAGCAGCTCACACTCATTCACCGTGCTCAAAGAAGAGGATGATTGTCTGGACATCAACAATCATACGACCACGACCATGAACTCTACGAACAAGACCTCACCTAGACCTTCATCAACTACGATAACGCCAAACACATTGACAAAGGGAAGTAGTGAGCCAGCCAATCCCCAGGACGTCGAAGACAGGAATCAGCTGTGGGAGTCAAGTACCAACTTGTTCTTTTGTAGCAGTCGCTTCTGCCCCAATAAGGAGAATGGTTGCTACTACTATGGCAAGACCGAGGAGAACATCAAGTACCATCTGGACAACGAGTGCCAGGCGCAACGTATGAAGAACAAGATCTCACAACTTCAAGAGGTCATCGAGAAGAAGGATGAGGAGCTCAGTACACTCCGTCATTCATCATCCGGTATCATGATGAACAGGTCTACTTCATCAATTTCATCAACTTCATCATCAACATCATCAACATCATCAACGACTACGACTACGGCCCCTGCAACTACATCAAGTGTCACACCTGGCAACGACAAACAAAAGACCATAGTGACGCAACCAGCAATAGTTGTAGCATTTTTATTATTCATTCAATCGATCAAGAAGAGGATACGCCAAGGACTCCGCAAGATCAAGAAGGTGTTATTGAGGAAGAAATATAAGAAGTTATAAACTTCCATCACCAAACGGATGGATCAACTGATCATCAAAAATGTGGATCAATCAGGTAGCTTGCACGACAGCATCATCCATGTCCACACAAATAACGATCAATTATTATTATCATCATTGGAATAAATGTAAATATTGGTATTGATGTTAATATTAATATATTTTTTCTTTTTTTTTGAACTTCATATTTTTCTTTCTGATCAAAAAACTGGAAAACTCTGAACGAGGACTTGGTTCCACACATTATACTGTTGGATACGGCCATACAAAGAATATAATACCTCATCTCGTCCGATCTGAGAAGTCAAGTTTCTTCTGGCCACCCCAGTACTCAAGTTGGAGACAATTGGGGAACATGTGGTGCTGTATTCTTTTATCACTTTTGTCATCATCTGGAACTATTCCGGCCCCCACCCCTCCAATCATTTTCTTTATTATCCTCTTTTGGTTCTGTTGAAGGAACTGACCCCACATGTCCAAGTTCGAGAATCTGACAACTAATGTTCACTTGTCACACAAACAAAGTGTCAAACAACATGAACATCATCATCCGCCCAACTGTGCTTACTCTTCAAACTCAGAATATACAAGAAAGATAGAGATAGATAGATAGAATGAGCACTCATATTAACTATACTATGGCTACATTGACATTGGCTGGAGGCATCATTGGTTATGCAAAGGCAAAGTCAATCCCAAGTCTTGTCGCTGGTACATCATTTGCACTTCTCTACACTGCATCTGGTGTTCTCATTGAGAAGAATCCTCAGATGGGTCATGGAATGACTGCAGGCATGTCTCACTCATTCATTCAATCATTCATTGACTGACCTTATTCATTCTCATTCAATCAATCAAACAGTTATATCATTGATCTTGGCATCGACCATGGGTAAGAGAGCGATCAAGACAGGAAAGATCATGCCTGGTGGTCTTGTTGCTGGTGCTGCAGCTGCAACTACAATCTACAGTGCTAAGAAGTACTATGATTGGACTTATGGTGTCTAAGTCACAATATCAATCAGTGAACGAGTATATATGAATATATAATGTTTGGGAGACACACATGCGATCACATCGTTGTTGTATTGATCACTTGATCTTCCTGGCAATAAACCAGACACAGTTAAATATCGCTTGGAACAAGGAGTCCTTGTTCTTGGTGTACTGGCAATCAATCAACTTGTACTCCTACATGTTCACGAAGTAGTGTATGTTAGCACATCATGATCATCATGGATATCGATCAATCAATCAAAACATACCAATATCTCAAAGTTATAGGACCGAACAATGTCTAGTAACTCGGTTGAGTTGAGATGGAAGGAGGTGAGCGCATCGTGATGATAGTGGAGCGGCCCATTGTTCATCCAGAGTCCGCCGACGTTCAGGATGAGATGGAAACGCTCGATCAATGTGAATATGTTCTCAACAGTGTCAATGAAGAAACTGGAACATATGCAGTCGAACTTGTTCGAGGTGTTGGGGTTGGCGTTGATGTTAGCGTTGATGTTGGTGTTGTTGGATGTGATAGTCGTTGTCGACAACGACGTGAGTGCAGGCGACACCTGCGGTGAATATATATCGAAAAAGTCACCATAAGCAAAGGACATATTGGCACCTGGCTCATCCTTCCTACCAATGGCAATGTCTGGAATCAATATCCTTCTAGTCTGCGTATGTTCATCGGTGATATTCTTGGTCTGATGTATGAATGGATACAATGTCTGAGAGTTCAGATCATTCACACTAATTGATTGATTTGATTGGAGTTAGAATTAATATGATTGAGTGGATGGAGACCATGGATGGGAAGACATACCCTCCAGAGAATATCCTCTTTAGTGCCACGATCAGGAATAGAGAGTTCTCGTTCAGTGTTGTGTGGAATCCCAGCATTGAGATGTCGTATGGAAGTCGACCCATTCCTGCACCAGGACATATGACCTTAATATCTCGACGTTGTTCCACGCTAGGGTAGTACCTTTCCAGACTCGCATAAAATGGATTGTAACTTTGTACACGCTCATCCAGTCCCTATTCAATCATTCAAAGTTAGTTCACTAAACTTCAAAATTGATCCATCAATGATGATAATACATACCTCTGAACTCCAATCACGGACAACTAGTAAGAATAGATTGAGTACTTTGTCAATGATGGTGTTGGGTCCCCATCGAACTCCACGTTTGGATGAGCTCTTGGATTTCTTGGGAGAGGGTGAGGATGATGAAGTTGAACTCTGGTAGGAGAATGATGATCCATCGTGGTAAGATGAGCCAGATTGGTATGATTCGTCATTTGAACTGTCTGATGAAGTGTTGTTCTCCTTCATCAATACATCATCGAATTCCGATGGAAACATTTCCTCTTCATCCTGAGTCAACTCTGTCTCCAACATTGATGTTGTTGTTGTTGTTGATGATAGCGCTGGGGTACTGTTATGACTGTCCACATTATGTTTCTCGACGACATCGCTTCCTGGTTCAGATAATAACCAATTAAGGAACCTTTGATTATCCTCTATCCTAGCTATGATCAACTCATACTTCCTTTTCTAATGGATTGATTGATTAATAGAGTTAATAATTATTTGATTGATTGATTGAATTATCCGAGACTTACAAAGTGTTCTTGGATTGAAGGATTGATCTGGTTTGAGTTGTGAACTATCTGGATGTTTCGTCGGATGACAGACTTGGCTGATGTTTCATACTTCCTGAATAAGGCACGGATGGTGTCCTCAACAAAGAGCATTAAAGGACGTGGAGGTGTTGGTCGTTCTGGTACCGCTTGTGACTGTAACAATGGTGTTGTTGAAGTTGATGATATGATTGAAGAGGTAGTTGTTGTAGTTGTTGTCATTGTATGATTGGCACTAGATTGAATTGGAGATGGTGATTGTGACGGTGATGGTGATTGTGGTGATGGTGGTGACGGTGATACACCTTCGTTATTGTTTGTATCCAGTCTCCACATCATCCCAATAATGTAATCCTGTCAACATCAATCAATCAATATTCGATAAACTTATATTATATATTTATATCTATCTATATATCTCAATCATATACCTGTCAGTCTATCTCTCTGTCTTGTGTGTATATGAATATGCGATTACTTGAATGACGCTGACCTCCACAAATGGCTGTTACCAAACATGTGATGTCGGTGGTTTGGGGCAGTTGTGGAACATCACGACAACGACCAAGCGATGCGGATGCGCGTTGTCCAAAAACAGGACATACGGAATGCAAGAATGCAGTGAAGTGCGCCCCACAATGAATGGCAATAATGAGACAGGACAAGGCGCGGCCTGCACTAATGTTGTTCTGTTTGTTCTAAGTTGGTCACTCAGTCAGTTCACTTCATATCCAGAGGTCACATGCACAGTCACAAGAACCCATCCATCCATCTAAATTGTAATTAATTATGATGTTTGATTTGATGTTGGCGCGTTGTTGATGGCAATGGCGTATGATTTTTCAAACACAAAGTTAATGCGTTGTCGCTCGCGCGGGAGCTAAAATAAGAAGCGAGTCAAAGGTGGTGTCCTCGTCTACAGTCTTGGATGTGGATCGATAGTATGCTGATGTAAGGTCGGCGCCTGCCTTTGATTTTGATTGCGTTTGCACTTTCGACTTGAGAAGTCGAAAGTGACTTGAAGTCGACGTGTGTGTGTGATTGATTGGATCTGGTGTGTGGTGGAACTTGGGTGTTGACTACGACGAAGCCTGCTCTCGGGACATGGCCTCGTTTGGGCCTTTGGGGTTGGTCCTCTTCATCATTGGCGTTTATATTTGACTGTCTTGTATGTTCACGTGAAACCTGAATGGATCTAATCTTGCCAATGGTGTCGACACAATGTCATGTTCACTAATTGATCTGTGCAGATTCGAGAGTGTTGTTGTGGCTGGTTCTATATATATATATATGATGGACTACACGTCCAACACTTGTCCAGCCAAGTCCAATGAGTTGATTCTCATATCTATAATATCATTGTTTCTGTTGGTGGTTGTTGTTGTTGTTGTTGATTATATGAATGTGTTAGTGTCGTCTTCCGATCATTCATTCAATCAATCAATCAATCAATCAGTCAATCATCCAAACATGGAGTTGAGGTTACACTGCTACTTACCTATTCTGTTCAACGTGTATGACTTTCTTTACAAAGTTGATGATGGATTCAACACTTCTACTACCATTGTAAACGATTGGTTGATGTGGATTCTCACTTGGGAATAGTGCAATGTATGGATACTCGTCGATACTATGTCGCAGCATGTTTGGCAATGAGTTGGTGCTACAATCATAGTCCAACACATCCACGTCCAACCTTTGTTCAGACAACTGTCTCGCTGCCTCGGCAAAATGTATGCCCATTGTCTTGCAGAATCCACACCCTAAGTGTTGTGTTGTGATGTGATTAGTGATTGTGGATTGGACCAAGTCAGCCTGCACAGCCAGTCAGCTAGCCCGCAAGACAGGATACTTACATGGAACGTAAAAGTAGACCAATGAGAGTCTGTTTGACTTGATCACATCGTCCTCAAAGCTGTCGTATACGGCCTTGATCACGTGGTTTGCTCCAGGTCGTGAGGATGGCAACAGACTATCAGACCTTCGATATGGTGTCAATTTGGATAATTGATAATCATTCATAAATTGAAGTAGGTTGACAATGTCTATCGGCATGTCTTCCGAAGTCGGGAACAAGTAATGTTCCTCAGCCTGCACATCAATAATCGCCAATCCTGGTAAAGTTGTGATACCAAGTTTGTCTGCAAAGTCTCTTGTCATCTCACTATATTTGTTTGAGTCGTCAGTACAACTCCATCAATCAATCATTCGTTCGTTTGATGTATACTTACGCATCAGCATAGAAGAAGCGGAATGTTTGTCTAAACTCATCCATTGTATCGTAGAGTGTCATTAATTCTGGAGAGTATGTCTTGTTCTCCACCAACACATTTGTCGAGTACTCTGTATAGTTGATGAACAACACAATGTTTGGCAATGCAGTAGCAAATCGATGTAATGACTCTGGTGACAATTCAAACTGTTTGATTGATTGATCGATTGATTGATAGAGTGAGTGAGTGAGTATGGACTTGCGACTGGATATGGAGGTTGTTCCAACACTTACAACCGCGGGTTGAGTCTGTGTCATCCATCTGAATATCTGGGCTGGATCATCATGACATCGATTGAGTTCATAGACACCTTCAGAGGCAATGGCGTGGATGATACCTTGGTATGGAGGAGGCTGATCGATCGATTCAAACATGATTTGAGCCAGTGATGTGTCGTTGATGAGTGCGATTGGTACGCGGTATGCCAGTCGATCAGAGATGAATTGGAACTTGTGATACTCTGGCGTGGCATTGTTTGGAAACACTCCATAGATGGCATGTGGCATGCTCCACATGTAATCATCAAGGTCGTCCTTGTCGAGAAGTAGTGTGATTGGCGCGAATGTGGCCGCGCGTATCGTTGCAGCCAGGTTGTCGGGGTGTGTTGGTCCACGTGGGATGACATTGCCACCATATCGTCGATAGAGTTGGATGACTGGATAGCCTGCAATCGATTGTTTATCGCGTAGTTCCAGATTACTTGCACAGTTGACTCGTGCAAACAACACTGGTATATCTGTGTAGTTGTACAGACGTCTTGCCTCGTCCACCTCGTGATAGAGTGACTGTGAGCGTGCACACCATGGCGCATAGAACAATACAAATACAAAGTCATTCTCCTCGATCGCTCGATCAAAGTTATGTTTGTTCAACTCTATCACCTCTGTATATGATCGCACATAGTTGCTCTCGGCAGGCCATTGCTTGGTATGGACGTTTGGGGTTGGGGCTGGGGCTTGGGTTTGAGCAGGGGCTGATGAGTCTGGTGAAGTTGATTGAGTGGTGGTAGGTGGAGTTGGAGGGGCTGAGGGCGAGGGCGAGGGTTGAGGTGGAAGCTGTTCAACGATGAGTTGTGGCTTGGACTGAGGGTAGCCATCGATTGGATTGCCAAATGATAGTGAGTCAGCTTGGATGACTCTAAGGAGATTGTGCATTACTTCGACATTGGCATTGGTAGTTTGATTCTGTTCGAATGGAGCCTTGAACTGAATCGAATGTCTTTAAGAGTATGACGGCCCTGGGTGATCGACGGAAGAATGATACATCGTTATAAACTCCAAAGGCAATGGTGCGGAATACCAAAGTGCGTGTGGCCTCGTCAAATGTGTGTCCATCACTTAGATACAACTTCATAGTATCAACTGCCTTGACCACCTCTGATAGTCCATCACTTAATATATTAGTGGCCTGTTGGTTGAGCTCTGGGAACCAATCATTCTGAAGCATATGATAGTGAATACGATGGGAGACCAACAACTCTTTGAATGGCACAGTTTGGAATGACTTGACAACCTGTGACGCCTTGATCATCGCCTTGATCTTTAACAAATGCTGGTTCATCACTTCCATTGACAATGAGTATGGGTATAATGAGTATGATGGTGGTGGCGCATCAGTACCACCTCCAGCGCCAGCGATGGCTCCATCACCAGCAGGTGGCGTACCATATATCGTAGGACTGGCACAGAGGTACATCATGAAATGATCGAGTTCATCAATGTTGTTGGCCTCCAAAACAACGTTTGATTGGAGGTATTGAAACTTGATCTGATCATAGTGCGTCCAAAGATGGATGTATCGTGCATGATGTGTTTTGAAGCGGCCACCAAAGACTCCAAATGCAATAAGTTCAAAGGCCGTGGACTTGGCCACGAGATCATAGGTGTGAGCCAGATGAACGAATGACTTGATAGACTCCTCAGCACCAACAATCTCGGGTATATCCTCTTGGGGTATCTTTACATATCCAGCTCCAGATCCCCTCATCATCTCTTTAATCTCATCACCAAATCTAGTTGAAGCATACTCTGTCAATCTATCTTTGAACTGGCCACTCATGAATGACTCCACCGTTGACACCACATTCACAACTGCGAACTGATCATGAGGTGTCCATTTCCAATCACTTATATATTTAACATCCTCTATATTTGTTGTTGTTGTTGTTGTTATTGTTGATGTTGATGTCGTCTCTGATTGATCGTTGACTTGGTGTTGTTGGTCTTGGGCCTGGTCTTGACACGTCACCATCACCATCAATATGATAAATATACATAACCTTATCTTATATGTCATTATGTTATGTATATGTATATATTATATAATATGTATTAGTTCATCAATCAATGTGCTGAAGATTGACATCCTTCATCCCCGATGTTCATTGAATGACTTCTGAATGATTGAAACTTGAAAAAAAAGCCCGGGCACAAGTTTGGATTAGGAAGTTCAGATTCATTCGTGAAGCGACAACAATGTTATTATTTTGAATTTTATTTGCAAGATTGAGGATATCCTCAGTGTGGGTGGATTCCCAAGCTTCCACGCACTCAGAGACCCTACCCTCACACCAGCACAAGGATACACTTTGAGCAACCATACTCAATACAGCTCATATCTTTGATCCTACGATCGACCCATGTATGTGTTATTGACGAATCTATCGATGACAGGCAGCCAACAATCATCGACATCAGATCCAGCAACAGCATCATCAACAACAGCAGAATGAACGATTGAACGATTGAACGATTAGCTAATACGATGATCCACAACATTATACACAAACAGAAACATGCAGATCTTTGTTAAGACATTGACAGGAAAGACCATCACCCTCGAGGTCGAGGGATCAGACACCATCGAGAATGTCAAGGCCAAGATCCAAGACAAGGAGGGAATCCCCCCCGATCAACAACGTCTGATCTTTGCCGGAAAGCAGTTGGAGGACGGTCGTACCCTTTCGGACTACAACATCCAGAAGGAGTCTACCCTCCATTTGGTTCTCCGTCTCCGTGGAGGTATCGAGCCATCCCTCCTCCTCTTGGCCAGAAAGTACAAGTGTGACAAGATGATCTGCAGAAAGTAAGCATGAACAGCAACAGGACATACTTGGGACATGTTAGCGATCATTGATTGATTGATTGATTGCGATCGCGAATGAACAGGACATGATGAATGAACATCGAACTAATGAACGAACGAATGAACGAATGACTAATCATCATGCTTAATCAATCAAACCTTAGGTGCTACGCTCGTCTCCACCCACGTGCCGTCAACTGCCGTAAGAAGAAGTGCGGTCACTCCAACAACTTGAGACCAAAGAAGAAGCTCCTTAAGTAATAAACTAGCCTCAAGGTGTATGATCTTGCATGTTATAGGAAACAAACAGAATAAGCGACCAACAGGAACGATGTTCCTCTCTCCATTTACATTCATTCATTACTTTAGCGCATCATTTTATTCTTGAGGAACTTGAAAGAGAGGAGCGCAAGCATTAGACATGTGAATATGATGCTGACGACCTCGGACATCACGATGGATGGCTGTCTACACTCGAGGAATGAGTGACGTTCGTTGTGTTGACTGTGTATGACATCGGTCAATGATTCGGCCAATGTTTGCAACGTCTGGATCTTTGCATAAGCCTCCACTTCCTTGTGTTTGGACAAATGTTGTCCAATCTCCAACAACACCTCTTGTATCGATTGTCTCATCTTATCAATTGATTGAATATCCTCCTTATCAGACTCTTGTGCAAACTCCTCCCATGTCTCGTCTTGCTGTAAGATGATGGATGTGTCAGTGTCAGTGTCGAGGTCATTGATCAATGAATGGAATGGATGAAGCCAGGACTTACGTCAATGTGACTCATTATGATTTGGAGTGATTCCAATGATTCCACGATGTGCGAGTAGACGTTGTTGCGAATGGCTGCGTCTGTCTGTGCGAATGATAGTGTCTTGTGAGTGGAGAACACACTGAAAGGGTTGAATCCCATGGACCATAGATAGTTGGCATCATTCTGATTCGCTCCACTTGTCTTTGACAATTCCAGATGTGTTGGTAGCACTCCCCATATAGTCTCCAATAATGCTGCCATCACTGGTCTTGTGGCATCATCGGCATCAATCGAAAGATTGCCCTGTTCGCCACATCTATATGATTGATTGATTGAACGAGTAAGTGAATGCTTGATTGATTGGTTGGAGTGGATAAACAAACATACGTAAAGTCTACAGGCCTTTGGGATTGTGTTTGAATGGCTATCACCATGTCATCAAAGGAGACAGCTTGATGCATGCGATCAAGGAGTAGTAGGTCCTTGAATGAGATGTCAAAGAGGAATACGGGGATGACCCGCGAGTCGCTATTACGATTGTCCAACTCTGGAACAAAGTCAAGGTTGTGCTGTTGAAGCCAATAGTGCAGGTCGGCCGAGTCCAGGTACTGCTGTGTACCCTTGGTGCCACTGTGATGCACGCGCAGTGACGACTGCTTGGCCTGTGCGGCATATATGTTGTCAAGCAGTGATATCTCTGCCTTGGAAAAGGAGATTGATTGGTCGGGCAGCAACTTGATTGATTTCAACTGCTTCCTGATCTCGTCCCAATCAAACCTCTCGGACTGCTCCAGGATGCCCACCTTGTGATCGTGCACCATGATGAGACGCACTTCCAGGTGTGTCCAATCAAAGTTCATCATGTGTCCAATGGGCGGCGCGATCAGTTGACGCGTGGTCTGATGGACAAAGGTGCCAATGTCGTTGAGGAAGCGGTCGGACGATCCGCTAGCGTGGCGCGGCAGCTGCGACGCGATGACGCTGCCTGTGCCCTTGGTCACGGGGCCAAAGTTGACGGCGTCGGCCGTCAGATCGATCCACATGTATCGTCCTCCGCCATCGCCACGACATTGCCACATCTTTGTTGTGCAATAGAAAGGCGTCCGTTGCTGCTTGTCCGCTTGAGCGAGGTTGGGAATCTGGGAGTATGAGTACGACTGGCTAATGTCATTGTTCAATATATATATAGTGTAGGCGTTGTTCTTATCGACCAAGTTGTAATCACTGGCAATGATACTGTCGATTATGTCGTAGCCAATGACAGTGGTGCCTGCGCCAATCGTTGGGTGTGGTCGTTGCTGTCTAGTCGCGTCACTTATCGCCGTGCGCAGGTCATCCTTCAATCTGTCCGATGACGTCTCTAAGAAGTAGAGGTACTTTTGTTTGATGAACTGTACAGTGGAGAACTATATTACATCCAATGATTGATTGATGTTAGAGTCTGTCCCCTTCCATGCAGCAACTTGCAAGCTCATCGGTACATACAGGATTCTTGATGACAGGTATGTTTGTGTTATCAAGATGATTGAGTATGCGCTGTAGATCGTTGTGTTGGGCAGTTGAGAAGCCTACCAATCGAACGTTTATATTTATAGGATGTTCGAATGAGAAGCTATCTGTAAATGTATCAATTGATGGCTTATCATGATCATCAACATGAGCCAATACCAACACACCAACAATGATGACCTGTATCAACAGTATTATTAACAATCTATTATATCTTGTCAACAACATTATATGTATATATATATATATAATGACTCAGTATTGAATGAATGATCAATCAATTCTTGTTTGTTGTTTATTGAATCAAAGGTTGAACTTCACACCACCTCTTCGCGAAGGATCACCCTTTGTTGTTGCGCGACCAACCAGACCACAACAACTTGGTCAATGTCACAACTTTAACTTCAAAGTCATAAGTTATAATGAGTGATAATCATTAACATCATGGTTATACAATATCTTGTGACAATGTAGAATGACTCAATTTGACAAGATCTGATCCCCAAAGTATCTTCCACGACCTCACAATTGTCGCCGCCCGCCGCCTCTACATGCAGTGATCAACCTTTCAATCAATCAATCAATCAACTTGTTAACATAGATATACATATTCATACATATACATATATATATACATATATATATACATATACATATATAGAGATGAAAGGATTACTTACATTTTTCTTTGCCGATGACATTATAAAGTACTTGAGATTATTGGATACAAGGTTGGAGACTATAATTGCCAGTAATACAAGATTGAGAATATATGAACACTTGATTGTACTGGTGGCATTAGGTTATTCAATAAGGTCTCTGTTGAAATGGTCTGTCGATGATCTGAAGGATGTGGTATGGCGCTGGTCAAAGACATTGGCACCGCAAGTACACCGTCGTATACAAGGCGAGATCGACACACAGGTCGACGAGGTCATCGAAGAGTCCTTCCCAGATATCAAGGGCATGCCATACCTACGCGCGATACCCGACGAGGGACTATCATCCAAGGAGATCAAGAGGATACTACAGGTGATCCATGACAGTGACGTAGATCCGCGCAAGGGCAAGCTGTTTGCATACGTTTATCCAACGGGCGAGAAGCACGAGAAGATCATCATGAAGGCTCAGAACATGTTTGCCCATTTGAATGCGCTCAATCCGACGGCATTCCCCTCTCTGCGCAGGATGGAGGTGGAGGTCGTCCAGATGTCGATCGCTATGCTCAATGGCGGGCCCGACGCTGTCGGCACCATGACCACTGGCGGCTCAGAGAGTATATTGATGGCCCTCAAAGCGTACCGTGATCGTGCTCGTGACCTGTATGGCATTACACAACCCGAGGTCGTTCTGCCCATCACAGCCCATCCCGCCTTTGAGAAGGCTGGTCGCTACTTCTCCATCAAGATGGTCTACGTTCCAATTAATGGACGCATGGAGGTGGACATCTTCAAGATGCAACAATCAATCAATCGCAACACCATCCTACTAGTTGGCTCTGCTCCACAGTATCCACATGGCTGCATGGATCCCATTGAACACCTGGCCGCACTGGCTCGCAAGAAGAACCTGCCACTCCACGTCGACTCGTGCGTTGGAGGCTTCTTCCTGCCGTGGATTGAGCGCGCTGGCTATCCTGTGCCACCATTTGACTTCCGAGTCGATGGCGTCACATCAATCTCTGCTGACATCCATAAGTATGGTTACGCGACCAAAGGCTCGTCCGTGTTGCTGTTCAAGAGCGATGAGTACCGTCAGTATCAGTTCATGTCGTACACGGGCTGGCCTGGTGGACTGTTCGTGTCTCCCTCAATCCTCGGTACAAGGAGTGGCGGTAACATTGCCGCAGCATGGGCATCGCTGGTATCTCATGGTGTCAATGGATTCCAGTCGATGGCCGTTGAACTGATGAAGACCAGCACAGCCATCCAGAATGGCATCGCCAACATTGGTGGAATACGTGTTGTTGGTCGACCCGTGATGACCATCATATCGTTCGAGTCTGACGACGACCCCCTGGTCAACATACATGCCGTGGGCGACTTGATGCAGACGGTGGGCGGTTGGAAGCTTGAACGTCAACATCTACCAAACACCTGCCACATGACCCTATCGCTAGGCCATGTTGGAATCGAGAACAGTTTCCTCTCAGACCTTGCCAACTGTGTGAACAAAGTACGTCAAGATCCTCAAAAGTATGCCAAGCAGGGCACGGCTGCAATGTACAGCGGCATCTCCAAAGTTCCATTGCATCAGATTGCCGATCAGTTCCTCGTCACATTCCTTTGTCGCACCTACCGACTTCCTGGCCTTTTGGGAGCAGCCATCCATCCATGATCGTTCGGAACGATATCGTGGCTGCCACGATAGGCAAGCCGTGATTGTCGCGACATATTCACTTAATGAAGTTCGATCAACATACTTAATCGGGAAACCATCCATGTTTATGCCCCGAACCCATTCCATGCCACTTGGGGGCCAGATCTCGATCTTTGTTCACCCAATTTACAATTTTGGGAATTAGAAGCGTTTCCGTGTTGGGGGAGAGAGAGTGAAGAAAGAGATAAGTGAGAGTAGCTAACTCAAGAGTAACTCATTCATTCATTCAATTGATATATCATATTTATTTATATATTTATTTATTTATAACTATCTCATCATATCTGTATCACTGTACACATATTAAGATAATAATCATAGTCCGAACAAGCATTACTTCAACATTACCCCATTCACCTCAATCTGAAGTTGAATGACTCACACCAGACGTGAAAAGTGACCAACCTTTTCAAGTACTTGTTGAACAAATAACAACTAGTGTTGCGTGTGTTGTGTTGTGAACATACAACATACAACAAACATAACATAGTGTATACTCACTATCCACATAATCAATCGATTTAAACATATCCATACATATATATTATTCACATACAACCAATAATTATCTATTTATTATTTATATATATTAGTTATGGCACCTCCAAGACCAGAGAGTGTAAAGAAAGCAAAGGAAGTACTTGGTGACTTTAATCCATCGGAGGATAAGTTGAAAAAGACATTGGGTATCGGAGATGAAGAGTTGAAACAGGTACATGAGCTCAGAAGTGAGCAACATCATCAACAGATGGCAAAGGAGAGAATCCCTATCAACAAAAGAGAGACAAGGAAGGCTCAGTCAACACTGGGTTTGAACCTGTCCAAAGAGAAGGTATGATATTGTCACACGCCACTCCGCCGCAAGCATTCATATCCGCGATACTTACTCCATCAATCATACAATTAGCTCATGGATGTATTGGGCGTGGACGAGGATACTATAACAGAAGCAGAGAATGAAGAGAAGGAATTGAAGGAACTGAGGATAAGGAGATTGAGAGAGAATATTATATTGTCAAATAAGAAGGCGTTGAGGAAGGCATTTACATTGTTGGGATTCAATCCGTCATCGTCCAAGATGATGAGGACACTGGGCGTATCAGAGGCTGATCTGGCCAAGGATGTCAGTGCAATTCAACAACAACATCAACAGCTACAGAACCTAGTGTTGTCAGCCGAGATAACACTATTCTTGGTCATCCTTTATATAGTCCTATGGTACTTCAAATATGTATAGATCAATCATTCAATCAACCTTATTATTATTATTATTATTATTTATTTATAGATACTACAACTACAAACGACAATGTCGTATCCCATAATATGGATGACAATCAATCCACCGACAATCAATCAATCAAATCAGAATCATGAATAAAGGGGCGACACTTTGTCATCATTGTACAATCAATCTTTTAAACAGATACAAGTAGAACCAAGATGGATACATTACCAGACATCATCATTCGTTGTATATTCTCACATATCAATGATCAGTTGGATCTAATGTGTGTATATCTTTCATGTAAACGTCATAGATCAATCATAAAGAGATTGAACTTGATCAATAATGTACATCCACTACAACAGTCGTACGGCCAGAGTACCACCAGCAATCTTGATTGGAGTGTAGACGTACATCATTGCAAGTCCAACAATCCCACCGCGTCCAACAACAATGAATCGATACCAGGAATATCATTGACGTATGCCCGACGTGAGATTGATCCACAGATACTTCATAATAAGCGACCAAGTTATCTATTGTTTGCCGATTCGTTTGATGCATCAATCACACATGGACAGCTGCCAAACACATTGATCAAGATAAGGTTTGGCAACTCATTCGCTCAACCTATTGTACCTGGTGTGCTACCAGCCTCACTGGTACATCTGGAGTTCCACATGGGTAGTCGCTTCAATCATCCGTTTGGCGAGGGTGTGCTGCCTCCTTCATTGCGCACACTCAAGCTTGGCATGCTGTACAACATGGTCTTAACAAAGGGCTCTCTCCCGCCTTCACTCTCCAGCCTCACGTTTGGCTATGGCTATGACCAACCTTTTGAGCCTGGTGTGCTCCCTGCTTCAATCACATCATTGACTTTTGGACACAGTTACAATCAATCAATACTACCTGATGTGTTGCCGCAGTCCTTAACATCACTCAAGTTTGGAAACAACTATAATCAACCTCTTTTACATGGTTCGATGCCTTTGGGATTGAAGTCAATAGTGATGGGCTCGCGATATAATCAACCATTCATTGGTGATGAGTTCCCAGATGGTACATCATTGACCGAGTTGACGTTGGGACTTGGATACATGCAGCCGGCCGAACATGTAGTGCTCCCATCCACACTCAAGACGCTCAATCTTCAACTCTACGCCATCCACTCTACATACCTCCAGTGTCTACCATCATCAGTCGAGCGTGTTGGCTTCAATGATCCCTTTCCACCAGTCAATGACAATGCTCAACAACATATGGCGATTGTATTGAATCATACATTACATGAGATGGACTTGACAGTGCTATTCCCATTCATTGGCAACACAGACTTGTTGGCAAAGTTGTTGAACAAGTTGATCAATGCATTCAAGAATGTACAGACTTTCAATGTAATGGCTATTCATAAGGCTGATTGTCGGATGATCAAGTATAAGCTTAGAATGATTGATCAAGTGAGAGCATTATGTATATTAGAGCATGTATATTGGACAGGTATATACTTTGGCTATATCTATCCTTTCAATGACAATCAAGATCGTGTCCAAACCAAGTCCTCTGCCAATCCACAAGATATATCACTGGCCAAACAACTTGTATCCTTTGCACATCGTGTAGTCAATAGTATTACCAATCAAATAAATGATTGATTGATCGTTTCGAGTGGGATAGTTCCAGTGAATGAGTGATAGGATTCAAGATTGGACTCGTCATCGAAGAATCATGTGATTTGAAGATTCCATTTCAGTGACCTTCCAGATCATCAATCCATCATCTTGTGAGCCCACCATGATCAACCCACACCCACCCACACACATAGTGTGATCAATCACAATCAATCAATCATTAACCACAATAACTTGTGCAGTAATAATTATAGTTATAAATATATATAAGTGCAGACTATCAAGCTATGACATGGAAGACTCACTGCCTGAGATCACATTACGCCAGATATTCAGGCTGATACAAGATGATGAACTGGACATTGTTTGTCTTCAACTCACTTGCAAGCGATTCAATAGAGTGGTGCAAAGGATGAGACTGTTCTCAACGTATCCAATGCCATTGGTGTTCACCATCCCAGATGAACCAACTCTAATATCAGCCGTAACAGAGTCCACTGCCCTATCAATGTTGATCAAGAAGGAGCTTGAAGCCGACCAGCAGCAGCTCAACCTCAGCCAATTCCTCAGGACAAGTAGTGGCAGGAGACATATGACTCAACAAGCATCAGCATCATCAACTACGACATCAACATCGAGACCAGCCCCATGGACTCTGTGCGAGGCCTTCACATATAAGTCTGCGCCTCAAGTTGTGGACACATTCTTATATACTTCATTCTCACAACCAGATGAGGATACACTTCCAGTCACATTAACATCACTTACATTCAGTGAGCGTTATAACAAGGATTTGATCCCAGGTACACTTCCAATATCTTTGACATCACTGACCTTTGGTGATATGTTCAACAAGCCCTTAATACCGGGAACACTCCCGCCCGCGCTCAAGTCGTTGGCGTTTGGATGTGTGTACGACAAACCGATCGCACCAGATATACTTCCATCATCGCTGACCTCACTCAAGTTTGGATATTACTTCAACAAGGACATCACGCTTGGATCGCTACCCGAGTCCCTCGCCACACTGGTCTTTGGATCTTGCTTCAATCGCGTGGTGACGCCCGGCACACTCCCATCTAGCATCACAACACTGATCTTTGGTCACTCATTTGGTCGCGCTCAGACCAATCCGACGATTGAGTTGCGGTCACTTCCAGACTCGCTCACAACACTGGAGTTTGGATACATGTTCAATCAACCGCTTCAGCCAATGATGCTGCCCGGCCGCATCAGGACATTGATATTCGGACACAAGTACAACAGACCTTTGACCAGTGGCGTACTCCCGGCATCACTCTACGAGCTAACGTTGGGCTTTGACTATGACCAACCTGTGAGCCAGGTGGCGTTCCCTAGCATGCTCACATCATTGATCGTCAAACACATTGGACAGAGGCGATATCTTGAGTGCCAGCCTCATGCCATCGAGCGACTATGCATTATGCGACAGATCATTGCGTTTGACCCGGCATCGACGGACAATGTTACACCGCCCAGTTTGATAGAGGTGACTGTGACCTCGCATGTATTGTACATTGACACGCCAGACAAGATGACAGAGATGCTTCGACGACTACTGCGCATGTTCCCAGGCGTGCCAACATATGTCCTATTCATCCAGGACACATTGTATCGCAGTTTGATGAAGCTAAAGTATCGAGTTGATCGTGAACAACATATGGCCGTGTCTACACTACGCCACCTACTCATGCCAGATATATTCTTTGACATTGTAAATATGGACCTTTCTGCGGCTACGGTGGCGATGACAGCATCTTCCTCCTCAACGACAATAACAACAAAGACAACAAAGAGTTCACGGTCCAAGCAAAAGGGCTCAATGGCAGACTCTGTCACGAGGACCAAGCACAAGCCCCGTCTCGGATTCATTAGTCTATTTGGCAAGAAAAAGAAGAGTAGAGTACAACCTCCATTACAGTGACCAGATCAAACAGATATATAATGTAAATAAATATGATGGTGGCTTCATTACAACTAAGTAATTGACAAGTATTTTATTAAACTTTGGAGTGCATCATCCAATATATTACCTTTTAAGGAATAGAGATCAAAGTTCAATTTAATACCAATAATCATTCTAATTAATTTATACACAGGCTCAAAGAACTAGAAGATATCGACAATCATTTTATTGCTATCCTCCAAGATATCGTCCATTTAATAGGCAACCTTGTAGGCTCTCAACTTGAAAAGTTCAATACATCACTCGCCATCACCTTGCTTTTCTTTCAACTTCAGAATGATGTTTTATCCTCATTTAATCGCTTGAATGAAGGCTTTCTCAGCAAGGACAACCAAAGAATCAGAGTAGAGATTGCAGGATTGGTCCAATGTTTAAATACTTTTGATTTAAACAAAACTATGGATCCAGTCACTCTTCAAAAATTGATGTCCATCATGGAGTTGTAGAGTTGGCAGTAACAAAGGGAAGTTCAATCTTCAATCCAGTATGCCCAAATCCATCTTTTAAATCAATCAATCAATATATTTATAAAGTTTTGTCTTAGGCCTTGTGATCTCTGTATCAATTACCTTCAATTCCAATTCCATTTGTCCCATAAATATCTCATTATTCCAAACTTTTGATCACTTGGACACATGTGCGATAGATCTTTATTATTTACAAACACATAAATATAACAAGTCGATGAATCGATGATGGAGTCTTTACCAGATATAGTACTTCATAACATAATAACATACTTGGATAATGAGTTTGACTTTGTTTGTTTCCTTTGTTCATGTAAGAGGTTGACAAGATTGATGAACAAAAGATACAAAGTACGTTATACTCTTACTTCACTAATATTGGATCAAACAAAGAATAATGATCAAGATGATGATGATTATGGAACACATCCATCAGTCCTACCATCGTCTTTATGGTCTGTCAAACAAACGAACAACACATCTGATGAAGAAGATGATGATCGTTCACTTCGACTCAAAGATTGGCCTTCTCCAACAATGATGGGAGTACTTCCCAACAACATTACTTCATTGACGTTTGGCAACAAGTTCAATCAACATATCAAGCCTGACACGCTCCCACAAAGCCTTGTTCAACTCACATTTGGTGTATCATACAATCAGCCGCTAGAGGTTGGACTACTCCCAGCAAACCTCACAGTCCTTGTGTTTGGTTCAGTGTTCGATCAATCGATACCAAAGGGTAGTCTACCTCCAAACTTGAAGTCCCTTACATTTGGAAGAGTTTATAGACAATTTATCAAGCACGACGTACTTCCACCAGCGCTCACATACTTGGAGTTTGGTGATTCATTCGCACAATCAATCACACCTGGTTTGTTACCTAATAGTATCATCAAGCTCAATGCTGGAGGCGCCTGTGTCAAGCCTGGCGCATTCCCACTCAGCATAACCTCGTTGGCATACAGCATGTTATGCAGATACACACAACACTTCAATCTAGGCATCCTCCCATCGACTCTTCAGAGTCTGACACTTGGTCACAACTATTTCCCATCTATGCATAGTGGTGCGTTGCCAGACTCATTGACTGAGCTCAGCTTCCTCAGTAGGTATGATCTGCTGAAGGACTATGTCACACTGCCGGCCAGCGTCACCAAGTTGGCATTGTTGAACCCACGCCAATGCAAGTACATTCAAGATCATCCGCACAGCATTGATTACGTGACAATCATTGGACCACAAGATATGGACTACCCTGGAGACAGGGAATGGCTGACGAAGCGGGTGAGAATGATGCAGTTGACAGTGTATATCGATCATCAACGCAGGGCCAAACCAATGAACAAACAGTTCATCAACATAATCAAACGACTTTACGTCAACTATCCTGCAGTGGAGACGTTTGAACTGTTTGTACAAAGAGATTATCATAATCCATACTTAATGTTGATCAAATGTCGTATGATCGATGTTGTTGAGAAGCAAGTAGTATACACAATCAGACTGTTGGACAAGCCTGGGCTACACTTTGGCTTCCTCTCTCTCAAACCCATCATATCCATCACCAAACAAGTGATATCATTTGTTAAACGATTCATATAAAGTTGTTGATTCATTATTATTTCCATCATCATTTATCGTCCAGTGGGGTGGAACTATCCCACTCACACACCTTKGTGATTGATCAATCAATCACCATCAATCATTCAGTTTTTGCTCAACACATTGATACATACATTCAAACAAATAATAACTCAAACATATACGATGGAGTCTTTACCAGATATAGTACTTCATAACATTATTACATACTTGGATAGTGAGTTGGACTTTGTTTGTTTGCTTTGTTCATGTAAGAAGTTGACAAGGTTGATGAACAATAGATACAAAGTCCGTCACGCGTCCATCGTATCATTAGTATTGCAGCCAACAATACCCAATACTGAAGAAGAAGATTGTGAGACATCATATCAAACAGAGTTCCCATCAACATCATGGTCAGTCACAAAGTTGGACAACAACAAGGACACCAAGTCTGATAATGAGGATGATGAAGATGATGAAGATGATGAAGACGGTACACGATCAATCATACTAAGTTGTTTGTCCACCTGATACTGTACTGCCAAACAACTTAACATCATTGACCTTTGGAAATAGGTTCAATCAACTTATCATGCCTGGCGCACTACCATCGAGCCTTGAACAACTCACATTTGGAAGTGCCTATAATCAACTGATTGAGTTGGGATTGTTCCATGAAGGCCTCACTTCATTGGAGTTTGGCTCATCATTCGATCAAGAGATACCAGTGGGTGGCCTGCCCGTATCACTTAGAAGCCTCACGTTTGGAATGATGTTCAATCGCTCGATCTATCTTCAGGTGCTCCCGCCTGCGCTCACATACCTTGCCCTTGGCGACACATACAATCATACGTTCACACCTGATCAGCTGCCAGAGAGTATCGCCACGCTCAAGGTTGGCAGGGCCTCTATCCAACCCAACGCATTCCCTCGCAGTCTAACATCGTTGTCATATGGTCTGTCCGTCACATTCACGCAACACTTCCCCAAAGGCTTCCTCCCGCCCACACTCCTAAGTCTATCGATCGGATTCAACTATTACTATCCACTGCCACCCGGGTCGCTTCCAGACTCGCTAACTGAGCTCAGATTTCTCAGTGGCATGGACCAGCCCAACGACAATGTTACACTGCCCGCCAACCTCACCAAGTTGTCACTGTTGTCAACACATCAGTGCAAGTACATTCAAGATCATCCACACAGCATTGATCATGTGACTATCGTTGGATCACATGACATGGACTACCCAGGCGACAAGGCATGGATGACGAAGCCAGTGAGGTTGATGACGTTGACAGTATATGCCGATCATCACAGAGACAAAGCATTGTCAAAAGAGCTTGTACTATTACTCAGACGACTCTACGTCAACTATCCAGCCGTGGAGACATTCGAAATCTTTGTCCAAGATACCAACAATCACAACATGATGTTGATCAAATGTCGTATGATCGATGTTGTCAAGAAGAGAGTAGTGTATACTGTACGAGAGTTGGAGCAGACGCCATCATCACCATCATCATCATCATTAGACAAACCAGTCCTTCACCTTGGCTTCATCTCACTCAACACAGGATCGTCCATCACCAAGCAATTCCTTTCATTTGTTCGAAGATTTGTTTGATGGAACCCATAAATTCAAAGATATTTCCAGATCTTGTTTGGCTGGCTGATTGGCATTCATGTTGTTTATTGAATGATTGAATGATTGATTGATTGAGCAATGTTAGAGTGTATAGATAGAGATAGATAGATAGGATGTATATATTACCAGATATCATTATACGTTTTATTATAACGTTGGTTGATGATGAGTTGGATGTGTTTAGCTTGTGGATGACATGCAAGAGATTCAGATCAATCATTAGGAAGACAACAAGGTCTAATCCATTGGGAAGGATAGCTTCATTGTCCAATTTCTTCACTACTCAATCATCATCGACTTCATCAACAATATGGACATCAATCATTAATGAAGTCACCTACCTGAATAATACTAAGAAGGATCATTCAAAGCCAGAGGATGTGACCACCACTAGAGATAGAGTTGCTGCTCTCTCACCTGGATCACTACCGCATACTATTACCAGGCTAAAGTTTGGAGATCTGTTTAGCCAGATGATTGAAGTTGGTTCGTTGCCACCATCGATCACCTCGTTGACGTTTGGCATCACATTCAATGGTGTGATCATGCCAGGTTCACTTCCAGAGACACTTAAAGAGTTACACATGGGACAACACTTCAATAACCGTATCAAGCCTGGAATGTTCCCATCATCGGTCACATCGTTGACCTTTGGGGGTATGTTTAACAATGCGATCGAGCCAGGCGCACTCCCTGTATCACTGTCAACACTCACGTTTGGCTATCAGTTCAATCAACCGATTACACCTGGTAACATCTTGCCAGACAACTTGAAGAAGTTGGAGTTGGGATCACACTTTAACCAACCGATCACGCCTCTTCCGTCGTCCCTGGTCGAGCTCACTCTTGGACAGAACTTTGCACAGTCGTACACATCAGTGCGTCTACCAGACAGCCTTACAACATTGAACGTGTATTACACATATCAGTGTCAGTATGTAAGCTGTCAGAGTAGTGGCGAGATACAAACGGTCAATGCCGTCCTGGTACTTCCCTCTTTCTTCTTCTCACGCGAAACACCATTGTTGAGCAGTGTCAAGTTACTCAAGTTGTCCATTTCACCACATTGTAAATCGGTATCCAACCTAAGCAAACTTCATGCATTCATCAAACAACTATTATACTACTTCCCAGCAGTGCAAACCTTTCATCTCAGCATTGCAAACAAGCAAAGCAAACCAATGCCAGTGTTCAAGTTCAGGCCATTCAGATCATCAACATCGACTGGTACTGGTCCGGAGATATTATTAATACTTGCGATGAATCATCTGTCTTTGTATGATATGAATGATCCAAATGGATATACAAAGTTCCGCGACAAGACTTATCTTCAGGTCTTCAAGGATGTGGCCAACAATCAATTAAATAGATAATAATATTTTTATTGAGTGATATAATTTTAGTTTATGTATGACCTCCGTGATCCAGTACTATGTCTAGTTGAGATGTTCCAACCTTAATAAGACTGATAACAATGGTCCAAAATCGTTATTGACATATATCAAATCTTGTTTGCGGAAACACATCTGGACCAACTCGACAAGAGGACCATGAAACTCTGTTGGTATCTTGTCATTGGAGGTGATGATATTGATGATGCTCGATACTGATTTTATATCAATATTATATCTTTGTAGAGTAGGTTTTGGCAACAGCTCCAAGATAACAATGGCAAGTGACTCCATGTTCATTTGCGGTCTCCCAATAACTCTTAATTGGATGGACCAATCTTTATAATTCTCTCTGAGTGATGAGAAGAATATCTCATTGGTGTCGATATCTATAAACATTGACTCTAGTGTTACCTGTCTTTTTAAAGAATTCATTATATATCCTTGGACATGCAAATCATTAAAATCCAGAAACTTCAAAGCATTTACGATACTACTGATGATGGCCAAAGATTGTTTGATTGTCATCGATGAGATGTACTCCTTGAGGTATGACAGCAATGTATCGCATTTCTTATAAACCAACAACCACTCTGTACGACCCTGATCATGTTGATGGGATGTTTTGATGATTCCTTGAAGTGGCAACATCGGTTGGTTCTTCAAATCTCTACCAAAGCTGCTGTCGACTCGAGCAATCAACAATGGAATGTAATCACCAATGATAGACTGGGTAGAATATAATTGATTCCCGAATACTCCTTTGTAAAATGTTCCAACATCATCAGAATGTACGATACTTCGGTCAACTTGGAGGTGATTAAATGGGAAGTGCAACTTGGTGTCGAGTGCCAGTACATCACAATACAGTATTTGGTATTGCCCAATTGAGTGTTTGATACTCTCTGGTGTCATGCAGGATGATTTGATGCCCCTTTCCACAACACCAAGACGTGTAGTAAGGAATCTCCTCAAGTCCTCACATCGATGACTGATGACCAAGTCGATGCTCCTGTGTGGGTTAAACATATCTGGATACTTATTAACTTGTGACTCCAGACTATTAAAGTATGTGGGGAGATTGAAGTGATCGATGAATGACTCATACAGTGTGGATTTGATCGTGTCCATAATTGATTTGGACAGCATGTCACAAAATGATATGGAGTGAGTGGACTTGAAATCGTCCATTGAGCCAATGATCAACATAGTTGACAATCGTTTGTCTTTTGTGTTCAATCGATCACTAGTTATTGTGCCAATCGTACTGACCAAAGACTTCTCTATCTGATTTATAGCCTTCCCTATGATGATGGTATCATATATATATTTCATTTCCTCATTGAATCTAGTTGATACATCTTTGGTATTCTCGATGGACTGCCCAACCATTTCGATGCACTTATTAATTGACAATGCTGATCGGATACTATCTGGAATCATGTTGATTATCTTACGTATTGCTGGATAAAGGTCATTTTTATATTGATGGAGCTCGAACTTTGTATCATGTACAAGTTTGCCAATGTCAATGCCACCATATTTTAATAACAATGAGTCACACTGTTGCCACATTGATTTACACTCGATTTCGATCATCCTTAGTAATGTGTGACCTTGTTGTTGGAACATCTTTGCCATCCACTTGATCAGTTGGTCGATGAACTGATTGAACATATATCTCGTCTCAACTGACTTAGATTGTTTGATGAAATCCATTGAGTTGACGATTGAGAATCGTCTTCTGGATGCATTGGGAATCGATTTCTCAACCTTTGAGAAGCATTTGTCAGTGTAGGCGTTCATCAACACGAGTGGGATCTCGTCACCTTGTTCAACGTTGTTGTTGAGTGCCACCTCACTCTTGGACCTCTTGGTGTTGACAAAGAACATTGAATCATTGTGATCGTTCGACAATGAGTTCATGAGATCAGGCAAGGCCAACACCTCACCATCAGAGAACGCCGTGTTGGCGTAACAAAACATGACACCAGTGGGTGGATAAGCATTGAGGAATTGCTTTCGGATGCTGAACAATGATGCATGGTCAGAGATGCTGAAGCCTGGAACATCAATGATCTCCAATCCAGTCTGGAGAAATGCTGATGGGAATTCGACTCTCACAATCTTGCTGGCCCACTCTTTGAATACCGACAGGTAACCTTCATTGTCGACGTTTGCTGGCCTCGACAAATGTTGTTTCAAAGTGGTCTGAAGTTGTCGTCTGGTCTCCAAGTTGAATGTGTCGGACTCAATTGTGATTGTCTCATTGTCTATGCATTGCAACATGCTGTGATGGTCTTGATCTTGGTGTGGTATCACTTTGAAGAACTTGATTCTAATCGTTTGTKGAGTGAGCCAGAATGCATATCCTTCCTGATGTGTGACCGCCACCTGATGGCATCAAGTTGGGAGTTGACAGTAATGTGTTGATCAATGTTGACTGTTTGTATGAGTGATTGAATAATTGAGTTAGTTATTGATTAATTTGGCATCGCAGATAATTGTCATGATGACATACCTTTCCAGAGTGAGCTGGACCTGCTAATACTATCTTGACGATTGAGTTGTCTTTGGTGTACCAATCGAATGATTTTGAAGTGCGCACTACATCACCAAAGGCTTTATGACAATGTGATAACTTGTTGGTCATGTCATAACACTCTGTCCTGAGAGCATTGAATATGTTGAGTGATTCAATCAATCTCTTTGAAGGCTCATCGATTGCCTCCAACTCTGTTGACAGTCTCTCAATGTGGTATTCATTGTTGAACAACCAATGAGGATTATTTGATCCCATATATATATATATATATTGTTGTTCGAATAGTAATTATTGTAGTTATATCTATATACCACTTGATCAAGAGGTATATAAATACCGGGTTCATTATTACTCTTGATTGATAATGATTGGTCAATCAATCATTCATCACTTTGATTTTCAAGATTTGGAACAGTCTGTAAATTCTGGAAAGGATACAGATACAATTTGATGAAACAGTGTTGGCAGTGTCTGTGGATCAAGTCAGCCCTGACCAATGAATGTTATTGGTTGCTACCGCACTCTTGGATGTCTTGGTGTTGGCAAAGAAGAGGTATTCATTGGTATCGGATGGAAGTGATTGGTTAAGGTCCTTCACATCCATCAACTCGATAAGAGAATGTGTTTGGGTAGAAGAGGAGAATGCTTGTGGGCTTGTAGGCAATGAAGAAGTTCCTGTAGTTGCTGAACAATGGTGCTTGACCAGATGTCTTGTGTGTTGTCATTGGAGAACTCTTTGAAATAAGAAGAAGTGAGTGGATCACTGAAATAAATCAAAAAAGGAGGGATTCACTTCTTGGAACCAGTCAGCCCACAACCAATGACTTACTCACACGCACTATTATCATCAACAATTAATATTATTTATTATCTAATACTTATAAATGTCGAATGAGATGATTGACTTGGACGCAGACGACGATAATGTCACTAGTTCAATCACTTCAACATCAAAAACAACAAATACAACATCAACAACTACAAATAATAAGAATACAAGAAGATCTATGAATACACGTAAATCATCATTATTATCAACTGCTGCTAATGCAGCAGATGTTGTTATCAAATTGGATGATCCTACAACACCTCCGACTACAACATCACCAACATTATCAACTTCATCAACATCATCAACGCAAGGTGATGACACCAGCACACCTATACTATTGAGTATAGGTAAAAGAGCAATAAAGTCAAAGTTCAAGCAGGAGCCAGAGGAGGAGAGGACACCACCTGTAAACATAAAGAAGGAGAGAAAGGCAAAGAAGGAGAAGATCGACAAGAAGATGGTCATTGATGAAGTTCCATCATCATCATCATTGGCAGCAGAGGACGAAGTTCTTGATGATGTATCATCGTCAACAACAACAAACGGCAACAACAACAATGAGGATGATCCATTCGATATGACAGAGATGGAGGAGGCTGTATATTGTATATGTAGAAAGGGAGAAGGAGACAAGTTCATGCTGGCATGCGACGAGTGTAATGAATGGTATCATGGAGAGTGTGTTGGCGTCTCAGAGGCTGACGCTGCGGCCATCAAGTACTATGCATGTGCAAAGTGTAAAGAAAAGACAACCCAAGAGGAACGCAATCATGATGGTACACTCAAGAGACTGAAGAAGAAGAGCAAGAAGCGTGCATTGTCAGACTCGTCCGACCCATTGATGGATGATATCTTCAGTCCAGACAACAGCAACAACAACATTGATGATCAAGCAATGTCAATCACACCACCACTGACATCAACTTCAACAACATCGTCAACATCAACAAAAATCTCTCCGGCCAAGGTTAAGAGGGAGAACTCTCTTCCTCCTTTGTCTGCACCGGTGTCTGATGGCATCATCTCATCATCTGGTGTTAGTCTTTGCTTCGATGTGGACAATGATCAAGTTGTTGATACCAAGACAGCACTTTTGGAGCGAATCAAGAGGAAGAAGGATGAACTAAGCTCATCACAGAGTACTGTCAAGTTGGAATCATCATCGTCTCAATCAAGCTTCAGCAGTGGCAGTAGTAGCAGCAGCATCAACAACAACAGCAACAATAGCAATGGCCATGGCTCAAGCTCAGAACCAAAGTATGGCGTCAAGTCAGAACCATTGACAACACCGACAAAAGTGAACAACATATCTAGCGCAACATCGATGCAGGAGTGGACCGATCGGTTCCAGGAACAGTTCCCAACGTTGAAGCTTTGGAAGGTCAGCTCACTGTGGGTCGAGTCAAAGGGCAACACAGAGAAGGCTGTTGAGTTGGCCAAAGCATATCTCGAGCAACAAAAGACGACGCCCAAGGTCAAGACACAGCCGGGCCTCACACAGTCACAACCATCTGCACCTGTCAGCACCGGTGCATCAGCTTTGTTTGAGCCCGATCCCGTCGATGACGAAGAGAAGACTTGGTTCACACAATTGGGCCAGGTACCAGTACATCCCAAGTCAGAGGAAGATGCCAACAATAACAACAACAATAACAACAATAACAACAGCATCCTTGAGGTCAACGTGGTCAAACAACAATGGGCAAAGCAGATCAGGATAATCGAGAATCAATCCATCATGCTCGTAACCAACATGGTGGCCGACAACACACCTATCTACTTCACCAAGTCCAACATCATGGACAACCATCCACCACAGTCGATCTTGGCCCATGTGCAAGCCACACACCAGTTTATCGGCTATCTCCGTCTGGGCACAGGCGCCACAGGCCAAGACCTCAACGCAATGGTGTTCCCACTGCTGCGCACTGGCTTTGTGAGGATGGTTGGCACGCTCAGACTGGTCAGCTACCAGTCGAATCAGTTGGCCGCTGTGTCACACGTCACGCTCTTCCTCACCTACAAGAGTCATCTGACGGCCAACGACAAGACACTGCCCACCGGCATGGACCTGGACCTGCCTCTCCAGGGCATCAACCCATTGAATAAGTTCCTCACCGAGCTCGGTCTCATCAGCGCCATGCTCAGCGACAACCCACAGATGCTGCTCGCACCCGACAACCTGGATGGCCAACTCGACTTTATCAGCACCAACCTGCAGAAGCTTGAGCCGCCACCCCTTGTAAAAGTCACACTCAGATCACATCAGCTCGAAGGACATTGGTGGATGATGAATCGTGAGAGGAACCCAGAGACATCATTCAACACAACCTTGAACTCATACTGGAGAAGATTCATATTCAACGATGGTACACCATTCTATTACAACTTATACTCTGATAAGTAAGTAACAATGAGACAGTTGGCGAGTGATTGAGTGATGTGCACATGCTGACGCCACACACACAAACAGGATAAGTCTTTATGCTCCAATGACAGAGACTAGTATATCTGGTGGATGTTTGTTTGATGATATGGGTCTTGGAAAGACTATTATGAGTATATGTACTATAATGGGCAATCATCCAAAGTATAGTCCTCATCCACAACACGCAGAGATATTGAGAGGCCTCAGGAAACACAATTCCTACTTCCGCAACAAGCCTCTCCCCAAGACCACACTGATCATCTGTCCCAACTCGTTGATCATCAACTGGAGGAAAGAGCTGACCAAGTTTGTCAACAAGGATGTCGGTCTTCGTATCCTCGAGTACTGTGGTCCAGGCAGACACAAGAACTTGAGAGACTTTGAGAACCACGATATAGTCCTTACCACGCCAAATGTAAGTCTGGTCGTCACTCGATCCATTCAATCATCATCACTCACTCATTCAATCAATCAATCAATCAGACATTTGCTTTAGAGTTCAAGTCATATCAGAGTGAGTCAAGACGAGCACCTTTGAACAGTGTGTATTGGTGGCGTGTGATTGTGGACGAAGCGCAGTATAACAAGCCAAAGACATTGTTCTTCAAGGCATTGTCAGAGATGCGCTCGGTCAATCGTTGGTTGCTCACTGGAACACCCGTCCAGAACTACCTGGAAGAGATGTATCCCCATCTGCATTTCCTGCAGGTGCACCCCGTCGCCACAGACATTGGCAGTTGGCGCTCCTATATCGAGCGCACCAAGAACATCCCATTGCTGCGATCCACTTTAAAGCCAATCCTTCTGAGACGAACCAAGATGACCGTGGGCATGATCGATCTGCCGCCCAAGACAGTCGAGATTGTCAGGCTCCAGTTTGACGTAGAGGAGTCAGAGTACTACAACGCAATATTTGAGGAAGCTGCCAAGTTCATCGACGCCCTGTATCGCCAAGGGGGTATCCTCAAGAACTATGCCAGTGTCTTGGCAAAGATCTTGAGACTAAGACAGATTTGCGATCACAGGATGTTGGTAATCCAAAAGAGAGGATCAGGTATGTTTGTTTGATCATGTCGCAGTCTGTCGCCATATTCCCAACTCGGTCCTAACATCAACAATTCCCATACCATCAACAACAACAGATGACGTTGCCGAAGAATGCCAGATATGTGACGATTCACCTCAATACCCAGTGATGAACATTTGTAAGCATTGGTTCTGTTTGGATTGTATCTTGGACCGTATCAAGACGGAGCAGGAGGGAGGCAACGATTCTCCCAAGTGCCCAGAGTGTAAGTTGAGCATTAGTCTGAATCAAGAAGAGCTCCGCGATACAATCGCCAAGAAGAAGGCCGATGACGAAGCGCTCGAGGCAGAGGCAAGGGCTGCTTCAGCCGCATCACTCGCAGACAAGTTGAAGCGTGACCCTGATGGCAACTTTGCTGCGATCCAACCCACTGGCCTCAGGCCACAGACCAGCTTCAGTCTTCTCCAACGCGCACAAGACCTTTGCAACTCCAGCTTCACATCGACCAAGGTGAAGGCATTGCTCCAGCAGATGAATATCATCTTTGATCAAGTAAGTCAAGTCCTCCGCTCTCTTCTCAATCATTCAATCATCTAACATTGACGTTCAATCAATCAATCAATAGGAGAAGGGATGTAAGATTGTTATCTTCTCACAATGGACAACGATGTTGGATCGTATTGAAGATGTATTCCATGAGAATGGATGGAAGCGAGAGGAGAGATATGAGCGATTCGATGGAACAATGTCACAGATCAGGAAGAATGAAGCTGTGGAGCGATTCCAGGAGGAAGGTGGTCCCGTCGTCATGCTCATCTCTCTCAAGGCCGGTGGAGTTGGTCTCAACCTAACAAGAGCGAGCAAGGTGTTCATGGTTGACCCATGGTGTAAGTGTCGAGTCAAAGATCAACCCAAGATGTCTCGGTCCAATGACGACTAACACCTCACACTTATCATTACAGGGAACGTGGCCATGGAGAACCAGGCTATAGATAGACTGCATCGTATTGGACAGACTAGGCCTGTCGTTGTCAAGAAGTTTATCATTGAGAGATCGATCGAGGAACGTATACTTGAGCTGCAGCAGTCAAAGGAGGACATGACACAGGCTATCCTGGACGAGAAGTACGACCCGACCAAGAAGATCAGGAAGGTCAGTCTATCACTCGAGGACATCAGACTGCTGTTCACAGGCTTCGAAGGACAGTACAAGAGTTTGGTGGGACAACGTACTGCCGCGTATGTCGCTCAGCAGTTGGCTGAGATGTAATCAATGCTAGCATATGATGATGAAGATGATGACGATGATTTATGGCAATCATATCATTCAGCGATGGACAATCTCGATCGAGTCGTCTTGATCATTGACGGCTGCCATTGGATAGAAGATGTGGGACATGTCGATGTCCTTGAAGGACTCGCCAACGACCTTGCCATCAATGTAAAAATACAAGTCCATCACCTGTGCTCCACTTTCAATCCTGCGCAAGTCCACTCTCACGCCAACAACATCGTCCTTTCCAAAGACATGTCCAAACTCTCTCTTATTAAACTTGAACTCTATGTTTGATTGTTTGTTTGTATCCATTAGTATGCCATCCAACTGTGATCACGTGTGTGCCTGACAACTTACCTGGAAGATCTGATTGCAACTCATTCTTTGTTGGTCTGAGGAAGTGACTGGTCTTGGTGTGTGGACAGTAGACACCTATCTCACAGAAGCCATGATCATTGAGAATGCGTAGCTCCCAACGCAATGAATTGATCTGGGTTGTTGATTGAATGGCGGCACGCTCCTGGATAGATATATCAGAGAGCACTCTGATCGATGGGAAATCATCACCTCTCAATCTCTCATGTCTGGTCACAGTCAACTTATCATTACTAAACACCACTGGTGATTGGCCTGACCCAGCGTATGTAGTCCTATCAATGACCTTTGAAGGGTCCCAATGAAATGCAAAGTCTAAAGATATATCTTAGTTAGCATGTGAAGTGAGTATCATCACAAACATCAAACTTACCTTGACAATGATTATCCATGTTTGTTTTAACTTTATATATGATTGATTGAAGAAGATTTAAGTTGTAGAATGAATGAATGAATGAAGTTGATCAAGGTGAAGATGAAGAGGTGAAGATGAGAGTGGTGGGTTGTGAGTCAAGACACTTAGGGGTTGTGCAAGAATCATCGAGTCACTTCTCATTTCACTTCATCCTTTTTCCAATTTCCACTTTCTTGTGATTTAGAGATATAATTAGAGATAAAGAGATAAAGAGATATGGAGGAAAGAGGTATACTAGATATATCAACAATACAAATAGTATTGAATAATATTGATTCATTGGATGAACCCAATGAGAGTGATGTAAACATTACACAATCAAATATACATACACAGACACAATCACAGACCCAGACACAGACACAGACACATTCAAAGAAGAAGAAGATAACAAGTAGTGATATAGAAGATACAAGCGATATAGAACAACATGATGAAGATGTGAATGATGAGGACGATGAGGATGAGGACGAACAACAAGATTATGAAGATGCAACTGATAGTCCAATGGATGGGGAGGAGTCACCTTCAATGCATTCATCATCGTCAGCTTCGTCAAAGAATGAACCTTCACCAACGTTTACAACTCCATCACCTCAAACTCCTACCACTGGCAAGCAAACAACGTCTTGGCTTGATAATCTTGCCTTCACAATCTCTGCAGACGGTTCATTAATGGTTATTGGTGGAGGTGGATCAGGAGGTGTCGGCACTGGTCTAGCCATCGTACTAAAGCGTAACATACAAGGTGAATGGAGGACATCCATCACACTCGATCATCAATCAGGTCAAATGTAAGTCCACTCACTTAATGTCACCCGAGGACCGAGTCTAACATACTTGATCAAACAGTGATAGGATCACACAGATCGCACTGTTCCCTCTGCCCAACACACCACTGGACTATGTGATCGCGGTTGGATACACATCTGGTCATCTACGAGTCTTCTCTCAGGTATGTGGACACCTTTGCCAATCGTCCAGCGACACAATCTAACTCCTTCCTGCACTCCACTGTCACACTCTCACTCAATCGCACTTAGTTTGGCAACCTATTGCTCTCTCAACTTTTCCATCGCGCACCTGTACTAAAGATAAAGATCAAGCTAACACCAACACTACCAGTTGGACATGAACGATTTGCAATGCAAGAGGTCACACTGCTCTATCCAGGTAATGTCGTGGCATCAATGTCAGGACAGAGTCTGGCATCGGTGTTGTCTGTGTGTTACCAACACGTTCAGCGCGGTGACTCGGCCGCACAGATCCCCACACGACTCGACTTCCGCAAGTGGCACTTGGGCGCCGTGGACTGTGCCAACGACCTGACATTCGCCGGACCTTTCCTGGGCTCACCCTTCCGAGCTCTCCCTTACGGCTCGACCGAGTATCCAATGGCTCGTCTGGTCGCCGCGGGTCGCGACCCCATCATCTCCTACTACTATCCCTCAGACGACGCTGGTCGATCATTCACAGTGGCCGTGGCACTTGTGTCGTCTGTGGCTGCCAAGCTTACAAATGCAGTCTACTCATTCGCCAAGAACTGGTGGGGAAGCAGCAGCAGCACCTCGACCGAGTCATCAACGCCCAAGCCAGTGGAGCCCAAGATTGAGAATCCATCATTGCTTCAGATACGCTGGTCGATCATTGATCACAAGAGAGAACTGAAGAGCATAATGTTGGATCCATCTGGTCGATTTGCAGCCACAACTGATAACCTTGGACGTGTACTACTGGTGGACATTGTCAACAGCATGGTGATCAAGGCATGGAAAGGATATCGTGATTGTCAATGTGGATGGATTACATCAAGAGTCCAAGACGATGAGGACGGCGACGACGAAGATGGTGATGAGCAAGACAATGACACACCAACACTGGCAGACTTCATTCCAGCCAAGATGATGACCAAACAGACAGTAACATACCGCACATATCTAGTGATCTACATTGGTAGACGTGGATACCTGGAAGTATGGGGTATGAAGCATCGGTCCAGGGTAGTATTCCAAAAGGTTGGAATGGGATGTCGTTTGATATCAACCAATATAATCACAAAGAAATCAACAACAATAGGCTCATCATCCACCTCCAACTCCAACAACAACAACTATCAAGTTGACAACAAACAAGTATCCAATCTAGAGAACTATCCATCACATTGTTATCTAATCAATCAGGATGGTGCTGTAATCGAAATAACTGTAAATAATAAGTAGTATTAATTAATTAAACTCCATCCACCCTTCCCTCCCTTTCAAAGATCCACACGCTTTGCATATGCATTGCCGACTTTGGGGTCGTGTGTCGTGTCGGAGGTCGCAAACCGATCACAACTTGTTTTTTTTAATTAAAAATGTTGTTGTGAACAAACAAAACAAGGTGGGAGTGTGCTTGAGCTGCATCCCAGTCCGAGTTGGGGTCTTGACTTTCATTAACTCGAGAGAGATAGACGAATGCATCGCAGCACATAGCGTGACAAAGATAGAATAGACATCATCATATATATATATACTTATAAATAACATGTGTACATTGTCATCAATAGTTGTATAATAATAAATAAAGAAAGAGATATATATAAATAGAAGTAATAATACAAACATACATATTCAAACAAACAACAATATAAGAATGAGTGAACAACATAATAGTAGTAGTAGTAATAATAATGGTACAACAACAGAAACAATGTTGAATGATGTATTGAATGGAGAGAAGTTTAATGTGGTGGCAGGCTCAACACCATTTGTAAAGGCAAAGGAGAATGGTAGAGTGTATAAGGAGGCGACAAAGCGTGAACGTGGATTCTATGAGATGCTCCAACAGAGGAGTAGTAATGATGCCATACATAAGTTGATACCAAAGTTCTTTGGAGTGCACCACGTGTCGCAGAAGGACTACATCATCCTGGAGGATCTGACCTGCGACTATGTCAAGCCATGCATCATGGACATTAAGCTTGGTCTGACACATCGTGATATGGACCTCGACAAGTTATTCCCAAAGCCCTCAGATATCACTGCCGATGCATCATTATCATCAGACACAACAACGACAACAATTACAACAACTACATCACCTACTGCCTCACCATCACCATCATCATCACAGTCAACATCCATAACATCATCTACATCATGTGAGTCACTTGATCGACTGCAAGTCAGAAGATGTTCGATACAGCCACACGAAGTCAGTTCATACCTGGCCTCTAAATACATAACAGCACCACGACTTGGCTTCTGTCTCTGTGGATTCCAGGTATGTTGTTGGTCTTCCACCAATCACGACATTCAATGTGTATACCGACTAACTCGTCGTCAATCAATCAAACAAACAGAAATACAATGCGACCAAGGCAGAGTTTGAGAAGTTCTCCAAGGAACAAGGAAGGTTCCTGAATGAGGTCACCATCAGGACAACACTCCACGACTTCTTCCACAATGGACAAGAGAGAAGGACTGATGCCATGTCCCTCATCATCCAGAAGCTTAAATACTTCAAGGAATACTTTGAACATAATGTATGATTGATTTATTGGAATGAATCCAGAGTGGAGACAACGAACTAACATACCTTTAGCCCGAGTTCAAGTTTAGATCAAGCTCATTATTATTGATATACGAGGGCGATAATATGTTGGAAGCAAAGTGTGATATTCGTCTGATAGACTTTGCACATACATTGGCATATCCCGAGCATTTGAAACCTTATTCCTCTCGACTGTCACAATATACTCCAACCGTGGACAATGGCGACAACAACAACGACGACGACAACTCATTCTCATTGCCAGTGGACGGTGGATATCTATTCGGTATCTCCAATCTTCTAAGCATATTGGAGGCACTCTAACAAATATTAATAATACATTAGCCTTGGTCCACATCATTCATCCATGACATTGTGGCGTGGCTTGGCGTGGCATGGTTTGGCGTGGCATGGTTTGGCGTGGCATGGAATGGTGGCATGTACATTTACACAACAACATTCGTCATCATCAATTAATACATACATACAAGGATAGGATAATAATAAACTTATACAGGAGATACCAATCTCTTGATCAGTCCGACACAATGACAATCATCTTTCTTGTTAATTAATATTGGTTGGAATCAAATAAGAAATGTCCAATACCGCACCTGGCTGGTAATCCACTTACACTCTTCTTTCTGTATTCGTGAATGTAACCTTGGTGGATCTGAAAGTCCATCAAAACTGTTTATTTTGGGCCACCGTCCTCTATGTTTTTTTTGGACCATCCCGCCTTTGATGGGCTGGAGGTTGTGAATTACCTGTTGATTTGATAGAGTTTATCTTGTACAGGTGATTGATTTTGTTACAAGACAAAGAGGAATACCAGCAAACACCACCTACCTCGTTCATTCATTCAATCATACTACTATTACTTTATTTGTACATAATCATTCAACCAATCAATCACAACTCACAATCATGATTACAAAGTGTAACATTTATATGATAATGGTCATTATGTTCCTAGGAACATTGACATCACGTGTCCAAGGTATGTGATTGATCGATCACACACTCACATACTCACATGATCAAACAACTTTTATTAATATTTTTAATATAAATATTTTTATTTTAGGTCAACAACCAACAATATCAAATGTTCTTTTGGGTACAAGTCAAATACTTACAATTATGGGTACAAACTTTGCAAAGGATGTCAATATATATGGAATAAGATACAACTCTTTGTTTTTCTCCTCATCAACCTATTTCACTGTGAAGCTCCAACAACCATGGCTCAGCTCAATGGTGATGCAGGTCAACGTCACCAATCAATTGTCCAGTCCATACACCTTTGCCACACCATTCAAGTACACCTACCCCGACACTGTTAGCCCAGTCAACATACCATACTCTGGTGGAAAGATCACTATCACTGGATCATTCCTTGGCAGTGCCAGCACTCCAAGCACAGTCCTCCTGGCCAATCCATTATCGGGTGTCAACACAACATGTAGTAACATCAACTACATCATCGATCAGACCAAGATTGAATGTACGCCAGCGTCCATCGATCACGAGGATATACTTGGAGTGACGGTCATCCAGCCTGGCATCAATCAATTCGCAAACTCAATCTCAGTTTCCACCAAATGTATGTCTTATTATTGATTGATTGTCTGTTGGACATGATCACTCACCAATACAATCAATCAATCAAATAGTGTTTACTGTGACCAACATTGATCAAGATAATGACAAGATACTCCTCACTGGATTATACTTTTACCTTTATTATAATCTTGGATTTGAAGTTACGATTGGAAGTGGAAGTACCAATGACATTACATGTATATCAGATACACAATGTTCATTCTTCATACCCATCAACATGACTGGTAATGGCTCCTTCACCATGAAGGCACTCAACACTCAAGCACAAGTCCAGAAACCTCCACCACTCTATTGGGGTATGATCATCACCTCACTCATGCATTCAATCACTTAATAACTAACTCATCATCACAATCAATCCAAAGACCCTGTATTCAGATCACTAAAGTTTGTCGAAGGCGTTAATTCAACATTACCTGATCATTTATTCCTTGGAACTCAAATGCTTGATGGAGTGACATCGGCATCAGTGGCAATCAATAATCTGTTGGTGATTTCTTCAACTGGATCGGTCAATCCATTCGATGTAATACTTCCAAAATTTGTTGGCACAGTAGTGTTCAACGTATCCGGCTACACTGGACATTATACAACATTCAATTGGACATATCCTGCACCTAGGATCAACACCACCACCATTGAGTCTATCGACAACGCACTCACAATCTCAATCTTTGGCAAATACTTGAATCAAGACGATGTAACTGATATGGCACCTACTATAGGAGGCATTATCCCTCTATCATCCATTGTTCCAGGCAACTACACCTTCCTCCGGACATTACTTCCAAAGAGTGCTCGCTCTGGAAACTTAACCGTATCCATCGGTGGACAACATTCCTCTTTCAAGGTTACCATTAGTATGTATGACTGACCGAGTGATTGGAACGATCCCATACTGACTCCGCCCATCCCCACCCCGAACTCTAGACCCCAATGTCACTCGCATCACATCACCACCAACTCCTGGAGGCTTGATAACAATCACAGGATATTATTTATCACCTTTATCATTTGATAATGAGGTTGTGTTGGATATTAAGATCGCTGGAAGACAATGCCACAACCCAACAATGATTGGAACTTCATTCGATCCTTACACAATCACTTGTGTGGCACCATTTGGAAGTGGAAACAAGTCAGTAGCCATCTTCAACGGCAACTTGGGCGTCGCATTCCCCGTTGTATACCAGCCTCCAACCATTGACACTGTGACATCGACCATCCTCGGCCAGTCTGGCACAGTAACCATCACAGGTACAAACTTTGCCAACGTCAATATCTTCGTGACCATCGGCAACACATCCTGTATCAGCCCATCTGTGAACCCAGCCAACACACAGATCATATGTTTGCTAAAGTCCCGTGGCAGTCCAGTCTCGCCCATAAGAGTAGCTAGCAACAACCTTGCACCCATCCCCAACCTCAACGACACATCTTTGCCAGTGACCGTTACGATCGACGGCCAATCAGTCACCAAGTCCAAGTTCATATACAGTGCCAGTCCAGTCAACTGTAGCAACCCTTGTGAACATGGTACATGTGTGAATGGCGTGTGCCAGTGTGACCTTGGCTACACTGGAGTCAACTGTACACTCAAGTTGGACGCCTCGACACCAGTCGATGTGCCTCAGCCAAGCAAGAACTCGACAACCATCGTGCTGGGATCAAAGGCTCAAGATGTAGCATTCGACATCATCATAGCAGGAATACGCGAGATCAGCTCAACTGATGAGATCATCAAGTATATCAACATGCGCGACACAGTCTGGAACTTGATCAACACCACCGTGGACGCAGCCAATAACACGCACAACTTATACAACTCATCATTGAGTGGTGTTGTTGGATTCACGATCATGGCAGAGATGACAGTATTCGCGACCGATCAACAGTATGACTTTGAGGGCGATGTGTTCCAAGTATCAAAGAACTCAATCAAGTACAAGATCACGTTGTCCAAGTGGCCATTCACAGGCAACAACAACTACCTCCAGGTACTATTCCAGTCCACAGCGACATCAGCTGTACAGAACAAGCCATGCGATGGTAGTGATCAATCCAACAATGTTGCTGGCAGCAGCACATCGACCAACACCCAGAACTCAGTGCGTCTGATGGAGATCTATCAAGGTGCTGGAGTACTGCGGGCATTCTTCTCTGATCGTCTGCTGGTTGATGGTCGACTCACATACAGCCAGGTGTCTCAAGTCAATCAATCTGACCCTGCATTTGTGGACATCAACAACGCAGCGACATCCAACACGTCTTACGTCCTGGCCGCAATCAGTGTTCCACATTTCTCTGACAGTGCAGTGGTCGATCCAAACTATTCATCATTATTGGTTGTGGACAACAACAAACCCCCAACAGGTAGTTGTGGAGGTAGTTCATCCAATGATAGACCATGGTTGATACCAGTGATCGTTGTTGCGTCAGTCATTGGAGCAGTCATCATAGTACTATCCATTCTCATGGTAATCAAGAGGAACAGACTCAGACTGATGATGGCATCCATCAGGTTAAAGGAGATGAGGAGGTAATAGTAATAATAATAAATAATTATTATTGTGTGTTCCATTGCATCACCCATCAATCAAGTTGCAGTTCATAATTGCGGAGGACCCTGCGTGGGCCTAAAGCCCCATCCGCATGTGGGTGTCTGTTGGATACAGTTAAAATCAAACACACTCCAATCATGGTTGATTGACACAAACAAATACAAACACACACATAATTCACAACATACACACACAACATTTATGATTCATTTATGTGTTTGTTGACAATGAGGCTATGACAATACATACATCTTACAATTGATTTGGTCTCTATTCCATACAATCTAAAAATCAATGATCACTCATTGATCAATCCATTATCTATTAATTTTTATTGTTCTTCAATCAATCAATCTTATTACTACAAATAATAATAATAATATGAAATTAATATTTCTACTATTTATTGGTCTATTTATGACCTCATTCGTACTTGGTAAGTTGTGGAAATATTATTATTATGAATCAACTTTATTAATTATTTTGGAATAATAGCTGCTCCACCAATTATTAGTAATAGTGGTATGGATGGTAGTGTACTGTATATAACAGGTAGTAACTTTGTTACAGGACAAACAACAGTGGTTGGAATGCAATGTGTTATTCAATCAGTTACAGACACTTCAGTATCATGTGAGATCAGACAGAAATGGACAACAGATTCAATTACAATCAAAGTGAATGTTAATGGTCAATTATCAAATCCTTCAACATTTGAAATATCAAAGTATATTTATACTGAATTAGTCAATCCGATTAATATACCATATATTGGTGGTCGTATCACTATAACTGGATCATTCCTTGGTAATGCAAGTTATCCAAGTACCATCACTTTGAGCAATGGAAATCGTATCTCGAATGTCAACCAAGAATCACCACCCCCTCCAATCAACTGTGTTGATGTTAAGTATCTAGTTGATCAGACCATGATATCATGTGCACCATCATCAGTGAGCCAAGACTTTATCAACCTGACCATCTCAATCACCAAAGAGGAGTACATGAATCAATTCACCAACCCAGATGCCGTGGTCAACATCATGAGTATGTATCGAACGATCAATCGATCAATCAATCAATCATGATTATTAATAATATGCCAATAGAGTTCCAAATATCTGATGTCCAACAAGGATTGACAGCCATCACTGTAAAGGGATGGTACTTTGACCTGTATTCCAAATCGTTGGAAGTCAAAGTTGGTGCTGGTATAGCAACAGATTTAACCTTTACCGCAACTACTTTGATATTCTCAATCAATCCATTAATGACTGGAAATGGATCATTTGTGATCAGAGACACTACTCCAAGCTCCACGGCACTCTACTCAGATAACAGACAATGGAGTAAGTATATCAAACAATCAATACAGCTTTATACTAACCTTACTTTGATGGAACTATCCCAGAACCATTCATCAAGTTTGTTAAACCAAATGTATCGAATGATCCCAATGTACAGGATTGGATGTTGATTGGACATCAGTTGGTTGAAGGATCAACTTCGATAACTTTGAGTGTGAATGGTGTACCTGTGACTCTAACTATAATCAATGCCAATCTACTCAATATCACCTTGATGAATTATGTCAGTACAGTAGTGATTAAGATGTCATCATACTCCAATATGACACCATTCAACTATACCTATCCAGCACCCTATATCAACAAAGTTACAACAAATACAACTATTACAGGTGATGCCATTGCTACCATCACTGTAACAGGAAAGTATTTATACCAGGATACTCCCAGCTCAGTACCAACATACATACATGGCATTGTACCAAGTCCTCTACAAGTACTGGGTGTCTGGACCTATTCCAACTTCCGCGCCACCCTCCCAATCAATTCTCGCTCTGGTCAAATGATCGTCACCAATGGACTTGATGGTCTTCCATCAATCCCAATCCCAATTCTGTTGAGTAAGTACCACTCGATCTCTCTCAAATAAACAATCAATCAAATACTCACTTGATCAATTCTTAGGACCAAAGATTGAGTCGATCTCACCACCACCAACCGCTGGAGGTGTGATGACTGTTACTGGATGGTATATTGCACCCAAGTCATTTGCCAATGAGTCTGTGCTGGATATTACTGTGAATGGAGTGCCATGTACCAATCCTACAATGTTGGATACATCATTCACACCCTACACTATAACATGTAACTCACCACCTGGTAGTGGTGGAGCATTGGTTGTATTCAACTCAATGGTTGCACAGTCATTGATGTATCAATCACCTTCAATTGATACTGTTAGCTCCACACTCAAAGGACGCTCGGGTGCTGTAACCATCACTGGCTCCAACTTTGGCTCCAAAGTATCCGTGATGATAGGTACCATTCCATGTACTTTGCCAACTGTCAACACTGAGTGCACAGAGATAACTTGTCGATTTATATCCGATGCCGATCCTGCCTCCCAAGACACATTCCAAAACGCAGTCCGTAGACTACTCTCTGTTGCCGAGTCCAATGATACTATATCCATGCCAGTGACTGTTGTGATTGATGGTCAATCTGTGACCAAGTCCAAGTTCATCTATAGTGCCAACATTGAACAATGTGCAAGCCCATGTCAGCATGGAAAGTGTGTGCTGGGCGACTGTCAGTGTGATGATGGCTTCACAGGCAAGGATTGTTCAATCACTCTCGACCCTTCGCTGGAGGTCGACGTTCCCCAGCCCAAGGAGAACACTCCATCCATCGAGTTGGGATCCAAGGCCAGGAATGTAGAGTTCAACATCAGCCTTGCAGGTATCCGTGAGATCAATCCAAATGCCCCAGACAACCAAGTGATCAAGTACGTCAACATGACCAACACAATCTGGAACTGGGTCAACTACACTGTGTCCGGTGGCAACACGATCCATGTGTACAACACATCACTCAAGGGTGTGCCTGGCTTTGAGATCATTGTCGAGATGACAGTGTTTGACGACAATGAGATGTATAACTTCGAGGGCGATCACTTCCAAGCACCAAAGAACTCGATCAAGTACAGAGTAACGCTGTCCAAGTGGCCATTCGCATCGATGAACAACTATCTCGAGGTACTATTCCAATCTGCATCGGGTCAGCAAGTGACATGCGGTGGAGTGGTGTCATCATCCAAGGTCACCAGCACAACGACCAACACCAAGAACTCATTGCGTTTGATGGAGATCTACCAGGGCACTGGCATGCTTCGTGCGTTCTACTCTGATCGTCTGCTTGTCGATGGTCGCCTGTCATATAGCAAGGTGTCTGTGGTCGATCCGACCGACCCCGCAATGGCCGGTCTGGGAATGGACACTGACAACAACAATGTAACAACATTGTTCGTAGTAACATCATTGAGTGTACCATCATTCAATCAAAGTGCAGTGATCGATCCAAACTTTGCATCATTATTGGTGATCAACAAGGCTGTGACAGACTGTGGAGGTAATTCCAATGATAGGAAATGGTTCATACCAGTAGTAGTCGTTGCATCAGTAATTGGACTCGCTCTAATAGTTGTAGTAGGCGTGATCATTGCCAGAAAGAATAGAGTTGGACTACTCATAGCAAGAATGAAGTTGAATGATTGGAGGAGGAAACAATAATAAATATTAATAAATAATAACAACAAGTTAACTGGCATGTACAGAGATATTGTGTCTAACGTTGTGCAATGATAGAATTAGGTCGATCATGTGATCGATCAAAAAAAGGTCCACAGAACGACGAGTTTTTTTTGTGGGGCAAGTGTTTGTGGGGGAAGAGAAAACCGATTCGTTGGCCCAACGGATTGTAATGAGATAGAAACATACACCACTTCTTCGGAGCTTGCCCAATAATTATATATATCTAAATACACAAGGAGGGTACCAAAGAGCAAAGATTTATAATTTCGATCAAGGTACATCCTTCGAAAACATGTGATTGATCATTTGAAACCTCAAATCCAATCACATAAACTAACAAATAATGATCATGATCAATCAAACAACTTTGTTAATATCAATCATATTACTTGTGACTCTTATGAGTCAACATGTTTATGGTATGTACCATTTAATCAATCAATAATAAGACAATCATTTAAATTAACCATTCAACCCCAACATGGAATGATTCCACTCAAATAACAAATCAATCAATCAATCATAGGAACTCCACCTGTTATAACCAATGCATATGTTGATACTACCAATAAGGTTGTTATTGAACTTGCAGAGGCAGGTACATTCCAGCCATCAGACATCAGCTTTGTTGGAATGGTTTGTCCTTCCGTGGTCATGACTGCTAATATTATCAATTGTCAATTGTCTCAACCTTGGACTAAGGATACAGTTACATTCCAGATGAATGTAGCTGGTGAGCTGACTGCACAACAAACATTCACTGTCAACCCATATGTCTATGTAGACAGTGTCAGTCCTCTGATGTTCCCATTCACCGGTGGCAAACTTACAATCACCGGATCATTCTTGGGCAATAGTACATACACCTCTAGTGTCACACTTGGCAATGGAGAGGACAACAGAGACTGTGGATCACACATCTACTCTGATGATCAGACCAAACTCATATGCACTCCCGCATCATTCTTTGAGGACTCTGAAGTAAGCGTCAGTGTCTATCAACCAAACTACAACATCATTTCATCAGCCTACTCAATTAACTTCAGGAGTATGTATTATGGAATCATTCCATCACTCACTCACACTCACTCATATTCACTGATCATTCAATCAAATCCAGGATTTGAAATTACATCTCATCAACAGAATGAAAGACTGGTAACACTAAATGGACAGTACTTTGATTTGTATCCTTCTATTATGCTTGCAGCTGGAGGTGGTAGTACCAACAATGTGTCGTGCACCAACATCACATGTCAGTTTACCATTACACATGATATGACTGCCAATGGCACCCTCATGATGGTTGACCTAACTCCAGGATCAACAGCCTCATTCACTTATGAGATACAATGGAGTATGTATCCCCGAATCAATCAATCAATCATATCTCTCAAACCAAGTATGCTGACAACTTAATCACACAAACATTAGTACCATTGATTCTATCATTCCAGACTATATTCCCATCTGATGATCCATATTATACGGACACTTTGAAGATTTGGACTCAGATGATTGAGACGGCACAGACAGTGGACATTACTTTTAATTCTATTAAGGGTGATCCAACTGCTCCATTCAATGTCCCTTATGGCAATCCTATAAGTATAACATTGCCAGACCTTGTTGGAGAGATAGTTATTGATCTTGCCAACCAGGGTTTAGCCACCTCATTCAACTATACATACCTAGCACCAAGGATTGACACTGTCTATCCTGAGACAATTGACGAGGTTGCCTATGTTGGTGTGTTAGGCAAGTACCTCGCTCAACCAAGAGTCGGTGACAATCCAAGTCGTGACTCTGAGTTGAATCCCAAGATTGGTGGTATCGTATCCAAAGAGTTCCAACTCTCTGGTCACTGGAACTATACCTACGTCCGAACAATGTTACCAAACGACACCAGATCAGGCCTAATGACTCTCACCATAGGAGGACAGGTCAGTCAGAAGTTTGTTACCATAAGTAAGTTTGATCGATCAATCATTCATGGAGTCATACCGATCACTCATTAACTCACTCATTCATACCAATCAATGACAGGACCCGAGATCAAGGGTGTAACATCACCACCAACTGCTGGAGGAGTTGTTACCATCACTGGATACTATTTGGCACCAATGTCATATAACAACACGAGTGTGTTGAACATCACTGTCAGCGGCAAAGAGTGCAGGAATATAACAATGATTGGTGATCTATCAAGTGTACCATACTACACTTTGACTTGTGTTGCGGTTGCAGGCAGTGGAAATACAACAGCAGTGTTTAATGATCAGGATATCTGGAAGATGCAATATCAATCACCATCCATCGACTCTGTCACATCAACTGTCAAGGGAAAGGCTGGCAATGTTACCATCACAGGATCAAACTTTGCCGATGTCAGCCAGATCACCGTCACAATTGGATCCAACCCATGCTCTATACCCACGGTCAACGACAACTTCACTCAGATCACTTGTCAGTTTTCGTCCGATGTTGAGCCACCTTCATCACTTCTCTGGCGCCAGCTGTTTGCTTCAACCCCAACTACCAAAGACGTGTCGCTCCCAGTGACCGTGACAGTGAACGGAGTGTCAACGACTCAATCAAAGTTCATCTACAGTGTGAACAAGGATGTTTGTGATAGTCCATGTGGTGAGCATGGCACATGCGTCAATGGTGAATGTCAGTGTCAATCAGGATTCACTGGCATCACATGTTCTATGGCCATGGACACGAATGATGCAGTTGATGTCCCAGTGCCCTTGAACAACTCGACAGACATGGTGTTGGGCTCCAAGGCCAAGAGTGTCCAGTTCAACATATCCATCGCCGGCATCAATGAGAGGACTTCCACAGGTGACCTGGCCAAGTCAATCAACATGACCAACATATCTTGGAACATGATCAGCAGCACCAACGATGACAAAGGCAATGTACACAGGATATACAACACATCATTGGAGGGTGCTCCCGGATTCGAGTTGATTGCCGAGATGACAGTGTTCACGGACAACCAACAATATGACTTTGAAGGCGACCAGTTCCAAGTGACCAAGAGCTCGATCAAGTACAAGATCACACTCAACAAGTGGCCGTTCGCAGCATTGACCAACTACCTTGAGGTGCAATTCCAGTCGGTGGCAGGACCACAACCAACATGTGATGGAGCAGAGGTCAATGCCAAGGTCGGAAGCACGACCACCAACAAGAAGGACTCACTTCGTCTCATGGAGATCCAGCAAGGCACAGGTCTACTGCGTGCATTCTATTCCGATCGTCTATTAGTCGATGGTCGTGTGTCCTACAGTCAAGTGTCATACAGTCAGCCTGACAACTCATCAACATTGATTGTGATCACTTCACTGAGCATCCCACAATTCAATCAGAGTGCAGTGATTGATCCAAACTATGCATCTCTATTGGTTGTGAATGAAGAGTTGCCAACATGTCAGCAGACATCATCATCGAGGAAATGGGTGATACCAGTGATCGTTGTATGTTCAATAATTGGAGTTGCATTGTTGGTCATCACTGGAGTGTTGATCGCCAAGCGTAACAGACTCAGACTATTGATGGCTGGTGTGAAGCTGCGACAAATGTCCAGAAGGAGTAGTAATAAATATTAATCTATCGATCGATCGACCAACCGAGTTGAGTAATAAGTAGGATGAATGGAATGCTTGTCGAGTTCAAAGTCAGAGTCCAAGTGCCGATCATTCATTCCACCAATTAATCAATCAATCAAATAGTTAGTTTTAGAGTTTGTTTCAGACTTTATAATTAGTTATCTTTAACTTATACCAAGTCCAGGTCTTTGTTCTCAGACCTTTCAAAAATTCGCAACAAATTAGCCTTGCACCACGTCGATCAATCTTCTGATCAAGTGTTTGACGAATGGGTGAACCCCATCACAAACCCCTTCTTGTTTTTTTGATCAAACACAACACTGATAGTAATTATGCCAAGGTGGTTGATGGGGTTCAAGGGTGTTGCAACATCAAGAGAAGAGACCCTAGGGTGTTTGTTTAGTGTAGTAGGCACCACTTTTGATCACAATTATATATCTAAGAATATCCATAACCGATAAATATAAAAATCAATCGATAGACTGCGACAGTTGATCACTTTGACTGACTTTATGATTTATATAATCTATTATTAATCGATACCTACAAATAATACTACATACAGATATACACACACAATGTCATATCACCAACCAATAATACTTTTAGTATTTATATTATGCACAATCAATCAAATTAATGCTGATACCAATCGTATGTTCATCTCCCGTCCGTCCCTCCCTCCATCATCACAAACATCCATACTCACACTCACACACACTCAATCAATCAATGATGTAGAACAAGCAACAGTTGTTGCCACACCAGTCATCTCTGGTAGTAATCTATATGGCCAGATGTTGACAATCTCTGGATCAAACTTTGCCGCAGATGCCACTGTCAATGGAATTAGATGTCTTTATTCTCCATCTTACAACCCTTCAACACTATACATGTGTTCAATCCAAGAACCATGGACATCAAGCTCGATTACCTACACACTCACAGTGGGCGGCCAAGTGTCCAACGCCTACACCTTGACTGGTGTTAACCCCTACTCGTTTCCCATGACAGTCAGCCAGACGCTGCTACCCTATGCCAGTCCACCCATCACCATCACAGGATCATTCCTGGGCAACTCCAGCAATCCACCAACTATAATGATCAAGTCATCTACCAACTTCACCTACACAGTACCATGTGGATCGATCAAAACATTGATTGATCAGACCAAGATTGAGTGTACTCCAGCTATCGTTAGCAAAGATGACACTAACATGACCCTGAGTATCCAGCTTCCCGGTGTCAATCAATTCACAAACAGTGAGGCCCTAATCAATTATAGGAGTATGTATTATTGATTGTCATCACTTTGGAACTATACCTTTCACTCACACACTCATGTCCATGAACAATATTCAGGGTTTAGTGTATCAAATGTTCAACAGGATAATGCTACTATGACTGTGTTTGGAGACTTCTTTGACATCTATACCAATACAATGGAGATTGCTATTGGTTCTGGAAAGACCAATGATATTAAATGTACACGTACAATGTGTATATTCACTGTAACACCAACAATGACCTATGGACAGTTCACCATGAAGGATAACACAACAGGTTCAACAGCCTCAACTGTATTAGCTCCACAATGGAGTAAGTATTATAATAATATGTTTGATAAATTGATTGATTGATTGACACTAATATACATTTTCCAGAACCTGTGATTAAGTATCCATGGATTACTGAACAGAATCCGGATGCAAGTGGACAAGATCATTTGATTGTTCACACTCAATTGATTGAAGGAGCAACATCGGCCAATGTTAATGTGAGTGGTGTATCCAATCCAACTACATACAGGGACCCTTTCAATATCACTCTGCCTCAACAGGTCGGATCCATCTTGATTGGAATCAATGGTTATAATGCTCCTACATTCTTCAACTACATCTATCCAGCACCTTTGATCAAGGTTGTGTCAACGTCGTCTACTATTGACAATGCTGCCAGTGTCACTATCAATGGCAAATACCTGTACCAGGCATCGCCAACACCCATTCTACCATCGATTGCTGGAATTGTCGGGCCATCATATCCAACAATTTCACCATCAGTAATGAACTACACTTTCCTGGTGGCCAACCTTCCAAAATATGCACGCTCTGGCAACATGACCGTGACCGTCGCTGGACAAGTAACATCATATCCAGTATTCTTGAGTAAGTACCTGAAGGATGTCCTTGATGCTCATTGATCAATCACTTACACGATTTGTTCAATCAATCATTAGAACCCAATGTAACACATATCACGACACCTCCAACATCTGGAGGCATTGTTACAATCACTGGATATTACTTGGCATTGGAGTCATTCTCTGGCGTGAAGGTGTTGGACATTCAAATCAATGGACAACCATGTAACAATTCTTCATATTTGAACTCATCATTCGATCCATACTACATCACTTGTCAGGCCCCACCAGGTAGTGGTCTTACCAATCCAACCTCCTTTAATGGAAATGTGTTGATACCAATGCCATACCAGCCACCAACCATCGACACAGTGTCATCAACGATTCTAGGTCAATCTGGTACAGTCACCATCTCTGGTTCCAACTTTGCCAACACCAGCATCACCGTTACCATTGGACCATATGCTTGTGGTGGACCCGTGGTCAATCAGGACTACACTCAGATCACATGTAACTTTGGCAAGCCAGTCTCTCCCGTCTCTAGAGCTGGACCCAACAACCAACGCCAACTTCTTGGTATCCCATCATCCAATAATGATTCGCTACCAGTGACCGTGGTTATCAATGGTCAATCAGTGACTCAGTCCAAGTTCTTGTACAGCTCCAACCCATCCACATGCATCAATCCATGTGATCATGGCACTTGTGTGAATGGCGAGTGTCTGTGCGATGTTGACTACACTGGAATCAACTGCTCACTAAAGCTGGACAACATCAACTCTGTCGATGTGCCAAAGCCAAGCATGACCTCCACGTCCATTGTGCTCGGATCACAATCAAGGAACGTGTCATTCGATATCTTGATAGCAGGCATTCGCGAGATCAGCTCAACTGATGTCATACTCAAGTATGTCGACATGCGCAACACTGTTTGGAACCTGATCAACACCACTGAGATCAATGGCAACTTGCATAATGTCTACAACACATCTTTGGATGGAATATCTACATTCGAGATCACCGTAGAGATGACTGTGTTTAAGGACAATCAACAATATAACTTTGAGGGCGATCTGTTCCAGGTGTCCAAGAACTCTGTCAAGTACAAGATCACTCTTTCCAAGTGGCCATTCACAGCCAAGACCAACTACCTACAAGTGTTGTTCCAATCAAGCGCATCACCACAATCAACATGTGATGGCAGTGGAGAGGTCAATCCCAAGCTGGGCAGCACAACTAACAACACCAAGAACTCACTCCGTCAACTTGAGATCCAACAAGGCACTGGACTGCTCCGAGCATACTACTCTGATCGTCTTCTGGTCGATGGTCGTCTGTCATACAGCCAGGTGACCAAGGTCGACGACACTGACCCTTCCATGTCCGGCCTCGACACCAACAACTCCACCAAACTGTTTGTCATCACCGCACTCAACATCCCACCATTCACCGACAGTGCCGTCATTGATCCAAACTACGCCTCATTGTTGGTCGTCAACGAGGACGTGCCCGTCTGTGGTACAGCGTCCAAGTCCAGCCAAAGAGTATGGCTGATCCCCGTCATTGTGGTGGCATCCATCGTTGGAGTTGCACTCATCGTCATCACTGCAGTGTTGGTCGCCAAGAGGAACAGACTAAGACTGATGCTGGCTGGAGTCAAGCTGCGAGAGATGTCCAACAAGAGAAAGAATAAAGTGTGATCGATCCATTTATTATTACTATTATTATCTCGAAAGGAATGCCTTCACCTTGAGGATGATACCGCCAAGCATGGATGGCATCCAGGGTTTCCTCGTGAGATCCTCGACAGCAATGCCAAGCTGTGACCAGAACATCCTGCTGAGAGCATTGGTAGCGTATCTAGCCTTGAGGAATGAATAGTAGATGATCATGCACAATGGTGATGCTTCGCCTCTGATGGTGCTGAATAGAAGAGTGAGCATGATCCACGCCTCCAATTGAATGGCAATCTCAGTCGCCCTCTGGCGATTCTGTTGCAAAAGAAGTAGCTTGTTGTAAAGGAATGGCACTCTGTCCCTGACCTGAGGAAGTCCAACATTCAACAGATGATAGACGGCATAGATTGCGTTGGGGAAGAGTATCACTTAAGTACAGAAGGCGGATGGGTTAGTGAGATTGAGAATGATCGATGGAGTGTGATGGACTTACTGATTGATGGTGGTCCAATGAAGTACATCATGATGCCAAACAGGAGGAAGTGAGCATTCTCATTGGTCATGGCGACAGTCTTGAGTGTTTCCATTGTGACACGTCCTTCAAACGTTTGATAGAGAGGGATGGCAAAGGAGATGATGGATCCCAGGAATGCACGGTAGAAGAACGATGGGTTACCAGTGAATAGGAACATTATTGGGAACACTACCACTGACACTTGTGCGCATATCCATGCAATATAAAGGAACCTTGTGAATTGAGGTGGCATTGACCTCTGTTGTTGTTGTGGTTGTTGTCTTGGTTGTTGTTGTTGTTGTGGTTGTTGTGGAGGTGGAGATGATCTAGATTGTGATGTTGATGAACTTGAGCTTGTGGATGATGGTCTGGCATGGGTATGATTGGATGATTGTTGAGGAGGTGGAGACGATGTTTGTGGTTTAGACGATGAACTTGAGTATTCTCTAATGACATATTCAGGGTCCTGTATGTCGTGATAGCATATATATATAATTAGTATCTCAATCAATACATGTATTGAACTAGCCAAACGACTTACAATCTTATTCTTATAATACTTCTGTTTGAACTTGAATACCAACTGATCCATATTTGTATCACCTGGGAAGTGCAGACTTCCTACATATTGCTTCCAGTCCTTATCATTCTCCCAATCATGACTATCGAATGTCATTGTGTAAATGGTTGTCTAATCTTAACAAGATAGAGATAATAGAGATAGAGTTGCTGTTGTTGAATGAAATGAATGAAAGAGAGAAGTGTGTTCAAGTTCGAGCGAAAGTGTGAACTTGACTTCAAAGTTTGTGATGAGTCAGAGGGAGTGAGTTGAGTGCGTTGACTCTTGATCAACGGTCGAATGAATGACTGACTTTATGTTATATGTATGAATGTATATGTTTAGATCTCTTCAAGCTCTCCTTGATCATTCGACTTGAAGAATGTGTATGATAGTGTGATGTCTGTTAGACCCTTGAGACTCTTGTCGTCAAGCACCTCTGGTTCAATGACAAACAGTACTGGCATATCTATTGTCTCATTGGCCTTTATACGCTGCTCATCAAAGCAGAAGCATTGAATCTTTGTAAAGTAAGGACCGGCCTTCATCGGTGTAATATTATAAGTTGCAACGCCAATGATTGGTTGTTCTGTGTTGTTGGTAGCCTGTGATCCAACGAGTTGAGTGTGAGCGAGTCAGTATGAATGAATGAATGTGATGGCGACCATGACACTTACTCTGTAGAATGCAAGTACTGGCTCGCCTGGAAGACACTCGATGGTACTTTGGGTTGGCTTGAATGTCCAGGGAATCTTGTTGCCGACGGAGGAGGTGAATGATACTTTGATGGGATAGACCTCACGCTCTAGATTGCGTTTCTTGACATCTTGTACAACGTCTACGGCCTCGCGAACCGTACCACCATAGCCAGTGACACGACAGAACACTCTATACAGTGGCACAGCTGCATAAGACAATCCCAACACTGCTATAATCGATGCAGCGACCCACATTCCAACTGATCTATTCTTCTCCTTCAACTCCTCACTATATTGTCTTCCTCCTCCTCCACCGCTTCGTCTCTGTTGCTGTTGCTGTTGCTGTTGTTGTTCGCTATCATTATGTTGTTGTTGTTGTTGCTGTTGTTCATTCTGTTGTTGTGATTGTTTGTTTGTCTGATCTTCATCCTTTGGTGATGAGTTTGATGATGATGATGAGTAGCTCCTCAGTTGGAGCAGTGGCGTTGTTGTTGGACAATGACCATGACCAATGTTGTATCTTTGTAAGTTGGTGAGTTCACGCTGACCAAACAACAAGCCTCGACCTGATGATGTTGTCCTCAGTGTAGACTGCAATACTGTCCTTATGCCAAACATCATTAACTTATTATTATTACAACAAACAAATGAAGATAATGAAGTTGATTTGGTAATGTGCTAAATGAAGCCGATCAATCAAAACAAGCGGGAGGACAAGTCCCCAGGCCAGGCCACAAGTGATAGTGATGACATAATGATATGATATATATATATATATCCTTTTATTTACACTTATATAAGTTGGTTGGTTGGTTGTTATTAATGTCTAATTAATTGATGTTGACAATGCTTGATTGATTGAGTGTTCGTTTGATTGAATGGCTGGATGATTAGCGATTCCAGAGGAATGGCGTTTGCCTCTGTCCCACTGAGTGAGCCATGGCTTGATCAGCTGATGTCCCATCTGCGCGGGAACAGATAAGTAAATGCCTCTGGATGTGTGAACTTGTTGATATCATGTGATTGTGATTGGATTGTGATGCGATGATGGGAAAGGATAGTACTATAGATGGCGGATGATTGGGAAGCCACCCACCCACACTCATGACGCTTGATTATGCCTTGACCTTTCTCTTCTTGACTGTCTTCTCAAAGCGCTCCTCCTTCTTCTTGCGCTTCTCAATTGATTTGTTCAGCTCCTCGATTGTGTTGGTCAGATGTGACGAGTATGGCAGTAGACTGAGACGATGGCGCTCCCACTTCTCCAAGGGCAGGTCGTTCGACAGCAGTCCCTTGACGGCCGACTTGCCAAACAAGTCCATCTTGGCGATGGCGGCCACTCTGCTCGCGTTGTTCTTGTCGTCGTCCCACTGTGGCATACGGATCGCGTATGGCAGCGCCTGGATGACGTACTGGAGCAGCGTGGACCATGCCGACTTCTCCTTGAACTCCTCGCCATTCTCCACGAGCTGCTTCTTGAAGTTGTTGAGGCCGCTCTTGACGCGGTTGTACGAGTTGTTGTCAAAGTCAAACTTGTTGTTGGGGAACAGCTTGTTGTACTTCTTCTGGAGCGTGTCAAGCTCGTCCATGACCTCGTGCAGGTCGGGTGGCGGCATCACATTCTCAAACTCCTGCAGCAGATCGGGATGCATCGTGTGGAAGTAGTGCGAGCAGAGCGCGACCAGCTGCTCCTTGGTCAACGAGTTGAGCGAGCCCTCGAACGGACTGAATGTCTTGGCCTTCTTCTTGGACGACGACGACGACGATGACGAGCTTTTCTTGGATGACGCTGGCTTGACCTGTGGTGAATCGAGTGGCAGGCCATTCTCTACGCCGGCCGTGTTGCTGTTGCTGCTGGTCTGGGTTGTTTCCAGCTGGTGGTGCAGCGCACCCATGCCGACGCTGTGTTGTAAAGCTTGCTCACCCATGTCATACACGGGCGATGGCATCGAGTCTGAGGACGAAGGTGTCTGTGATATGCTGCCCTGCGATGGCACCGAGGAGACTGAGCTCTGGAGGTGTTGTTGATGCTGCTGCTGCTGCTGATGGTGATGATGTTGTTGCTGTTGCTGACTGCTCAGATTGACGAGAGATGCAATGGTCTGGTCATGTTGTTGCTGCTGCTGGAGGTGATGATGGTGTTGCTGTTGCTGGTGGTGCTGCTGTTGTTGATGTTGATGTTGCTGCTGCTGGTGATGGTGTTGTTGCTGCTGATGATGTTGTTGTTGCTGCTGCTGCAGAGTCAGTGAACTCTGATGCGAAGGGAGTGAGAGGGGTGGCAATGAATTGATTGGCGATGACGTTGGTGAGAGGATGCCTGTTGGGGCCATGCCAGGCACATGCATATTGTTGATGTCCATTATGTTTGGCAGCTGATGGTGACCATAGAGCGCATTGTTCATCTGGTTGTTATAGTATCCCATATGTGATGCCATGTTTGGCAACATGAAGTTACCAGTGTTCATTCTTGATTGTTTTATATTGTTGTTGTTGTTATAATAGTAGGTTGGGCTAAGGCCTTCTTCTTCTTGTTTTGGGTAGTATGCGCGCAAAGGGGTATCGTGTTGCGTGTGTCGACTGGATTGAATGACTTGATGAAGGAGGGGATGAGATGAGATGGATGAGCTATTAAATCGAGATGGAGATAGGACCTGGTCGAATGATGTGGAGGAGGGAGGATGGTTGTTGTTTGTTGTTGTTGTTGTTGTTGTTGTTTGTTTGTTGGTCGAATGGCAGGGGACAATGGGTCCTTGCTTGCTTGGTTGACTTGAATTGACTTGGTTGGTTGAAACGAGTAACAAGGGTAGGCCCTCTTCTATTGTGTTGTGTGTTCACTCGAAAGGTAATTAAGAGTAAGTAATGTGTGTGTGTGTGTTTGTTGTTGTAGCAAATGTTGGTGTTTGTTGTTGTTCTCGACGCTTTTGCTTCGAATCTGTGACTGTGCTAGCTGGCTCTCTTCTCGTTGATAGGGTGTACAATTCCAAACGTTTGTGTGTGTGTGTGTGTATGTGTGTGTGTGTATATAACTAATTGGTTGGTCAAGTTGAGTAATGTGTGTGTGTGTATTAATAATGGGGTGCGAGGAGTGAATGACTACCCAACACAACGTACTCCCCCATTTAAAAAAAATATTATTATTAATTTTGAACTTTTCAAATTATCAGTTAATTGTAACGGACGTCAACAAATGTCAACGCTTTTAGTCAGTTCAAAAACTACAACAAAGACTAGAGATAAAGAAACACTCATGAGTGCACTTGGATTGATTGATATATCAATAAGGTAACATTGTTTATATGTTGTTATTGATGTTCACTATTCATTACTACTTTACTTTGGACAGACATCAAGTGAAAGAATGAATAAGCTTCCAAATGGAAGAGAGAGAATTTTTATTTGGGACGATATAATGGCGATGATGGTGTTGGATTGATCGGAGATTGATTATTAAACCTCACCTGTGAGTCATTGCAATCCATCTTCAGTACCTGGTTATTTCATGCCATGACAACAACAGTATGTAGTATTATAATAGTCAATTAATGATTGCATTTTGGGATTAGGCTGCAAATCAGATGACTCCTGGACAAGTTCAATCATTCACTGACCTGACTAGACCTGACCTGAATGACTGGACAATCATGACTTTTTGTTCATTCAAACACATGCTCCAATTCGACCTCTGAGGGTTGGAACCAAACAAACAAACTTGAAGCAAAAAAAAAGACGAACACCACTACCACCCATTTAGTGTGTGTTTTTCGGAGTTGGATTGCCGATCACACGAGCGACACGTTTATCCATTTTGGGACATTACTTGCACTCTTTGGTCTGACACCATGCTACCCCCTCCTTACACCTGACCCTACTAGTGTTATTGTCTTCCCTTTGTTGGTGCATATGATGTGAGAGATATTTCATACTTATAAATTTTATTTATTTATTTACATTACTTATCCTTCAACTTTGCAAAGACCATTCATTGTCTTGTTGTTCTTGTTTGTGTTGTTGTTGACCTTCATTATTATTATTATTGTAGTTATAACTTTATATAATATATATATATAATTTAAATCAATCAAACTTCATTCACTTTATCAATCAATCTCAATCAATCAATCAAATATTAATACAATAATGGAGGATGCAACAAGAAGAATAGCTGTTACAGGACAACACTTGACTGTTGCTGTTGAGAATAATGCTACAAACTCACCTGCACCAGCTGAGCAATCATCAGCCTTGGTCACAAGCCAGCACACTTTCGACCCAAGGGCTCTGTTTGAGTACCTCTTCCCATACCACATCGATATGCGCAACCAGATAATGGAGGAGTGGCAGGATCCAAAGAATGAGTTGATCCACGCCGACTACTGCGGCATGTCGTTGGAGCAGGAGCGCGCACTCACTCGTCGCCAGTTCGATCTGCTGATGAAGATCTCCCAGAAGTACATCTCCGTGTGGGACTTTATCCGCGATCCAACCAAGATTGCCGCATGGACCCAGTCGTACAGACTGCGCAACATCTCAGTCACCACCTTGTTTGGCGTGCACTTCTCGCTGTTTGGCGCGTCCATTCTGCACTTGGGCACTGATGAGCAGCGCGAGAAGTACATCAAGCACGTCGAGGACCTGTCTATGTCGGGCTGCTTCGGTCTGACCGAGTTGGGCCACGGCTCCAACGTTCAGCAAATCGAAACACAGGCCGTCTATGACCACGCCACCGAGCACTTCATCCTCAACTCGCCAACAATCACCTCGCAAAAGTACTTTATTGGTGCCGCCGCCAAGAATGCACAGTGGGCAGTCATCTTTGCCCAGCTCAAGGTTGGAGAGAAGAACGAGGGTGTGCACGCCTTCCTCATGCGAATCAGGAACCCAGACAACAGCATCTGCCATGGTGTAAAGATCGCCGACTGCGGTCACAAGATGGCCCTGAACGGTGTGGACAATGGACGTTTGATGTTTGTCAACTACCCAGTGCCACGCGATCAGCTCCTGTCTCGTTACGGAGGCGTCAACAAGGCCGGTATCTACTCCAGCCCCATCAACCCAGCCGTCAAGAGATTCGCACACAACATTGGTGCTCTGGTCATTGGACGATACATCATCTCTTTGGGCTGCGTCAGCTTCTCAGCAGTCACACTCCTCAACGCCATCAACTACGCATTCAGCCGTCGTCAGTTTGGTGATGACAAGTGCGAGCGTCAGCTGATCTCATACGCCGTTCACCAGCGTCGTCTGCTGCCACATCTGGCCTTCAACTACGCCATTCACTTTGGTAATGAGTATCTGCTGCGTCTAATGTCCGAGAAGGAGAACAGAAAGGAGAAGGAGATCCACGTCTACGCCTCTGCACTCAAGGCCTACGCCTCATGGCACAACCGTGACTGTCTTCAGAACAGTCGTGAGGCTTGCGGTGGCCAAGGTTTCCTCTCAGAGAACCTCATCGGTATCTTCAAGTCCGAGACCGAGATCTACACCACATTCGAGGGCGACAACGTCCTGATGTACCAGCAGGTTGCCAAGTACATCCTCACCGAGTCCAGACGCAAGGCTCCACCCGAATACAATGTACCATCCGATGCCTATCGCAGCAAGACCGACTCGAAGCACCTCCGTTCACAGGACTTCATCATGGCAGCAATGACCGCCAGAGTACACCAGTACATCCCAGCCGTCGCCGCCAAGCTCATGGAGGCCGTCGGCAATGGAAAGCCAGTGTTGGATGCCTGGAACGACTGTGGAAACATCATCTTGAACCTCGGAATCGTGTTCACTGAGCGCTACCTCTTGGAGCGCTTCATCGACGGCGTCAACAAGTGTCCAGATGCCAAGCAGCGTCACGCCATGTCACTTTTGGTCAGTCTGATGGGTTTGGTCATCATCGAGAAGGACACCTGGTTCGTCAAGCATCAGTTCATCTCTGTCGATCAGTCCGACGCCATCAGCAACGAGATTGCTGATCTGTGTCGCGAGGTTGTTCCACTTGCAGTGGACCTGTGTGAGGCCTTTGGTTTCAACCAGCTTACTACTGCTCCAATTGGAAGAGATTGGATTCAACATAACAAATATTAAATTAGCGTGCCGACACTCCAATTATCAATGGAATCATTCCATGATCATTTTTCATTCATTTATTGTCTTTATGTCTTTTTCCAGAATAATGAATTTCGATTGTTTGTCCTTGGTCATCTTGAGTGGACATCGACGACAACACCGGTTGAATGAGAGGTAGACAAAGGATGGTCGGGTGACACTAATTGTGAACTGCACAAGGTTGGTTTGATCGATTTTGGCCAGGATTGACAACTGGTTATCGATTGCCAGGCGAGAGATTGACAATACTTTACATGATATCATTTCCGAACTCGTTATCTTGCAGTGATTGACGTCTGATCGTTTTGCAAGCTACACAAAAATGACTGGGAACAATCTAATTGATTGACTGAGGTGGCTAGATTTTTTCATTATGATTAGCTTCATTAGCTAAGTTCCTGATGATTTTGGATTGTTTGTCAGTGGTCATCATGAATGGACACCTTGGACAACACCTGTAGAAGGAGAGGTAGATAATTCTTGGTTGGATGAGCCTAATAGTGATCTTGGAAAAGTATGGTCGATCTACAACGGCCATCACAAACAACTTGTCAATGATATCCTGTATGGTACAGTCAATCTCTCGCCTGGCAATCGAAAACTTGTCGTCAATGTATACAGTCAGTGATTGAAGTGTTGGTGTAGTACCTGGAGCGGGAATAAGTGGCAACATATAATCCAACACACCCAAGTACAATGTCAGTCTTTTCAGTTGTCGACACTGTTCATAGAATCGTTGGACATGAGTGAAGTATTTCTCTAGTTTCCCCTGGCTGAATGAAAGTTTCAGGTCGAGAGTGAACGATTGAACATTCCTTGCCTTGTATAGGTTCTTGACGGGATGGTTCTCGCTCAAATTGATGAATGTGATATGGTCGAGTTCATTTTCGTCCATAACTGAAAGATGATCATCTTTGTATCGATATTCATCTTCAAAATAGTATCCCTGGTAACTGGTGTCCGCAATTGATCCTAGCATCCATGAGAACATCAGTCTTGGTGTCCCAGTGCCAGAAGGGTTTGGAAGGGGTGGAGCCGCAGGCGAGGTTGAGATGATATTAATCTCTAGCAAAGTTGGATGATCATCTACATAGATTCTGAACATCTCGATGAAGCATTGTGTATGGTTGTCCACAAAATCGTGTTCCATCTTGACAATACGGTACAACTCAGTGCCAAGTTGGGATCGATTGCCATAGTGATCGATGGTAAGGTAAGGTGTCTCTTGGAAATATATTTGTCTCAAATTCGGTGCGACGACTAACATAAAAGCAAAGTCGCGATGGTAGTGGTCGAATGGCACCGTCAATGATTGAAGGCGCTCAAGACATTGCTCGATGTGATTGGCTGGGATGTAGGGGATGTGCAGTGCATGTATGTGAAGTGGTGGATTGGCAAATAAACAATGTTTAGAGCCAATGTGATTGATCATTGAGCGAATATGGAGTAGTGGCGTCACATTGTTTGAGAGAATGGATGACACTGCTTGGTAGAATCCAGTGCACACCGTTGACAGTGATACAACCCAAATCGAGGGAAAGGAATCGTTGGACTCGTCAGGATATGTGCAATGATTTGTTTGATTAACAATGGAGATAGTGATGGAGATGCTGTTGCTTCAGAGGTTGATGATGGAGGTGATTGCTTGGTTGAGGTGGTGTCCAAAAACAACCTTGAGATTGACACCTTCTTGTACTGAACGTAGAGCTGGTGGTTTTGTTCAAACTCATCGTTTCGTTCCAGTTTGGCCAACAGTGCACTCTTGGAGATATTGAAGCCAGAATACTGGTGTCTATAGATTTTTAGATTGTGACGCCACATGAGTAGTCGAAAGATCACTGCAGGGTATCTACATTTCTCGACATAATAGACAAGGTTCATAGTATTTGAAGATACAAATCTGCCAATCCAATCAGTCCACACAAGAACTGGATCAGGACACAAGTCCATGCACTCATAGTATGTTTGATCTTCATCCATTGTTGGTATTCTTGTGAAGAGTTGACTGATTATTTGGTTGTCCAACATTGAATGGCGAGCCAGTAAGCATGCGAAATCACCAACGTTTCTGTTGGTGTTTGTTCTGATCTTCACCAATAGCTCGTTAAGGAAACTCTGTATCCATGGTCGATATGTGTTTATAAACTCTGTATCGTCATCCATCTTGAATCTTGTGGAAGTAGTGTATAAAGAATGTATTGCTGTGTTGATGTAGTTGTCACGTTGTTGATTTGAGAGTCGTCCACCCATGCCCTTAACAATGCCAAGCAAACCAGTGGCAATGTCGAACAATCTTCCATCATATAGGTTGTGTCTCTCCCCGACTCCGGGATTGATTGACATTGAGTTGACACGATCCATTATAGGCTGCCAAATATCCACACACTCGCCAAGTGATCCAAAGCATTTGGCAACACCAGCTAAGATGACCAGATTTTCCGGTGTCGAGAGTGCATTGAGTATTATTGATTCCAAATATTCTTTATAAAATTGTACCTGTTACATGTTAAGATTGATTGATTGAATGATTGAATGAGCGAGGGTATGGCCATGTGAGGTTAATTATACATAATACAAACATTCTGGAATGATGGTCCCAGGTGATAGATGGCTTTGTGGATGATGTCGTGTGGGAGTCGGAGCCAAAGTCTGGTAAAGCGATCAGATGGTTCGATCAGTCGTAGAAGTGGAAATAAACTTATGACGGCATGGTAAGTATAGATTGAGAGGGAGGATATCTCCTTTCCAAACTTCTCCAACACGATTGCTTGGTTGTCTTGATGTCTTGTGGGATCGTCACCAGATGTGATGGCAAATACAGTTGACAATCCGGAGGTGAAGTGTAGTTGCTTGCCGCATCCCAGCACGAACCTAGAAGATAATGTGTTTAGTATTGATTGTAAGATTGATCGATTGAGGAGGCAACATACTTAACAACATCATGTTTGTGATTGATAAGCAGTTGTGATGTGGAGACGTTTGGAATGTTCTGGAGGTACTTCAGCTTTGGCGATTGCTCAGTGTTCTCTGAGAGGAACTATTTGACCAGTTCATTCTCAACTGGCTCAACTCCAAATGCATAGGTTATGTTGTTGAAGTAGTCGTTGTGATCAATTCTGGAGACGAGTAGTTGGACATAGGCTGTGAGCAGTTGTTGTTTTTGAGTATCATCAGTGTTGCATTGAACCATTCTCAAGAAGCCTGGTATGATCAAGAAGCGAGTGTTTTCGAATAACGAAGGTATACTTTGAACTCTGATGTAGGCCAATGCCAAATCGAACAGAGTGATGTTGATGCCTGTCTTTTGAGGAAGTATTGAGTAGTCAACAGATATTCTGGTGGAATATGGATCTACATCTATGATCATCACTCGCGCAAACAGTTTATGAATGTTCTCATTGTATTGTGGCAGGCAACTGGTCATTGCCTACATTCAAAGGGCAAGGTTGTAAGTTTGTAAGTATGTTTATCGCGAGACCGCCACCAAGTTAGTTAACATACCTTTGATATAAATGGTAATGCATTGATATAAGATACAAGGTTGGCATCTTGTTTGAGGTCAACATCCAACAACACGTCTACAGCACTCTTCAATGACTCTATTATTTGATTATTTATATCCCTCTTTGGTGTATCCTTATATCTCTCCCATATCTCTTTGAAAACATTGATCGCATTGTCCATCTCTTATCTCTTATCATTGCCTCATCTACGCCTGTTCAACATTGAGTCAATCAAGATAACTTTTTGCACTGAAATGAGGGAAGTAATCATTCTGATTGACAGAGTGAGATATTTATTCAATATGATCAGTGGCCAGTTTTCTGTTCAACATCGATTGTTTGTCTGTAGTCATTATGAGTGGACACTTTGGACAACATCTGTAGAAGGAGAGGTAGACAAATCTTGGTTCGAGGATCTCAACAGTGATCTTTGTGAGGTTGGGTCTGTCGGCACAGGCCAGCAATAACATGTCAATGATATCCTGTATGGTATTATTAATCTCATGCTTGGCAATCGATTTCCAAGCTTCAATGTAGACCTCCAGTGTTTGGAGTGTTTGGGAAGTGCCTGGAGCAGGAATGAGTGGCAACATATAATCCAAATCGGTGACCACCATTCTCAGTCTGTAAAGTTGTCGACACTCCTTATAGAATAATTGGACACCTGAGGAGTATTGCTCTAGGTTGTTGTTGTTGTGTCCCAACGATCTCCTGTTCTGAGTGAACTGGTAGGATTGTCCCAATATCAATCTCCTGCTCGGTCTGAGCAAGAGATCTTGTACATACCTAGCCTTGCACAGGCTTTGGGTGGGATGATGTTCAAACAGATTGATGACTGCGATGTGGTCCAGTGCACTCTCGTCCATTTTTTTAAGGTGATCACTAAGTTGGTGTTCACCGTAGCAATAGTAACTGGAGTAACACCTTTTATCATCTGAACCAAGATCCCATGTGAATCGCAGACTTGGTCCAGTGATGTTGCCAGTGCCATCATGATGTTTTGGAAGTGCGGGCGGACCTGCAGGAGAGCTTGAGTGGATCTCAACCCCTTGCAATGATGGATGATCATCGACATAGATTCTGAAAATCTCATTGAAGCACTGCCTATGGTAGTCGGACACAGTACCACCATAATCAAGCTCGACAATACTATACAACTCTTGACTGTGTTGGGACAGATTGCCAAAGTGTATGATTGCATTGTAAGGTGTCTCCATGAGAAGGACTTGTCGCAAATTGGGCGCATGGACCTTGATAAAGACAAATTGTCCTTCCATCTTTTCAAAATCGAATGGTATGACCAATGATTCAAGTCGCTCAAGACATTGTTGGATATGATCTAATGGGATGTAGTGGATGTTTAGTGCATGTATATGTAGAGGTGGTTTGGATAACAAGCAGTACTTGGAGCCAATGTGATTGATCATTGAGTGGTAGAGTACTGATGTAACATTGTTTGAGAGTATGGATGACACTGCTTGGTGGAATCGAGTACTCACTGTTGACAGTGATACCATCCATTTGGCCTCAAGTGTATCATTGCGACTCGTCAGGATATGTTCAATGATGTGTCTGATCAACAATGGTGAGAGTGATGAGAATAAGTCTGTCACAGGTGATGACTTGGATGATTTGGCTTCCAAATACATTCTTGCGATGGATACCTTCTTGTACTGATTGTACAGTCGATTGTTTTGTTCAAAGTCATCGTTTCGCTCCAACATGAACAACAATGTACTCTTTGAAATATCATTTTCCACACTGCCTCTCTCGATCTTGTACTGGATCTTTAGGGTGTGTCGCCACATGAGTAGTCGAAAGATCACTGCAGGAACCTTGCACTTCTGGGAAAAATAACCAAGATCATCTTGAGTTGGGGTGTCAATCCATTGGGTCCACGCATCAATTGGATCAGGACATGAGTAGAGGAAATCAACTATTGCCAGTCCATTTTTAGTTGGAGATCTTTTGATGATACGACTGATGAGCTGGTTGTCCAACATTGAATGGCGGACCAATATGACTTTGAATGGCCCAACAACCGATAATTCCTGGGTGAATATATCCTCCTTGAACTTGGCGATGTATCTCTCGATCCATGGACGATAGGTGTTGATAAAAAGTGTCTCGTCCTGAATTTTAAAGTCAATTTCAGAGTTGTCCAATGAATGTATTGCCGTATTGATGTAGTTGTCACGTTGTAGATCTGAGAGTATTGTTCCCATCCCTTTGACAAGGCCAAGCAATCCAGTGGCAAAGTTGAACGCATCAGAACGCAGAATATTTGATCTAACAATGATAGCGGGATTGATTGACATTGACTCGACACGATCCATTATTGGCAGCCATATATCCAAACACTCGCCAAGTGATCCAAACAGTTTGGCAACACCAGCTAAGATGACGAGATCGTCCTGTGTCGAGAGTGCATTGAGTGTTATTTGCTCCAAATGATCTTTATAAAACTGTACCTAAATGTCAATGATTGATTGATTGATTGATTGGTTAGTATTTTAGGTATCATAACAATATAATAATACAAACACTCTGGAATGATGGTCCGAGGTGGTCCATAGCTTGACACTTGATGTCGTCTGGGAGTTGGTTATAAAGTTGGAGAAAGCGATCAGATGGTTCGATCAGTCGTAGAAGTGGAAGTAATGATTTGAAGTATTGGGTATTAGAATTAGAATCGGTAGGACTGTGATGCTTCAACTTCCATTCAAACATATCCAATACCAAGATTTGGTTGGCTTGTTGCCTGGTGGGATCTTCAAGAGCGATGGCAAACACAGTTGACAATTCAAAGGAGATATACATCATACCGCACCCTTGAATGAACCTAAGTGTTGTAAAGAGTAAGTGAGTGATTGATTGATTGATTGATTGACCTGACAAGTGTCGACATACTTACTTGATAACGTCTTGTTTGTGATTAATCAGAAGCTGTGATGAGGAGGTGTTTGGAAGGCATTGGAGGTACTTCAACTTTCTTGTGTGCTCAATAGTTCGTTCAGTGTTCTCTGAGAGGAACCATTGGACAAGATCGCTCTCGACTTGCTCCATTCCAAATGCCTCTGTTATATTGATGAAGTAGTCTTTGTGATCAATTCTGGTGACAAGTAGTTGGACATATACCGCCAGAAGTTGTTTTTGTTGTTGTTGTAGTTGTTGTCCATCATCAATGATGCTGTTTTGAACCATTCTCATGAATCTTGGTTTGACCAAGAAATAAGTGTATTGGAATAACGAAGGTATACTTGACACTCTGATGTAGGCCAATGCCAGGTCGAACAGAGTGATGTTGATACCTTTCATTTTTGGAAGTATTGAGTAGTCAATATATATTGGATTAATGCTATGTGTATATGGCAGCACATCTGAGATCATTATCCGTTCAAACATCTTGTAGATGTTATCCTTGTATTTCTGAAGGCAACTGGTCATTGCCTATAGTAAATTCATCAGTTAGTCAGTTGATCTCAAGATGTCATAACCAACATACCATTGACATCAGTGGCAATGCATTGATAAAGGACACTAGGTTGCTAGCTTGTTTGAGGTGAACTAACAAAAACTCGTCAACAGCACTCTTCAATGACTCTACATCTTGACCACTTATATCATTTAGCATCATTGGGCTGTCCTTATATCTCTGCCATGTCTCCTTGATGATGACACTGTTTGCGTTGTCCATCTCTATCTCTATCTCGATTTCTGTATCTTTATTACTATTATATTTGATTTTCGAAGAAGAGTTGAGGACAAAGAGTCCTTGGACTTGGAATTACATGTAATATTTTGTTTGTTCACATTTTAAGAGATACAGATAATAAGTATTGTATAACTATATAACATAATGGAGGAACCTGAGCAAAACATTCTAAGATGTTCTGGAGACCAGAGAGATGCGAAATACCAGGATGTAAAGGCACCACCTTGTCATATTGTGGTGCATGTAAATGTGTAAAGTATGTTGATTGATTGATCGAACGAATGAATGAATGAATGAGAATGCCTCATTGACACAACACAATCATATATAGGTATTGCTCTAAAGAACATCAGGTTGCAGGATGGCCTGAACATAAACGCGATTGCGAACAGCTGAGGAAGCATGGTATTTGGGCAAAGTTCACGAGACAGGAGGATCAAATGGCTGTCAATCCACTTGGCGACTTGGTACTCAAGAATGCTGTGAAGAAGTGTGGACTGTGTAATAGAGAGCCAGGACCAGATCGTCCACTAAAGAAGACACCATGTTGCAAGAACTGGGTCTGTGACAATGAGCACCAATATGTAATGATGTCCAACTCTCGGCAGTTCTGTGCACGATCACACAACCGCTATACCTCATGTGGATGTCCCGAGGCCACTGGACACAAGCATGACAACAAGAAGAATGATTGGAGGTATGTATGAATGATCGATCATTCATTCAGTTGCGCCAGCGCTGGCATCATGCTGACAACTTGTTTGTTTATAGAGCATGCAAGGAATGTAGATCAGGTGGACAGGATAACTGGTATAACTGTAATGGATATAACTTCTCGCCAATGTTTGATGCTCCCTATGGAAGGATGTCAAAGGATTGCGTGGACTGTGGCGCAGCATTCTTCCCAGCTTACGAGACATACAGCACAAAAGATATTATTGGACAGAGGCGATACGTATGCGAGAAATGCACGTGTATCAAGTCGGGAATGGATCCAAACAACATCCCTGCTAGCATTAAGAATACAAAGCTTAACTTCTTCAACTGAGCGATCGCACACCTTGAAGTTCTCTATCTCTCAATCAATGTGGTAATATACTCTTTATGATGGTCATGCTCTTACTTGTTGCTTGACGACACTGGTTATGGTATCCCAGTCTTGATCCTTCTCCTTCTCACAATGGACCATGTACCTGGCCCACGCGTCATGTAGGATGGTCGTGTACCTCTCATATGATCCAGAATCTTTCTGTGCAAGTCGATAACGTAGATGATCGGCTGCGACGCCCAGATGCTTCAATGTCCAACACTTGGTGCTGCGAATGGTCAGCACCTTTTGCATGATCTCGATGGCCAGCTTTAGGGCGTCCTCTGACTCAGCACCAGTCTCGCGCAGGTAGTGAGTGAGCAGGTTCTCGACCGACTTCTCCAGGTTGATGGCCACGTCCGTCACCAAGAAGTATTCCCATGAGTCGTTTGGATACTTCACTGTGTTGTTTGGCAGTGGGAACCAGGGGAACTGGCGGTACTCCTTCAACAGAGTCTGGTAGTGGCCCTTTGGTGCGCTGGCCGGGATGATCTGGGAGGTCATTCCTCGCGTCAACGTAACATAGTGCTGCTGGAAGGAGTAGTCGCCATGCTTAAAGTCGCCGCCAAGATAGATTGGACGATGTTGATTGTGGTCCAAGAAGGTCTTGAGTGAGAAGCCACCTGGCTTGTGTGGATGATAGACTGTGCCAGGGAAGTTAACGTTCTTGTAAATGGGTCCTTGCGTAACAGTGAACCAATCCCAGCTCATCTCTTCGAGGCTGATAATGTCAATGTCTGGTCGCAGGCCCTCGCACAGCTTCATGTATTGTGGTACATTGGTGATCAGATCGCCACCGACCAACAGCAATGTATCCTTTGGCAATGGGTCAAGTACGGCATGGCCATAGTATACATATGAGAGGTTCTCGCTTTGGTCCTGTAGTTGATAGTTTGTTCCAATCTGGAATGCAACCAATCCCAATGCCAACAATGGAAGTGTTATCCTATTAATTGATTGATTGAATGATTGTTAGTGCACGCGATCCAATATGACTGGAACTATTCCTTCTTACTTCTTGATTGTTGGTGCTTTCGAGTTGAGTAGGTTGGACACTATCTTGAGTCCAAGTCCAATGCCGATTGATATAAAGACGTTGGGTTGCATAAAGAATCGCAAGAAGACACCCTTGTAGAGTGGTTTCTCAATTGGTAGGTTGCAAAGGTTGAAGAAGAAAGTGATATAGAATGTAAATGTGAAGATGATCATTGTTCCAACTGATCGCCATTGGAATGTCCTGGAGAGTGCGTGAGTTGTCATGTCAGTACATCCATCCGCTATGTGTCCAATCAAGAGTCACGACCATTCAAACATACCTTAAGTTGCTGCCAAGTAACAATCCAACCAATCCAATAAAGGCCAGTACACCTCCAACATAGTTGAACTGTTCAAAGATGTTCTCAAAGTATAGAATGATACGCTGTGACAATGTTGTTGATCCAGAGTCACCACTGTATAGTTGCAATGTGCCATACTCCTCGCGAAGGAAATGAGTCATGAATCCCCTATGATGGTAGTGGCAGCAGGGTTAGTTGACCGAATGGAGAGTGAGAGTATATACATACTTGAGGGTTGAAGTGTTGCCCCATGAGTACTCGGTTGGACGCAGGGTTGGCGCGATGATTAGATAGAGGTATGGTGAGAGACCGGACAAGGTGGCGATTGTAAGGTTGGTGAGGTTGTTGATACTCCAGAGATGGTCGCGTCCAGCGATGAGCATCAGCCAAAAGGCAAAGGGTACGACCACGAGCACGAGTGTGTGCTGGTTGGTCAGACCAATCGCACATGTGAATGCAGAGAGATAGGCGATCCTATCACTGGTCCAGAACGACGGGTTGAAGCGCTCGTTCTCAAAGATCCTGGTGCGCACGTACCAGACAGCTTCGAGCACCAACAGCGCCACGAACATGTTGTTCATCGAGAATACCTCGCCCTGGATATGATAGCACCAGATGAGTGGCGAGAATGTGAACAGTCCTGCCGTCGCAAAGGCGCACCACGTGTCATTGACCCATAGTTGGACAGTGAGGAACATGGCGGCCGAACAGATTGCGCCACAGAATGAGGAGAATAGAGCAATGCGCCAGCCAACCGTTCCGAATGGTATGAACTTGTCAAACACACGTCCAAGCATTGTGAACAGAGGATATCCCGGAGGATGAGCAATGCCAAGTTGATGCGCGTTGATAATGAGCTCGCCAGCATCACCTAGTATGAGAGAAGAAAGTAGGTGAGTATGTGAATGAGTGAATGAGTGAGTGGTCATGTGTCTCGAGGGATGACATACCTCCCGCGACTGATGGATACTGAGTCCGAGCGTATAGGGCTAGTGTGACGATGAACACAATGAATGTGAACAAGGCATTTAGCTTGAATTGTGTTGGCGTGAAGGTTGTAAATGAACCATCGCTCCAATTAAGCATATCATATGCCCATTTGTAATTGATTGGTTTGTCCCTCCTGGTGGTACCACCAGCATGGTTTGATGTCGTAGTACTACTGCTGCTACTGCTACTACCACTACCATTTCCAATGTTTCCACTGTTGCCAACATTAGAGTCGCGAGTAGACTTCTTTCGCGTCTTGATTTGAGAGCTCATCGTTGTTGTTGTTGTTGTTGTATCGTACAACTAAATAACCAATATATATATATATATATCTATATGAGTAATATAATAATGAATGAAGTGTTCTAAATATGTTTAATCTGAAAAGACATCATCATTGGGAAACTGAATGAACATTCATGCATTCTCCAAACCACCTCTTCACAAATGAGTGATATTTTCATCTCGATTGAATGACACAAAAAGTATCTGTTGGTCTCGTACAAGGCTGCCATTATTATCGATCGTCAGTCAAGTCACTCAGAGTGACAACCTTGTACTGTGTTACCTTTGGCAAATACTCGATAGTTCTGTACTACCCAATACTATCTTATATGTATACATAGATTATCACAGTCAGAGTGACATTATCATCATATTTGTCAGAAGTCTTTTCATTCACTCCCTTAAAGTTTAGAGAAGTAAGGCTCATTGAATGAATATTATGGTCTAATCCGATTTATCTCCTTTGATCAACTAACTATTTTAGTTGGGAGTAATGTATTTTATCTCTCATTGTGTAAATTGATGTGCTCAAAGTTGGTCGTTTTCCACATCCCCACACAAAAAAGTGATCAATGTTTTGGGATCATTATCGAATACGCATTGTCTAAACTTGTTATAACTACACTACATTTATATATATATATATATATTGTATTAGAAGAAGTAGAAGGATCAATTGTGAACAGTATAAAAGGTGAGGATTATGATGATGATGAATAGGATAGGATGCAAGACAGCAGACATACCCTCAATCGTATTCAATCATTCTAACATTACAACACTCGGCCTCGATGTTCTCGCGACACAACGACTTGACTCATCATCATCATAACCATTGATTGGCGAACATTATGAACAAACAGAGCTTTATACATTCACATTCAATCATTCATTCGTTCATAACAGACAACAAACATACAGCACAGATATATAATATACAGATAGCGAAACAACATTAAGACGATAAACGAAGAATGTCAGCAACAACAGAGGCAATCAAATCAACTGTAAAGACAGCCAGCAAGTACTGGAACAATGTGTTCTTCCCAAACATGAAGTTGGTGGTCACTAGGAACTCTCATGAGACCTTCCCTCAGACACGCAAGCTGATGTTCAAGACTGAGTGCAATGTTGGCAAGATCGACGTCAGAAACTACATGAAGGCTGTCTACGATGTCGAGGTGCCCAAGTTGAACACCATCAATGTACAGGGTAGAATCAAGCGTGGCGCAACCAAGAACGCATACAAACAGAAGGATTACAAGAAGGTCATCATCACTGTTGATCCAAAGTATGTCGAGCCACTCAAGAGGAAGTAAAGTAATATTAAACAAGCGAAGAAACATTATATATATATATCAATCATCCTCCATTCGTACGGGTTATGTTGACAACTTCTTTGAGGTCAGCAACAACAACAACAACCACATAGGAAAGCTGTCAGAAACACTTGGTACTGGATCATCATTAATCAATTGACGACTCTGGACCTGGTTGAGGGTGTCTTGGAATAACAATAGAAATAATCACACTACAAGTGTCGCTTGTATAGGCAAGTGATTGATTAATTGATTGATGCTGACACAAGCATACGGAACCAGTCAATCAACCCATCAATCACTGTCCAACCAATCAATAGTCATCGATCATTCGTCAGTTTTCCACCCATCACCACAACAAAAGATGCCTGGGAATTGATAAAGAAATCAGAATTGTTAAGTTGTAATTTAGTGAGAGACGATGATTGGGTGAGTGCAAGAGAGAGAGACAAAGTATATGATCACAACAATTTGGTTCACTTCTTTCTCTCCATTACATATCATGAAGAATAACAAGACAATACATAACAAAATTATTAATAGAAATATTTTGTTTACAAACAGTAAAAGAGTTAAAGTAGAAGATGAATATATTGTATCATACAAGTAAAATTAAAGATGTTGATAAACATCAACAACAACAACAACAACAACTATCAAAGCAAGAGAAGATGGACATTGCTATTGAACAACTGTACAAACAGTTTAAACTTGAAGAGAAGGCCAAGAAGAAATTGGCCATCTCTGTTGCTGAGGAGAAGAGACTCAGAAAGATGAATGCCAATTGGCAGAAGATGACAGCAACAATCAACCTTCAAAAGGACAAATTAGAAGCCGAGGCACTAATGGACATTGCTGCATCCAAATTGGTTACTCAGACCATCATCCAACAATCATTCGACAAAGGAATGAAAAGGTCCATGTCCCCTCCAGCTCCTTCCCCTGCTCCATCTCCAGTTCCAGCACCATCTCCACCCCTAGCTCCAAGAGTCCTGTCAGATCAAGAATTCTACCAATTCCATGGTGTACAATTCTATCTGGCACATGAGATGCTGTGTTACCTCAAAGCCATTGGAGAGTTGAACAGTGTCTTGTATCCTGTTTCCATGAAGAAACAGTTTGAGAAGGACGAGTTCTTGGGTGATAGTCAACTAGACCTGTACATTGCAACCAAACTCAATGAGGTAAGAATGCGAGAATAACATGATTGACTTGAAATATAAGCCTAATATAAATTCTCCAATCACATTCATCCAGTTGCCAGATGCATCGCCAGGAAAATCGACCAAACGTCGCATACGAGGAGTTAAGAATGATACTCTAACATTGTTCTTCTTAATGGTTCGGTTGTCCGAGATTATGAATGAACAGGCCATCCCAAAGGAGAGGCATCCAGGCAAGGAAAAGGCTGATGCCTTTGAGGTCCTCATCTGCGAGTTGAGCAAGTCTCAACATGCAGTTGCCAAGGTACTCCTCAATCTTCTGGTCAAGCTCATCTATGTGTACGCAATCCAACAAACGTACAAATCAGATGACATCACATTGGAGGCTGAGCTCAAGGTTGCTCTGACAATGGTCAGACAAAAGAAGCCAGCAACTCCAGCAACTGTGACTGCCACTCCATCAGTGGCTGCCACAGTTAAAGTGCCAGCCCCGGCCCCTGTTGTTCAACAGGTCCCGGTAGCTCGCAGGGAGTCGAATCCATCGACTCAACAGATGGAGTACAACGAGACATTGTATCGTTTACTCTACTTCTAGAAGGTGGACCTCCGACACATTGATAGTCGAAGGTTATCCTACCCTCTCTCTGCTACATCATCCGAAGTAATTACTGGATAGTGATTTCTCCGGTACCGATAGCAGTCCCAGACCCAGGAGCATCAGCACTCTTGGCTGCGGATGGTGTGTTGGGATACTATGCCCAAGTTTCAGAGTTAATGACGTCAACTTCATGCGTCCAACATTCTCTGGAACAAGTGGCAACATCCTGGCGCATCACCACGGCCATGTGTGCTTTTGCTCCTGTGTCTTTGGACATCAATACTACTGCCCTTAACTATACAAGGCGTTCGATCACACTCCTCGATCACAAACATGAAATCAATCAGTCAGTCAATCAAGAATACTATTTATTTTGAATGGATATGATCCAAGGAGTGTTAACAACAACCTCAATCAAGGGGAATAATAATGATGGAGAGGATGTATAATCCTCAGATCAACTCGTGCTCCATACTACACAACACCAACACCAACAAAGTCAAAGTAAAACTCAACAACAAAGTCAGAGAAACAAATAAATTAACTCAATTGTAATACACGTACAGATACAGATACATACATATACAGGTACATACATATACTTATTAGTTAATAATGTCATTAAGGAGGTTTTTGCATGAAGACGATGGGTATGGAGTACATGGTCGTGTTCGTCATCATGCCCAAGCCCAGGTCCATCAACAACAACAAGAACAAGAGTGGGAGGCTATCCCATTGGAATGGCAGACAACCAATGATGAGAAGTTCCAACAACAACATTACCAGCAACTTGAACACGCCAATGAGATGCTCCGCTGTCTCAAGAAGGATCGCCAACTCAACAACATCCTGCGTCCAGTATCAAACAAGTATCCCTTCGAGAATGATGAGTGGATGGGAGACCGTGCTCTAGAGTACCACCTCGGCAAGAAGTTGCACAAGGTATGATGAGTGATGATTGTGATGGAGATGTTGTATGAATTGATCACAATACTAACTAACCAACTAATTGAATACAGTTGAAAGACTCTTCCCCTGGTAGATCAACGGATAGAGTGAAGCGTGGAGTGTCGAATGAGACATTGGCGTTGTTCTACGACCTCATTGGCCTGGAGATCGTCATCGAGGAGAAGCTCGCATCGTTCCACTATAAGAGAAGAGCCGACGCGTTCGAGGTGCTCATCTTTGAGCTCGACAACAACAAGAACCATCAAGTGGCCAAAGCACTGCTGATGCTACTCATCACGCTTCTCTACGTGTATGCACTGGGCACCCAGTACAAGCAAGATGACAAGGACCTCGAGTACCAGATCAACGTGGCTTTGACCTACATTCGCCATCCAGACGTAGAGTCTGACGATGAGTACCAATGCGCTGAATGATATCCTGCCGCATGGTCTTCTTCTGGACTTGTCAATCGTATTCGAATTGAGAAGTACCATCCATCATCACCCTGACGTTGGGCGAGCGACATAAAGTATGTCTCAGTCTCGCCCAACGTCTGGCGTACAAGACACTCTGTGAACCACTACACATTGGTCATCGATGATGCGTTGAGCCGTACCATTCTCTGTCTCTGTACAGAGTGCCCATCTGGCAAGTGGACTACTTGCCCATTACACTCTGTACTTGGACACTTAGGATGGTGCTGCTTCTCACATTATTAATTGACCAATGTGTAGTGATTCGGTCTCTTGACGATCAGTATAACTGCCCTGCCCTTCATACATTATCCATTACTTCCCAGGGGGAGTCATATTGATGGATCGATTGGAATTCACCAATCACAACATTGATTCCAACAAGCCAAACAACTACCAGCGACAATATCCACATCAACATCAACATCATCATCATTAATCCATGATCAATCAATCAATCAATCAATCAACTAATAAAGACAGTTTAATCTGCACATACATACACATGATGAAGGGGATTGGAATCCATCCAATACAAGGATGCCAATGGATGATTAAACAGAAGTTGTTTGTTTATTATATGTTACTAGAGGTTGGTGAAGTGGCTGATTGGTAATGTGTTTGATGCATCCATCCAAGACGCACATCGGTCCAAGGACTTAGTCGAAGAACTTTCTGGACTCGGTTGGTCCGTACATGGTGGTTCTAACGATTGGAGTCATTTGGTCGAAGCAGATCTCAAGACGAGCGTCGAGAGTATTCTTACAGATGATGCGGCCCTCGAGAGCACTCAAGATGATACCTCCACAGCATGTTGGGCCCTTGGACAGGGCGGATGGTCCTGCGGGCAGGAAACGGGTCTTGTCGACGGTGATGGTGACGGTCATGCCAGTCTTTTGCTTGTAGTGGGCGGCAGCCTCTGGAGCAGCCTTCTCGACCATGCCGATATCCTCCTGACGACAGACGAGGAGAACCTGTTGCTCGCCGAGCTTGTTGAGACCCTGGATGATCAGTCCTCTCAAGATGCCGTGGTATCTCTCCTTGTCGGCAGAGACGAGAGCCAGCTTCTTCTGGGCCTCAACGATGACCTCACGGAGTGACTCCTCTCTAACCTTCAACACTGACAGACGAGCCTTGTTCAACTCGTTCGACAAGTTACTAAATTGTTTGATTGATTGATTGATCGATTGTGTGAGTGGATGGTCATGGCTTGGCGTTCAAGGGGCACAACAATAGATATGACAAAATGATGTTGGTTGTGTCGTCGTCGTCTGTGCCGTCCATGATATCAAATGTTCGCATTCTGTTTATCTGCTACTTCGACCTTAAGTTTGACCTGATCATTTGGCATGTGACTGTGATGACACAACGAACATCCTTGTGTGTGCGTCATCATGATTGATGGATGAATGGTTGATTGATGATACGTACATCTTCTTCTGAACCTCAATCAGCTTAGTCTTCTTCTCGTACTCCTTGATGATCTTTAGCTTCTCGGTCTGGAAGATTCTGCCCTTCTCAGAGGTGAACTCCTGTGATGCCTTTGACTTGATCTCCTCAGCCTTGTCCTTGGCCTCATTGAGGATGAAGTTCTGCATCTGCTTCAATTGGTTTCTGATTTGCTCGTCACTCTATATATTATATAATGCAATTATTATGTGTGTTAGTTGTTGATGTCAATGATGTCATCGTTGAAGTGGCTGAGTGACGCGAGGTGAGACAAAGAGCGAGGCTCAGCCTTGTTGAACCTTTGTCTCAGCCTTCACAATCAACGAATGAATGATCCATACCATTTTGTGAATGTGTGTTTATATAAATATAGATATATATTAAAGTATGTGTATAAGTATGTCGCTGATCAGAGCAATAATTGATGTTGATGAAGAAAAGAGTATCTGAGTGCTCAGAGTTGGTGAAAGAAGAAGGTTGTCAAAGCGATGGTGTGTGTGAGTGAGTGAGTGAAGGAGGGGCAATGTATGATATCTCAGACACACTTTATCAACAAGAACAAAAAAAATCAAAACTAAAAATATTTAATAAAGAATTTATTTGTGAAGAATCAGAGTGTGAGCAAACGAGTCTGGGAAGGTGAATCAACTTTACTCTTGCCCTGGGTGTGTGTGTGAGTGTGGGGTCGACTGAACACTGTCAGGAATGACATTGGCTCAATCATTCATTCAACGAGAGTGTCACTCTAATGTCAACCAGTTTCCACTTTGGCCTGGTAACGACTCAACTTATGTTTCAAAGAGATAAATGACAGTGCATGTTTGTTTGACAATTACATTGATAATATGATATGATTCACCTTGGTCACTCACTTATTAACACATAATGTGATGGACTGACTTGTTTGAACATCATTCATCCATCATCATTCAAAAATAACCATTTTTAGTAATAGTCACCGAGGTACAAATAAATACTATTACCAAGTTACTCTGATAAGTAAATACAACCTCAAAGATAGTCAAATCGTCAATTGATAGACACACAATGGGTCATGACTCATTGGTCGTTTGATAAAGATTAGTCCAATCAACAACTACAACAGCGTAGGATACAAGTACTCTCGTGATAAAATTTAAATTGAACACTGGTCAACGGCTGGTCGGACTCGCTTAGATCAATGAATCGCCTTTGTCTCCCCCAATGACGTGTGCTGGAGTGCCAGCATCCTCCACCGGTCAGGACAAACTCAATGACTGTCAGTCCCTCGGGAAATAGGTCTACGCTCAAAAAGACCCTAATTGGGATAGGAATGTCGGTTGGGTGACCATACGTCAATGGTAGTGGTGAGTTGGTCAGTTAGTTAGTCAGTTATTTTAGTTTAGTTTAGTTTAGTTTAGTTTGTTTAGTTTGGGGGGTTGAAGAAAGAAGATAACTTATGAACGACTTCCATGGTCCCCCACCCTCCACTTCACTTCCCCATTCCACCCTTCACCCCCGAACCCACCACACAAACATCTAGATTTTATCTAAAGTAGGACAAGTGTCTTAGATTTCATTCACACGTGCTTTATAAATGTATCCCATTGAACTTGAACAATCGTATTCTACACAACAACTTGTTCCAATACTACCTTACTTAGAAATACATGTAATTATATACATATACATACATACATAGACATAACACTCATACACACATATATTATATTTCTTAACAAACAAAACACTCATATGAAATGGAGAATATGAATGCTGATAACTTAGAGTCGATATTTATGATGCAGGAGAATGACTTGTTACTACCAACTGACCATTCATTGATTGTCAATGATCATCATCATAATACTTCAAGTCGCAATGACAATGAAATGTTGGATGATGTGAATCAGGATAATGGAGCAGCGGCAAACATTGATACAGACTCAGCTCAACAACAACAATATCATAGAGAAGAAGCCAACAACAATAACAACAACAATCATCTGTGTTGTAATATTGAGATGATGGAAGATGAACAAATATCTAATGTTTCAACACCACAAGACATACTATCATCAATGCCATTTGACATTCTCCGATCAGTCCTCACATTACTTGACATATGTACACTTCACTCAATCTCACTTGTATCACATCTCTACAATCAATTGGCCGATGACTTTGAGATATGTATGTACATGCATGGATGTCCACGTCCACTGACTTCCACACAAAGTTTACTAACATTCGCTCATTCAATCAAATGGAAACCAGGGAAACCAAGATGTAGAATAATCAATACCAATCATAAATGTCTCGAGAAGACTACTTACTTCACTCAACACACTGGATTGAATGATAGCCAAACATACAAACCAACCTTGGCCCAACTCAAGTCAACTGTCATGTCCACCCGATCGTGTAGATTCTATTCCAATGACATCCAACCATTCAGTGATGACCGTCTGGCATGGAAGAGACTCTACTTGGAGCTTGGCTCAATTGTATTCAACAACACATATGACCTCCTTGTCTCTGCTCTAAAGTCATCCTCATGTGACAATGACAACCAAAGTATAGAGAACACACTCGGACCGTAAGTAACTCATGCAATGTCGATCAAGTTACATAATCACATGATTGACTAACACCTGTCATGTGATCAAACAGGAACAAGAAGTTTTGGAGTTCAAGAGGTTCAAACGATATCTCCTCATCAGAGTACTTGTTATACAAGCTCGAACAACCTATTTGTATAGTATCATCAATCCAAATCCATGTATATAAAGCATTCTTCCAGCCAGGGTAAGTACACAATGATGTTTCCACGAGCCATAGATCCAGCGCACTCACTCACTCAATCAATCAATGAACAGACAACCAATCTACTCCCCACAGAGTATAAGGATATCAGTTGGATTCACACCAGACAACATGCATTACACATCGGAGGAGTTTATGGTCGAACAAACCGATGAGCCACAAACATTCTACTTTGATCCAATATTGGTTGTTGGTGGATATCTTCGTGTGGATCTCATTGGCCATCATCAGTCACAGGCCAATGACGGTCTTTTCTACACAGTGCTCAAGTACGTCTGTGTGGATGGTCGCACTCTTGGCAGTCTGGACAACAAACCAGAGCTGTGTCTCTCACTGGTTCAAATGGCCGCCAAACACATTGACGTCAGACATCTTCTGCCACACAGCGCTCGACAACAACTTGCCAACCAGGTTGATGCTGCCGACAACAACAGAACACTATTTAGCAAGGTACACTCATTCCTCAAGGGTCAGATGGCACCAAAGTTGGACAAGATGCGTGTCTACAATCACATCATGTACTCTATCCTCAAGGACATTGTCGAAGGTCACTACAGTGCTGCAGCAAGCAATGCAATCATCGTAAGTCATAATACCATTGTTGGCCATACTACCAACCATCCTTCTAACTCATTCACTTACAACAACAGTACAACATGAGGTCGACAAAGATATTCAACTTGTTTCAATCGACATCAGATTCTGCCATATCACAGTATTACATGAAGCTGTTGGATAGTGGCCTAAAGTTCACACAGGAGGAGACGTTATATATGGTCAAGGAGGCATTCGAGACTGACAATGTTCGTATGTTCACCATGCTGTTCCTGTCCGACCTTGTCTACCTGTCCGAGTCACTCGGTGACTATCTTCTGCTCAATGGATATGCCCTTCTTGCTGCCGAGGTCTTCAACCGTTCACTTATCCCAGACAAGGTAGTTCAGAGTCTCTTCATCTCTGGCAATCATATCGACACTATTCATCTTATCGAGGCCATCCAAGCCGAGCAACAAGTAGACTTGATCAATTTAATTAAGCTGTAAGTTATCAACCTTGCACCATATTATGTCTGGACCAACATCTAACTCAACTAACTCAACTCATGCCAACAAACAAACAGGATCAAGTCATACTCATTGCACCAAGCTTGTCAATTCACTCTTTCTCTGTTGGAGCATTTACCAGGTCAACTCTCTCCAGAGGATGTACGTATGATACATTGGCGAATACTCAAACATCATCGTGACTAACAATGTTAAACTTCCATGACTAAATTAGATATCATCTGTAATAGAAGTAGGATCAACCAGTCTGGAAGAGATCACAGTGGAGCTGAAGGAGAGGATCAAGATAGCAGAGGGTCCTCGTCCACAAATCAAGAAGAGGCAGAGCACTCCTTTGGCCAAGTTCTTCAAATACTACTCAGGTAAATTCCAAGAGCAGTCGGACTTGATCATTGATTGATAGATTGATTGATAGGTATCATTCAATGGATACCTATTAATCTACAATGTATTAAATGTATTATAATCCAATATTTCAAGGGCAAGGGTTGGGGCGAGGGCAAGGGCAAGGGTTCCAAATTTTAGTTCATAACTTTACATTGACTTCGCTTAAACAGAGATATATAATAAGAAGAAGATGGATTACTATTGCAAGAAACATAGCGATGAGAAGATAAGACTGTTGTGCTCTACATGTAATGAGCTAATATGTATAAGATGTGTTACGGCACATAGTCAACATACGTTTGAAGATGAAGCTAGTATTGAACAGAAGTTAATGGGTACACAACATCCAAATCTAAATGATAGCAAAGAGGATCTGTGGCAGAGACTCAAGCGACACTGTAAAGAGATGCAGGCCAATGCGCAGAACGAACTCAACATCACCAACTTCTACGCAGAGCTGCACACATACATGATGGCTGAGGAGCACAAGGTCAAGCGGCCAGTCATCACCGAGAAGGAATTCATCGAACGATCGATGACACTGCTCATCGAGAGACTACGCACAATGATGTTGTTGCAAGAGAACATGGATGATAACACGCCCATTGCATCATTGATCAGTCTCAAGATTGACGAGAACGATATGAAAGAGATGGTGGATTCGATCGAGACCTGCCAGACTCTGGAGGAGTTTAGCGCCACACATGGGAAGAAGTTGCTGGCTTCGGCTCATCCAGATGGTGCAGACGTCCAGCCTCTCAGCAAGGAGCAGCGCGACCTGCAGTTGCTGTTCCTGATGCATCGTTACACGTTGGACTGCAAGGAGAAGGTGGAGAGGACTGGACAGAGATTTAATGTCATCTTCCTCGAGGAGACTCTGAAGAGCATCAAGCAACAGCTGCGACTGGGGCACGCACCCACCGATGGCGACACTGGCGAGAGCAATGTCAGGTTCAGACGTACGATCGAGAGCTTCCCCAGACAGACTCGCGCCAAGATTGAAACAGAGCCATTCAGATGTGGAGGCGTCGAGTGGTATCTAGAGGTGTATCCCAAGGGCAATCAATACTCCAACTATCTGGCCGTGTTCCTTTGCAGCAGACGCCCACATGAGGTTCCAATGGAGGTCAAGTTCTCGGTGGGCATCGTCGATCAAGAGACCAATGGTGTTGTGCTCCTGAGGCGATGCGTCGACACCACCAATACAACGACCGCTACCAGAGTAGGATGGGAGCAGTTTGTAAACCTTGGTCACATTTGGAAAAAGATCGATAGTCTTGTCAAGGATGGTAACCTGGTAATCGATGTCAGGATAACATCATTGGAGCCTTAAGCCATGCTATGCTAACTCGATCATTCGCAACTCCATGTTTGATTGGAATAAATGTATATATATATTAATGTCTTCTCAAAAGAATGATCATTAGCCACCTTTGGCGCGTCAACAACTACTTTTGAAAATTGATTGATTGATTGTTGAACAGAGATAGAGATAGACAGTCAGATAGATATATAATACAATGTCAGAGAATGATCTCCCCAATGCTATACTGAGTAGGATTGTCAAGGCTGCTGTATGTAAAGCATAATGTACACTATATGAAGTGAAGGGAAGAGTGATGTAGCTAACATGATGTAACCTACCACAGCTACCAGAGAATGTACAGATAGCAAATGAATCGAAGCTGGCATTCGCCAAAGCAGCCAAGGTTTGGGTACACTATGTCACTGCATGGTGAGTATACTTGTTGGATTGGATATCGATAGATTGGTTGATTGATTGATTGATTGATTCCAGTACTGACACATATTCAACTTCATTCATGAACGCGATCATTGCAGTGCCAATGACTTCTGCCAGAATGCAAACAGGTCAACATTGTTAGGAAAGGATGTCATTAGCGCACTGGAGGAGATAGACTTTGGTCAGTTTGTAGAGCAAATGGAAGAGTTCCTCGCTGGTAAGTTTGAATGAATGAATGAATGAATGAATGAATGAGACACTAACATATCATCATACTACAATAAAGAGTATAAGAAAGAGACTGCAAAGGATAAAGAGGATAAGGAGAATGCAAAGGAGAAAGAGAAAGAGAAAGAGAAGGAGAAGGAGAAAAAGGACAGTGCTACATCAACATCTACAACTACAACATCGACGAAAGATAAGGAAAAGGATAAGGATACAGGTAGCAGCAGCAGTAAAGATACAAAGGCTTAATAGAATCAATAAACCAACAACAACCGAACCTTATCAACTTGTATACCTGGATGTAGTCAGTTGACAGACATTGGACGACGCGACACACTTTGAAACAACAAAGTGAAGTGAGGTGTTGTCGAGTCAAAACCAACCTTGGCCTGCTTCTTCAAGATCTTCGCGAGACAAACACACAACAACAACCAAACAGTCAATTTAATTTAACAACTTGTTATCTGTTTACATATAAATATAGTATATATATATTACAACAAGATAAGAAGATAGAAACAAACAAACAAACATGTGGATTAGTCCAAGACCTCAATATGCGATAACACCTTTATGGTTTGTCGTGGTAGAGAGCGACTACTTTGCTCTGCTAAAGAGCAAGTCTGGTAGTACTCTGCTCGGTAGACTGGCTGGTCTGGCAGTGCAGGCAAGCGATTCTCATCCATTGACATATCGTATAATCTACAAGACAAAGTCACCACTTGTTATCGCTGTCAGTGAGTCATTAGACTTGATCACAGAGCATTGGAACAAGCTAGAGATGGAGATTACACCGAGACTTGGTGAACATGAGTGGGATGTACGCGACCAATTCGTCGTGTCCAAAATCATTGGAATGGCACAGTCAACCGATGAGAATGAGGCAGACCAGAATGACGAGAAGTCTCTTGATGAGTTCAAGAAGCACTTTGCCTACATGGAGGAGAGGTTGGTCACATGTAAGTGTTCGGTCGTCATTGCCGAGTGAGTGAGTGAATGAGTACTAATAACAATCATTCTATTTAGACTTTAGTTGTTCATTATGGATGGATGGGTTGACGACTGGCAAGATGTACATCACTCAACAATCAGTGTGTTACTACTCGGCCAATCCTCCACAACACATCATGCTGCCATTCAGCAAGATAACATCAATCAACAAAGAGACAACACTTGGTTTCTTACCAAACACCATTAAGATCAAGGCCTGTATTGGCCCAGACGAGAAGACAGAGAAGAGGGTAAGTACTGGCGGCGACAAAGAGAGAGACATCACTATCAAGCACTCACTGACCCTCCAACCATCATCGTAATAACAGTTCCTATTCTATATTATATCAAGAGATGTTGCCTATGACATGTTGGAACAACTATGGCGACTGTGTATAGATGAGCTGTATGATCAACAGCAACAACAGCATCAGCTACAACAACAGCAGTATCAGAACTCAAATGATCCAAGCTATATCGCCGGTGAGAAGCCTGGCAATGATGTCGTAGCCAACACGACCAGTCCAACACTCAAGGCCACTAAGCAGACCTTGGAGATTGAGAAGAGCAACAAGAACTTCCAAAAGTTCTTCAAGCTTCCCCTTAACGAAGAGTTGTTACAAGGTATGTGTTATCGCGTGTGATCGATCAATCAACACAAGCCATACTTACATGCCCATCAAGTTCATACATGTTGGATCGTTCGAAGGAAGAACTCATTGTTGGGAGAGTTGTACTTGAGTGCAAACTTCTTCTGCGTCAAGTACAAGGAGTCATTCACTGGAAAGAGGTACACAACAGTGTTCCCATTGTCAAAGATTGCATCCATTCAAAAGACACGTCCATTCCTCGGCATATCACTATTGACAGACACGATTCAAATCACAACGATCCAGAACAGGACAGTCAATGTGAGGTTGATTCACTGCGACGAGGCACTGCAGACCATGCTAAAGTACTGGCAGCTGAATGTACCGGCAGCCGCCCCAATCAACATCGAGGGCCAGGTGGCGCGTCCACAGCCTCTACAGCTCGAGTCGGTCGGTGTCGGTTGGTTCGGCCAGGAGCCAGGCTTGAAGCCAGACAACCCTGATGATCTCAAGTACAAGCTGGACAAGTGGGAGAAGTACTTTGCGAAGCACGGCTCCGACACATCAATGACCATCACCATGCGACTCAGACATCTCATCCAGATTGGCGTGCCTGATCCCTACCGTGGACACATCTGGTCGTTCTGCAGCGGAGCTTGCTTCATGTGGGAGAAGGAGCGTGGCTACTACGAACAGATACTGCGAGAGAACAAGGACAATACCAGCACGGCCACTGAGGAGATCGAGAAGGATGTGCGAAGGACATTTGCACACCATCCATACTTCAAGAATGAGGACGGCATTGACGCGCTGCGCCGCGTGCTGACCGCCTACAGCTGGCGCAACCCAACCATTGGATACTGTCAAAGTATGAATGTCGTGGCCGGCATCATGCTGTTGTACATGCAGGAGGAGGCAGCCTTTTGGGTGTTGTGCCGCGTGTGCGAGGCATTCCTTCACGACTACTACGTGCAGGCCATGATCGGATCGATCATTGATCAGAAGATCTTTGCACATTTGGTCAAGACGCATCTGCCTGACGTCAATGCGCACCTGGACAAGATCGGTCTGCCCATCAACATCCTTTCACTGCCGTGGTTCATGTGCATGTTTGTCTCATACATCCCGTTCCCCGTGGCGACTCGTGTCGTCGACTGCTTCCTGCTGGAGGGCATCACTGTACTGTTTCAAACTGGTCTAGCAATACTCAAGATCAACAAGCAGAAGATATTGGATGAGAAGGATTCAGAGGTGGTCGTAGCAATGCTTCGACATCAAACCTATGACGTTGGCGAATTGATCAAAGTGACCTTTGACGACTTTAACATTCCCGAAGAGCAGATAATCGAGCTTAGGAATGCACACAAGTTTAAAGAGATAAAGCGTAAATAGACACATGGTCGTGGATATTATGTATTATTATATTATATCGCCATGTATTATAATGTGTCAGTTTAACTAACTTGATCTAATAATCAACCAATCAGGAGTGTGACTGTTTTTGGCTTACACCTTGAGGACTTTGTGGGTGCCCTGGGCCATGTGACCCTTATCCTTTTTAGGCCTTTTGGAGGCATCCATCGGTCCAACCTATTTTATTATCTTTGCAACAACACACAGGTCCAAAGATTACACAAATCAGATTAATGCATCATTGACATCCGATTGAACTCAGGCACACACACATGCACACACACTCACACCTACCTAAACACACAAACATTATTCTCTTCTTCTTTCTAATTCTAAACACGTTATCATAAAGATATAATGGGATGGGGTTGTTGTTGATGTTTCTTCCTTTGGTTCAACTAATGGTCAATAGTAGTAAGGTGACACAATTACTGATTGTTGATTCATTAATGGATAAACATTTGAAGCATTATGAACATGATTGGCATCATATCGTATTGTATGGTATGAATGGTGAGTGATCTAAGGAATTGTCCGTCCCTTGTTCTCCTCCTCATCATCATCATCATCAACATCATTGTCTCTGACCGTATCGTGTGTGTATGATGATGAGTGACTGGTCAATACCATCCGCTACTACTACTAGCAAGGGTAAGATGAGCCCGCCCGCCCGCCTAAACTATTAAGATAACCTTCATTCTTTCATTCATTCAATACTTGTAGTCCTACTTACTCACTTACTCCTTCAATACTTGAACATTAATTAATAACAACATAATAGTTATCTATAACATTTAATAATATAATAATTAATAATAATGCAACTTAATAGTTCAACTGGATGGTTATCACCATGTCCACTATCACCTCAACTTAATGGTGAAGCACCTCAACTAAATGGTAGATTGTTGATCGTGTCAAATAGACTGCCTATATCAATTAGCAAGGCAGAGGATGGCAGTTGGACTTGTAAGATGAGTAGTGGAGGACTGGTGGCGGCATTGTCCGGTCTCGAATCCAACTCATTCATTTGGGTCGGATGGATTGGCACCGACATTGACGAATGCGACAAACAGGCCGTCACCGATATGTTGTTGGAACAACATAATTGCATACCTATATTCCTCGATCCTAAACTGTCCGATGACTACTACAATGGCTTCAGTAATGCTGTGCTCTGGCCGTTGTTCCATTATCTGCCACTAGACCTAGAGTATGATGATAACCTGTGGCTGGCCTACCAGGCGGCCAACCAAGAGTTTGCCAATGTCCTTCTGCCGATCGTCAAGCCCAACGACTTGATCTGGGTGCATGACTACCATCTGATGTTGTTGCCAGAGCTGATAAAGAGAGAGCAGCCAGAGGCTCGCGTGGGCTTCTTCCTTCACATCCCATTCCCAACGAGCGAGATATTCCGAGTGTTGCCCTGCAACAAAGACATCCTAAAGGGCGTGCTCCATGCCGATCTGATCGGCTTCCACACCTATGACTATGGCCGCTACTTCCTAAAGTCTTGCACACGTCTTGTGGGGGTGGAGACTGCGCCCAATGGAGTCTACTTCAAGGAACGATTCGTACCGGTTGGCGTGTTCCCTGTGGGCATCGATCCAGACAAGTTCATCATTAGTCTACAGTGCGAGAAGGTGAACGAGCGCATTGAAGAGCTCAAGAAGAACTTTAAAGGCAAGAAGATCATCATTGGTATCGACCGACTGGACTACATCAAGGGACTGCCCAACAAGTTGCAGGCGATGGAGTGTCTATTCCAAAAGTATCCACAATGGAAGGACAAGTTGGTGCTGATCCAGGTTGCAGTGCCCTCACGCCAGGATGTGGAGGAGTACCAGAAGCTCAAACAGAACGTCGAGGAGTTGGTTGGTCGCATCAATGGCCTGTACGGATCACTTGGACACCAGCCCATCCACTACCTATTCAAATCAGTTGACATGAAAGAGTTGACCGCCCTGTATAATATAGCCGATGCCGCACTGATCACTTCCATTCGCGATGGAATGAACCTTGTGGCCCATGAGTATGTCACTTGTCAGACTGGAGACAAGGGTGTACTAATCCTTAGTGAGTTTACTGGTGTAAGTATCATCGTCATGCATCAATCAATCAATCGATGACTAACATACCTGATCACATTCACAATGTAGGCTGCACAATCATTACCAGGTGCAATGATCATCAATCCATGGAACTCTGAGGATGTGGCGGATGCCATTCACAACTCGTTGATGATGTCACCTGATGAGAAGGAGGTGAAGCATTCGATGCTCTTCAACTTTATCCTAGGCCACACTGCCAGTCATTGGGGTAATGGATTTGTCCGTGAACTAATTCGTGCAGGTGGTCATGCCGACAAGTTGAGCGCGACTCCCAGACTGAACATCGAGAGTGTGATCGAGTCCTACCGATCAAGCACCAATCGTCTCCTTGTCCTGGCGTATGATGGTGCATTGGTGCCACTGTCCACCTTCCCAGCCAATGCAGCACCTTCAAAGGATCTGTTGCAAGTACTCGGAGAGTTGTCCAAGGATCCAGCCAACCATGTATTGCTCCTGAGCAGTCGAGACAAGAAGACGCTGGGTCAATGGTTCGATGGACTACCAAATGTTGGACTGTCTGCAGAGTATGGCTCGTTCATTAGGAGTGCCGGCGCCACAGAGTGGGAGCAGACAGGACCATCATTGGATGCATCTTGGAAGGACAAAGTGCGTCGCATCATCAACTACTACGTCCTTCGCACGCCTGGCTCCTATATCGAGGAGAATGAAACATTGTTGACTTGGCACTATGGTAACGCTGATCCAGTGTACGGTCAGATCCAAGCACGAGAGCTACACCTAAATCTTGACAACCTACCATTCGAGGTGATCGTCAGGCGAGACAAGTCAATAGGCGTACGTCCACTCCATAGTACCTCCTCGTCTGCACTGATACGTAGTGTCATCCAGCAGAAACAACAGCAGCAACAACAACAACAACAACAACAGCGAGAGGATGATCTTCAGATTGTTGTAGGAGATGATGAACGTGCTCAAGTGCAGGCATTGGAGTGTGGACTTGACTTCTTGCTGGTGGTAGGCGATCCCAATTCACTCAACAAGGAGGTGATGCAGATTGTCTCGAAGGAGGGTGCCAACACTGTACCAAGTGTCTATACAGTATCCGTTGGAAAACGAACAACCAAGGATCAGTTCTACCTCATTGACGACTACGAAGTACGACTGTTACTTGAGCAACTGAGTAATGCAAGACGCGAAGAGCATCCTGAATAAACTCACATCGTTGTACATTATGCATGTATCTATCTCGCCCATGTCGATTGGATTGAGATTGATTGATTGTTGATTAATTATCTCTTTGTTTGTTATTAGTTATCTCATTATTGATGAATCAGGTTGTGACTTCAACTGACTCGCGCGAGAACCTCTCGCTCTAGAGTGCACCGCGCAACGGTCTTGTCAGATTCGTCGCGAATTTCCAAATGAGGGAAAATGAGATGTTCGCAAGATCGAGAAGAGTGTTGTGTTTGGCTCTTCATTCATTTTGGGTCATCCGCAATCACTTTGTTGTTGAGTTCAAAACTTATTAGTCATTTAATCATAGACATAGAGATAGACATAGAGATAGAGATAGAGAATAGAGATATAAATATGAGACGAATAGTTAGAATCTTATTGGTTATGTTTTTGTACGCATATGTTGTTAGCAATCCATGGATAATACGTCAATCTTATGATAATTTATGCCAATTAGGTTCAAAGTTAGTTGGATCAAAATGGTCACCAAGTAATAATAACAATCATAATTATAATAATAATAATAATAAAATAGAAGAGATAATATATGATATAGATTATAGCAAACAATCTGAATCATCAATAACATTACATGTCAAGTCAATATTGAGTCAATTCTTGGATACCAATCGCCGAATATATGCCTCGATGGACAGACTTGATTATCCGATAACAGTGATATTCAGTCGACCTGTAATAGCACTGGGCACCGAGACATTCGATAACAATGTTACAAACAGTTACCTTCATCTTTTCTGCAATTCCGAGCAGCCAGTGGCAGGCCACTTCCGATGGGTGACCAGCTCCATTGTGCGCTTCGAAGTCCTGGATGGCTGGCCCAACAACCTCCGATGCTCATTCTACGTGGACCCCCTGCTAGTGACGTATGATGGCGTACGTCTGGACAAGATACCAGACCCAATCGAGTTTGAGACGCAGCCACTCCACATGGCCATTTATGACGTCCATTCGCCAAAGACTGATCAGATGACCAACAACTGGTGGGATCCGTTTAGGTCATCAAAGATCACCGATAGTTACTTTGACGAACAGCCCGACATTGAGGAGTTGACCACCAAGATGGGCATGTTCAAGACCAGCGTCAAGATGATGTGGAGTTGGCTTAAGAGCTACATCTGGAGTCTCTTTGATGACACGGACACTTCTGGCGGAAGACAGAATTTCATACCCGAGGTGCCACCCGATGCCATCGTCCAGGTGGTGCTCAGCTGCCCGGTACAACTGGATACGTTGAAGACCAATCTAAAGGCATTCGATTCAAATGGCGCGAGCATCCAATTCAACATATTCATGTGTAATGATACAATGATCAATAGACCAGGATTTAGACGCAACCCAGACGTAAACTCATACGGCCGTGCGGGGCACTCATTCTGCATTGCCTTTGGCAATAGGTTAGCCGTTGGCCAGAAATACAAACTCGTTCTTCCCAAGAACACTGTGTTGCATCCGAGCACTGGACCAACCCATTCATCAACCTCTGTAGAGCTGATGGGATTACATCCATTCCAAATTCGTTCATAGTATGTAAACAGGCCATCGTTCACTCACTCAATCAATCTAACACTCAATCAAACTTAGTACCAATATCATTAGATTAAATTCCAACACATTGGTGTTGAGTATACCTCATGGTCTACCTCATGGACCATTCACACCAGAGCAACTGATCAATGTCCTCAAGGAATCAATGAGCATCTCACCTTCCCTGGACTTCAATATCTCAATTCAAGGCAGCACTCAAATCTTGGTATGTATTCCTTCCCTCATTAGATGCTGCCATTCATCCAACATACACTAACACTACACTCTACATTACAGGTTGAAGCATTGTTTGAACCAGACTCGGTATATGAGTTGATGATTAAGCCTGTGCAGCCAATGTTTGATGGATGGGACCTGCCATTGATGGACCATAATGTCTTAATCAAAGTGGATGCAGGCAGCTCATACGTCACAACACATCACTCTCAATCACTGATTCTCCTCCCAGCATACAATCAATCACAACTCTCTGCGATTAGCCAGAACAGATTGGACAAGAACACCAAGTTCAAGATGTGTAGGATGTCCTACAATACAGAGTACAACGAGAGTGAGATGGCATTGTTTGGCTATCCCGTCACCATGTCCAACTTGTTGGCAGCGCTCAGAAGCATTTCCAAATACAAGGTGCTACCTAGTCTTGGAAGCCCGCTCGAGAATGTCACGCTGCCCCAGATCCAAGACAATCTGCCCAAGGTAACAGAGCTCAACTCTACACTACTGTGGCAGGAGAGTGGCGCCTATGTGATGGCAGAGCCAACCATATATGATTATGCATGCAAGGGTAAAAGACAGATCAAGTTGGTACAAGAGTCCGACGTTGGAGTGACCCTACTTAGCTTTGGTCCAAACAAGGTGGTTTGGGTCACCAACGTTACAAAAGGCGACAACATGGCGGATTTAACCGTTCACCTCTATACAAGTGTGGATGGGATCAAGAGAAGACACGACCGCACGATATCTCAGAAGGTGAACTACCATAGTCAGGGCAAGACGGATGCTCGCGGAGTCGTCCACTTCTCCGTTGACTCATCAGTGTACGCTATCGCCGTTGAATATGTTTCAAAGCATGATGGCAAAAGTAGGCTGTTTGTTCACTTGGCTGAATACAGAGGCAGATACTATGATCAAGATTGGCACGAATACTCAAAGCCATCATCGCCCAAATACCAGATTGTAACTGATCGTGGATTCTACAAACCAGGCGATACCATCCATCTCAAGGCCTACATCAAGTACCCAATCACAATCAGTCAGGAGCAGCAACGACTCAAGACACACACCGTGGAGATTGGTTGGACCACATCAGATGGCTTTAACATGTTCAAACAGGACGTGTTGTTGGACCCCGTCTATAACTCATTCAATGTGAGTTTGGCTGTACCCAGTGACGTCAGACCCGATCGATACACTCTCAATGTCAATTCATACGCACCAGAGACCGACCCACAACAACCTGATGTTGTTGGGGACTCCCCACTTCCATCAGCTGATGGAGGTGACGATGATGACGATGATGAAGAGGACGATGGATCTTTATTCAATAATAGAGAATGGAGGGAATCAGAGTCGGGTGGCGGCACACATATCATTGTCAGCGACCCAAGAGTACCGACAGGCATTGTCACGCTCACCTCTGACGATGAGTTCATCTTGGCCAGCAAGAATGATGATGAGCCTCACATACTCAATCTCAAGGTCAAGACTTCCAACTACCTTGGCTTGGTACAACCCGGTCAGATTGTAACGGTGACGTACTCAACTGGCGCAGACTGGTTTGGTCGAAAGAAAGAAAGTGCCAACAAGACATGCCGCGACAACGAACGCTGTCGTCGCCCACGATACGTACGAGTCCACAAAGAGTTCAACATTACAACTGACGATAATGGAATGGCATTGGTTCCAATATCACTAGATGCCAATGAGTTCTACATTGGCAACCAAGTCCGAGTTGTGGCAAAGTACATGGACCCATCACGCTCACTCATCAAGTCCGATGAATTCGAGCGATACATCCTTGACGGCCCATACCAGTTCAAGTTTGAGTTGGCGTCGTACATCAACAACAATCCTAAATGGATGATTGACGTGCCAGGCATCCCTCAAGGCATCATTGCTCACCTGTATCACGTGCCAACTATGTCCAAGATCAACAACGTCAATGTGTCACTCACGATGAATGACTCACACATATGCTCATTCATGACGAATACCGATATGGTGACGCCTCCTTGTCACTTTGCCATTCCAGACTCGACCCATGATGTTGTGGCACAGGCTGTGGACCCTCTGGGCAACACTGTCACTGGCTCATTCAATGTATATAATAATCAAGATGAATATGAGAAAGAGCCATTCGGATTCCCAAAGACGCTTACACTATACCCAGATCGCCAATTTTATGATGACATTGACATTGCCACTCAGTCTCCGGCCATCACCTTCTGGAACCCTTTCACCTATGGCAACGTGTTAGTGAACTGGGGTTGCAACAACTTCCAAGACATCATCACAAAGAGTGAACTATCATATGGCATCCACTCATTCACTCTGCCATCGATACCAGAGGTCTGCCTCAACACTGGTCTTTATGTCACATTGGCCGTACAAGGCAGCGAGCCAGGCTTTGTCGTGCCTAGCACTGTCCCACAGAAGTCCATCCCCAAAGACACACCCAGAGCGTCGACTGGCACCAAATACCTTCGAATCATCCAACGCCCACGTATCAACTTGGCAATCGAGCTACCAACCCAGGAAGTACAGCCACGCTCAAAGGTCAACATTACACTCAAGGTCACCGGTGCGAATGGACTGCCACACCAGGGCGAGACCGAAGCATGTCTGTTTGTTGTGGACAAACGAGTGTTGGACCTTGTTCCACATCCACAGACTAGTGCAGACTCATTCAGATGGTCAATGAAGTCCTACAGTCTGAACGGCGACACATCACGCAACAATATCATCGACAACTACATGACAATGTTCAACACTGTACTCCATCGTCTACAACAGAAAAGATGGATGAATCAGGAGTGGGATTTAGGTAGTGTGTGGAGAGACTCAGATCTGAACGAGAAGGCAATGTCCACAAAGAGTCGTGGTCAGAGAATGGGCATTGATGATGATGGCTTTTCAAGTAGCGATAATGCACATGGAGATATGCGATCAAAGTTCCAGACCACTCCATTATACCTTGGAAAGACCATTATCAAGGATGGTCAGACGGTCGTCACCCTGGAGCTCCCTGACGACTTGACCACTTTTGAGATCAGGGCCATCGCAGCGACACAGATGCCAAAACTGGAGCTGGCCACAGCACACTCATCAATCATTAGCAAGAAGGACTACAACATACTCCCCATTCATCCACGCTTTGCCCGAATCGGTGACCGGTTTGAATGTGGCGTGTCTATCGTCCTCACTCCCGAAGCTCAATCAAGCTCCAAGAACTTGATTGTTAGCATCCAACTTGCACTGCCAACTCACCTCCAGATGCTGACCGACCAATCAATCATCGAGGTCTCTTCCTCCAACCAAGCAATGTTCACCTTGGAAGCCTTGCACAAGGGTCATTCAAGGATCATCTTTGTCCTGGCGGATGCCAGCAACCCAGATGTACATCTCGATTCAGTCAGTGTGGACCTTGACGTGCTTGGCCGCCAGCTGCCCGTCCACATCTCCACATCAATGTCAATTTCGGCAAGTGATGGTGAGCACACAGAGAGCATCATCATGCCTCCTGCCGAGCCCGGCACTGGTACCTTAGACGTGGTCGTTGCCAAAGGACATTATCCAATGGTTGAGATCAACTGTGTCCAGATGATTGAGCGAGCAACTGCATATGGACACTCTTTCGCTGACCTCATTGCTCTTCAAGCTGCCAACCAAGCATTGACATTATATGGATACAATAATGAGCTGATCAATCTCACAAGACAACATCTGGACAGGTTCAATGCATCATTGTACCTTGAAAACAAGCCAGTCAAGTACATCAACAATGAGTCCATGTACAAGAAGCAGGCGATTGCACAGAGATACATGTTGGTGCTTGTTCTGAACAGGCTCAGTTTGATTCACGAAGGAATTATTATTACACCTGAGATTGGAAAAGCTATGTGGTTGTACATTGACAAGTATCTCGAGGATGCAGTGGAGCATATCGATTCAAAGGGCATTACTACCAGCCTCAAAGCAGACATAGCCTTTGCATCGTTGGCCGCAGGCGGTGACTGGGAGCACTCCTCAGACTACTACAATCACAAGTACGGTTGGACGGCCCTTGCAAGAAGTGTTACGCATCGATGCGATCTGCTATGCCAGACTTTATATGTTGTCTCTTGGTCGTTCAATCATCACGAGGACCTTGCCAACCCACCGCCCTTTGTCCAAAAGGTTCTCAAGAACATCGACCACAATACTAGAGTTCAAGGCAGCACTGCCTACGTACATAGTGGTCGTGGCAGTTCAGCCAACATGCTGCTTACCACCTACTCAATTATTGCAATCATTCAGACACTACATCAATCACCAGTGTTGGATAAATTGGTCACATACATGGCCACAGGAGGCGACCATCCTGGCTTTGAGCATTACTATATTGGATACCAATCATCGACAGAACAACTAGCTGTTTCAACCCTACTCCTTGCACACTTTGACAAGCCCTTACTCAAGATGTCCAACTCATCAGAGATCACGTTGAAGTTGTTCAAGGACAGACAAACCTCCAACGAGTTGATGTCGGCACACTTCAAGCCTAACTTGCTTGGCAGTGTGTCTTCGAGTATCGACTTTGGTCAGTTTGGCAACAATGGTACCCAACTTCACTTCCTCGCCACGGGCGAGGGTCAACTGACTGCATCTGTAGGCATCACATTTGTTCCAGCTGAGCTCCCCGCCAGTCCAGTCTACCACGGATTCCTTGTGCACAAGACCATTAGACAACTAGACTCTAACCAGAGTCTAACACTGGCACAACTCAACAACACGATTGCAATTGGACAAATGGTAGAAGTGGTCATCTCCATTACAACACCAGACGACATGGGAGGCGTGGACATCGAGGACAGCGTATCAGCAGGCATTGAGCCAATGGATAATAATATCTATGACAGTGACTACTTCAACAACAACCATCATAGATATGAACTTAAAGATTGGTTTAGTGCATTCTCTGAACAATCGGTGCACAAGACACAGGTCAACTTCCATGGATATCACATTGGAGAGGGATGCTACACAGTATCATATCGTGCCATTGCCACAACAAGAGGTACATTCACATTGCCACCGGCCAAGGTGTCATCAACTTCAAGACCAGATGTCTTTGGTCTATCTGAGGGTATCATATTCACTATCCAGTAGTGGGTAGAGGTATAAATAAACAAGATGGTGCACCGATGATACTTTGTTGTTGACTGGATGATTGGCCGCCACACCACAAACTTCATCTTTGCTCGTTTCACATGATCACTTTATTCAAAATCGATCTAGTTTCAAGATTTAGAGATAGATAACTAACAAGGTAAGGTAATAGATAGAGATAGAGACAGAGACAGAGACAGAGGATGATATAGAATGAATGGGATATGATGAGAACCATAGTAATCCAATTGGTATAGCTTTGGCGATCAATAGTCATACCGACAATATGTTGTTCGACCTATGCTCAAACAAACAGTGTCTGATCAAACATAGTACGACCTCGCATCAACTGTTTGATTAGAATGAATGGAGCTTGTACGCACCAATGCCAATCAAGCATCGATACTTAAAGACTATACTTGGAACAAATGAACAATGTGGACTTGTCGTCTGGTGTTGTAGCAACCTTGTTAGCTTGTTGTTGTTGTTCTAACAGCATCAAGACTGACTCGATAGTGCTCCAACTCACTTCAATCCCATCGTTAGCTTTGGTACAATGATGTCTTTTGTGTCAATGTGGCATGCATCAACAAGAGTGCCATCTTTTAATCAACACGGTTGATGTTGTTACTATGCAGATGCTGGTGCGGAAGGGAAGAGGAACGTCGGTATGCGCATCGACCAAAGAAGCCATTATGAGGATGAAACATAGGCAATATACACTCTGACCCATGGTCGACATGTCGTACATAATATGTTATTATTATAATTGACTATCTATCTGTATGAACATGATCGGCCTGCTCCATAGTATTCATGGTTGCAAGCACGTAGATATCCTCTGTCTTTCATCATCTCGCCATAGTTGACGTTATAGGCATCATAGCTGCTGTCGCTACTCATATCCACACCATACTGATTACAGCTCTCAGTCTCATGCCTTAGATGTCCCTTGTCATGTAGTTCATCATCCATCTCTGTACAGGTATGCGACTTGATGTACTCTCCTTGCTCGATCTTCTCCTGCTGCGTACCTGATGTCACAACATCATCCATGTTGCTATCCTTCTTCTCCTTGTCCTTTGCACAATAATCAAGTTAGCATTCATGGTTGGTTGGTTCATTCGTTCATTCGTTCATTCGATCCACTCAGCTGAGCTTACCTTGGACTCTTGGACATCACCATTGGCATCCGATGATACGATCGCAGATGATGATTCATTTCCAGTCTGTGGCAAGATCTCGATATCGTCTGTCCTTTGCTTCTTGTTGTCTCTCAGCTCTTTGGCACAAGCATTGTTGGCATCACCATCTTCTCCACTGCAATCATTACATCTCTTCTTATCTCCAGTCGTACCCTTCTCATAAGCATTGGTACGACTATATTCTTTTTCTATATCCATTATTATTACTATTAATTATTTTTTATTTATTCAATGTATGTATGTATGTGTATGAATAATATATATATTGTTGTCCATTATATATCTATCATCTCTCTTTCTCTCTCTCTTTCTCTCTCTCCTCTATCTCTTCTTGGATGACTAACTGTAACGAACGATATGTTATCCTGAAAAGGAAATTACCTAAAAGAAGGAATGTGTGTTTATTGTTAATTGTTCGTGTGTGGGTGTGAATGAGTGTTGATGTTGACCCAGCTTCAAAGGGTCTTCAGTCCATTCATCAATATTATCAAAGTATTTTATTGGATATATATAATTTATAGATTGATCGATGTTTATTTGAAAATGAGGTAGTTTGTTATAAATCTCTCAAACTAACTATTTCTTGAAGTAGAGGGCACTAGCAACGATTGCAAAGGAGCCTAAGGCGGTAGCCAAACAAATGGCCAAGACATTACCATCAGGATAGATACGATTGTACGATGGAGTATTGAATATCATTATAATACCAAGACGTTCCATTTCATTTGCAAACATGTATTGGTTGGTTATAGAGATTGTTCTATGCTTGAATATTAGACAAACATATTTCTTCACTATTACCAGGATTTTATTCCTCACTGTATCTTCGTATGGATTTTGGATTATATAATTATAATCCTCTGAAATAATGATGTCCTCGGCAAGTGATTTAATGAATTTAATGTCAGAGCAGGTAGAGAATTTCTCTGTTATCCATTCATTTATTATTGATACAATGTCTGGGTAGACATCTTGATTGAGTGTTTGTTGTTTAAGTGAACGTCTATCCTTTAAAGACTTAATAAAATTATTAATAAGTATCCCTGTTGACATTATTATTATTGTAATAATTAATAATGTATATATATATATATATATTAATAAATTATATCTATTTGAATTTATAGATTATTGATAGTTATAAGAGCTGTCAACAAGTTTCATTATCAATATATCCAAATAAAGTATTAGTTGTTGAACATTATTTCAAAGTCCCTCTGGTATTATAATAAAGATTTTTGTTGCCAACCATCTGAGTTGACATAAGTGTCTTCAATACTACCAGGGAACAAGAATGGAATCTGATCATTATAGTATTATGGAACTTCACTTAAATGAGATATTTTCATAATATTTACGAGCCTCAATAATATGATTGCCTAGTTTTATAAGGACACATGTGTTCCCTTTAATATAAGTTATTAAGTCTATCCCTATTCAAATATTATTATTAATACAAATAACTATGGTACTATTTAGTTCAAACAAAGGAACTTTTGAAGTCATTGTAGGAACTGACATGAAGTTAGTTGCACTACTCAAGTACCGTGAAAGTCCCGAGATGTATTACATCGTCGGTTACATCCCCCATGTATCTACCAAGGGCGATATATGGACCTTTGAGACCGAGACTACTAGAATCATTCTAAACTTAGGACTCCAGTCCGTTACTTTGTATTCAAGAGACTCATCAGAAGGAGACTTTAAGCGTACACAACTTCTTGGTATTATTCCAGGAGATTTGCCTGCTCCAGAGCATCATGCATCCAGGATACCTTATATGTGATGACACATTAAATTGATTTTAATTGCCAGCCCTGTGCGCTTAAGCTCTTCTTGATGTGTGTCTTGTAAAAGATTACAAGGTGTGTCTTGAATGCGACCAACAGTCCAACAAGCACTGCAATCACTACAACTGGAACAACAATGGCAATGATCATTATCTTGTTGCTGTTGGATTTGGATGGACAGTCTGACTTGGTCGATACCAACACTGAGAAGTCAGGATCAATGGTACATTGGCTGCATTGTGGAAGATTGATACCAATGTATGTCACAATGTTGTTGCTTGGGTCTGATGAGACAGTGGTGTTGATCACTTCGTTGATGATACTTGTTGGTCGACCATTAGCAAGTGCGATGGGGAGGAATCGTCCAAAGTATACAATGTCCTCAAATATAACTTGAATGTATGATAGACTCTTGGTCAGGTTGTCTTTGATCGTTGTGGTCGAGTCCCTGTTGTCCTGACATGGGGCGTCTGCTCGCTCAGTCAAGTTGGTCATTGTGTTTGTGAACACTGGTCTCAATGAGTTGATGTTGTTGAGGAATTGCCATTGATTGATTGACACGGTCATCTTTAACGTGTTGGGTAACAAGTTGAGGTCTTGTCCACCAAATAATAATGATCTCGCCTCACTTGAGAACTGGAATGTGACGATAACCTCGAGTAGTGGTTGGTTGGGCACCAGATCAAGTATATAGTTGAATGTTGTCAATGTACCATCAGTTGAAGAGCTTATGGTCCATGATGTAGTTGGTAACACACGGACTATTTGATGATCAATACCCAACTCTTGGATCTCAACCATGTTGAAGTCAAGTTTGGACTTGGTTGTGATGATTGATGGTGATGTATCTGTTGGGAGCACTGTAACATCTGGACTGAGAGTGTACTCACAATAGTATCCTCCAAATCCAGTGTAGCATGAGCATAGTCCATTGTTGTTACAATCGCCATGTCCATTACATAAGTTGTTCTTTACTCCACAATCTGATAAATGTTCAATTTGATCAATGAACAGGAGTGTTGATGATTGGAACACCACCTTGTTGATGACCACCGTGAGGTTGGCATAGCCAACGACCAAGCCAGTACTATCCACCTGGGTAACCAACTGAGTTTGATCAACAGACACCACTGATCGGTCCACTCCATTCACAAACACTGAGACCTCTGTGATGTTTGTTCCAAACATGCCAGTGAGTGAAAGTCTTCCACCATCTGTAGTGAGGTGAGATGTACCTGTTACAACTGGGGAGTCTATATGTTTGGTCAGCCATCACATTGTGGTAATACATTGATTGAAAATGGTTACTTACTCTGAATGTATATAGGTTTGATGAATGATTGGTATGGCGAGTTAACATTCAAATTGATTGGAATGTTTGGATTGATGATGAATAATGGTATTGAACATTGAAGTGATCCATTGGTCTGACTGATTATATTACATATCTGTTGAGTCACAGTAATGTTATAATTATAATCAGGTTGGAAGTTTCCATTCACTTTGATCGACAGTGTACCATTTAACAATGTTGATTCAATCGTTGTAACATTGGACACTAATATTTATAATTTGAAGTCGTTGTTAGATTGATGATTCATCATGTACATGTATGATACTTACAATCTCTTACCCAATATATTGTTATTGGTTTCTGATTATAAGATGAGAAGTATATTGTTGCATTGCCAAATGGTTGATTAGGGGTGAGACTGGACAGTTGATTGATTGTTAGGTTAAATATGATGTATATCATTTGATCAATGAAACATACTTTATCTGAGTGTTTGGAATGATCACATCTGGAAAGAGGACACTGGATATATTCATATAAATGATATGGAATCCAAGGTTCTTACCTGTCATTCTTATTAAATTCGAATTAGGATCGGTGATTATATAAAATGTCTTGTCCAATTGAACATCTTATGATTGATTGATTGATTCATTGAGTTTAGTTAGAAATGGAAAGGTATATTTGATTGATCAATGTTGATCTAGATGATGATGAAGTACGTACCACATGAGAAGTTTGGAGGCATTCCTTGTATTGATGTGTTGGTAAACTTTTGTTCGGAGTATAACCAGTAACAGTAGAAACAATCGGGTATCTTAGAGATTGATGTCATGGAGTATTCAAACAATGCTATCATACAATGAGTCTCGGGGACAGGTCCAACCAAGTTTGGATTCTTAGAGACATAGAATATGAAGGGTGCACCATTATGATACTCTGGCAATGATCCTTCCAATGAGTTGTTTCCAAGATAAAATGTAGATGTACGTCTTAAATCTTTATCCAATGATAACCAACTTTCAGGTGGTGCACTCTTCAACTTGCCATTCATTATTGTCCTATAATAATAATAATATTGTTATTATTGTTAGATATACTGGTCGATGATAAATTTCTTGATTGATTGATAGAGTGTGTGAATAATTTACAGTTGTATTATGTTCTTTGCATCTGTTAGGGGAATGGTATAGTTGGTGTTTCTGATTGTATTCAATGACCTGTAAATTGTTAAGTTTGAAGGACTGATATTACCACCTAAACAAGATCTATTTTTAGGTATGTTAGAGACTACACTTTGATCAATCAAATAATGTCCAATAGTTACAGTTTTTGAAGCAGTGGAAGGTCATCATCAAGTATTAACAAGGACTTGTTATCATCGGATTGGGTCTTGGTTGGGTCGATTGACATTGTGTTTAAGAGTCTATGAATATGAAAATATTTAAACCAAAGTTAGTGATCACTCTACTCTGACCATTCTGCCAATGAACCGTCTATCTTACATTGTTGTAATGTTCTTTGATTCTACATATAATGTTATATTCTCATAGATACTTATGGAACTGGGTTGGGATCGATAGAGGTAGTAAGTATGATTAGTGTGTAATCCGTGATGCATGTATGGTCACCAATTCCTTTAATATACTTACATATCTTTTAGTTTAGGAAAACTAGAAGTTGTTAGATTGATTTTTGTATTGGTCAATGGAGATTGAGGGTATTCTATTGATCTAGATTGATATATTGATTTGGTTAATAATATGTTCAGATGATTGAATGTAAATTGATTGCTTACAACGAGGTGAGTGAAGGATAGTATAATGATGTATCCAAGTTTAGACGTTGAGTTGATGGAGATGTATAATTGATTTGACCCATAGAGAATCTTTCTAAGTTGTTAAATATACTCTGGGGAATATCACCAAAAACAGAGGCTTCAACTAAGTTACTATTTAATTGATTGATTGATTGATTGAATGAGTTAGTGAGACGCAAAGAGAGAACTGGAGATAAGGGTACATACAATGATTTAAGCTTTAGATTGATTGGGAAGTTGTTTGGAATTGATACTTCTACTTTGGATAGGCTGGAACATAGTGTTACTAAATTTATATCAATCAATCAAACATTCAAAGATATAATAATACATACATTATCACCTGGAGATTGATGTTGTTGAGATTGTTATCCAAAATTTGTAAGATGTTTACATTTGGAATTAGTGGCTGGAGTGCAGTATTCAATGAGAATGTAGTCATCATTGGAAACTCAAGTTTATCCATCACCTCTGAAGGTGGTGTTGTAGAGTTTGATATAATAGTATTTAAATGACTAGTATTGAAAAGTAATGATCAATTATATATGTAAGAATATAAGTATATTTAGATATATATATAACTTACATTTCAATAATCCTCTGTACAGTATCATTAGTACAAAATAAGAAAATTGATTGATAAGACTTATTGATTTGACTACATGTTGGATTCACTAAAGTGATTGATTGTTGGTATTGTCCACATAACCATTGTACTGACTTATCTATGTATTTTGATTGATTGATTGATTAGTCACAATTTGATAATTCATTCTTTGATTATACATACATTCGTCAGGGTGTAATGCTTGAGATGATTGTGATAATGTAATATGTATTTGAACAATCAAATAGATAACAATAAATATATATTTATACATATCTTTATCTTATCTGTGTATATATCTGTTTGGGAATGATGAATAGTTTCTTAACCTGTTGATAAGATTAGGGCAATACCATCCACTCGTCCATCAGACTTTGAGATCTTTTGAGAATGAAAATATCTTCATTTTGATTGATTTCATTCGTGATGGGTTCAACCCATTTTGGTCTTAAGATGGGGTGATAATTAAAACTGTACTTCATTTTCAAATTGAACTTGTTTAATTGATTAGAGATAAACATATATATAGATATTAGATGATGAACAGTGATGTAGTATCACTGGGTAGAACTCAGTCAATAGGTGAGGGATTCTATCATGCCATTCCAAAGATCACTCTATTCGGTAGTCATCTAAAAGATCACGAGAAGACCAATCATCATGGCACTGTAAAGAGATGTTGTCATGTCAGGATATCAAGGTTGGGTATGTATATATCAATGATGAATGAATGAGTGACATGAGTACTCATGCACAATCAATTGATCAAACATATAGAGTTCATATCAGACTCTAGGGATAAACTACCGACTACTATTAGGGTCGCAGTGGGATTGAATAAGATTAGAAGATCGTTGATCACTGCTCCTATTGACTTGACTGGTCTAGAGGAGATTGTACATTCAAATCAACTGTATAGGAATAGTTTGGCAACAAGTCAACAGATACCTCATTCATTCACACGTGGACTTGGACCTGGAGCTGGCACTGGCAATACAACAACCACAGGCAGCAGCGGTACACCCTCCTCATATGCATATCCATATCAACAATCCTCGACATCTACTGCTACATCATCATCGATGACAATCACACATCATCAAGACAATCCATCAGTGACTGGTACTCTAACATCAAATGCGATCAACATACCTACATCATCAACAACTTCATCAGCGTTATCATCTGTTGGCCATGTAGTTGTCGATCATCCAAACATATCACCAAGACTGATACCACGTGGAAGTAATACAGATGGAGGAGTCATCCCACCTCCATCACCTTTGTCGGCGAGCAAGAAGGTGTTCTGCTATCCAATGGACATCAGAATAAGCTTTCACTACGATCACTCACTCAAAGAGCACGACGACTTTGTCAAGATCACTCTCTACCGCAACCTACCTTCCAAGCGACAGCGTCCAAGAATTCATCCCATTCGCACAGACCGAGACCAACCTTTCACAAATCGTATGTACGGACCCTAACTCAGTGATCGCGAGAGGAGACATAGACTAACATACATGATACCTACCAACCCGTCTATAGCTTCAACAGGGTGACTTTATTACTGATCTCGATATGTACTCATTATTACAGCAACAACAACCAGCAAAGACGTCGTCGTCTTCATCTTCATCGGCAACAACACCATCTGACAATGTTGTTATGATACCGACTGCAATCAATGTGACGATATGTAGTGTGCCAAAGGAGATTGAGTCTCTTGGTGATGCTCAAGAGTACCAACTCAATGATATGGCACTATCTGATGATGAGAAGTAAGTCGCGATCATGCTATAGGACAACCCCAAGCACATACTTACTCATTCACTCAATCAATCAAACAATCAACTTCATAATAGCTTGTTCTTTGACTCTGATTCATATGATGATGATGATGAGGATGATGTATATGATGCACCAAGAATGCCTACACACCAGCCAACTAGTAATCAGATTGTTGGTGCAGGTGGACTCGCCCCAATCACACCTCCATCGATATCAAGTACACCTCCAGCACCTCAACAACAACAACAACAACAGCAGCAATCCAACTCGGGTGGTGGAGCAGGATCACTCTCACAGCGATTGTTTGAGTTGGACGAGACGCGAAAGAAGATAGACAAGCGATCAAAGTTGCAGAAGTTGTCATCACTGATCAAGCCGACCCCATCAAGCAAGAATCCAGACAGCTCAGCGGCAAACCTAGAGCTGGATGACGATGAGCTGACGAATGATTCTTCGAGCGAGAGCGAGGACATTGACTATGACGACCTGACGCCCAATGCATTGGCCGCGGGCACAAGGTTCCAGGCGCCAGGAATGATGGCCAATCAAAACTCGTCACAAAGGGACTCGCCTCCATCGTCCCCATTCACCCAGCTCAAGAGCTCGGGTTCCGATGTCTTTGCCGCAGACGCCAAACTCAAGCAATACTTCAACCCAGACAGCCCGACACATCTGTTCCTCGTCAACGCCCTGCGCAAGGGCGGCAAGAAGTTGGAGCAGTTCATTGAGAGGAGCGCACCAAACATCAAGTCCAAGTTCACAGTCATCCCAACTCGCTCAAGCACCGACGTGCTATCCATTTTCAAACTGACCATTCAGAGACATCAGAACAAGAACGAGCATATACGCGTGGCCATTGCTGGCTCTGACAGCTACATCAGCACGATACTGAAACATTATGTGGCGCTTCTCTCCTCCAAACCCAGGGGATGGGACCCGTTCCTGTTCTTCCTGCTGCCCATTGGAAAGAGCAATGAGATTGCGGCCACAGTGGCCAACAATGATCCCAACTATCAGGCGCTGTTCCTCATGGCACAGTCTGATTGGAAGCGATTCTTGGACGCGCCAGACGACCACCACATAACCATGGACTCTCAAGCCAAGAAGGACATTGAGGCCAAGATCTTGTCCTACATTGACAAGCCCAGCACAAGACACTCGCACAAGTTCCCTATTGGTGAGGCACTTTTGACGTTCCCCACAACGACCAGCATCATGGCCATACCCTTCCTCAAGGGCATACAGATACCACGTTTGGAAGATGTGGATGGTGGCTCATCTGGAAGTGGCAACAGCAGCAATAGTGAACAACCCGATCTCAAGATAGACTATTGGGTGCCCAAGAAGAAGGGTGGCGAGGATCACATGGAGATCAAGACTGCATTCCAATATGTCAAGCTCACAAGGCTGTCGCAGGTCATCAGTGGGGCCTCGGCAGGCACGTCCATGGGCACATTGTTATCGGCCAATACGACTCTTGGTGCGACAAGTGGCAGCGGCAGTGGCAGTGGAAGCGGCAGCGGTAGCGGAAATAACAGTGGCTTCAAGCCATCGTCATCGGCGTCAACATCATCCTCAAGCGCACAGCAAGCTGACCCCAAGTCAGACAACAACACATTCAGCCTTTACGTGTTATATAGGGACAAGACCAGCAAGTCAAAGAAGAATGCAGCCATTTACATACCAATGTTTAGCAAGCAGAAGCGAAGTGACAGTAACAAGAAGGAGGAGAAGGTGTCATACAAGAAGGTGGAGAAGTCGAATGTGTCATCGGTCATCACCAAACTGATGTGTGGCCCTCAGACTGCATCGTCATCATCTTCATCCGCTGGCATCAACACAGAGACTCTGTTCAAGATCAATGTGGATGGCGTTGAGATCACTGGTGTCAAGTATCTCTCCGTGTCTCCACAATGGGGCACACATGTCAAGCAGTTCTCCATTCAAACATTCGTCGATACCGAGAAGATGAACTCACCACCTGGTGCCACAACAACACCTACAAGTAGCAACTCAGTGGCGACGACAACATCAGCAACGATGAATGAATGATTGTAAATATTATAACTATTATTATAACTTTAGTTTATTATTATTTCTGAACGATCAATGTACTTGATTGCAATGATGCCATAGATGATGGATCATTGCTGGGAACAGTGGCCTGGCATTGATTGTTGATTGGAATATTCATAAGTTGTGCTCCATGTTGTGCGGCACCACCTGCAGTTGCACCAACACCTCCAGCAGCAGCCACACCTCCCACACACAACAAGTCATTGACCTTTACAACACTTTGAGGCTTCCAAGCAAGTGAGGCTTCTCTCCTCACTAACTTTGCAAAATACAATCCACAAGCATTACACAGTCTAATTTTTTTGATTGATTAGTTATTGAATGATTGATTGAGTGATGTATGATGACTTACGATTGATTGCCAGCTGGACCCTTCCTCCACTCTGGAGATGATGTTGTGCCACATGATGTGCAGTGCTTCAACTCTGCAGACTTTCTCTTGGATGATCCATTCTTGATTGATGAAGCCGAGCTGTCCAATGACTCGGGTGACTCGCAACCAGTTGAATTGGCGCCAACACTTGTTGGTGTTTGATCACCAGACTTGTTCTTCAGCTTGGACTTCCTGAAACGTCTGGGCCTGGTCAAAACTGGAACTCTACCCTCATCACTATTGCCAAATATCCTCGAGTCTCCGCCATTCTGAATGATCTGCTGCATTGATGTATCGATGCTGTCCACCTTGAGAACGAGTGCTGCCAGAGTCTGCTTGATCTTGTCCAGGCCGTTCAAGAAGTCACCATTGACCATCGACTCCTTGGACTGCTTTGATATCGATGAGCCAAGATCACGAAGTTCAATGAAGCATTCGAGCACTGCACCCGAGTCCATCACAGTTGTGGGCGATGAATTGGCACTGAGGTCCCGTGACTTATCATGATAAGCAGTGGTCAGTGATGACAATGATTGAGTGAGTCGACTTGATGGAGAAGTAGGATGCAGTGGATTGAGTCCAAATGATGGTGACACAGGACACATCTGGCCACCTGATGGAGTGTAATAAGGTGTCGGGGAACTGGTCGGAGAATAGTTAATTAGACTTAATTGATGTGAAAGGTGTCCACCATGGATGGGGGATGACATGTGATTGGAGCCAAATGGTTGCATTTGAGGTGTGGAGTTGACAGAGTTGGACGAAGGCACTTGGCTGAGTGAGGCCAGGTCAGCCTCAATCGAGTTGGACCTTGACTTCATCCCTCCAAGATTGACATTGACTGATAGTTGAGGTGGTTGATAACCACCTTGGAAAGAGTTGGAGTGGGTCATGTGGGGTTTGGGCATTGCATGGGGTGACGGTGAGGCACAAGGACTCATTGATGGAACTGGATTGTTGTTGTTGACATTTTGTTGTTGATGTTGATGATGTGTGCTTGTTGAGTATCCAGTGTTGTAAGTAGGTACGGTAGGTACCTGGTATTGATTCTTATTAATTGTATTTGGGGGTGGCGGTGCAAGTGACATATATTCATTATTATTATTATTAATATTATTATTATTGTTGGAAATATTATTAATATGATTATTTGGTTGATATATTAAGTTTGGACTTTTGGTAATCATGTGTTGTTGTCCCCCATTACTATTATTATTGTTGTTGGTATATTGATTGTAGGCCTGTTGATGATCACTTGGATATATATATCTTTGATCCATCATCCAAAATTATAATATTAATGATTGAATAATATCCGATGTCAGTTATTGGGGTGAGTGACTCGTTCAAAGTTTTAGATACAGAGAACTGATGATGATGTTGTTGATGATGATGATGATGGGAATGGAGAATGGGAACTCTTATTGGAGATGAAATGCTAATATCGTTGGATCACTGATTGAGTGATTGAGTTGAGTGGAGGTGGCGCCACTTCCAGTATTTATAATACGTATTAATAAGGTCAGGTCAGGTAAGGTCTAGATAGAGTGAGAATGTGAGTCTGTGTGTGAATCAGTAATGTCCATCCATTCACTCAAACACACATTCTTGCTCTGATTGATGAGTGTGAGTGTGTTTGAGTGAGAGTGTCGCCGTGGCGATATCATCCATTGGGTGTGACATGGAAGATGATGATCACGGGATGCGCCGATGCGAATAGTGTGTGATTGATTGATTGATGGATGGATGGCTGGATGTCTGTCTGTCTGATTGATTATTAATGTATGAATCAATGATGTATGCTTTTGATCACCAACCTCACCTGTGAGAGTGAGTGAGTGAATGAGGGAAAGAGAGAGTGTGATAGACAGTGCATCATTCATTCACTTGATGAGATAGCTTATATAAATCTAAATATAATGTCATTACTGATGGTGGTTAGGTTAGTACTTGTATGCCTATGATGCGGGCTAGTGTGTGAGTGGTCCAACCACAGTTGATTGTTGTATTCAATGTTATAAATATAGGATTTAGTATTACTAAGGTAAATATCGGGACTGGACTGGCCTGTGGAATGCGTTAATGTGGTTGCAGGCAAGATCACTCGCTGCAGGGGTATGGACACTACCATTGATTGATTGATCAGAGCATAAGATGTGTTTGTTGTTGTTGTTGTGTGTGTTAAGGTGGAACCACATTGTTGGCAATCCACACACATACAACATCAGCACACATCACATGACCTAAGAGTACTCAGGCATTCGTATTATTGTTATTATGTGTTTGTGTGTGTTCAACAACAACAATGATGATGATGAAGTGTGTGGATGGTGGGGTCGACCTCTTCACACCACTCACCAACCCCTAAGAAACTGTGATCAATCAATCAGTCAGGTGGGGGAGATGCATGTGTATCTTGGTATGTATTACTGGTGAACATCAAATAAACATATAAATGAATAAACAACAACAGACAGTATTTGTTGAGGTTAAGGGTAGACTGTCCCATTGTTACAATGACCATTTAAGGTAATTGTCAACATGCTGCACACAGTCCACCACCATCATTCATCATCGCATTTTATTAATTCATACTCAATCATATATCTCCTCTCATCGCTCTCCACTCTGACTGAATGACTGACTGTAGTGACTGTGGTATGCTTTGATCGATTGATTAATTGACTGATTGATTGATTGAATGATTGGTCTTGTCCACTGAGTTGGATATCGTCAGGTGGTGATGGGTGATCAATCAATCCATCCACATCTAAAATACGAGTTTCTGATTACGAATCTTGGATTCGTTAGATATATCAATATATCTATGATGATGTACACGATCCAGAGCTGGTGAGTATACAACTCCAACGATGAATGTGACTGGCTGCCTGACTGACTGACTGACTTGTGATCCAGTGTTGTTGGATTGGATCGATGTGATTAAATTAATGAATTGATTGATTGAATGATTGATTGTTGGGTGATTGAATGAATGAAAGGTTGAGTTTGATTGATTAATTGATTGATTTGTTGGTTGGTATGTTGAGAGGAGTAGGATGATGTACTAGTCATCATCCTCATTGATATAGTAGTTGTATTGATGTGACTCGCCGTACTCATAGTCGATGATCAACCTGTCTTGCTCGGGACTGGAGTGATTGATGCCAACGAGGTCGTCCGTCTTCTTCTTGATGCACAGACAGCAGAACTGGTCGTAAAATGAGGACCAGAAGTACTCGTCCACAATGCCGTATATCAGTGCGTTGACAAAGCCCTGCGTCGGTTGCAGTATCGTCTGCATGAGATAGAGCGCAAAGATCGGATTGGTCGGATCCAGATAGTTCTGAATGCGGTTGACCAGTGAGGGCAACTGACAGATGACCGACGCCAGGATGAAGCCAAAGAAGCGACGTGTGATCACGCTGTACTCCTCGTTGTGGCGCAGTTTGTAGCGCAGGTACACATAGATCGTCACGTTGAATATTACAATGATGCAGCCCAGTCCGTAGACGATGAGCCGCAGGCCTGGCGACATGATCCAGCACCATGGTCCAGGTGTTGGTCCAAACAACTTTAGTGCGAGGAATGGTAAAACTGATGCCAAAGGTACGCCCCAACTTATCAAATGGAACCATGCCATCTTATCTCCAGCTGAGTGTCTATTATTCTTATTTACTTTTGATCGTGCTATATGTTTGATTGATCGTGTGTATGGTTAGTTGATGGGTCTCGCGCGAGACTGGCCACTGACACACAACATACTCAACACTTTGAGAAAGACTACGACGATGCACGCTGACCAGACTTGTGAACTGATCTCAAAGAATTGGATTCCAGTGGCTTGGATGATGCAGTAGATGCTGTGACTCTTGGACTCCCAGGGGAACCAGAAGAAGGCACCGAGGAAGCCAGGCAGTGTGATGAAGAAGATCATTTTGGCACCGTCTTCATTCTGTTGTTGTCTGCCCTCTGCATCGGACTTGTAATGTTTGAACAAGAATGTCAAGAGAATGAATCCCGTGCCTATCAGTGTTAGGCATGAGCCTGCCACCAACACATAATGCAACACCTCACGCTGTTCATGTGAGAAGCAATGCCCACTTGGATCATTAGATCCGCTGCATCCATATATCGCTGCCTCTTCTTGATCCATTGATGTTGTTGAACCTATATAACTATTATTATTACTATTATTACTACTATACATTATACATATATTTGCTATATTATTATTATTATTATTATAATTGATTGAATGTTACAGTTGTATTGTTATATGTTGTGTTGCGTTGCGATCGTTCGCAACTTGATAGTTTAGTTTTTGATTGATCGATTGATTGAGTGTGTGTGAGTTAAATAAGTTGATCAATCAATCCAAATATCTCTATCTCTATCTTTATCTTTATCACTATTTGTGTAACTTTGTTGTGTTTAAAATATTTGTTTGATTTCGTAACAATTCAGACTCTGAGTTGTGTTGCGCAATTCGATCTCGAATCTTGGGAAACAATGACTCTCCCCTTTGTTTGGTTGTGTGTGTGTGGGTGATGCGTGTGCTCAAGCATCACTTTATTTCTTTGTTTCTGTTTGTTGTGATCCAAATATCTTTCACTCACCAATCATCAAATTTCCACATCCGAAATGGGGGTTGCATTCATGCATGGACTCGTTCACAATCAGTGTGTGTGTAGTTTATAATTCCGACGAAAAGTACATTTATTTAGGCTTTGATGAACTCGTCCACTCCTATGACCCTGCTGCGAACATTAGACGAGTATCAGAATGAAATAACTTAGTATTCTATGCTCTACTCTTTGAATGTTCCTTTGAACTTTACTTCTACTTCTCTCACTCTCAATCACACTGGACTCGACTCTGAACTCAATCAATCGAATCCTTGGTATCGATGATATGCACGTTCTCTATTATCAATCATTGTCCTACGTCTTGATGTTAGTCGTGTGGTCAATGTATCAACATCGATGAATCCACTGAATAGTAAATCATTGTTCATGTTTAGGAACAACGTTTGACTGATTCTGATCAGGTGCAGAGTGCAAAGGTGTTCCTCTTCATAGTCCAGCACACAAATGCCATCACCATTGCCACATATTCGCTGCCAAAACATGTTGGGGGCCTCATGGTGGCTGGCCGGTGGCCACTTCAAAGACAGATGTCTGAGCGATGCACTGGGGAATGTTCGAGTGTACCATTGCGGCATGCCATCCTCAATCGTGAGTGATGTTACTGATGTTGGAATATCACCGACTTCCAAATAATGTTGATATTTGTACAGCTTGAGTGAGGTAATTGTTGATGGCAGCCAGCATGAAGACAGCTTATTGTTGTCCAAGTTGGCCATATACATTGACAATGTCTCGAGAAGGCGGAGTGGATGAGTACACGTGTTTGGTGGCGGTGTCCAATTACCGTGTGGCCTAAAGTCCAGAATGATCAGTGAGGGCGGGAGTGTTGAAAGATTGATTGGTGTGTCCTTGTCCTTGAAGCTTTTGATGTAAAGCTCGGTGAGCCCTGGAAATGATGTTGGATTGATGGTTGTCCATATGTTTGAGGGCACCTCCAACAGTCTCATGTTTACGAGACAAGTGAAGATTGATTGAGTTTGATGATCACCAACTATTGCCAACCTAGGATTGGCACTGTGTAGATTGACACGACGCAATGTAGGATGAATAATCACTTGATTGTTTGCCGTGCCAAGTGCGATGTTGGTGAGGCTGCTGGGCAAGTTGACCAGGGGGAAGTTGAACCTGGACTCCAAGCCCATATCGAGAAGCGTGAGTGATCGAGGGAGACGATCGCCATCCAAGGGTGAGTTGAACCTGGATGCGTAGCTAAAGTAGATCGAGGTCACTGACGGGGGTAACATTCCAGGGGGTATCGACTGGTCGAATGCCTTTCCAAACTTAATCATCGTCAGACTCTGCGGTAGTGCACCTGGTTTGATTGGTTGATTCCAATTTCTTGCCAAATGAAGACTGAGACAAGTCATGGTGTCCGGTTGCACATGGTCCAGTGTGTGATCGTAATTGCCGCCAATGGTCAGTGATTTGAGCGAGCTGGGCAGATGTGCTCGAATGATTGGCATGTTCAAGTCTCCTTTTATCACCATGGTCTTTATATGTTTGATATGGTCCATTTGATATAAAGGTGATGAATGCTTTATGAAACTAATATCCAACACTGATCTAATATTGACCACATCATCCAGGAATGATTCCAGTCCATTCCAGAACTCTTGATCAAACGGTTCATCTCTATCATCAACAAACTCAATCGAGCCAACATGAGGCAATCTCATCAGATTCTGTCTCCAACTATGATCATTCTTATCCTCTGATTGATTGATCAAGTGTGAGTGATTGATTGATTGAGTGAGTGAGTGATCAAGATGCATCGATGTTGGCAAATGATGATTGAGATTGAATGAATAAATGAGTTGGTATGATCTGGAACTATACCAATCAAACTTCCACTCACAAACATTGTACTTACCGATTGCAAAGTAGTAAAGATCATAGTATGGTTGAACGTATCCGTCGTATTTTGATTGGATGCACACATGTTGATCGGTATCGATAAAGTCACGTTGTAGTAGTTGATGATATGATCTCATTTTACTTCTTATTATTACATCCTTTATAGGACCATCTGTTGATAGTCCACATTTATTCAAACATAGATAATTATATCTTTGTTCAAACAATCTTCTACAAGTCAATGACAACACCACCTGATCAACATTATCCAAGAATAAAGTAATACATTTAAGTAAAGTAATTTGTAACGACTCCATCCTATACTACTACAACTAATGATGTGGTGGATGGCTCGTGGCGCTGGCGCTGCTTTGTCGCTTCGCTCACTTTACGTCGCTATCGCGACTTCATTTCCTATCAAATACAGTCTCAATGTTGCTTCAATGCTTATATTATACTATCTTTATTCTCTCTACAATAGAATAATAATAGAGATAAAAACAGAAATGGTAATGATATTGTAGAGATGTAGAGATAGTAGAGCAATAAAAGTTATCAGAACATCTTTCAAAAGCGTCCAATGACTCATCCATCTATCTACTTCTAAGTCACAATCAACGTAACAACACGCACATGAGAGTTACCAAAGTTCACCAACTGTCCACCTAGAGTTTTTGTGTTTATTGATGTCCAGATAAGAGGTGTTCGGACTACTCCTCGTCCATTGAAATATCTTGTGTGTCAACAAAGTCTGGCTGTTCAACGCCACAAGAAATCAAACCACGATGAGCAAATGTAGGTGAGAGGAACGTCGAAAGATTGTCTTGATAGAGAAGGACGAGGTAGCGATTGTTGAGACCCAACGACGCACAGTGACTCTTGAAGGATGTGTGCAACTTGGTTGGGTTGTGTATTCTTTTGTTGGTAACCATGACCAAAATAACAGTGTCCTTGATTGGGGCTGAAAAATCTAAAGCATTCTGATACCAAGTCCTGACCACCTTTGGTCCCAAGAGGTCTGATTTGGTATCGATCGACATGTGTTTGCATTGGATGAAGGTGTGGATGCCATTGCCATCTTTGTCTTGGAAGTATGTGCGATGATCAATGCAGTAGGTATTCTTCTGACAGACCAATACAGAGCCAAGTTGTGTGTAGTCTCCACTGTAGACCTGGTCAGAACCCTCAATGACGTACTGAACTTTGGTCGTGGTCAGATCTGTGTTGACCTCACGAAGGACAGTGGAGGGAAATAACTTGATGACCGAATCAGGGAGCTCTATCGCGCCATATCCTCCTCTGAAGGCTGATCGCAATGTCAACGGACGTTCATCAAACGTAGATGCCAGAATGATTGCTGTGATCAAGCACACCAAGTAGTATGGGAACAGGAGTTCAAAGTGTTGCCATTCCCAAGGTCCACTTTCAGAGGGGAAAAAGAGAAGATGAGGTGGGAACAGCTTCTTGGACATTGAAGAATGATACCACTTGAGCATGAGAAATGGGATGTAGATGCTGTAGCTGCCTGATATCGAGGAGGAGGGGACGATGTACAATAGTCCATTTCGTCGGACATCTTCAATGCTTCGGCCAGATGAGAGGGTTGTCTCGAGCTTGACTGGGGTGTAGGAAAGTGCAAGTGCAAGCAGTTGTAACGTGCTCTTGTCGTCGAGGCCTGTTTCTTTCCACCAGTTGAGGCATTCTTGATAACATTGATCTGTGAACCCTTCTCTTGAGATGGAAGCGCACTGGAGGAACTTGATCAATATGCGTGGGATATAGCCGGTGTCTCCGAGTCCAACTTTAAAGTATTGACATGACTGCATGTCTTGGTTCTGTCTCAGATATCTGTTGATCACCGGCTGGCAAGCACTACTGTCAAGAGGTTTGAGACTGATAGAGACCAAGTTGTTCTCCGTTGGAAGATAGTGAATGTCGCGAGCAGAGGTTCCAGTGCAAATAGGTACAATGAAATGGTTTGGATTAGTGTTGCTGACCATATGAGCTCCAATGACCCGAAGCATCTCTTTGAAGAATGTTCTTCGCTTCTCAAAGGAGCTGTCACCTGGAATGTCTCGAACAAGGTTGTTGGTGACGTTGTCGATGTAGATTTGGTACTCATCGATGTGGATGATGATTGCTGTGACGGGGTTACATGAGGCAGCCAGCAACTGTTGGATGACTCCATCAAAAGCCAGTGCTTGAATATTGTGCTCCATTGTGATGCCCAGGAGTGTCTTGCTCGTAGTACTTTGTGAGAGGGCTACACGAGCGCCAATTCGTATCTCTCTTGGGTGCTGGTCTATCTCGCAGAATGCATGTCCATTGGCAAGATTGATAAAGCAATAGATTGGGTTCTTCATTGCCGAGATGAAGTCTTGATCAGCGATGGCTTGATTATGATGGACAAAATAGTCCTCTGGTATCGAGGCAAACTCCCTTCCTGCTCGTGTCTATAAGGAAAATGTTAGATGGTATGGGGGAAAACTACTATAGTCAATTACAAACCTTGCCAATACCTGATCCACCAGCAATCAAAAAGAAGCTCTGATCTTGCGCCTGCACCGACTTTGCCCGGTTGGAGTAGTTCGAAAATATATCGGGGACGATCTTCGAGAAGAAATCATCTCGATCCACAAATGGAGAATCATCAGACCTGAACTTGATAGGGGAGATCACACCTGGGAAGGTGTCAGTATCGATCAAACACATCACTCAATCTCATTTGTACTTACGAGCTTGGCCACCTTGTGATCCTATATTGGCAGCAGGGTCTTGAGTGTGTATGTTAGAATTGAATGAAGACATTGCGCCGATATTGTTTGTACTTACTCGTTTGTTGAGGGCGGAGAGCAATCAATCTTGTGGCGACTTTGAGACTAATGCCAACATCAGTCAATGGTTTGGTGTCTGACAAAGGAAGCAGAGTCACCCCGTCGAGGTTCTTTTTGATGAGCATGATGTCATCATCGTCTGGTTTCGGGTCACCCAGAAGAGTGATCAAGTCATCTGCTGTTGAGGTACTGGCGACAGACATGTATGTATAATTAGATAAGTGTATACAAATAATGATATAATATAGTGCAGAATGAGAGCTGTAATTATAATTTGATGTAATACCAATGATGTATCCTTGTTGTTTGTGATAGATAATAAGAGTTGTATGTTAGAGACTGTGAGTGAATGAGTGGTGAGGTGAAGATAAGTGAAGTGAAGTGAAGGTGGACCACTTCATGTAAAATCAAAATTTACACACTCGAACTTCCTTTTGGAATAAATCAAATATATTAATAATATCAAATAGATATAAGATGGGTTCCTTCAAAGAGTATTATCAATCCAACGATCAATTCAGAGAACAACACAAGGCCAAGCAAAGGGAGAAGGTCATCTGCGAGTGTGGCTTTGCAGTTGGGCGAACCCAACCTCAACAGACACACACATGGCTACATTCATAAGCAACTTATGAAATCAAAGTGATATAAATAATCTTTTATTACTTTATAATAATGAGTAGATCAATCACAGACGTTGCCCGCAGACTGAAGAAGACGGGTGTGACACTGATCAAGATGAATGGCAACTACACAAGAGCAGACATCGAAAGGATTGCACAGCGAGACAGCAACACACTCAAGAGATATGGCGCCAATGCCAGGATAGAGGTTGTGCTTGACTATGGCAACCGTCAGTATCGATCAGGCAAGTTTACAAGGTAGGTGATCCAATCAACATGTTCAATCCTCATGAGTATGATGGTGCACCAATAGAGGAGCCAGCCACATTCAAGACATTCTTCATGTTCGTGCACAAACCAAAGAGAAAGGCAGGAGGTTGTGACGGTGAGTGGAACAACTGCTTATATCACTGCTTGCATGATGTCTATCCAGAACAGGTAGCAGAGCACTTTGGCAAGCCATCACGACTGAAGAAGTATCTCGATCTTGGTGTCAAGGAGATGATCCCGATCGAGCTGATCCCATCAATTGAGGACAAGATCAATGTTGGTATCAACGACAAAAGTGATCATTGTTACATCTCCACCAATGATGCAGCGAGAGAGGTCAACCTGATACTAACCAATGGACATTACACACTAGACAACGATGGATCATATGTAGTCAAGGGTGTTGCCATCAAGACTAAAGACAGACAAATGCAACCAGTGGCGTTCAAACAAATCAAAGACAATCGTGCTCAGATATATGATGGCAGCGATTACAGCACGATGAGCCTGGACGAGTTCATCAAAGAGAAGAGCACACTCAGATACAAGTCCATGTACCAGTTCAATAGAATAGTAGCAGGTCAGACATTGAAACAGACACTCGCCGCATTCATCAACGATGCTGATGCTCTAATAGAAGGTACGGAAAGAGTGATCGACATGTACTTCACAGGACAGAACATTAACAAGGCAGTGCGCGCAGATCACATCGAGCAGGATGAGGGCGAGTGGATATCCAAGGCAGGACAAGGAGCGTTGATGTTTGCAATACAACACACTGGGCCACTCCACAAGTATGATGTATGTAACATGTATGCCTCCATTATGAGGAGCAAGAGCTTCATGGTGCCAATCAAACGAGGCACCTTCCAACAGATGACTGAACTAACACTCAGCAGCATGCCTTCCATCCCATTTGGCATATATAGAGCGATCATCAACGGAACACACAGAGCATTCAAGACCAACAACAACAACTACTACACTCACTACGACTTGATGTTTGCCAAGGAGCTCGGACTGACGTTCAACTTGAAGACTGACGACAAGCACAATGCACTGATATATGACTCAAAGTGTCGGATCAATGGATCAATCCTGTTTGGCAAGTACATCGATCAGGTTCTAGGCTGGAAAGATGCAAGTGAACCCAAGTCTAGATTAGAACAGCTTTGCAAGTGTCTCTACCAACGTCTATGGGGCGCCCTCGCCAAGCGCAACAAGACCAAGCAGTGTGTAAGCATGGAGTGTGATGAAGAGGTGACAGAGACCAACGATGGACAGAGAACAATCAAGCACTTTGATATCAACGTCGACACTAACTATACTATCGATCGCATCACTCCAACAGCCAAAGGACAGGCAATGGTCAAGTCAGTCTCCAACACAGATATGTTCGACACACCATTCGCGCGCATCATGCCATTCATCATATCACATGGACGCAAGATGATTGGCACCATCATCAAGGACAACATCGATCATATCAAACGTGTGCACACCGATGGCTTCTGTACAACAAAGGAGTGGAAGCCAGCCGCACTCAAAGCTTCATTGGACTACCCCAAGTTGGGCACAGAGTGTGGCGACTTGCGATATGAGGGCTTCTGTGCCAGCAGTCGTGAACAACATGTCCAAGGTAGTTGGCGAGTTTAAATAAATCTTTATATACATTACTAATGAAGCTAAAGATTGTCCAACAACACAACGATGTCAATATTGACAACACTTTCGCCAAGTCGTACATGCAAGCCTGGTATGCCCGCAACAAGGAGAGACACAAGGCATATGTTACTAAGAGAGTGCCATGTGATGTGTGTGGGAAGATGATAGCCAGACACAACCTGTCCCTACACCAGAGAAGGATGCACAATATTGGATGAACACCGTAGTGGAGTCTAATACTTTATTAATGGACTATTGATAGATGGTGATATGATGGAGCCAGCTTGATAGACATGGTGAATGGTTAGACCTACTTTGTTAAGGTTGTTGCCGGTCTAATTATGGAAGAGCTTGGCCTGGACGGTGTGGGCTTAGCGATAGGATTCCTTGGCGCAGACACTGTTGTCTGGTTTCCATTAGATGTTGGCCATGATCTCACAGATATTAATTCTTTAAATCACTTTGATAAAAAATGAAATTTCATTTGATTTTCTACACAAACCATACTTGGTGAACAATCGGTGAATAGTTGGTGAACAGTTGGTGAACTGTGGTTGTATCGTTGTATGGGTGCTGTTGCATATCCTCTGATGCGGCACCATTCACTCTTTCTTGTGCGTGCTGTTACCCATCCACTGATGCCGACTTAATACATCTAGATAGATTGAGCTATAAGACAGCCATGGACGTTTTTTAAAATTGTTCCAACTACATTTATTACTCTACTATCTCTACATCTCTACAATATCACTACCATTTCTGTTTTTATCTCTATTTATTATTCTATTTATTGTAGAGAGAATAAAGATAGTATAAATATAATCATTGAAGAAGCATTGAAGCAGCATTGAGACTGTATTTAATAGGAAATGAAGTCGCGATAGCGACGTAATATGAGCGAAGCGACAAATCAGCAGAGCGCCACGAGCCAGCCACACACAATGATGATATTATTACTTAAGTACTGTATTTGGATATTAGATTGATCACTTCATCTTTGATCCAAGTTGATGAATAGATGGTTGGAAGTTCATGTTTTTTCCAAAAGGGGGGGGGTATCACAAAAACGAACAACTCTCTTTCAAAGTTTGGTTGGAAACGAAGACTCTCTTTCATTCAATTCAAACATAGTTGTAAATAGATAGTGATACAACTTTAGAGATATGGTACGACCAGAACTTAAACTATTCAAGAAGCCAGAAAAGACTAGGCAAAAGCAAGAGTTGGTCGACTTTCTTCGTATTCCATCAAATATAATAACAGATTACATCAATCGTTTGAATCAATGTAATTGTCGAGATGTTGCAGCTGCAGCTGATATCGATGGCAACAACAAACAACATCCATTAAAACAACAGAGTACACAACAACAACAACAACCTGGTGCAATTAGAGATCTTTTTGTTAAGTTCTTGCAGACCGACAATCAGAACGATCAATCAATATTTGTAAAGAGATTGGAGAGTACATTGTCAAAGCGTGCGACAGACTTGACATCGACACCGACTCCCCTGCCACCAACACTCATCGATACAATCGTCAACCTATGCCTCTACATCCTGTTCGAGCTGCGCAGCTCTAACTTGCAGATCAACAAGTCGCTCACATGTGTGTTAAACGTACTTGTCGCGACGGGCGACTCCCCGCACTTGAGCGCGCTACTCCAGCACCTCGACGATGTACTGCCAACAGATGTCGATCAAACAATTATATATCATGCACATGCTCTGACCATCTTGGTCGAGCTCAAGCATGCCGCGGCGTTCTTTGCTGGCGACGGATGCCTGCGGTCGGTCCGCGCGCTGGCGCACCTGCTCACCACACAGTTGACCAGCATGGAGAAGAGTGGCACGCTCTATATGAACGACTTCTACTCGGACTGCGATTACACCCTTCGTGCACTTGTCGCCCTCTTTGGCGCGTTCAAACCATCGATTCAGACATTGGTGCGCAGTCACGCACAGCCCATGCGAGCACTCATTAGCGCGCTAGATCGCATACTTGTCGCGGCACAATACCCAAAGCAGATCATCGCATTGACAGCCTATCTGCTCACCGAGTGCATCACCCTGGCAGCGACGAATGCGAGCGATCTCCAGCAACAGGTCATTGGACATTTCATTCGCGAAACCCCATCCACACTCGAGCTCTTCCTGGACGCTATGCTGCAGATGGAGCACGGCGCCTATCTCTTGCGCTTCAACATCTATCCACACTTAAGCCGCGTGTCCGTCTTCCGTGGACTGTGTCTCTCTAGCCAGCTGGCCTGGCTCACCCAGCCCCTCAATGATACTGCCAACGAATCATTGTTCCTCAATCACATATACCTCGCGCTCTGTGACTCGTGCACTAGCGCCGTCGACGTGTTTGGCCGCGTCGCCTCGCTCGAGTACCTGCATCTCTGGTACGAGACCCTCCTCGCGCTGCTCAACCAGCTATCGCAACCCACTCTCCAATCAATCGTGCACATTGAGTACGACCTGTTCTTCAAGGACTACCTCAACCGCGCATTGGACATCATCTTTAGCAACTGGGAGTCGACCATTTCATCCGTGCCAACACAGCTCAATGACATCTTTGATTGTTTGCTCGACGTACACTATCGATGCACAGCAGGCGGCGCCTCTGGTACTGGTTCATCCTCAGCTTCGACACATGGACAGCTCAAAGAATCGGGCACGGCCCCGGCATTCATCCCTGACATCACATGCCGTCTGATCGACGAGCCTTGGTCCCAGAAGGGCAAGTACGCACTGCTCAAGTCGATCGTGGACCGCGAGGGCGCACTCTTCATGTTCACACTGCGCGGCAACTTCCTGCGCGACGTCCTTGTGGCAATGAGCGATCACACCATTTGCAACTCTGCCAAGGGCTTCTTGGAGCAACTGATGGAGGCTTTGAAGAAGGAGGTCAGCAAGAGGATACGCGCTGACAGTCGTCTGCAGGGCGATGTCAAGAAGCAGGACGATGCGATCCAGGAGGAATGCGAGCTATTTTGGTTGGTGCCACTGCTCAATGTGCTGACTGAGGCGGACGACGCTTCATGCGCCAAGATCATCATGTACGGCACGCCAAGCTTCCTCAAGGTATTCCCACAGTCATTGGTCTCGATACTGGACGTGCTCAACAAGGACTCGACAAACAGACAGCTCACCTCTGCCACCCAACATCTTGTGATCGACAACAATGTATCATTGCGCATCTCACTCTCTGTGCTCAACACTGCACGTCAACTTAGCATCCTCGAACTTGGCGAGATACTCAAGAACAACTACAACACAATCAAACGATCACTCTATCATCAAGACGACTCACTCAGGTATGTAGGCATTCAAGGAAGATGGCGCCATTACTAGTTACTGACCATCACAACAAACAAACAAACAGGATGATTGGATTGGAGCTGGTATGTGTCTCACCAAAGAATACCGAGAGACCAACGAGGGTGGAGATCAGACTTCTCAAGAAGTTCTTGTCGCTCGCGCTCAAGTCTTCATCACCATTCATTCGCAATCACACCAACTCAATTTTGGAGAAGTTCTGGTTCAGATTGCGCGAGAGCTATTCAAAGGTGTTCAGGACAACACAGGTCAATAAGAGCAAGGGCTTTGCCGGACTGGCCGGAGAGGCAGCACAAAAGGAGGCCGAACTCTACATGTCCAACGAAGAGTTGTCAGACTTTTTGAACTGGTGCGCATCACTATTCATAGCTTCACTATATCCAGGCGCACCATATCCACGCAAGATGCTACCACTCGATGCATTCAGCAACTTTATCGATGCTTGGAGCGTCGAACAGTTCAGCGAGAAGGTGGCCGTGCTGCCACTGCTCAAGTGGCTACAAGAGCGCTCGACCGTGTTCTCGAGCCAGAACACATTGATCCTGCTTCACAATCTTTGGGACCAGTACGACAGGTGCCGCGAGGTCGCCAGCTCGGTCCTCTTGCGTTTCCCCTCGCCCTTGCCAGGTTTCTCTGAAGAGAGACCAATCCAGGCGTTGGTCATGTGGGGACTCAAACTGGCTTGCAGCCCCAAGGCACGTGAGTGTGATACAGGCGCAATGGTCCTGCGTCTCTACATGGACAAGTATGTCAAGCGTGGCGTGTGTGTCCCAACCTTTGACGTGACCACATCCGATCAACCACCTGTGGTCCTCTCGTCGATGCCTCCCAACGATGCCATCATTCACTTCATTCGCCAGATCACCCGTGTGCTGCGATCACAAGTGTCTGTAGCCAATCACAATCTGTTGGAGGCAGCCAAGTGTGCGCCCATGCACGGACTCATCCTGTCCATTCGTTATCTCTTGGCGTCCAGCGTGGACTTTGCCAAGATGGAGTCACAGCCACAACAAAAGGAGAAGCTGCGTGGCCTTGTAACAGAGCTCGTTGATCTCATGTTTGCCATCTCCACCATCGTCCTTCGCGTGGTGGCTGACTCTGCGCCAGAGGGCTACACGCCCTCACAGGATACGGCGCTTGGCTCATTCATTCCCAAGTCCCTGCCAAGTGGCATACTCTACGACGATGACGAGCGACTGGCATCACGATTCGCCACACTGTCCACAAGCGAGAAGGACAGCACGACGATGGAGGAGCTTCTGGCACAGGTTGGTGGAAGTGGCCCGGGCGACACAGATGACCAAGATGGCGGTGGCGACGAAGCCGACGACTCATTCTTGCCCGAATCATCGGATCAGCTTAAGGGATCAGCCGGTCAGATCATCACCGTTTGCTCATGGCTCTCAATGAAGCAGCTGAGCTTGTGTCTTGGCACCATTCTGGACCGCGTCAAATTCCCCGCTTCGATGGACTCCAAGCCAGAGGACACATTGCTGAGCGTGGAACAGATCAGCGAGATTGGAAAATCATTCGTACACATCCTGTTGAACACGCGACACAAGGGTGCCATTGAGAAGGCCTACCTCGGATTCCAGGTTCTGTGCTCGCGCCTCATGGGCTCTACCCACCCCACTCTCTACGCCCTACCAGCCAGCTGGATCGAGTCTCTGTTCAAGCGCGTCCAAGAGCAGTCACTCAGCATCACACGTCGCTCAGCTGGTCTGCCCTTTGCATTCACCGGTCTGCTCACAGGCGAGTCTACACATCAAAAGAAGATCGCTGGTCCCCTCTTGCAGTCAGTCATCTCACAGCTACTCAAACTGGCCAATGGTGGCGACGACACAGACAACAAGGATATTATTGAGGAGGTTGGAGCAGCCGAGAAGAAGGTGTATCTGCCACAGGTACACTCAATCAACATTCTGCGCAGCATATTCAGGAACAAGACAATGACGAATGAGCTCGATCAACATTTTTCCGAGACTATGATGGCTATCGTGCGCGCATACTCGTCCCCATCGTGGTCCGTTAGGAATGCTGCCACGATGGCCTTTAGCACAATGGTGGACAAGATCGTTGGAGTCAAGAAGGTGCGCGATGAGACCAGTCATCTAAACACCACAACCTTCCATTACTTCTTTGGACACATGCCAGCCCTTCATCCCTTCCTACTCGAGCATTTCGGTCGCTCACTGGACGCCATCAACGCGGCCAAGGGTCAGGCACTGGGCTCGGACCAGATCCTACAATCCAGTATCTACGCCATTCTCGTGCTTTTTGCGCGTCTACAGCCCTCCAACATGTCCAACCCAGCCGACACGCTCTCTCCCACGCCCTTCATCCCCTACATCAGTCAATGCTGCTCGTTCTCCAACTTCATGGTGCGCCAAATCGCTGCCCGCGCTCTTGTCCCATTCATTGCCTCACGTGATGTCCTCCCCTTCATCAGCAACCTCGTTGACTCAATCAAGTCGCCCTCTGAAGCCGCTGGTGACTTTAACATGATACATGGTGTACTGCTACAGATCTATCACTTGCTGCATGCTCACATCCCCAGTGTGCACTCGATCAAGGAGCGCGAGGCAATGGTTGTGGCTGCCGTGCTGGCACTGCGCCCCACACTCTGGATCGTCAACCAACGCATTGTACCTTTGGCCTACGTCATAATCCTCATCTTCAACGACCTCAACACGTACCTGCAGCACATCGACCTGTCTGCCCAGGACGGCCTGGTCACGATCACCCTTCAGGAGATCATCCAGCAGGCACTGCTTGCACTGCGCATGTCACACAAGTCAGCTTGTGATCACAAGGAGTTCAGTCTGCCACTGTTCAGTGCCTATATCAAGGAGGCTGGATACATTGCACTGCACACGATCGACACCATCCTGGTCAAGCAGCCCGAGCCGCCCAGAGACCTCAAGATGACAGTCCAGGAGTCGGCGCAACAGTTGATTTCGATGCTGATGCACTCTGAGTATGAGATACGTTTAGAAACAATCAAGTACCTGTTGCGAAACATTGATGACATTATCAAGTGTGAGGTGGTAGACAGGCTGGCGATCCAAAAGTTGATGCTACACATGTTGGACAGCGAGACCAACCTGCCATGTCGCAAGCGCGCCCTTAGGATACTTCCAAGGCTTGGACTCGATCTGCCCCTGGACGGTGGCAAGCTGCTCGACCTCCTACACAGCATTGTGATGGGCAAGAGTGGAATCAAGAGCGACGCCATCATACTCTTTGGTCACGCCTACAAGCAACTCATCCTCTCCTCAACAGCCACAACGTCGTCTGAGATGAACAACAGATGGTTTGAGATGCTCAAGATGTTCTCCAATTCGGACCAACCTCATGAGCTGCGACTGGCGATCACCGAAGCAATCAATGCTGCCTCGGCCATACTTTCAAAGATTGAGGACAGTCGCGTGGCCATTGAGATGTGGCTGGCACTATCCACACTGCTCGAGGATGATGAGGAGAGCATTCGAGAGATGGCCGCTATCAACACGTGGAAGATACTCAATGCCTCGCGAACCCAGACACAGGCGCAGACTCAAGACTATCACTTCACATGCGATGTCACCAAATCAATGGAGAGCATTCACTCACATCTTGTCAAGACCTTTGCTAATGATGCCTATCTCGTGCAGAGGTACAAAGCTGTGCTGGCCATGGGCGTCTTCCATTTGGACAACATATTCGCCAGCGAGTTCAGGAGCTCTGTCGTCTTGTTTGACAAAGAAGAGGACAACTACTACCACGAAAAGATGGTCACACTACAGATCATCGCTAATCACATGTGCGACATTGTTTCCAACACAACAGAGAACAAGAATGATGATGATTGGACCAAACATCTACTTCTCGAGACCAAGCGCGCAATGCAGTACACCACATGGATCAGAGAGACGAGTGAGGCCAACAAACAATCAGTTTGGAATCATTGGCTAACATACAATCAAGAGGTGTTCCTTCCACTGTACATGTGTCTATGCTCAATCCATGCGATGTTGTCCAACAATACACTGTGCAATCAACACGCCAATCACATTGCCAAGTTCATTCAAGACACTGACACAGTGTTCCAAGCAGTCCCAACACATCCATTGCTCACTGACCTACTCTACAAACTACACACCAAGTTTGTCCAGTCCTCCGCCACATCAACTACTACCACTCCTCCAAGATCCAGCCATTACGATCAATTGAACATGTATTTCCTGACTTCATTGTCCAATAAATAAGACAACCGGTGGTCATGCTCTACCTCTTCTTCTTGTTGTCGTTGTTTGATGATGTTGTTGTGTCTTTTGGTCCTGTGGCATTATCATCCTCTTGAATGAATGGACTCTTCCAATCGATGAACATTGTCTTCAATTGATTGTTGACAATACAACGATCTGTATCCTTCTTTCCAAACAACTTGTAACGATACTGAGCAAACGTAGCATAACAATAGTCTCTAATGAATTGAGGTATATAAATGAATGGATAGAGCATTGGATATGGATACTAGTATGTTTGATTGATTGATTGATTGAGTTAGACAAGTGAGTGAACGAGAGATAGAGAGGGGAGGATGACTTACTTTGAGGTAGTAGAGTACTCTTAGAATGGCGGTTGATTTGAGATAGTAGGTACCAGTCTCCTCTTCGATTAGTACGACAGTTGATAGATCCTTGGGTAGGTGATAGTAGTCTAGTATCTCATGTCCTTTCTCAGTCTGCAGTGCTTGGAAATGGAAGCGTCTCTCTGTATCCCTCTGGCTAATGAATTGAACGACGCCTTCACAGAAGTTGCACACTCCATCAAACAGAAGAATGGAACGAGGTGGACTGGCAGGAGAATAGGATGACGATAACATTATTACTATTATTACTATTGTTTGATTATCTCTATGTATATCTAACAATGAACACATGAAGCACGTGGAGGGACTGCATTATGTTGCTGATGGAGTGGGCTTGGGTGAATGAGAGTGATGGGGTTCGAAGGAGGCCTCGTCAGCACTACTCTCATTCATTCACAATCTGACGCACTTGATCAACTACACATACACTGGCTAGTATACATATCATTACTACAAACTCATGTTGTTGAGGCTGTTGGACCTGCTCATATCACAATAATGTATTGGTTTGTTAATCAAATGTCAAGTGTTGGGTGATTGCATGAACATAAAAGAGACAGAGTTGTCAAGGTTGAAGTCGATGTATAATTAAATACTACTGCTTGTTGGAGGACTGTCAATGGAATGTTATTCCACCTTTGACCCCAACATCATCATGTTTAGTTGTCAACAAAAGTGTTTGAATCTCTCAAAAGTTGGTATTGACGAACACTTTGAATGAAGTACATTCATTTATTCAAACAATTAAACATATATAACATACATAAATATATAAATATATAAATACAAAATGGTTTCACCTCAAGTTATTACTACATTGGCAGAGCTCAATGACTTCCTGACTAGCAACAAGTACGTTGTCTTGAACTTTTGGGCTGATTGGTCAAAGCCATGTGCATCAATGAATGCCATCGTCCAACAACTCTCCACTCAATGTCCAAAGCTTAAGTTTGCCAATGTATGTAGCAAGATGATGATACATATAGAGTTGCATTACTCACTCAATCATTCAATCAATCAACCAATCAATCAATTACAATGATACAAACAGATCGAAGCAGAGAAAGCAACTGAGATATCATTAAAGTATGACATCAAGTCAGTACCATCATACTTCTTTATAAAGGATAAAGCTGTTGTAGAGAGTGTTCTTGGCGCAGACCCATCAGCACTCACAATGAAGTCATTGCAGTTCTCATCAAAGGCCACAGACGTTGTGGTTGACGCACAGGAAGCACCATCTCAAGAGGTACTCGATCGCATCAAGCAACAGGAGGAGAAGGAGAAGGCCAATCTAAAGGAACGTCTACACGCACTGGTCAACAAAGCACCAGTCATGCTCTTTATGAAGGGCACACCCGATGCACCACAATGCGGCTTCAGCAGCAAGACCGTTGCCATTCTCAACAAGGATGGCTTCACATTCGACTCGTTCAACATCCTGTCGGACCCCACCGTTCGTGAGGGTCTGAAGGAGTACTCCAACTGGAAGACCTATCCACAACTCTACATCAATGGCAGTCTAGTCGGTGGCTTTGACATTATCAAGGAGATGCACGAGGAGAATGAGCTCGTCACTCTCAAGCCATAATCAGATACATAGATAGACAAACCTCACTTTGCTCGAACTTCAAGTCATAATACTGGGCTGCTCCAGTGGATCATTAAAGTGATTTGATTTATAACCAGGACAGAACATAGTCCCTTTGTTTTATTACAGGTTGGGTCTTCAAACATGGAGGACAAGATGGCAACATGATTGTGAGAGTGTGTTTGGTTTGATCATGTGACCTAATTTGGGAATGAATGTCAAGGCCCAAGTGGACATGTGGGGTGTGAAAGTCAAGAGAATCAATTTGGTTCCATTCCATTTGAACAAACAAGGTTGTATAAATTAAGATGGACATATGTTTATAAATACAACTCTTTAAATCCTTTCCAAAATATATAATAAACAGATAATTGTATAACAAATAAGATGTTATCCAAAACAATACTAAATAACAAACAATCACTTGTAAATATCAATCACTATTTCAATCATTCGTCCAATCAGTGTTCCAAACTAACTAACTCAAGACATGACAATCAATCTATCAATCATGTAGATTAAAATAACTTCCAGATATTTCAGAACATCATCAATGATTGGAGACCAGGTTGTTATTGTCGCAGCCAATCGCACACCTATTGGTGCACTGGGAGGCACTTTGTCAACTGTTCCTGGACCAAAACTTCAATCATTGTCAATCCAACATGCATTGAATAGTATTGGTCTGGATCCTAAACAAGTGGATGAAGCAATCATTGGTAATGTGATCTCTGCCAATCTTGGACAGGCACCTGCACGTCAAGCAGCATTGGGTGCAGGTCTACCTCATAGTGTAATATGTACAACAGTTAATAAGGTCTGCTCTTCTGGTATGAAGAGTGTGATGTATGGAGCTCAATCAATTCTACTTGGACAATCAAAAGTGATTGTTGCAGGTGGATTCGAGTCCATGTCCAATGTACCCTACTACGTCGACAAACTTAGATATGGTGCCAAGTATGGCAATGTATCAATGATCGATGGACTCGTCCGTGATGGCCTATCAGATGCATATGATGACATTGCAATGGTATGTATGATTCAACTTCATTGATTGTTTTATTGATCACTAACATGGATGTTGACATGTTAGGGAGTATGTGGAGAGGACACTTCAAAGAAGATGAACATTACAAGACAGGAGAATGATGAGTATTGTGTGAGGAGCTACACGAGAGCTATTGAAGCTCAGAAGAATGGAGCGTTTGTGGATGAGATTGTACCTGTACCAGTACCTCAGAAGGGTGGCCCAGACTTGATAGTGAAGGAGGACGAGGAACCAAAGAGAGCAAAGTTTGAGAAGATACCAAACCTCAAACCATCATTCACAAAGGATGGGGTGCTGACACCTGCCAACTCTAGCAAGTTGAATGATGGCGCTGCCACTATCATACTTATGGCAGAGTCCAAGGCCAAGGAACTTGGAATCAAACCATTGGCCAGGATCATTGGTTTCGCCGATGCCGAACGTGCTCCAATCGAGTTCCCCATGGCTCCCGCATTGGCCATCCCCAAGGCACTCGCCAACTCTGGCATCAGCATCGATCAAGTCGACTACTTTGAGATCAATGAAGCATTCTCTTGCGTACCAATTGCCAATGGACAACTGCTCAATATCAACTTGGACAAGGTCAATGTCAATGGAGGTGCAGTGGCACTTGGTCATCCACTTGGTGCATCAGGCGCACGTATCCTCACTACCCTCACACACATTCTCCACAAGAGAGGTGGCAAGATAGGTGTGGCAGGCATCTGCAATGGAGGTGGAGGTGCCTCGGCAATAGTAATCGAAAGACTCTAACAATAAACGATTTGATATATTATATGATACAAGTTATATTACTTTATTCATTCATCATCAGACATGTCTGAGGAGGAAAGTGGAGACGAGCATGTCAGTGGGGAAGATGGCTCCTCGATTACGTGTGTCCTCAGTCTCTTAGTTGGACGTTGTGTGCTTAATCTGCTGGTCGTGGGCGCAGCACTGGTAGATAGTGTTGTTGGAGAGGATGGAACGTGGAGGGCAGTGGAGTTGCTCATCATGGCTGAGGACTTGGCCGAGATATGCTTTAGGTAGTCGGCTTCGTATTTCTTCTTATCGTTTGTTGACAGTCCGTTGATATTGCCAAGTAGGTTGGATACAAATGCTTTAGTCTCATCCAGTATTTGATTCTTTAGTTGTAGAGTACGGTCGACGTAGGTCACTTTGACTGGCTCGCTGATATCAAAGTCCAAGAGGTTACGGTGAACGAATGCGGTGCTGTGTGATATTAATGTTAGTCGCTGATTGATTGATTGGAATGAGTGAGTGAGGAGTTGGTGTACATACCCTGATGGTTGTTGGAAATGTGCGGTTGGTTGGACGGGGAACAGGAAGGTTAATGTAAATAGAACACAGAATACCTAATTGATTGGTTGGGAAGAGGACTTGTATTAGTACCGCGCTCATTGGAGGAGGACAATGGATGAGGTGGAGAGGTCGTTGGATACTTACAAAAAGGGAAACAGTGGCGGCTGTCTTCTTAGAGCCGGCATTGCCTATCGAAAAGACCTTACCAAATGCTTCGGCTAGTGATGGGTTTGACTTGAGGGTTTGGGTTAGAGTGAATAGTTGCTTCTTGAGCTCGCGGTTCTCATCCTTCATGGTGGTGAGCTGGCTCTTGATCGAGGCGTTCTCATTGGCCGAACGCTGGAGCTTGGACTCGATCGACTCGACGTACACCTTGCGACGGGAGCGCGACTGCGAGGCGTACTCGCGGTTCTTGATTAGACGGCGTTGCTTTTTCAGCTCCTTCTCTTGGCTGGGCGACAGGATGTGGTTCTGCTTCAGCTTGGAGACGTACTCCTCGATCTCGCGAGATGTCAGCTTGAGCACCTGATCCTTGTTGAGGATGGTGGCGCCAGACAGGTCGATGACCTCCTCGCGGCCTCTCTTCTTTGAGCACAGTGCCAAGTCGCCATCAGACTCTGGTGAAGAGCTGCTGTCGTCGTTTGACGCTTGATCATCATTCATTGCATTCTCCTGTGGTTCAACAAAGGCTGGTACTGCGCTCTTTAGTTGATTGAAGAAGTAGTCCTTTGAGAATGGCTTGTCGAGCATATCATCATATTCATTGCTGGTGTTGCCAAGATGTTAGTAACAAGTCAATCAATGTCATGGGATACACATACCTGTTGAATGAGTTGCTCTGTTGTTGTTGTTGTGGTTGCTGTTGATGTTGCTGCTGGATTGGAATGGCAACTTGTTGCTGATTGGTCAATTGGAATGGATTGTTCAATGGGACCATGTCGGACTTGGGCGTGTGCTTTTGTACATAGTTGAAGACGACGTTATAGTCTGGTGTGTATGTTGTCTCGATGACTTGAAGAGGAGAGGAGGAGTATTGTTGTTGTTGATGTTGCTGTGGTGACATCTGTTGTTGCTGCTGTTGTTGCTGTGGAGATTGTGGCGACATATATTGGAAGTCTTGAATTGGGCTCGAATGTGAGCTCGATGGCGATGGCGAACAGTACGACGAGGGCACTGCCGATGTTGTGATGGGTGGCTCGCTGGTGAACTGTGGGATTGGGATTGGTATTTCCTGCACTGTCTCTGGGTCGACCGTCACAGTGTTGACGGGGACGCCCATGCTGAGGTTGAGGTAGTAGGTGGGGCTTGTAGTGCCGTCGTTGTTTAGCATTGGGATTGGCGAATTGGAGTGTGATCCGCCAGTGTTGTACATTGTGAACGATGGTGGCTGATTAAAGCCCATCGATGTCTTTGTGCTGCCAGCCTGTGATGTCAAGCCACCATTTGCATTTGTTGTGAATGCGTCAAACATGTCCAATGACTTGTTTAACATATTATTATAATTATTATTATTTATATTATTGTTATTATTATTGGCAACAATTAAATTGCCTGTAATATCTTTATCTCCAACTGACAGATAATTGTACCAAATATCATTGGATGATCCAGTGATTGTATTATTGAATACTTCTGTCATTGTTTGTTTGTTGTGTATGTATATATGTTGTTTGTTTGTTTGTTTGTATTATAATAATAATTTATTAAGGGATCTCTTTATTGGTAATAGGTATATATTATTATTATTATTAATTAATTAATGAATGAATGAGAGACAAGACGCTCAATCAAAAGAGATAGTGAGGATGTGTGCGTATTTGTTTGAGAAAATTTGAAATAAATGAGATGCAGACGTAGCTTGAGAGGATTTGAGGTGAGTGACCACGTTGCACAATGACTCACGCCATCAAATTTTCAATAGACCCCTTCACCTCCTCCTTCGCTCCCCCAACTCACTAACTCACCTTCAATTCCTTGACGTTCATTTTTAGAAAATCAGGATGCAGCCCTGGTATTAGGTATCTTTAGCCAAAAGAGTGATCTGGGTGGGGACATGGATGTGTGTGAATCTAATCCAAACAATTCCCCGACACGTCCAAGTTCCATGATGATAATACAAAAGGTTGCTGTTGTTGATCTTGATGTCGATCGTCAAATCACATGTGAGGGAACCTGGTTTGTTCTACGATGGAGATCACAAGCCCGGGCAAGAGCCTTGTTGGTTGTGTGACTTTGGATAAGGGGCTTCCATAGTTAACGCTCAACGTGGCTAAAGAGACACACGTGGTTTGATGAACGAATGAATGAATGAGTGAATGAGTGAATGAATAAGTGATGGAATTAGCCAATGCCATGTGCGATCGTGATCGTTGTTAAATGACAATGTCCGGTCGAATGACTGAATGAATTGACCTTGGAAGAGAATGTACTTTACTCCAACTCGAGGAGGTCCAACAGAACTATCTTCTGTTGTGCCTTCTTTAGATATGGCATCAATGTCTGGAAGAATATATCATTGCCAATAGTACTAAATACCAATGATCGTGTGGTAATGTTTGGTTGTTGTTGTTGTTGTTGTTTGTGATGTAGATTATCTCCATTGATCATACTATATTAATTACCATTGTTGTTATGTTAGTCATATGATTGATGCCGTTATGTGTGAAGGTAGAGGAGGATACATACGTCTTTAACAATGATGGTATCTTCAAGAATGATGCCAATAGTATACGAGCAAGACTGATGACATCACTCTTGAATGCATACTTTTGTTCATTCTTTAGTAATGTCAGTATGAGATTGACATCAGATGATTGTACTTCATTGATTGATGGATGCTCTTGTATGTTGGACTTTAAATACTTGTAATACTTCTCCAAAATTGGTATGACTGCCAAGAACTCCTCTGTGATTGATTGATGGATGAGTTAGACATGGCCATGTGCGTTCAAGTCCACATCCTACTCACTCTCTATTTGTAAGTTTGGTTTGATTCCACTCGATATCCAGACCTTGGTAGTTGTTATATCCTTGGATACCATGATTGGAGATATTCCATAATAATTACATATTGAATGGTCCGCTCGAGCATTGATCAACAACTGTAACAGTTGTACCTTGCCCTCCTCTGATGCTTGCTAAACAAGTTGGATTGATTGATTGGGTGAGTGAGTAAGTGATTGATTATTGAATGAATGATTGATTGAGCTTACGTAGATGGATGTGTTTCCATTGTGATATCTCCTGTCCAACACTTTCTTCTTGATGCCATGCAAGGCCTCCTTGGTGGAGGCATAGTCGTTGAACTTGACGTACTTCCAGAGGTTGGTGGTCCTCAGCTTGACACCTCTGGGTATCTTCTCGATTGACAGGGCATGGTGGAGTGTGACCATCTTCAATGTCTCTTGATTGTTTGTGATTATTTGTTCGACGGCCTCGCCGACCACCGAACTAAAGAAGTTGGAGCAGTAGCAATCAATGTTGAGCTTCCTCAATCCAGCCGGCAGCTTATCTGTGCACTTCATAAACAATCTATTCAACAACATATGGCTGCAACTGGTGATGGTGGGGTAGAGTTAGAATGAGTATGACCATGGTGATGTTCCAGTATCCATGGACATACGCTATGTTGAGGTTTGTGATACCGCGGTGGTTGAGAATGCAGTCAAGGATGTAGAATGAGTAGTTGGATTGTGATACGTTCAACTTGCGAAGTTGTTTCAGTTTGAGCACTTCGACAATGTCGTCGTCGGACAGTGGACATCTGCACATGGACACTGATTGGAGTTGTGTGCAATTGTTGACAATGGTCTTGATTGAGCTGTGTGAGACGTAGTTGCAGAATGACAGATCCAACTTGACCACCAAATGTCCATAAGACTTGATCGTTGTGTTTAGACACAACTCTGATATGATCACATTGTTGAAGCTCAACACTCTCCAGAATGTACAATATCGAATGAACTCATTGAAGAACCTAGGTTGTTGATTGGTTGATGTTAGTTGGCGCGCCATCAGCTGACACGACACGGCATGACATACCTTGACACGAATGAGATGCGGAGTATTTCCAGGACATCGAGATCAAGGAGGATCTTGCTGATGATCTCATTGGGAAGGTCGAGTAGGGAGGTATGTAATGACATGTTACGGACGTTGTTGAGACTGGACATGTCGAGGAGGTCGGATGACCGTTGTTTTGTGAGGCCAGTCTTCCTTATTCTTTTCTTTGCTCTGGATTTGGCCAGCATTCCAACACGCACGACATCTGGATTATCATCTTGACTATCATCACTATCGTCTTCCATCAGAAACTCCAATGGATTGTCATCCTCATCCTCATCAGATGAGCTTAACTTTCTTTTGTGACTGTCGCCCATCATTGATGAAACATTTGTCGCGGTCGAGGTGGTTGTAGTTGTAGTCCTAGTCATGGCCCTAGCCATGATTGTGTCTTGATTGTGTTGGTGATTGGACACTGATGATGATGATGTAGGTTCGGTCAACTCCACATCCAAGTCTGTCATGATCCTATTGATCCACTTTCTATTTAACTCCATCGGGAACAACTTCTTATTCACCCAGATATCCAATAACTTAATGAACTTTGTCTATTATTTGATTGATTACCAGGATTAATGAATGATTGGAGTTCCATTCCATCTAACACTTCCATATAACATACACAATAATCCTGGGGAATAGTCTCCAATATCTTTTTCTCATTGGCAAGTAATACATTTGTCAACTCACCTTCCATCATCGTGTATCTATGTAAAGAATGAGGAGATGTGTGGTCAGCATCCTTGTGTCCATCACTCACTCATTCAATAAATCATCAATGTATCATACATTTGTGTCTGTGGAGAATGCCTCAGATCTCTCATTATGGCATCGATCGCATATAGAGAGTTGAGTATATGTTCTGGATTGCAATGTCTCAGACACTCATTCACTGAGCCAATATAGTAATTCACATACTGCATACAATGATATGAAGTGAGTGAGTGATCTCTGAATGTTATATTGATCCATCATTTGGACATTCACATCTGTCATGATTGTCTTGACTTACAGATGTACTCTTCTCAATATGTGATCTTAATGAAAGTGCCAAACTCTTCAATCTTGAAGTAGGCATTGATGCCACACGGACCAATGATTCCAATTCATGTTTCCAAGACATTCCTCATCGTATCCAATATAAGTATATAAGTAAGTAGTAAGTGTAAGTATGTGTAAGTGTGAGTTGTATAAGTGAGTAAGTAAGTGTAGTGTGTGTGTATCTGTTTGTTGGTGTTCATTGAATGGGAAATTGAAAGGGGAAAGTGGTTCGCAAAGGACACACACACACACATGCTACAAAGTTGGAAATAGTCCATTTCGAAGCAAACAAACTCCAGCACTTTGACAATACAAGTTGCCAACTGGAGGTTGAATGACTGAAGGATGGATGGACAAGGAAGGATGGACAGGAAGGAAGAAAGAAGAAGGACAACCAGAGAGGATGGTATTCAAAGGTTTATTAATTTAGACACACACACTCTTCTTTGGACAAAGGGAGTTACTTCTAAAGTTGGAGGAAGGCTCGCGCGTTTAAGCGTTCAACTCACGAAGACGACGGATGGTAGATCTGACGGTGGCACCAGCGGCAGTGCTCATGGTCCAGGCACCTCCAGCCAAAGTCTTTCTGCATCCACTGCAGCTCCAGATACCAACGGAAGCTCTTCTGACAGCATCCTGTTTTAGTTTGATTTGATTGATGATTGGTGTTGATTAAGATGTGTTAGAGTTATGCCATTGGTGATGGGGAGGCCAGTTGTGTCATCATATGTGATGATCGCGATCTTTACCTTTCCACAGAAAGAGCAGGTGTAGGTGGCGTGTTGGGTAATCTCCATCTTCTTAACCTGCTTTCTCAAAGAGGCACCGTATCTCGTACCGTACTTTCCAACAATTCCGACTTTCTTGGTTCTCTTGGCCTATTGTTTGATGTTATAACATGATATGAATTGATTAGCCAATGTATCCTTTACATCTTCACTCTGTCATCTGTCTGCTGTTCGTATCGTGCGCGCGAGATATATCCCAATCCATCCATCACATATCCAACATGTATGAATGTCGCATCCTATCCTTAATCCAATCCTAATCCTATCGATTGAGTCTGATGACAATCTAGTTGACCTGAATCATACCATTGTGTGATGAGTTGTGTGTATTAACCTAAGCTGTGAAGAAGAATACTACTTGTTGGAGTGTCTTTCATCAATCCACACTTGCTCGCACACAGCGAGGCGAGACCACCATTCGCGAGTGGATACCTCAGTCCAGCTCACACCATCCTCGCAAAACGTAACCTCAAATTGAAAAAATAAAATAAAATAAAGTTTGGTGTTTGAAACGAAGTTCGTCATTTACATCCATCAATCCTGGATAATTGATCAACGTTCTTTGGAACTGGATATTGTTTAATTATAACACTAACCCAAATGGGTAGGTATGGTGTTTTTCATCATTAATGATTGATTGATTGAGTGAATGACAATAGTCATGTGCATTGATTGATGTTGCCAGGAGGATGGACTAGTGTGATGGCTTCTTCGTTGGCTGATTGGAGGATGATGATATCTTCCTCTTGCTGCCAACCTCTGCCTCGTCTTCGTCACTGTCATCTCCAATTTCCTCGCCAGGCTTGACACCGGCATCTCGCAGCGCCTTGTAGTGTGCCACCAGCTTGTCCTCATCGCCATAGTCATCGACGTATTCTTCCTCTTCCTCCTCTTCGTAGATGGAGTCTTCGTCCTCTTCCTCCTCGTCGCTGCTCTCCTCCGAGGGCACGTAGTCCTGATCCGAGTCCTCATTGGACGACTCATCAGAGTCCTGTGCAGGTCGCTTCTTCTTGCTGGATGATGATGGTGCAGTTGATGTTGTAGTTGTTGTCGATGATGTAGATGTTGTAGTTGTTGATGATGTTGATGTGGTTGTTGTTGGGACATGTACATGGTCCTCTGCTGATTCGTCGCCCTCCTCTTCTTCTTCTTCTTCCTCCTCTTCCTCTTCGTCCTCTTCATCCTCATCATCCTCTTCTTGTTGTCCACCATTTGTACCATGTCCATTTGTAGTTGGGTTCTCATCATCCTCTTCCTCCTCATCATCATCTATGATATCATCAAATTCTCCTTCATCCTCTTGATCATCATCATCGATATCCTCCTCATCGTCATCCTCCATGTCTACTTCTTGTCCATGTCTGTATTTGTGATTGATTGATTAGATTGATTGTTAGAGTCACGTATACATGTCTGAAGTCATCCAAAGGATGATGATGACCATACTTATTGAATCCATCCAATACTATCAAAGATGGTATCAACTTGAATATGTTCTTTGAGTAGTTTGGCAATATAGTGACTGGACATCCAAACAAGTCCAAGTATCTCAACTTCTTTAGATGACTCTGTTGTAGTAGTGCATGCATTAGTACACTCATTCAATCGTCATCCCACATGTATCCAAGCTGTTCATCATACCAAAGGTTCCAAGTCCTCATGTGTCTTTATCAGATTGCCACTTAGACTAAGTGATTCCAATGCTACACAATTCTCCAACACCTTCAATCCAGTTGATATTTTATTGTCATTTAGTTCAAGCTAATGTATATCGAATGAATGAATGTTAGTGATGTGATATACATTATGATTGATTGATTGAATGAATGAATGTACCTTCTTTAACTTTGGTAATGTAGGTAGTGTATCGATTGACTGTAGGAAACAGTTGTTGAGTGATAGTATCTCCAACTGTTGACAGGGTGCTAGCTCTGCAAGACTCTGAATTCGTTTTAGATCAAACGCCAACTGTTGTATGTCCTTTGGGTCTCTACTTCCAATCTTTGCTTGAATAACACTTTCCATATTTCTTATTATCACTCTGCTCTATCTAACTATATATAACAATCAATCAAATATCAATAATATATTTTCTATCTATCTATCTTTTCAAAAGTATATGTATATGTTCAAAGCATGCTGATAACTTAACGATTGGTGTGTGTGAGCAACTTGATGAACTTGTGTGTTCTTTCATTTGTGTTTGAACTCCCAAAAAGGGTTCATAATCTCCAACATTTTGAAAAAAGAGCGGGATAAACAAGAGCAGACAGATAACATATCTTGATTCAAGATGTATCCAATCATTTAATGATGATGATGGTATGGTAATACCCCAACATGTACTCTTAGCATTTATTACATTCAATGATAAATTTGATTGATCTCAATTAAAAGTTTAGGCCTTTGATCAAAGGCCAGTAATGGGAAAATCAATTCCATAGCCAATTTTGTATACAACGTTGTATACAACACCATTGTTATAACTTATACAAACAAACAAATAAATAAACGTACATACACACACACATCTTTGAACAACACACTGACATTAGATGGTTCGACAACGCAGCAAAGCAGGGTGACGAGGCACTCACACATCTCTAGCCAAGTTGTGCGTTTTTCTGAAAACCAACCAAACCAGGAGTGGAGCACTCAATCTCCTTTTCATACTCACATCTAACCAACCCAACTCAATTAAACAATCCCTTCATTATCTCTATCTATCTATCTATCTATCTCTCTATATATTATTTATTTAAAGGATAACAAAACATAATAATGAATACAAACAACTCTGCATTAAAGAGGATTATGCGTGAGACTCAGGAGATCAAGCAGGATTCCTCACCAGATTACACGGCATTCCCACTTGAGGATAATATGTTTGAATGGCACTTTACAATTAGAGGTGCACAGGATACAGAGTTTGAAGGTGGCATCTATCATGGCAGGATATTACTGCCGCCAGACTATCCCTTCAAGCCACCCAACATTGTCTTATTAACTGTGAGTACCTCATATAGTTGATATGATATTGAATGAATACTAACTTATAAGCATATGCACAGCCCAATGGAAGATTTAGCGTTGATGTAAAGATATGTTTGTCAATCTCAGCTCATCATCCAGAGACATGGATGCCATCTTGGAGCAGTATGTATATGAATGGTCATCATTGGTATCGATATACATCACTAACTCATTCATCAATTAACCGATCAATAGTTCGTACAGTGTTGGTTGCTCTCATTGGCTTTATGATGACAGAGGGCAAGGGTGCCGTGGGCTCACTCGACTATACAAAGGAGGAGAGAATAGTGTTGGCAAAGAGGAGCTTGGATTGGAAGTGCGCAAAGTGTGGCGTTCACAATAGGACTGCATTGCCAAATGTACAGCCTACTTCAAATCAATCAAATACCAATGCAACAACATCAACAACTACTACGACAACTACAACTTCAACAACGGCAACAGCGACACCAGCAGCAGCAAGTCATCTTATACCAACAGAGGATAAGATAACAGACGAGGATGACCCAAGCATGGACGGCACTCAACATGCCCATGTTCATTCACCCGACACTCACGTAGATACAGCGCACCCTTCATCATCCTCATCATCATTACATACACAAGTAGAACCAACAACTACATCTACAACAACTTCAACAACATCAATAGAGTCCAACCCAGAGCAACAGCAGCAACAGGCGACGCTTGTACATAGAACTAATGCTGTTGCCCATGACGAAGATGTCGTTGTTGCTGAGGCACAAGTCCAGGGAGCACCTGACCAGGCGGCAGCGGTGGCGGCAGCAGTCGTTGTCGAGACAAAGCCAAACGTAGTGAGGCCACCACCCACCAGGATCACATCGATCACCAGACAGTCCACAGCATTCATTGACACTGCGATCGTGGTACTATTCCTACTCATCTCGTATCTCGTCTACAAGAGGGTGGCCACTGTAACATCCGAATAAATAACATGTACCTGTACCAAATACATCATCTTGATCGTTTGTCGTTCGTCTCTTTCATATATATATATATCATCATCATCATCATTGATCGTCGGAATGATGATGATGTTGATTGATTGATTACTTTATTATTGGTCATACATCTCTGCACTCTTTTGCATGGCCTCTTGTACTCTCTTCTTCTCCTGCACTGCCTTCTTCTTCTTGTCCTCCTCTCTGTTTTGTTGATCCTTCAGCTTGTTGACCTCTTTGTCCTTGTCTGACTGAGCCTTCAACAATAGCTCCTGCTCATTGCGCTTGCGCTGTGCCTCCAGTGTCTTTTGCAGGTAGGCGTTGGCCTGATTCATGAGGTCGTCCGTCAGCTCGTTGCGCTTATGATCGTCGACAAATGAGAACTTGAACAGATTGTTCAGGTCCTTGCCCAGCTTGGGGCTGTATTGCTTGTGCGCTGATCTGGCCACGCGATTAGTTGTCACCAGAATGTCCATATGTGTCTTGAAGTGATGTGTGCTGGCGTAGAGATGTGAGTCCTTGACCAGCTCCCACAATGTGGACCTTGTCATTGGTCCCTGTGTCTTTAGTGCTGACAGAATCAATGAGTATCCGTTATAGTTCATTCTGTATCTGTATGTATGTATGTATGTTATATCTCTGTTGTTGATTGTATTTATGTGTCAAAGTTGGGATGTTTGATTGTTTCGTCTTCGTCCCTTTTTTCTTTTTTTCAAACTTCTTGCTTGGACTTGGAAGACCAACAAAGAGATAACAAGTGTAAACAACATCATCAATGTTAATAGATGGAGTCCAAAGTAAAGTAACACAAGTCCAAGGACCAACACACCTGGCCAGCCAAGTAGGATTACAAGGTTTTGTTATTTGTATGATTGTATGGATGGATGATGGACGTGGCTGATGACACATCACATCCAATCAATCGATCAATCAATCAATCAATCAATCAATCAACAATCTCCACAAAGCCAGTGAATGTTATGTGCGTATATATATATTACAGATGATGATCGTCCAATCACTCCACTCCAGACCAGCTAGAATGGAGTAGTACTTGAGCCATCCAGACAGACTGAGGCTCAGTTGAACTCTTCCTGGCTGCTGATATCGGCAATTGGATGATCGACTAAAAGGTCGTAGAGGTCTTCAGGTAGCTGTCGAACAATGTGAATGGACAAGTTGATCATGGTTTCGGCTTCGAGATCTGGAAGTGAACGGAATTGAGAGCATGGTGATGGATCCGCAAGCAATGAGTCACGCATCAGTAGTAGTCGCGACACTGTTCCAATCACATTCATATGCACACCAAATGCCAGATAGAAGTCCCACAGCTTGAGTATCTCTCCAAGTGGAGGTGTACTTGCTCCAAGACTGATGATGGCTGTTGTTGTTGTTGTCGTTGTGTTAGTGATGGTCCATTATTCTTTCATTGATTGATCAATCAATCATACATACCATGTGTTAACAACTGTGGATCATAGTTCTTTGATGATACCAGGTATCCATAAAGCTCTGGATCAACAAACTCAAGGATTGTATCCAGTATCTGTTGTTTGATTGAGTTAGTGAGTGTGTGACATTGATTGAATGATTGAGTGCGACTTACATTGAGCGCAGAGAGTACGCCACTGATCTTGGGCAAACAGTATCGATGACAGTACTGCAGGATCATTGTGGAGAAACAATAGAAGGCATCGAGCTCGGGAAGTACATAGAGGAATGCCCCACTGAGGAGGTTCATACCCTGCACATAGCCAAGGCTCTGTTTGAGATCGGCCTGCTTGAGATCAGAGGTCAGATGAATGAATGCATTGAGACAGCGCGATAGCTTATCCTGCTGTACAGCCTGTGAGAACTGATCGTCGCCCTTGAACGTCCTGCTCGTGTCCTTTCTAATCTTCTCGTATTGCTCTGATGGACCTCTCTTGACCAATTCAATGTACTTCTCAGCGTCGCAGTCCTTAACACCAAGCAATATCTTCCATATCAGACCTCGCAGACTACACTTTGGGCTACCCTTTCTCCTATCCTCTTTCTCCTCCTAATGTGATTGATCATTGTTGGTTAGTCATCACGCATGCATTGATCAATGCAGACATGTCATACCTCAGTGTCATCGGGCAATCCCTCGAGTAATATAGTCTTTCTAAGTTGATATAGGTTCTGTTGCGTTGTTTGAGGATGTTGATTGCCGTACTCTATCAGGTCGAGGTACTTCTTGCGCAGCAATTGGTTATGTGTTGGTGTCAGTGTCGAAGCCACAACTGTTGAGCCGACTGATGCTGAGCCACTGCCTCCTGTCATGCCCGATCCCGACTGTGATGACATTGATATCGATAGTTTATCTTTAAGTTTAGACATAATTGTGTATCTTGTATCTGTATCTGTGTGAATGATTGTTTGTTTGAATGAATGACTGATTGTGAGTGTGGTTTGATCTCAGATCAATCAATTGTTTTCCCATAAACAAAGTGTCGTTTATTCATTCATGTGTCGGCTTAGTTATGGATGTATAACATCCTATATTGTCCATGATATTGATCAAGACCATGCCTGAATTGGCTCATGACATTGAACGGTCTATGTTTACCAGATCGTCTGGACAATGGCCATGTGGACGTCCATGTGTACATGTTTGGGGATCACGTGAAGTGGCTAACTTGAGAGTGAGCCGGTATGGAATGATCACGGCAGTGCCTGACATTGCTGGATAACATATTGTTCCAGTCGGTTGGCAATGTGGAAGTAGGCGCCCTCGGTATTGTACAGTCGACAGTTCTCGCACATCCTTTTGAGGTCGGCCAGGAACATGTACTTGGTGATGTAGTAGCAGCCTGTGGCCAGACGCTCGGCAACCTTGCTCAGGTCGACAGGGTCCTTGATGACGTTGGAGTAGTTGGGCGCGATCTCGTCCGTCACTGGCGTGAGGAAGGGCCATGACTCGGGGTGCGACTTGACCTCGTCCAGTATGCGCTGTAGCTCCTTGTGCAGCGCCTGGATCTGCTGCTCGGTCTGTGTCTGCACCCAGCCCGCCTGTTTGATGCCGGGGATGTCGCCAATGGCCAATCGCCGACCCTGCTGGAAGTGCTTGAGGCCGGGATGCACGACGTGCGACGTGCTAATCGTGCGTATCTTTTTGTTGAGAACCTCGCGCTGCTCGCGCACCAACGAGGAGATGTCGAGGTAGGGCACGTTGGGATGCACGACGCACTCCATCAGCGAGCCTCCGTCGTACTCTTGAATGAAGCCCTTCCACTTGTCGCGCGCCAATGTGATCTCATGCGTGAATCCCTGCTTCTGGAAGTACTCGATGGCAAAGTTGTCGGCGAATGTCAAGAAGTGATATATGCCCGTCTTGCGATTGTGCTCCTTGAGATGTGTCATCAGGTAGGAGCCGTAGCCCTTGACCTGTTCGTTGGACGTGATGGCGCAGAAGGCAATCTCGATGAAGCCCTGCTCGCGGAACGGCCTGAAACTGATGCCACCAATGACCACATCACGCTTGATGATGAGCAATGAGTGATGAAAGCGATCGAATATCAGACGGACTATATACTCGCGAGGCATCTTTGGCAATTGTTTTGAGAACACATTCTTCAAGTTCATCAACAACTCCAAGTTCCTCACTGAGCTGTCATTCGTGATCACCTCGAACCTCAATATACCCAATTGTTTCTCCTTGATCGCTGTCAAATCACTTCGTTGATATTCTTGTAGACCTGTCTGTTTGATTGATTGATCGAATGAATGAGTGATTGAGTGAGTGAGATGCAAGCATGTGTTGTGTCATTCGACTCGGACTTACCTCTGGCCCCAGTAAAGGTTGGTTTGTTGTAACAGGGTTGACAATGGGAACATGATACTGCGCACCATTTGAACCGCCTTGTTGTTGTTTGGTTGGTGTTGAACGTTGTTGTTGTTGCTGTTGCTGCTGTTGTTGATTAATGACACTGTCTGTAGCATTGTTTAGTGAGTCATCGATGCCATTCTCATCGACTGATCCATTCTGAAAGAAGTTGTTCAAGTCACTTGATTGATTCATCATCTTTCATCGGCCTATCTATATCTGTTATATATATATATATATTTGTATGTAGTTATATAATACCTCTCTGAAAGTGTGTAAATGAATGCTTGAATTAATAAATGAACTTGAAACTAACTTTGGGCGGGCTAATCTAGATTAAAAACCACATAACTCCGAGTGTAACTTGGAAGTCAATCAATCACTTACTAGTTATATTGATGTACTACCAAATATGTTTGTAAGTCATTATGGCTGGGTTCAAGAGATATTGAGCCATCTAAAGCTATTGAACCCTGAGTGCAATCACTTTTGCAATCACTTTGACCATGATCAGAGTATCCTAGTACATTGGCACTCACCATAGAATACTGAGGCAATTACTTTGACAAATACCAATGTATACTTTGGTCATTACATTGAACCAAGAAACAAAGTCGATTAGTTTGTCCAACTGACTTTGTGGTAAATGAAGAAATTGCAATTGTTTCAAATATCCTTTTTGTGGGCATCTTGAGGCTTCACGACAATCGAGCAATGTGCCACATTTCTCATTCCCACTGATTCATCATCAACTATTCTTATACTTTATACTTATACTTACTTATATTTATATGTATTAATATTTAGTTGTTGAGTAACAACAACAATGGGTAGAAGTCAATATAATAATAGACATAGAGGAGGTGGAGGTAGTAGATTCTCAAAGATCAACTACCTCAATGTCACATTGTTCACCTCACTGGCTGTACTCTTCCTTCTAAACATGGTGTCTCTAGTACTCGGTATGTTACACATACTGTCTCTCTATGCTATCATCATAGTCATACATACTAACATACAATCAAACAAACATACACGAATACAGAGACAAAGGAAGAGTTCCAGGTAAAGCGAGTACTTAGTTTATTGTATAAAGAGTATTATGATACTAGTATATCGGATTCTTTGTCATCGATACATACTCAACTACATATAGTAATGATAAGTTCAATCTTTATAATGGTTCTATTGTGCGTGGCATTCGTTGCCATCTCATTAATGCTCGTGGTCACACCAGCTCCCAAAGACGAGGCCCCAGACAACCTCGCTCATACAGCCACCTCCACTCCACTCTCTTCATCTGCATCACTGGAGAAGGTATGTTAACGATCGCTCGTTACGTTACATTGCGTGCATGACATTTACACAACATGCCAATCAATCTAGTCTTCAATTGTGCTCGAAGGACCTATGTACGAACCTTGGAACATTGTCACGATTGAGAAGATATCATCAACCTCTGATGAGGACCCATATGAGAAGATCAGGAGTACATACTATCGTTATGGAATCACTGCTGGTCGACAGATATATGAGCGATTCTCAAAGCAGTTGACTGCAGAGCAGAACAAAGAGATCTGTTGGATGCTTGGACAGAGCAATGGCTAACCTCTCAGCACTAGACAAGATAGATCAACTGTACATTCAAACATATATACTACAACTACAACAAAATAGTCAGTCGAGGAATAGAGATTGAGGGACAATCAGCAGCATCATCACTCACTCAAGTCGACTGAGTGCATGTCTGTTGACACATCCTCCTCCTCCTCATCGCGACTAGTGTGTAGCCCTGGCCACACCCTGGACAGACGATTAACAACAGTCAGTCAGGTAACCTCAACAAGCAGGGCAACAACAACAAAGATTAAACCTTTGTGATATTGATGATACTATTGTTCAGGTTTATTGTTGGACAACTCAACCAACCAACTTCTTAGACGTACTTGTGGATCTTGTCAGAGGGCTCGACATACTTGGTGACGTTGTCAACATCGTTCCACCATGGCTGGAGGTGATTCTGGGCGATCAGTCTGAACCATGGGGTCAACTTGATCTCGCCTCTGTCCTCAGCGGCAAACATCTCCTTCAACTCATCCTGTGACACGTACTTGTAGTCCATCACCTCGTTTGGCTCTGGCTTAACATTGACATTGCGTTTGATCACCAGAATATGATCGACTAAAGGTAGAGAATATCAATGTAAGTCTCGTGTCCTAGACAACAACATCCAATTAAGTATACATACTCTCATGCTCTCCCCATTGAGGGTCCTCGACGGATGGTGAGACATAGTGGATCTTGGTCATGAAGGTGAAGGCATCGATGGGTGCCTCCTCGAATGGTACACCAAGCTCGTGTAGAAGCTTGCGTTGGGCGGCGACACGCACTCCACGGGCATCCTTCTCGACCAGTTCATTCTCGAGCCAGAGGGGATGCGAGCAGACCGTGTTGGTCCAGTAGCCGGGGAAGGTGATCTTCTCGAGCGCACGACGCTGCAGCAGCAGCTTGTTCTCAGTGTTGAACAAGAAGATGCTGAATGCGCGATGCAGCAGACCCTGGTTGATGTTCTCCATCAAGTGGCACTCCTTCTTGGAGCCGGGGCGGATTGGTGTGTCGTTGTTGTCCACAACGATGCACTCCTCCTTCATCAATTGTATCTGTGTCTCATTGTGACCCTTGTATATATTATCTGTGGCGTTCATCCTAATTTGATGTTGTAGTTGTGTAGTAGTTGATTGTGCAAAGAGATGTGTTGATCGTGATCGTGATTGTGATTGTGATGGTCTAAGATTGATTGATTGTTTCGAGTTTGAATGAAGCAGAAGTCGAAGAGTCTGACGCTGATGAACTTGTTGCTCTATTCTTATCTGTTGTGCAATAGAACCTCTAATACTTGTTGATAAGCTTGAAAACATTTAAAGTTGATTCTTTGTCTTTCTGTTTGTGTGTGTGTGTGTTGATCAGAATCGGGTGTGTGAGAGTGTGTGACAATGATCAATCAAAGTCGTTTTGAAGACCACTCACACTTTCTAATTATCTTGTTAACAAAGTAGTTGTAATCAATACATCATCAATCAATCACTCACCCAAACAATCAATCAATAATCAGTAATACATCACTAAATAACTTCAAAGAATAATGATGACCTGTCATCATCTAAAAATGGATTGTCGTTTTATCCCTTGATACTGATGGAGAATGATATTTCCAACATATGTCGACTCGTCTACTTCTAGAAATTAGTGAGATGGCCCCAAGCCTCAAGGTCCTTGGTGATCTGTTGTGCCTTGGCATTGATGGCTGCATGAGCATCGGCTCCAACATAGACGTGTACTGGTAGTTCTCCTTGATACTCGACAACCTTAAGGAATACGTTGGCCAGCTTGCTGGTGTCACCATTTAGTACGGCCTCTGGATTCTGGACTGCCATGTCAAAGCCTGCCATAAGCTCCTTGTATACGGTGTTCTCGGGATTGGCCACTTGGATCTTGGATGAATTGAGGAAGTCCGACTTGAACGCGCCAGGGTTGATCGTCAGCACCTTCACTCCAAATGGCTTCAACTCCTGACACAAGGCGTCGGTGGCCATGTTCAGCGCACTCTTGGTGGCACAGTAGCTTGCCATCGCGGGGAAGTAGACCAACGCGCCCATGGACGACACATTCATGATGTATCCACTGTGTTGTGCACGCATCAATGGCGCCACCAAACGGATCACTCTAAGTGGTGCGTAGAAGTTGATCTCAAAGTTCTTTTGGATGTCACTGTCGGTCAAATCCTCAACGGCACCAACTTGTCCATAACCAGCATTGTTGACCAATACGTCGATGGTGCCAAACTTGGCAGTGGTGGCAGTTATCGATTGTTGGATGCTTGCCTCACTTGTGAGGTCGACCTCCAATGCGAGGAAGTTTTGGTTATCAACACCAAACACATCATCCAATGATTGCTTATTGCGAGATGTTCCGGCCACTCTTGCGCCAGATGTCAAGAGCAACTGTACCAAAGCCTTTCCAATACCATTTGAGCAGCCAGTCACATACCAAACTTTATCAGCCATGATTGTTATTTAGTTATAATGTAATGATGATATGATGTTTGATTGATTGATGAATGATTCATCAACATCGATGTTGGATATTTATACTTCAATGTCTAGATATGAGAGACCTCAATGAATTTTCCAAGGGCCTCTCTTTTTCTCCATTAGCATCTGTTTGTGCTTGGCTGGAAGAATGTCCGATCGACTCACTCTAGCCCAATTTCAAAGTTGTACAAGGGTTGGTTAGAGCGAAGCGTCACAACATATTTTTAGAATGGAATTAATGATGGGGTACTAGTATCAGATGATGATGATTCCAATCGATTGATTGCCCTGGAGCCCAATGTTCAAGTCAAAGTGTCATAGAATAGGGTATCCTGTAGATCTCTCGGATTACCAACATAGGTATTTTTACTGTAATTATTTATATAATAGAACTTCATCCTAGATCAATTGAATTCTTTCGTTTCATTTTATAATCTTATTTGTTGTAAAAGATAATTATTAATAGTAATAGTAATAAGTATAACTAATAACTAATAATACTACTTAAGTATTCGGCTAATGAGGGAAAGATATTCATAATGTCTTGTTGTTCCGAGAGTGTGTTGCGAGAGTGACTCTTGCCAAAGAGTGACCACATCTGCAACATCGTCTAATGTTGTTTGTGGGGGGAGTAGTAGTGTGGGGGTGAGTGTTCATCAACTTCGTGTTCATTCATTCGGCTCCTTGCATAGATGAATCATCAACATCATCTTCATCATTAATATATTTATACAATACATACATTCAAGACTAGAAAGCTATATTATATATATATATATATAGTTAGTTATTTCATTATTAAGTCAGTGAAGAGATAGAATGGATGCCAAGAGATTGAGGTGGGAACAAGCTGGACAGGGTCAGGTGTTCAAATGGTTTGATAAGTTGACCGGTGATCAAAAGAAACAGTTGGAGGATGATATCAATGAGATTGATGTAGATCAGATTAACAACATATATAAGAAGTTACTTGAGGATAAAGGTATACACTACACTCCAATCACATTCAATCAATCAATCATTCAATCACTGACTCACTATGTATCAATCAATCACATCAATCACATCAATCACATCAATCAAACAAAGTTACACAAAAGATAAACCTTACATATCATGGATTTGAGAATGTAAAGACATTGGATTCATTGACTGATGAACAAAAGACACGTTGGCAATCGATTGGATACCAATTGGTATCTGAAGGAAAAGTCGGAGTACTGTTGCTTGCCGGTGGTCAAGCCACCCGTCTTGGAACACTTGTTCCCAAAGGTCAATATGGTATGTACTCTACATTCATTCATCGGCTAGCCATCTTGGATATTGACGATCAATCAATCAATCACATTCAATGAATCAATCAAGATATTGGATTACCATCAAAGAAATCATTGTTCCAACTTCAGGCTGAGAGAGTGTTGAAGCTTGAGACTTTGGTAAAGAATCACTTTAAGCTGGCGACGATCAAGCCTGTGCAGTGGTACATCATGACGAGTAGAGCGACTCACGATCCAACCATCAAGTTCTTTGAGGACAACTCATACTTTGGCCTGAAGAAGGATTCATTCTTTTTCTTCCAGCAGACGATGATACCCTGTGTGACACCAGAGGGCAAGATCATCAATGAGAGCTGCTGCAAGGTGTCGCTGTCGCCAAATGGCAATGGTGGCCTCTATCACTCACTGGTGACGAGTGGCGCCATCGAGGACATGCGTGCCAAGGGCGTCCAGTACGTCTCGCAGTACTGCGTCGACAACGTGCTGATCAAAATGGTCGACCCACTGTTCATCGGATTCATGCACGACAGCGGCAGCGACTGCGCCGCCAAGGTCGTCGCCAAGATCGACCCAGAGGAGCCCGTGGGAGTCATGGCGCTCGAGAACAACAAGCCATGCGTGCTCGAGTACAGTGAGATCGACAAGGAGTCCAAGTACCTGCGCGAGGCCAACGGCCGTCTGACATTCAACTACGCTCACATCTGCATCAACGCGTTCAGCTTTGAGTTCCTGGACCGTCTGAGCAAGGAGGGTCGCACGACGCAGCTGCCCTACCACGTGGCCTTCAAGAAGATCCCATGTGCCGACGACGCCGGCCAGCGCATCAATCCCGACGCCAACAATGGCTGGAAGATGGAGATGTTTGTCTTTGACGTGTTCCCCTACTCCAAGCACATGGTCTGTCTAGAGGTGGACCGCAGCGAGGAGTTCTCGCCACTCAAGAACAACGCCGGAATGGCCGTGCCCAAGGACTCGCCAGAGACCTGTCTCCAAGACATCTGTCGACTGCATCGTCGCTATATCGAGCGTGCCGGTGGCAAGCTGGACGACTCCAACTCAAACCTTATCGAGGTATCACCTCTCGTTTCCTACGCTGGTGAGTCACTAGAGTCTCGTGTCCAAGGACATCAATTCACTCTTCCACATCATATTGAATGAGCGACATGTCATGCCATGTATGAATGAATGCCAAGCTATATCATGTAATGATACACATGGACCAGACCATATAATAATAAAGTGATACCAATTCAAACATTGTACTACTCACTCCTTCCTAAGCTGTGCGTCGATGAAGGTCTCAATGACATTGTTGTCAGATTGTCTTGTCCTCTGTGATGTTCAGTCTTTGTGGCGGGGCGAACTGCCTGTCGAACAGAGAGTTGATGAGCAAGCTCGGGATGGCCGTCCTAGTACCTTGCTACATGAATGTCATCATTGAACATACCTTGCTTATCAACCAACTGTCTTCTTGCCCTCCATCCATTGTTTTTTATTTTGTTGCCTTTGTTCCCTCCCTCCCATCTCTTTGTTTCTTCGCGCGATCTGGCAAGACTTGGTGCTTCGTCTCCCCTCAAGCATGTTATGAGACTCTGTGAGCTCACTCTTTCATTCATTCATTCATTCGAGAGCTCTACCACGAACCAAGATCATTCACGCACGCACCCTCTCACGCATCAACAACATCATTAACGAACCTTATCCCACTCATCCATTACACCTACTACTACTAGTTAGATAGATAGATAGATACTTAGTTATACACTCATTCATATTCATTCATTCATTCACTACAACATACTCATTAAGATTGTGATAGAGATACATTTATCTCTACATTATATATTATTATATATACGATGAACGGATCCAAGACAAATAATAATAATAATAATAATGGTTCATTAACTACATCACCTATGATACGTAGTATAATAAGTGCCAATGATGAGACCGATGAAGGAGCAGGACAGCAGGATGATATAATTAGTGAAGCAGAGGAAGATGTGGCAATGGAAGACGACCAAGAGGAACAAGGCGATGGAGAGGACGCCCCGCTGCCATTCAACGATGACGATGACGACCAGGCACAGACTGAGAAGGACGACGAGACCGAGGAAGAGCGTCTGGCGCGCCTCGAAGCCACTCGTCTGGAAAAGGAACGACTAAAGAAGATGAAGGACGAGCAGCGCAAGCAACTGGCCGAGCTCGAGAAGAAACAACGTGAGCAGCTGATGGCCGACTCGGACCGCTCGCAGAAGGACCGTCTCAAATTCCTGCTGGAGCGTACCGAGATCTTTAGTCACTTTGTATCCAACAGCTCGGCGCAACACAACCATCCGCCCACAAAGAAGAAGAAGAAGGGTGGCGATGTAGCCGCCACACCCACCAAGCGTGGCACTGCCCTCACCGAGAAAGAGGAAGACGATGAGATCATGAAGGAGGCCATCGACGAAGAGGCTCCTCATTCCTTCAACTTCTTCACATCCAATCCACCATGTAAGTGTACACCTCGGCAACTCAACTTAACATGGATCACTCACTCACTCACTCACTCATTCAATCATTCAATCAGACATCAAGGCTGGTACAATGAGAGACTATCAAATATATGGACTTAACTGGCTTATTCAGTTGTATGAGCGTGGAATCAATGGTATCCTGGCTGATGAGATGGGTCTTGGAAAGACACTACAGACCATATCACTACTTGGCTATCTATCCGAGTACAAGGGTATCCGTGGCCCTCATCTTATCATCGCACCAAAGTCCACAATGTCTGGCTGGACCAAGGAGTTCAAACGTTGGTGTCCCTTCTTGCGAGTCGTCAAGTTCCACGGCAACAAAGAAGAGAGAGTAAGATCAATCCATAATTCAAGAGCATGGTCCAAAGCAGTGTCACTGACCCAAATCACTTCCATTATAGGCTGCGATCAAGAATGAACAATTGGTGTACAAGAAGTTCGATGTGTGCATCACTACATACGAGATGGTCATCAAGGACAAGGCCGTGTTCAAGAAGTTCTCATGGCGATATGTGATCATTGATGAAGCACACAGGATCAAGAATGAGAACTCTGTGCTGTCCAAGGGCGTGCGTCTCTTTAACAGCCAGTTCCGTCTTCTCATCACCGGTACGCCATTGCAGAACAACCTGCATGAGCTGTGGGCGCTGCTCAACTTCTTGCTTCCAGACGTATTCTCATCGAGCGATGACTTTGACAGATGGTTCGACCTGGAGAAGACAGAGAATCAACAGGACGTCATTGACAAGCTGCACAAGGTGTTGCGTCCCTTCCTCTTGCGACGTCTCAAGACCGAGGTGGAGAAGTCGCTCCCACCCAAGAAGGAGATGAAGCTGTTTGTCGGCCTGTCATCCATGCAACGCGAGTGGTACAAGCGTCTTCTCAGCAAGGACTACGAGGCGCTGCACGGCATGGGCGTCAAGGGTGGCTCTGGTCGCGTCAAGCTGCTCAACATCTGCATGCAGCTGCGAAAGGCATGCAACCACCCGTACCTCTTTGATGGCGCTGAGGAGCCACCCTACACATCGGGCGAGCATCTTGTGACCAACAGTGGCAAGATGATCCTTCTCGACAAATTGCTGGCCAAGCTAAAGGCGCGTGGCTCACGTGTACTCATCTTCTCGCAGATGGCCAGAATGCTCGACATCCTCGAGGACTACATGTTGTATCGCGAGTACAACTACTGCAGGATCGATGGCTCCACCGACAGCCAGAGCAGAGAGAACTACATCGAGGCCTACAATGAGCCAGACTCCAAGCTGTTTGTCTTCCTCCTGACGACAAGAGCCGGAGGTCTGGGCATCACGCTCAACACGGCCGACATTGTTGTATTGTTCGACAGCGATTGGAACCCACAGGTCGACCTGCAGGCACAGGATCGTGCACATCGTATCGGCCAGACCAAGCCCGTCACAGTGTACCGTTTCGTCACCGAGAACTCGATGGAGGAGAAGATGGTGGAGAAGGCCGAGATGAAGCTGCAGCTGGATGCAGTCGTCATTCAACAGGGTCGTCTGGTCGAGCAGAACAAGTCGGCCAGTCCCGAGGAGCTGCTCTCCATGATCAGGTTCGGCGCTGACGACATCTTCAAGTGCAAGGACTCATCGATCACTGACGAGGACATTGACACCATCCTGCAGAAGGGTGAGGAGAAGACACAACAAATCACAGATCGTCTGAAGGACTTGGCCAAGAACCCGCTCAAGCTCAACCTGGACGGCAACCTCTACGAGTTTGACGGCGTCAACTATAGGCCCCAGCACGACAACTTCTGGGGCGGCACGGTGACCTTTAAGCGTGAGAGGAAGCCCGTCGAGGGCAACGAAGAGTACATGCGCTCGATTGGTGTGCTGCCCAGCAAGCCAGCGCCCAAGAAAGAGAGGAAGGAGAAGAAGATCAAGCCACCTAAGCAGCCAACTATCCATGACTTCCAGTTCTACCCCGAGGAGTTGAACGCGCTGTTTGAGAAGGAGACCAACGCCTATGTCAAGAAGCTGGAGCACTATGAGAAGAAGGATGCCACCGCCGATGAGGAGGAGGTCGAGCCAGACTTTGGCGACCTGACCGAGGAGGAGGTGACCAAAAAGGATCAGCTGATGCTCGAGGGCTTTGCAGACTGGAACCGTGTGGACTTTAGAAACTTCATTCGTGGCTGCGAGCTCTATGGTCGCAAGGCGTTCGACAACATCACCGAGACCGTCGAGGGCAAGACTCTCCAGCAGGTACAAGAGTATGCCGCCGTGTTCTGGAAGCGCTACAAGGAGCTGACAGACTACGAAAAGCTGATCGTGCGTATCGAGAAGGGTGAGGAGCGTCTGATCAAGTACAAGGAGACAGTGGAGGCACTCGATCGCAAGATTGCGCAGTACAAGAACCCATGGAGGGATCTCAAGATCCAGTACGGCATGAAGAAGAACAAGACCTACAACACAGAGGAGGATGTCTTCCTCGTGTGCAAGACCCAGGAGCTTGGATATGGTGCATGGGACGAGCTCAAGGAGGAGATCCGCAAGGCGCCACAGTTCAAGTTTGATTGGATGATCCAGACGAGGACCACCCAGGAGCTGAAGGCTCGCTGCGACCAATTGCTCAAGTACATCATCAAGGAGGAGCAGGACGAGTTGGAGAGGAAGTCTGAGCGTGAGAAGAAGAAGTCTGGCAGCAGCAGTATCGATTCAAAGGCATCATCTCCTTCAACATCCACATCAAAGACAGAGTCCAGCAGCACATCCAATGACTCTAAGAAGTCATCAAAGGCAACAAACAGTGGCAGCAATGGTAGTGGAAGCAGCAGCAGTAGTAAATCATCAACATCGACAAAGAGGAAGAAGGAAGATGAGTTGGCGGCTAGCAAGAAGTCATCATCGTCCACTTCAACCACGACCACAACAACAACAACAACAACTGCTGCTGCAAAGACAATGGTGAAGAACTCAAAGTACAGCGATTCAGAGGATGAGTCGCCTGCCATCAACACCAAACCAACAACATCAACAACATCCACATCATCATCGACCGAAGCCAAGCCACCAAAGAAGAGGCTAAAAGAGACTCGTTAACAAGTGTTTACCTAGACCTATCTATTCTATCATTGTCCTCCATCCCGATCATCGCTCATAATCTAATAAATCCAGAGCAACCATCATTGTCATCACTATTATTTGTTCGCAACGATTGGATTCCAACAATCATATGATATGTCCAGAAATTTCGTCTTCCACTTCATTGTTGGTTTCAGAAAGATCTCAAATACAGATACATAAAGATACAGATATAAGATGAGCTCTAGCAACTTATCTACAGCACCATTGGAGGATCCATCAATAAACATCAAGAAGGAACTAACAGAGAATGGTGAGATCATTGTAACAGAACTAGGCAAGTCTATAAAGTCATTGATTAAACATTCAAACGTTCATGAGGTAAGTTGTTGTTGATGTAGTGATTGATCGAGCACAACTCTAACCTCATTGATGTAATGATAGAACATGATCACCATATGTAAAGTATTCGCGCAGCACGAGCTCAATGTATCACAAACAGAAGAAGTATGTAGACTATCAATCGAGACGAGACACTAATTGATGGACTGAGGATGGATATTGACATTGTATTCTACTCTTACCAATAGATGATAAACCAAATGAATGCTCTTTCAAAGGAACTAGGGAATCAGTATGTATATCAAAGATACCCTTTCGTTGTTGGTGATTGATTGCAATACTGACTTGATTACATGTGTCACTAAAGGATCAACATGTTGAACACATCATTACAGACTCTAGATGGCTTTAACAGTTCGATCGTTGATATCAATCGCACGGCACATTCATTCACACAGAAGACCAACAACAGTTGATTAAATGACATATAATGTAATATAGGAGACACTCAAACAAGTTGACATTGGTTATTCCATGTATCACTTTGACTTGGACAACAAGAATGGCATGATGGTACACATTGAATTTATATATCTTTAGTCTGGAAATCAATCACATTGAACACCAATCTAGTGCAATGCAACGCATCATCAACATCCTTTTGGCAATCACTCACTCACTCTCTTGTTCCAGGAGGAGGAGTGATCCACAAAGAATGGTCTGTCTGTCTGTTTATTGTTGTTAACTGGACACCAGTCCAGCGTGTAAAAGGACATCGCCCGACGGTTATATATACTTAGTTCAACAAGTCTACAGACTTTGCTGATGGTATAGCATGCTGTGTCATAATCCTGGCAGTGGCCTCCTTTGCCTCATCCTTGTCCAAGATCACTAGGTAGTCTAATATTAATGATTGATTGAGTTAGTAACACAACGATTGTCTACATGTAGTTGTTTGAGTCGATTACATACCATGCTCGATCGTAATAACTATATGTTGATCGGTTGTGTTTTCGATCAGGTCGACTAGATGCTTCAGATTGCGCACTGGCACTCCATTGACCTTTCGGACCTCGCACAGTCCAAACGCGCTGTATCCATAGTTGATCTTATCGATGAGAACCTGAGATATGACGACCACCTGCGAATCAGGTCCAGTGATCTTCTCCGCCTTCTCAAACACCTTGCGGAATGTCGATGCCATGTCCTCCGACACCTCTGTAAGCAGTGGGTATGTCACTGGCACAAAGATGAAGCCAGCATAGACAAAGTAGCTGGGTCGCTTGTCGTACATCTGATAGGGGACCACGCGATGCTGTGGCACCAATGGCACGGTGACGTCCAATGATTGACCCTTACGGAACACTGTAACGTCCACTTTGTCTCCAATGAAATGTGATGACAGCAAGTATTCATAGCTGATTCTCTCGCGACGTCTAAAGGCCACGGTGCCATCGTTCGCAATCTGTACTTTGTTGACGTGTGTGACGATGTCCTCCTTCTTGAGCACGTTCTTGGCGGCGGACAGCGGGTGGATCTCGTTGATGAGAATGCCCGTCATGTCCTTGGGCACGCCGTAGAATGACTTGGGGATCGAGTCGAGGTTCTGTGCCATGATTCCCAGCATGGGCTCGCCAGTGAATTTTCCATTGCGCTCAACGTCGTTGAGGAATCGCTGTACCACTGGTGTGGGGATGATGAAGCCGACGGATGACGCGCCAGTTAGATTCTGGAATGCAATGCCTACCACCTTGCCGTCCATCAGTGCGGGGCCGCCAGAGTTTCCTGGGTTGATAGCCGCGTCGATCTGAATGGAGAGCAGACGGCTCTCAGAGTGAGCGTACTGTTGCAAGTCGATACGCGACACAACACCCTGTGTGACACAGATGTTGGAGCCTCCCGTGGGGAAGCCCACCACAGTGATCGTGTCCTGCAGCTCGGGAATATCGCCCAATTCAAGAGGTGTGATGCCTGTCCAAAAGGCGTCATCATCCACAGTGAGCAGCGCCAAATCATACTCGTGTGCGACGCCCAGCAGACGCGCGTAGAACTTGGTTGGATTTCCAAACTTGGTCAACATGATGCTGGTCTGATCAGCGACACAATGAGCATTAGTGAGGATCTTTCTTCCCTGAATGACGAATCCACTTCCAGTGATCTCACGCTGAACCTTCATCTGCCATGGCACATAATGATTGGGTGACGCCAACACTGAGAACACCTTTACAATTGGGTCCAGCAATGGATCTGGGTTGTTTGAACGAGTGTGTTAGACAATGAATGGACGAAGGATTCGTGGCTACGTACCAGAGTCGCCTGGGTTGATCTCAAAGTATGCGGGCTTGGGCTCGAGGGGTGGTTGATGCTCTTGGGGTGGCTGTTTCTTTGGATGAATGAGTGGCTGCTCGAATGTGACTGGCTGTAGGTCGCCCTCCTGTGTCTTCATATTATTCGCCAGTATCTCCAATTGTCCATCATCTATATTGATCGCAGCTGCCGATGTAACATTGCAATAGAATCTCTTGAATAATGATAATGATGATGACGCTCCATATTTGTTGTAGTTGATGATGTTATTATTATTCACAACATTCAAACTCTTATTATTATTATGATGTATATAACTCCTCAATGTAGTAGACGCTGTTTGAGCTACACGTCGAGGTAGCTTTGATACAATTGAACTTATCATGTGTAATTACGAACGAAAGAATGAACGAGTGAAGTTGTTTGATTGATTTTGATTGAGGTGCCAATCAAATGTGTAATGTTAGAATTAATGTAATGTTAATGTGTAATGTTATTTATATATATATGTATATTCATATGAATGTCTGTAGGTTGGTTATTGATTGAATGAGTCAACAAACAGTCGTCGTTAGGTCCATCCTTCCATCCCTCTTTTCGTCCAAGATTGGACCCCAGATCTTCACAACTGACATGACATCCAATTCACGTTTCAATTACGCCTCTTTTCTGTGTGTTTGTTTAGCAAAACGTGATGTTTTGGTGTTGTTTGGCAAAGCTAGTCAGTTCAGTCTTGATCTCAATCCACAACTCATTGGTCAGTCAAAGAGAATAGATAATAATAATTAAGATAAATAATACATTGTTCATTTGAACGATTTTCACCAAAATCAGGGAATGGTCACTGGTTACTCAAGATGTTCGGTCCGACCGAACACTCCGATTGACGATTCCCCTGATTTTGGTGAAAATCGTTAATATGTCGTATTATACTACTACCCTGGGAATGACATTCAATAGCAAAGTCAGAATAATAGATAGAACAAAGCTATTGAAGAGATAAATGAGGATTTATAAATAACAATCTACAACAAAAACATTGTCTTAGAATGTAAATGTCAATGATCCATTACCGACGACCAAACAAGGTTTTTTGGAAACAGTTTCACAAATAGACTAAAGGCAGCAAGAGCGAGGATTGTACCCAAGAAGCCGAATAAATTTAAAAGTAGGCGTGGATAATTGCACAATGTGCACACCAATCATTGACAAATCTGCAAAACAGTATCCTCTTGATTGAACTGATTCGGAACAGACGGGCGCTGATGAATAAACCTCTTATATATAAGAGCACCCACCTCTCAAGTATAATGATAAGCAGTCATCTTACCGATGGCATTTCGTGCCCTCTTCATTCTCTAATTTTATTTTTTATTATGGAATGGAAATTGGAAATGGAAATGTTTCTTGTTTGTCTTGAGGAACGGGAACAAATATTATAGATTGTTTGGGTCCGCCTTTATCTAGGATCATGATCAGATTACCAGGGTCAGTGAGCCTGCATGTCACCTCGAGGATATAGTCTTGGTCATTCAAGGTGCACCAAAATGGATGGAGAGCATTGATTATTGTTGGAATACGAGATGTGATGACCGATGATATATCGAATGATACGCATCGCGTTGGAAGATATATCTCTACTCCATCAGAATTGTAGGAAAATCGCTTCTTGAGTATCAAGTGACGCATGGTGAAGGGAAGAGAGTCCGATTGAGGAAATAGCAATGAGTATTGCTTTCCTGTCTTCATATGGAGTATCAAATCGAGAATACATTGTGGAATGCAACCGAAGGAGATTAACCGGTTGTAGAGTGACCCAAGCTCCAGAGAAATTAGTGATGACGGTAATGTCCCAATGTAGAATGTCTGATCAAAGCAATCACCAAACTTAAGCTCTGTGATTCCGCACGGAAGGAGTCCTGGTTGGAGAGGCTGGTTGAATTTTTGTCCAAACTTGAGAAATATTGTACCAAAAGGCAGACATCCTGCTCGCAACGGCTGGTTGAAGTAGTGTCCAAAGGTGAGAGATGTTATACTAGAAGGAAGATGTCCAGGTTTGATTGGCTTGTTGAAGTTAAAGCCAAATATGAGAGTATTTATGCCAAACGGGAGGTGGCTATGTCGAAGTTGCTGATTGAAACTATATCCCATCATAAGAGTTTTGATACCTGCAGGGAGGTGTCCACATTGAAGTTTCTGATCGAATCCAATGCCAAATGTGAGGTTTGTGATTCCTGTCGGTAGGACACCAGCTTTTAGTGGATAAAATGGCCCAGTGGAAAAAGCGAGAGTTCTCAGCCCCCTTGGCAAATGTCCATGTTTGAGCTTCTGGGAGAAGCTGTCTCCAAATTCGAGAGCTGTGATTCCAGGGGGAAGAGTTTCAGGTTGGAGTGGCTGATCATAGCGAAGTCCGAATGTGAGAGAGGTCAGCCCCATAGGAAGTTGACCAGGCTGGAGAGGTTGATTAAATCCCTCTCCGAGTGTGAGAGTCGTTATTCCAAGAGGAAGTCGATTAAAATCATCTGTATCTGAAATGGTGAATGTTGCTATCCTTCTTGACGAATCGGGACAGTGATAACTGGTAGCAGCTCCCTCAGCTTCAGGCAGCGATTGAGTCCCAAACAAAGTGTGGTTGAGGATTACTCTCCTATCATAGAAATATTTTGAGGTAAGAATAAGACACATCTTATCAATGCTGTCGAGGGATCTTGTAATAGCTTTGAGAGTGGATGTCGGTAAATATGAGAGGTAGTCAACACGGCCAATACCCTCCTTTTGGTTGTTGTCATTCTCTGTCCTCTTCATGATCTTATCTTTCAACCGCCACTGAATGTGTATTCAGAAGTGTTGCTTGTTGTTTTGTTGTGTGGAGGATGACAATGTCGAAAATGTTGCTGGGCTGACCTGACCCACTACAGTCGCACTTGGATGGATATTATCGTGGATAAATCCAGGTACCTACAGGTGATTAATCACTAGATATGTGAAGGTCAGATTTATCTAATAAATAATATGGAGATATATATTCAAAGATAAATTATAAGATATATCCACTAAAAGTGTTAATGCCAATGGTTATCAACTCGATGACAAATTGATTGATTCACACTCCTGGTCATTAACATCAGAGATGTTAATGGCAATTGTGATTAACACATCTAATAACAGCTCTAAAAGGTGCCAAAATTCAAATTTAAATATTTTTCTTTATTAAAATAATAATTAAACTTATAGTTTACTCTTATTAAAGAATCATATATCTATAGTTCTAAACATTATTATTTAATTCTTTGATCATTACTACCTTGTTATTATCTATCTATTAAGACAAATCGCATTTGTCGTCCATCTGCCACTTGTACATTCATTGTCGGTTCAGACACTGGACGAGGTTGATGAGATCTTCTGTTCTTGGTGAATTGGATTTGGTACAACAAATAATACATCTCAAACTCGGAGATCTTCCTTTTGATGACAGAGTTCAAGAAATTCTTTGTAGTCACCGAGTCTATCCTGGTGGAGCATGAAGTAGTATCTAATTATAATGAGAAATAGTTGGTTAGCATTGATAACCTAGAGCAGTGTTCCTTGAGACATTACCTTGTGTGTGTCTTTAAACAGTTGTATTGTTCTTCAGATATAAGATCACGGAGGAGATAGAGACTACACATGGACAATTGAGTGATCTCTCTGGCGACGAAACTTTCAAGATAGGCCAAACGTAGTGATCCTTTGAGCAAGCTATACCTCCGATGTACTTTCACCCACTGTTGCGTGTCTAGTCCACCAAACACCATGATGAGCTCACGCTTCATATTGCCTGTCATTCAAGATATTAACATGTTAGTTCATATGCATGCAATATAGTAATTGTCTGATCGTTGACTTACCCAGTGTTTCAACATGCATCATCTCTAGGGGTATTTGAACGACAGGGTCGATATCTAAATATAGAAGGAATGCTAAAGGTTGTGTGTTAGTCTCTAATGATTGATGTTGCTTGCTTGTCCACACTACCTCACTCTATTCAATCAATCAATCAATCAATCATACATATACTTACAAGGATGTTGATAATGGATGGCAAGCTTCTCGCAACGAGTCTTGAACTCTTGTGTTCTCGAATCGAGGGTGCCATGCTGCAGTGCATCAGAGTAATCATTGTGGTAATCGATAACCTTGCTCCACTCACGAGGGTGGTAAGATGGTTCGGTCGATACTATCATTGCCAAAGGTAATTCACAAAATCGGCAAGGACTGGAACTGGTGTATGAGTTGAAACACAACAGTGAGTATGCCTCTGGTGAGTCTGCTACTATCCTCATCAGACGAGGATAAAGAACCTTGCCACTATGTTGGATGCCAGTCTATATTATATATATTAGTGAGTGAATACGATGGCGGGATAGTTGATGTCACTACTTACTTGTTGTGTGTTTCTCAAGCTCTCGAGGATCATGTGCATGGCCATGTGCTTGTCAACTACCTTGGGTATCAAAGCCACCAATACTCTGTTCTTTACAAAGTATTTCTCGATGGCAGGATGGAGGTTGAGTATAGTCATATACACTCCTGCATGCAATATRATTGATGGTCTCTCTGTTAGATTGTTAACGTCGATATGATCAGCATTGAAAGCATCCTTACCAACAAGTGTAGAGTGGTTTCCAGACTCCCAACCATCAATAAAGAGTTCGATCGCAATGACATCGATATGATTGTACTTTTTGAATAGTCCAGAGTTGATAAAGGTACTGTATATTACGCTATTGTCACTATATATATATTATATATACATAATAGTTAGTAATTGTTATCTGATTGTTTGTTGAATGGTTATTTAATAATTACCCTGAAGGCTCAGTGTATCGCCAGACCATGTGATCAAAGAACCTATCCAAGAACAATCCAATGTAGTCTATTGGGTCAAAGTAATAGAGGTTGTACTTGATAGGACCACTCTTGTGATTGATATCCAGTATCTTGACCTCCTGCATGTGTTTATATTGTGTTAGTTGAGTGATTGAGTCTTGTTTGATTGATTGGTCAAGTACTTACTGGTGACAACTTCTTCAACATACAAGCCTCTCTCCTCTTAAAGTCTTTGATGTTGTTTGAATCGATCTGACGGATAACCTTGTCGATCTTCATATAGGTGCTGATGGATATATTGTTTCGATAGAGTACCTTAATCACTTTTTCTAGGTCTGTCAAATAAAGTAACAGTGTTAGTAAGCCATCTACCAAAGTCTCTGTTATCACTGAGTCAGTCTGTCTACATTGCAACCTACCTATATCACGTTGATTGGGTTGAATGACCATATTGTCCAACATGTTGGCGCAGTCATCTACAGCGCTGTCATATGCCTCGACATCTTGGTGATCGACAAAGAAGGCAGCAGTCTCACTCTCCAATTGTCTAACAATTGAGTTGTTGGTCACTGGTGTCTCGGGTAGTTGGGTCTCAGCTTGAACATTCAAACTGTACAAGTGAATCTGGTACAGAGAGTATCCATAATTGATCGCTCCTTCACTTCCACATATCTCTCCGAGTCTAGACTTGATCGTTACCTCATCTCTGCCTGTTGTTATATAATAATAAAGTTAGAGATATTTTAGAGATTGAGAATGCAATGTGTGTGTATATGTATGTTTCAAAAATATGTATTTACATAATGAATTCAAATGGACTGATGTTTTGAGGTGACCCTTCAAAGATTTTGGTTGGATACTGGCTCCACAAGCCAAACACTTCTTTTTGTGTTGACAAAAATGATTGATGAACTTATCCAAAGTCTCAAGTGGTTTGACACTGTCTTGACAACCTATATAACAACAGAATACTCTTTTATTCATTATTATTGGTGTGTGTTATACTATTAAGAGTAATATGTATCTATGAATGGGTTGTTTAAGTGTTAACATATATATTCACACTAACACTACACACACCTATCAATCAATCAATTTGATTTAAACCCACTGTTACTAACATCTACCAATTATATTAATGGGCACCCCACCGTTTAATAGATTAATCCTTTATTTATCCTTGGATATATACTTAAATATATCAACGAATATATTATATGATTTATATATTAGTTAATTCAATGGAACAACCATGGATTTATATCAAAACTAGGAATCCATGATTAATCGAAGGTAGAAGAACCTCTAGTGCGACTGTAGTGCCCACCCAGGTTTTTAATGAATATTGTTTTTGTTTTTTGTTGATTATTTAGATTAATTATTGTTTTTTTTGTTGGTTTTTGGTGGATTTGGGGTGAGGTATTCATTGCCGTGCCCTTGTCTTCCAAGAAGTAGACTCTGTCAACAATGTCAATCACTATTGCTAGAGAGAGAGTTGTAGTCCACCTCCGGGGAAGTTCCGTTGAAATTTCGACGTTTGACCTGGGTGTGGTGTGGTTGTGTGGTTTCAGGAACAGCCTTCTACAACATTCCACAACGCGATTAGGTGTATGGAAGCTTTACCACCCTAAATGGGGGTTGCAGATGGAAGCCATCTGAAAAGGTTCAAGCTCGGGGTTGCGTGGTGTGCTTATGTCAACAACAATGGTCGAGAGCGCGTGGATTGACATCTCTGATTCATCAACATCAGTCAATGAGGTGGTCGGGTGGGCTGCCCTTGAGCACATCTCTAGTTTGGAAGTAAGTAACTGTGTACTATGCGGCCCATCAATTGTCCGACGACTTATTTTTAATCCATTCTTGGCTTCCATGTTAAATAGCAAGCAGTCGTAGAGAATCATTTCGAATAATTGATTGTCTCTCTGTATATCATTCATTCATTCAAACAAAGAGTCACATATTCAAAGTTATATTTGTTTGTTTGTTCTACAACCTTCCACCCCTTCATCAATCAATCACAATCCATTCTCAAGTCAATCTTCGGGAAACTAATTATTTATATACTTACTTAACATTTAATAATCTATTAATAATTTAATATTTACAACAATGAATAATCTTCATATTATTGGCGCAACATCTATACCTACATTATCATCCACATTGTCTTTGGCAAGGGATGGAGTGGCACCATTCATAAAGAGTCTCATTCAGATGATGGAGACTGCTGAGAACAATCATTTGATAAGATGGGGTCGTCTTGGAGAGAGCATAGTCATCACCAACTGCGGTGAGTTCGAGACCAAGTTGCTACCAAAGTACTTCAAGACTGGAAAGTTCTGTAGTTTCATAAGGTATGCATTTCATTCAAACTCGATCAATCTCCAATCTGTCAATGTTAACATTCAATCAATCAATCATACATAAGACAATTGAATATATATGGATTCCACAAGGTTGATGATGAGAAGACATCACAGAGTGAGCCAGAGCATGAGTCGTCAGAGTCACAAGCAAGATTGTTTGAGTTTGCCAATGACAACTTTAAGAAGTATCAACCAGAGTTGTTGTTGAATATTAAGCGTAGAAAGAGTGTTAGACGTGGTCTAACAGTCAATCATAATAATAACAATCAGTACAAGACTGTTAATCAGTCATCGTCATCGGCATCCGGTGCCAGCACACCGGCCAGCCACAGCTTCAAAGAGGAGGACGACGACGACCAAGATATCCCATATCCAAACATCTACGCATCGCCAATGTCCAACAACGGTAACGGCAATGGCAATACCAATGGCCTCACTGTGTTCCAGTCCGATTCAAGCTCACCGATACCAACGCCTGGGCAACCGACTCTGGCCGACATCAAGCCCGAACACTTTGACCCCAACAGTCCAATGGTGCAACAGTTGGTGTTCCAGTACACCAAGCAGAATACCGAGTATTCCGACCTCAAGTTCTCGCATGGTCAGCTGCAAGAGTCACACTCACAGTTGCAGTATGCATTCCAGAACCTGCAGCAGTCTCACCAGAGTCTGATGGAGCGTGTGCTCAAGCTGACCAAGGCCATCCTCGGTGGATCATCTGGCGCGACACCAAACCAACCAACCACCACCATTAACAAGCCTGCAGCCAATGAGAACAACACATCATACCAGCCACCCATCCATACTCCACCTTCTCCACAAGCCAGTCAGCAGCAGCAGCAACAACAACAACAGCAGCAGCAACAGCAACAACAACAACAACAACAAACTAATGGTGGATTCCATTTCCAGATGCCATCGCCAGTGCTCTCCCCTTCATCCGGCCAGGTCACGCCTCAGCTTAACAACTTTGCGCTCCCATCCCAACCGATCCAGCACCAGCCACAGCAACAACAACAACCTCAGCAGCAACAGCAACAGCAACAACAACCACAACAACAACAACAACAACAATCTCCACAAGACAATAGCAACCTGCTTTCACTTGTTAAGCAATTGATGACAAAGCCACAAGACACAACCAAGTCAGCGCCCAACACCAACCTGTCCCAACAACAGTTGCTTGCTCTACAAGTGCTGATCAGCCAACAGCAGCAACAACAGCAACAGCAACAACAACAAAGTACCGTCAACCTTTTAAATAACCTGCTACTCTCCAACATCCAACAGACATCTCCACAACAACAACAACAATCAAACACACACCTTTCACTCAATCAACTTCAAATGCCACAACAACAACAACAACAACAACAACAWC